CCTGAAGAAGCCTGTGGAGAGAAGACAATGAGAAGAATTTACAGTTTTAGAGGTGGGAGAAAAAGCCCAGAAGAATATTCTGGGGAAAACCCACGGAATCAGGCAGGGACTGAAAACCCAAGGATTCGAACCCGGGTCACAGCGGTGGAAGGCGAGGAAAGTACCGCTACGCCAACCTGACTCCGATACGCCAACCTGACTACATACAACCTTGAGCCCAAGGGGTAATTATGATATCCATAACTATATTAATTACTCATCGCTAACTGTACGTTTACTATATATTACTTGCACGGCTAGGACAAAAGTGTTCTGCGCTGTCGTCATTAAAATGTATATTTAACATTACAAAACAATACGCTATTTAATAAACATTACAAGCTGAATAATGATTACATGAACGTATGGTTGAAGAAGACTTGTTCGGAATTTTCTCAGTAACGGAGACAACAATTATTCTGAGTCATGCCAAATAAGACAAGGAAGAAACGAGAATTTGAAGTAATATTTACCGTTTGTGTAAACGCGTAAACAAATTCACAAGACCACAATGCTATGCGATCAAAGTGCCTTGACTACACACTCCTGATCCGTCGCATTTTCCGCCCTCGTTATTTTGTATTCACAACTCAAAACAACGGCCACAAACAAAACTCTTTTAAATAAGCATGCCTTCGTGTGCCTACCTGCCTGTTGCACAAATTCAAGCATTGTGATCAATTTGAAATCATATAAAGATCATTTTGGTTTCTCTTGAAAACTTGAATGTCATCGATATTCTATTTTAAGAAGTCATAATTCAAAACGGTGTCTGATCTGTGTTCTCTACTGACCATATTATGAAGGTCTATAATAAGCTATTTGTGGCCAAGGTCCCCCAGCACTTTTTTTGAACGCACCTGTCACAAACGAATGATTGAAGCAGAGATCTAATAATATTTGGTGCTTATAATTATGCAGTACCAAACCACGACTTTCCATCGGCATTTTACTATTACGAACCTTGCATGGGCGTCGCCAGGATTTTTTCTAGAGGGGGGTAAACTTATTTTTCCCAAACAATTCTTGTATTTTTGAACAAATTCTCGATTTCTCAGTTTTAGACGGGGGCAGGGACATTTTGCCCCCCCCCCAACTCATTAAATTTACACCACTATGACTTCGCGCCTCTTTTTCTTTTCTTTTTTTCTCTTTTTTTTTTCGTCCTTTTATTTTTTTTTTTGTTGCTTTTCCAGGGGGGCCCCCTTGCCCGCCCCCCCCCTCGCGACACCAATGGAACCTTGAAAGGTGCTCACATCGGGACATTAACATATTAGCACATATAAAAATGTACATGAATGCTGAGGGACATCAAATTACCTAAATAAAATAAAATATTTTGAACACCATCTTCCATACAGATTGACGTCAGTGGTGAACTAAGCTCAGTTAAAAGCTGTGCATGGCGGCAAGTCGTACGCAATTATGGGGGCCTTTAATGCTGAGTAGTCATTTTCCATCCTTCATCCATTCTCCCTCTCTCTCTTGTTCGTGGAAAATTTGAAGAATAAAAAGGCGGAGATAACACATGGATTTATCTCAACTCTCACACACACAAGTGAAATTCTAGAGGGAACCTCATTTGATATTGCACAAGTAAATTTAAACTGTTCGATCTCAATGCTACGTACGTTGCAGTTGAATTTTCTCTCTTTTTCCAAAAGGTGATTAAAAGGCCAAACAGAAGAGATAAAAACTGTACGCACATTATCATCTTGAATACTCTATACAGAAAAGAAAAAGATGTTGAGATATTTGTGTCAGTTGACTACCCTCCCACTTTTCAGAATGGCTACATCCCCTCCCCAACAGCAATAGCATCAGCAGCAGCATCATCAGCAGCAGCATCATCATCATCATCATCAGCAGCAGCAGCAGCAGCAACAACAACAGCAGCAACAGCAGCAGCAGCAACAGCAGCAGCATCAGCAGCAGCATCATCATCATCAGCAGCATCAACAGCAGCAGTAGCATCATCATCATCATCATCAGCAGCAGCAGCAGCAGCAACAGCATCAGCAACAACAACTGCAACAACAGCAACGGGCAGCAACAACTGCAACAACAGCAACAACAACAACAGCAGCAGCAGAAACAGCAGCAGCAGCAGCAGCAGAAACAACAGCAGCAGCAGCAGCAGCAGCAGAAACAACAGCAGCAGCACCAACAACAACAACAACAACAACAGTAGCAGCAGCAGCAGCAGCAACAACAGCAACAGTAACAGCAACAAAAACTGCAACAACAGCAACAACAACTACAACAGCAACAACAAACGATATATATATATAAGACCCAAGATAACTCCACTACTTCTCACAGTCATTAGACCACAGTAATTAAACCACTTTTTGTTGTAATCAACAAAGTGCATGCATATTACACCAAATGTGTTGAATGGCAGCTATACAGCTGTTGATTTTCTTCAGACAAATGCTATTTTCAAACGTAGGTTTTGTCTCCGGCTGCGGCTTCGGTCTCGAGCCTCATGATATTAGGTTCATGCCCTTGTAGACTATCAGTATTTTGTCCCAAGAACATCAAATCTTATGATACAAATCCAACAATTTCGGTTTTTTTCGGGTGGCAGAATGAAGGCTCACAGAATGGACACAGTGCCCAAGAAATAGGCCAAATCGTGAGACGAAGTCGAAGCCGAGGCTTGATGAAATGTACCCACGATACTTGATACTTATATGGATACTATCAGTTGCACATGTTTAATGAAATCTTATCCAGCGGTGGATCAAAAGCTGCGTGGTTTTAAGTTTTTATCTGATAAGTTCAATACCTTGGGCTATCAGTATTTTTCCACATGTGTTTACAAATCTATGGACTATTATATTAAATGATATAAATAACGTTATTTAATAATAAAATATATTATATTTTACGCAGAATCGGCATATTGGAATGAAAACAAGACTAAAACACTCATTGGCGTATGATGTCGGCTGCTTTGCGATGATAATTAAGTGAGAGAATTAGCCGGTGCAACCTGCTTTTGAACTCAACCATACATAGAGCCTACACAAATGTTTTGGTTTGAAACGAATGGCGTATGAGTACACATTTTCCCTTTGCCCTCCGATTCTTTCACATGGTCACAATGCAGTTGATACTTGATAGTCTTTTGATAGATTGTTTGAAAGCATCGAGCGCCATTTTGTAAACACGTCAGTCAAGTCCTTAAGAATTCTTCGTTTTGCTATGATGTTTTGTTCAGTAGTAAATTGCCAATCAGTACTGTATGGCTTATAGTATAACACAAGGGAATGTTAATTATAATAACTTATTATAATCCATACGTACTATAGATCAATCGTATTCAGCAGATATCTTTGAGGTATTTTTGTTATGTTAATTCAGAGGTCAACTTATTGGTATCCCTGTTACTCAAATCACACACATAATAGATGGCTACAGCGTAAAGGAACTATTCATCAAATGCCTCCTTTACACACCCACACCTGCCTTCTAGACATGCATTCTAACCCTGCACTTTTGATCGCCCGGCATTAAACATCTATGAGTCCAAAGCAATTCCATGATTTTGTCGTCGAAATTATCCGTCATATTGCAGGCGAACAGGGAAAGCAACCCCTAAAGTACTTTCCATTACCGAAGACAATACTAAGACCTAAGCTTACTGGAGCTGCCTCAAGGTCTACCAAAATGAAATATTGAAAGCTTTGCTGATTGCTGCATCCAAGCCGGCTCAACTCTCAATTACACTTTTATTAGCAAAAGCTAATGACAGTTTCTGTGCCGGTTGGACGTACCAGCAAATAGGGACGATCGTGGATTAGGCCAGTGGGCAATAATTAACGTGAGTGTGCACCTCATGGCACGACGCGGGGTACAAAAACAATATCAAGAGTATATATAGGCAATGGAGTAAAACGTATTTTCTGAACCGATTACAGTTCAATTTATTGTCGTTGCCTGGTAAGGAAATTATTATTATGGAGTCCATTAGCCGGCTATTGCCTACCCATAGGATTTGGACCAGTTATTGTCTTGATAATTATACGGGTAGCAATGTCAGGAGGTGGCTGTATGGCCACAACGTACCTGGGGCTACATAGAGTGATAGGCTAAAACACTTGGTATAGTCTCATTATTTTGTACAACCAATCCGCCGATAACGTCGCACATAATTCATGTCCATGTCGGCCATTTTCAAAACACAGGAAAATATACATTTTTTTTCTTAATATTATTCGAAACCTTTACGTCATCTTTAGTATTGTTTCTGTCTTCGTAAGGTTTGTGGCATCGTTGACTGACTCGGTCGCAAAGTTGAAGAAGTCCATAAAATATCATGAAACAAAATAATGAGAATTAATTAAAAGAAACTTTTCGTTAGTTTCAAATAAAGCTTAGTGTCAGCTGCCTCTTTGTAATCTGTCAAACTTCAACTTCATTTTCACGTTTTCCATAATTACCATCGTGTCACACATTGAGGCCTATTTTTTGTTGTAAAAGTAATGAAGACGAAAAAGCGGTCTGTTTTCATGCAAGCAGCGATGGTTCCATAATTATGCGCAGGCCTACACGTACGTCTACGCGTACGTCATGTTTTATTTAAAGGATTTATTATGGAAATATGGTCGCAAATTGAAGAAAAGACATGCATATTTTGTTTACAATGATTTGGGCTTTGGAAGATTTTGATCATGGATTTTACATCTGCATTTAATCTCAAGCATAGAATGTCATTTTGTTTGGCACTCACGTTTGATATTTCTCCGTCGCAAACCGTTATCTCGCGAGGCTTACTTGTTCACAAAAAGGTGAAACATATGAATGCTGATTTGCTTGGCATTTCCATAGTTTCTTTGAGGAATAGTTTTCAAAGGGCAAATTTCAATTTCTATTTGTACAATCGTATTAATGAAAAGAAGAGATAAATGATGATAAAAAGGCATGGATGGAAACTGATACCAATCACGTTTACAGATGACAATTTATTTATTTCATTTACATATTCAAAGGGTCCATGTAATTAAATTTCTAAAATGTAATCCTTGAAATGTACCTTTGCGCCCAAACTTTACAAATCTTCACATTACTATTGCAAAAGGGTTTTGGTTCTGTTTTTATGCTGATGCAAATTTCCATATTCATGTGCAAAACTGTGATGTCATTCAAGGCAGTAACTTCAGTGTCACATCTGCTTCAGCATAACACGTCACCATAATTTCGGGGGGTTGCTGTGGTTATTTCTCTGTTTGTTTCAGTAATTCATTGGTGTTTCAGTACATGACAGTAAGACTATGAGAAAAATATCTGCCCAAATATATTCAATAAGTACAATTTTGGGTTTTTACAGTTTGAAAAGAAAAACCCTAATACCTAGAGTGTGTTCCTAAAGTGACATCACAGCAACAGCGCCCGCAGTTGTCACTAACTAAGCATGAAACATTGCAAATGTTTAAAAGTGCACTTTGCAAAATCTTTTACCAAGAAGAGATGTCTTCTAGTTTTGATACATTTCAGAGAATTTGAAATTTGCTACAAATATGCACCATATTTCATGGACCCTTTAAGTCACATTCAAGAAAAAATAACCGACCAAACCGGTCTACGAGTGACTACAAAAATATTAAGTGCATCAAAACATTAAAACCACACAAAACAGCACATAACATGTTCTTCCCTTGCAAATTGGATAATCTGCATATTTTCTGCGTTTTTACAACGTCACATTTCCTTCATCCATTTGTGTATCCATCTATCTGAAAAATCCATTTAAATGTTTTGTGTTGTGGTACGGTGGTCTAGCCGTGTCTTTATGCATTATGCATATTTTGGACGGCTTTGTTACAGTGGAGTTGATTATTATTTTGTCTCCGGTACCAATCATGCATTACTCAAAGGTCATACGGACGAAGAGCAATTAGTTACTAGCGGCTCAGAACACAACAGGTGTCATGACAAAACCCCGCACACATATTGCTTGTTAGCTTGTATACCTTGAGAGCAATAGCCACAGTTTGTATCAAGCGCCTCTTCTCTAGATACAATCCACTGTTGTCATGGTAATTACGTAGCAAAATCCTCGTCAATTAGTCAAACCAAGGTCAGGTTTTTCAGAGGGCTTGTCGTACAGTTTCAGATCGAGCGTAGAGGGTGCTGTTGCTCTCTTAGCGTGACTGCAGAACATGATTTTGAAGAGTAGAATCTTGCACACGTCGTAGATGAGTTCGACGAACTCGAAGACGGTACACATGGAGATACCGATCCAGAGGCCGACTTGACCACCCAGGTTGCTGATCAACCCAAATCCCTACGTTAAAGAATGTCAAAGTGATACAAAGTTTAGATTTGGATTGAACATAACCGCCCTGTTCAAAGGTGTTGATAACCTCGATACAGTCTTAGATATTATTGGCTAGAGTTTTGTTCAATCGGTGACCCGGGGTCAACACTAGCGCATGCGCACAAAACCTAAGCCTTCTTGCAATCACCAATTTATCCCTTAGTCCAAAAAAAAAACTCGGTCTCTGGTCAGCGCGCGCGTCGATTTTAATCATGCGCGTCAACCTTTTTTTCTTTCAAATTAACACGGAAGCTACAACAGCGCCCTCTATTGCCGCGCCTCCTCAAATTATTTTCGTACCAAGGAGCACCAAGGAATGGGGAAATTGCACCAAGGCAAATGATAAAGGGCATCAAGGCAAATTATGGAGGACACCAATGTATAATGAGGACACAAAAAGCAAAATAGTACCCACCTTGTCTGTACAATACAAACTTGAAAAAAATCCACCCCCCCAAAAAAAAAATAAACCGCGTCGTTGCATCAATTCTGGAACTTCGGTCTGACCAGAGACCGACTATTTTTTTTTGCCCTATACTCGTATGTTTCAATCTAAAACTTGTGTGTAAATGCATGCATTTCCAAAATACTTAAAACGATGTTTAAGTGTTCAGAGTCTGTTCCACCGATGTACCTTTTCCTTGAGCATTTTACTTTACTTAACTATTAATTATTTCCTGATATGTAATAAATAAAGGGCCCAACGGGAAACCCCTTTTTAACTGTTTGGCCATGGTGTAAAAGTATAAACGAAATGAGTGATATTTTAGACACTTACATCGTATTTTGGAGCTTGAGAAATCAACTCATAATTGAGCCGCTCGTAGTAAACCTGCAGTTTCAGGACATTGTTCCTGCCAAAGAAAAGTGAAAACTGTCATTCCGTTGACTAACAGTGAACTAAAAAGGATAATTCCGGTGATGCCTAAACGAAAAAAAAATATTCAGTGTCTTTGTGTTTTATATTTGATTACTTTCTCTGTTGTATATAATAATCGATACTTTATAACGCGCGTGAAAGGTTCAATTATCGATATACTATGCTTCATTTCCCCCCATTTTTTGAAATACGTTTCACTGCATTAACGAAGACGGGCTGGTGAGTATACTCACTGCACAAAGCTGGCATCGTTGCCCACTTTAGTTCTTAAATCGTCAGATATCTCCATTAAATTCTCCAACACAGTTTCCTAATAAAAAAAATAAAATAACATAGTTGAAGTTGTTCTTTTAATTAATCGTATTGGAATTTGTTTATCGAATTTGCTTATAAACTACAGGAAGAAGATGAACCAGGCTCTATACTCTGCAGCAGTGACAATAAATTAATTAAACAATGAAGGGAAACCGTTAGTTGCGATGTCAGTTTTAAATACGATCTCAAAGAGATTGTCATCTTTTACATAACTTTAGAAAGATATGCGTGAGATGTACACGTAACTGGCGTTTAAAGGCAATTACAATTAAATTCTAATTATGGACTTCTTTTTATTTTGCGTCCTTCCTTTTTTCAGGTTATATTTGGTAAATTACCAGGGTTCGAAATTAGCGGCAGCCCGCTAGCCAAATGCTAGTCAAAACAGCGGCGGGCTAGTCAAACTATTCCTGAAGTAGCCCGGCTGGCGAGTCAAACAATCATTGGGCTACGGCAAAGATGAAAGGACAGGAAGAAATAAATCATTAAACGCAGAAAGCAAACCTGTATCAATTTGTATCAATTACACGCGATGTTTCCTATTGGAAGGGTCCTGAAGCGCGCCACCACGGGTCAACTTGCTAACTCTATACACGATTTACTAAAAGTCATGTATGCACGTTGTCGCTTATGAGACACTCTATACAAGAAAAAAAAAACATGCGGGACAATGAAAATGCCCACTGGCTAGTTAAGAGCCTGTTTCAGTAGCCCGGCTGGGTCTAGAAAAAAAAGTTAAGGTCGAACCCTGATATTTAGACACGTGTTCTCCTTTCAAAATCGTAAGATGGAAATATTCTCTAATAATTATAGGACCAGTGAACTTCCAAAATGTAAATAAAAGAAAGGTCTCATTATTTAAAAATTATAGAAAATTGCTTAATATTTGCACACATGTTTGAGAGTGAAATCCATGCAATATGCCCGTTTGACGAGGCGTGGTTCCAGTGGGATCCCAGTTCGAATCCCACCACCTACACCACGTGGGTCAGGCTGTCAGCCCTGTTCCATCCAGCTGAAGTTTTCCTCAGAATGTATTCTTAACGTGTCCCCGCGGCCCTAAACCCTTCACTCCCTTCATTGTCTTCTCTCTATTAAAGGATTCTCCGAGCCAGTAACATTGTAATCACGTGTGACATGCATTCCCATCATAGACTCTGGCACACTGCCCAAGGACGGACAAATTCCCTCGAAGCATTAGCTCATTATCTCGTGGCAAATATGGCGCCAATATATCCCCTCGAGCAGAATCGCTGCGCTCTTGTAATTAATGTAGCATGTCGGAAAAGCCGAGCCGCGCGAAGTAAATTTGGAGGGTTCAATTTGACGGTCGGATGGAACGCAACTCCTGCTTTTCACCGAGGCGTGTTTTGAATTAAGATGTAGTATAGAAATGATGGCACTTGGCTCTATTACTCCCTAATAAGCAGAAACGAGTAGGCCAGCCAGATGCGCCGATTACTTCAAAGTCATGGTTAATTTGGGCAAATCAAGTGGTAATAGGCGCTGCCGAAGTTTGCAAAGCAGAAGGAAAAGGAGTGCATGGTGTTCTTCGCTTGAGGATGAGAAAGGTTTTACTGTCCTTTTCTTCGGATTGGTAAATTGTGAGAAAGAAGACTTATACTCACCGCGTATTGCGAGTTCGGCCAAGCGGCTGATGACACGGTTAGTTCGAAATCAGACTCCCTGGTGGAAAAGGTTATGGACATTTTAATCAAGAAAAAAAGAAAGAAACGCTAACAATGTGATTATGTCGGCCATTATTCGCACATTGCACTGCTAAGTACTTAAAAGTACTTAATTGTGTTTCTACTTCAAAGAAAGAGCAACATACAAATGGGGTCTACCCGATGTCCCCCAATACCTATGTTCCCCAAAATCCTTAGGGTTAGGGTTAGGGTTAGAGTTAGAGTTAGATGGTAATGGTTAGGGTAAGGGTTGGGGAACATAGGTATTGGGGAACATAGGTATTGGGGAACATGTAGATATGCATCCATACAAATGAGAAAAAGCGGTATTGCCAGGGTCATCGCTTGAGGGTGGGTGGCTGTGTGTGGGAGTGCCCCCGCCCCCAAATGATCATTGTCCATGTCTAAGGGGCGAATTCATACTCGTTAGAAGCCAAAGGACCCAGGATGTTGTTGCCTCGGGCCTATATAGCTTCTGAAAAATCCTGCCTACTCCGCCAGAGGAGCAAACACATCAAAACATAAGCAAGGATCACACAAGTAATTATCCCAGCGATGGACAGGCTTGTTCCAGTGGGTTTCAACTGATGGGTTTGCTGATCAGAGTGATTTATTGGAAACTGGCTGGGAGAAAAAAAACCTCATTAACAAACCACAAATACATGTAGCAGCCAAATGTCCTGGTTGAGGGATGTACAACAACACTGACTCAAGTCAAACTCACAGGCATGGCGAAGTGCAATTACATTCTATCTCATCTTCCGCATATAGCCGCTCCACGCCTTCCTTACATGTGACTATAATACAAAACAAAACATTGTCAAATCATAATTCAGTAGTGGAGACACACGAGTTTGTTTAATCTCATTGTCTTACATAATTACAGACTCTCAGTGTGAACGAGAGAGGGCGTTGTTGGCAAGCAACGACATCCTATTTTGGACGACGCGCGCACTTCGATATAGAGTCGTTCACCTTTATGAACAAGTGTACCAGAACAACCTCTCTCTTTTTGTACCGGTGAGGGGGTACTTGTACAAGGAGGCACTAATCCAAGTTGAAATCAACAAGTTTTACAAGACAGGGTTTTTGTCGGCCATATTAGAGTAAGTTTTTGAACAAACAGTGATGGTATGAGGAATAATTTAAGATGAAGATAATTATTTGCTCACTTTGGGAAATGTTGGTTGAGAGGCATGGCACACGGTCGGTGGAGAAGTGGAATCGCGTATCTGCACAGCCGCACGTCTCAAAGATCGTCTCGTACAGACAATTCTTCTGACACGCCTGTTTGGAAACAATTGCTTCACTTGAGTTCAGTTAGAAGAGAATGTGAGAAGTGAAACTTATACTAATTGCTGGACTCGGAGCTGATGTCCCATCAATGGCAGGTTGTACTCATGTCCATCAGAAGCTAGACACAAGACAATCACAAGTCCGTCTTGACTATCACAAGACAAACACAAGTCAGTAATAAGTCCCGTCCTATATGTTAATTAAGGAAACGTACAATGAAAACGGATGACCTGACTACTCTCAAAATTATTTTGACGTAATGTTCAGCCTCAGTTTCAGTACCTTCTTTTGGTTTAGTTTTCCAGTCGGGTCTCGTCCATTCAGTTTTGTTTCTGTATTTTGGAAGACTTGTTTCCCTTATATTTTTGTAAAGATCGGACGATTACATTTTTACTTACCTCAAGGCTGTAATTTGCACCGAAGAAACTGGAGAAGACAGTCTCAGTGTCTTCCGTGTCTTCGTCGGTGCAGTTCGTGTACGGATCGCCCTTCCGCTGTATCTCGACCTGTTAAACGAATTACTGTGATTGCTCTGCGTAATATGCTCGATCATTAATGAGTGCAGAATGTTCTAGACATCTTAAACTGTCGTGCCATAAATCTACACTTAAAAACATTTTGTGTAGCTGCACTTTCAGTTAAAAATGAGACATCTTATGTTTTAGATTTATAAGAGCACTTTCCCTCTAATATCTTAGGGCCTATAATGTATTTCGTGACGTGACAACTTGATTTTGAGCTTTTCCACTGTTTGTTTGACAGCCTTAACCACTTTATAATTCTCCCAACCCTCAAACTATTGATGTTCCATGCTGACAGAGTGCCTCTACACGGGTTAGAATGTAAAGACTCGAGAGTAACTTATATCGCGGACCACTTGTTGTTGACGTATGTTGCGCCTTCGTTCTAGTAATTAAAGTAAAAACTTCGCCAGAGTGAAAGGACGACCAGATTTCATCTCAAAATCGCCGGTCGTGGTTCCCTGCTGTACAGTGCGGTGCACGCGGATGTAGAAATACCAGCGTGGGTTTGACGAAGGTTAGTCTAATTCTGGTTAACGGTAGTTATACGAACTTTCAGTTTCAAGTACCTATAAAGGGTCACTGATCTCCATTATATATGGACTGGACATCTTCACGAGTGGCATGAAATTGGAACTCATTTGCTCGCTCGCCCCGGCCCATCCTGACTGACGAGTACTTTCGTACCCGAGTACGAAAGAAAACAACTCCCATGCACTCGTCAGTGCAGTTCATGCTCCCGCAGCTCTCATGGAAAAAAGACACATCTGAAGTGACACATCTGAAGAGACACATCTGAAGAGACTCATCTGAAGACACTCATCTGAAGAGACACATCTGAAGAGACTCATCTGAAGAGACTCACCTGAAGTGACACATCTGAAGAGACTCATCTGAAGAGACTCATCTGAAGAGACTCATCTGAAGAGACTCATCTGAAGAGACTCATCTGAAGTGACACATCTGAAGAGACTCATCTGAAGAGACTCATCTGAAGTGACACATCTGAAGAGACTCATCTGAAGAGACTCATCTGAAGAGACTCATCTGAAGAGACTCATCTGAAGTGACACATCTGAAGAGACTCATCTGAAGAGACTCATCTGAAGAGACTCATCTGAAGTGACACATCTGAAGAGACTCATCTGAAGAGACACATCTGAAGAGACTCATCTGAAGAGACTCATCTGAAGTGACACATCTGAAGAGACTCATCTGAAGAGACTCATCTGAAGACACTCATCTGAAGACTCATCTGAAGTGACACATCTGAAGAGACTTATCTGAAGTGACACAACTGAAGAGACTCATCTGAAGAGACTCATCTGAAGAGACTCATCTGAAGAGACTCATCTGAAGTGACACATCTGAAGAGACACATCTGAAGAGACTTATCTGAAGTGACACATCTGAAGAGACTCATCTGAAGAGACTCATCGGAAGAGACTCATCTGAAGAGACTCATCTGAAGAGACTCATCTGAAAAGACTCATCTGAAGAGACTCATCTGAAGAGACTCATCTGAAGTGACACATCTGAAGAGACTCATCTGAAGTGACACATCTGAAGAGACTCATCTGAAGAGACACATCTGAAGAGACTCATCTGAAGAGACTCATCTGAAGTGACACATCTGAAGAGACTCATCTGAAGAGACACATCTGAAGAGACTCATCTGAAGAGACTCATCTGAAGAGACTCATCTGAAGTGACACATCTGAAGAGACTTATCTGAAGTGACACATCTGAAGAGACTCATCTGAAGAGACTCATCTGAAGAGACTCATCTGAAGAGACTCATCTGAAGTGACACATCTGAAGAGACACATCTGAAGAGACTCATCTGAAGTGACACATCTGAAGAGACTCATCTGAAGAGACTCATCGGAAGAGACTCATCTGAAGAGACACATCGGAAGAGACTCATCTGAAGAGACTCATCTGAAGAGACTCATCTGAAGAGACTCATCTGAAGAGACTCATCGGAAGAGACTCATCTGAAGTGACACATCTGAAGAGACTCATCTAAAGAGCTCACCACCATTCTTCAAGGAGCTGATTGACCTACCTTTCTGATGCCTATCGATGTCAGCAATCCTGGGGCGACATTTATACCAGCATCCTCAGGGAATGGCATGTGGTACTGCTCACCGATGACAACTCGCACCCCGGCAGCTTGCTGCATGGAGGTCAGGTATTCCGTCTCCTCAAGATTTAGCTCCAGAACCAAACCTTTTTCCGAACAAGAAATGAAAACATCACTCGACACTATATAATGAAATATAAAACAGGTTATTACATACAGGTTATAACAGTTTAAAAACTTCGAGACATGTCTGAAGATTTTAAGGATGTAACTCCAGGTTTTAATGCATTAATTGTGGCAGAATAGCCCATAATGGTCAGTTTGAAATATCTTGTCTGAAATAAACCCTGTCAAAATTGAAATATCCTACCGTACAGTGGACCAGATTTGCTGGACGTCTGAATGTCGCCATCCATGCCAGAATTGAAGGTGTAGCAATTGCCATACAAATAGTTGTGGAAAAGTGTGAAATTTCTGCAAAAAAAATTAAAAACCGATCGTTTGGAATAATATTTCAAGATTTGTGTGTTTCTCCTCTGATCCTTAAAAAAATGGGCTTTTTGTCCAAAAACAACTACGGATAATTATTTTGTAAAATGTTTAATCGACAATAAATTCAGTTATATTCATGCCACACAGACGATTAGAATATCATTTCAAACGTTTGTTCAGCAGCTCCTTGAGGGTATTTTGTCATTTCTTGTGACATTAACAATTGTTTTTTTTTAATGAAAACAAACATATTGAAGAAATGTCCCGATTTCTTAAATAATCAAAATCATCCGCATCATCAAATAAATCACAAAGGGAAACTGACTGCATTAAAATAATGTTAAAGTCAAAGTAACTTTAAAATCGAAATAGCTTTACTTCGATATTCATTGAAAGTCAGGCAACATCAGGTGAGATGCCATTCTAGTCTTGTTCAGCGATATTTATCATGAATGACATCTCCCATAAATCGGAGCTCCAAAATCAGGTGGATGAAAAAAAAAATCCTTACTTTGGTCCACAAGGGTATCCCTTGTAGCTACAGGCCAGTAGCATGTCGTCAACCGAATGACCAAACAGCCGTCGGTCGTCGTATTCAGTCTGAGCTATGGCATCAGCTACTTGATCAAAAAGATCCATGTCGTCATCCCTGTCCGTGTAGTCGAGGTTGTCCCAATCCTGGTAGCGCTTGTCAGATGCCTGATAGGTTAGATTTCGACACATCTGATGTAATCTTGATTTGGAAAAGCCAAGATCTTGTTTACGAAACCAGTGTCAGGCTTTGAACAAACCAATATAATACCACACAAAGGAAATCTCGACTGATCACTGAATTTGTGCTTGTTGTGAAGGGTCAATGTCCTCCACTAAATTCCCAAGTTTACTGCCTCTTGGTGGCGCTCCCTGCCATTGAAACTATAGAAGCAAGTTCGATCAAGAACCATTGGTTGGCTATACACCTTTCTATTGTTGGTAAACTTTGAGCGCCATTTTGTATGGTCTGCCGCAAAAGCATAAATTGACACCACATTATATAGGAAAAAGGCATGTTTTAAGAATAACTATATGATTGTGTAGCGTACGTTTGTTGAAAATTTTGTATTTTCAACAATCATGGATATTATTTTTGTAGTCATTAAGAAAGATTCTATATTTGTGTAGTTTTGGACCTTCCATATAGTTTGGCAACCCGTGGTTGACCAAAAACCACGCGTCGGCGATAGAAAGGTCTAGCCTATTGTTCAAGTAATGTTGCACCTGCGCATTAATACGAATTAGGTTTCCAGTATAGACCGATGGTTCCCTGCTGTACAATTACGATGCGTGGCTATTGCTTACCAGTGATGCAGCCAATCTTGCTATCTGTATGACTGTATCCACAATTATTAATTGTAGTCGCTTATAGATCGAGAGTGTTTGAGATGTGCGCTATGATGGTCTATGTGATAGGCTTGGACATGCCTAGAATTGTACATTCACTTCAACATAGACTTGAGCGAAGTCTAACTCTACAGGAACACGCGTACGATATGAGCATATTCCTCAGTCTAGCGAGAGCCTTGAGTCAAGACTTGAATTCAGTCTAATATTTGAGAAGCCCTTAAAGACATGTGTAAGATGGTACCGAGTGGATTAAGGCCACGGGCAAGCTTGTTTGAGGAACGTAAACAAACAATCCATGTTTACCAAGTATTAGATGTTAGGTATCGTTCAGCCATTGCTTCACTTTTGGTTTAATAATAGAGCAAGGAAACTTGCTCTATGGAATGTAATGAATACAATACACACAAATTTGATCCACATTGAGTTTTCTTGACAGCAATGAGTGCCAATAGCAAAAATGTAACTTCTCAACAATCAATAATTATACCTGATAAACGTCGGTTCTCACCTGAACATTGATTATTTACTGAGATGTTCATTGGATTTTACTTGGATATTGTTATTTATAATTAAATTGTAAATACAATCAGAGCAACAATTGTGAAAATGTTTTATATACGGAACACAGGTAGTCCCATTTCAAATCAAATCTATTACAATGGAGTTTATTGTAACGAAGCAGGGAAGTGAGGTTTCGATAAAGTTCAAACTTGTTTTACCAGCGGCGCAACATTACCTCACTTGTTTGTCGCTTACGCCGTCCAGCTCCTTTTCCCTGAGCTCCCCCTCCAGAGGGAGCCGTCGCTCCCCCCGATGCCTCTCCGATTCCCGCAGTCGGCCCCAGCCCTGTCGGACTTGTAGCAGAATTACCAGTTATCATCGTGTCTTGTCCTTCGGGGTTCTTTGAGAGGCCGGAGTCCGTGGGCACGGTAGTGAGTTCCTCACCGCCCGAGTTTGCTCCTGTGGTCGGTTGGTCACTAATTACGGCTGATGCCTCTGTTCCTGTCATCGGTGATTCTTTTGCCAAACTCGAAGTAGTGCTTCCCACCATCGCCTCGGCCGTGGAGCTCCCGGGTGGCTTACCTGGAGCCTCGCTCACAGATGGATCGCTCGATGCGGACACAGTGCTGGCGACCGATGAGGTGCCGCTGGCTGGAGGCCCGAGTAAGAGTTCCAGTTTTCTGCTATTCTCCAAGGGGGAAGCTTTCACCGGGTTGAGATTGCAGAATGTGACAGCGGGGAAGTCAATTTCGGTCCTGTAATATAGAACAAATACTACACGATAGTTTTCAAAAAGTAAACGAATTGCCATTCGAGACTTGACTTTGTACTTCTTTTGAACAAATGATACAAAATTAGTTACCATCATACATACATGCATTAAGATTTTAGTGGTAAATACAGTCATTTCCAATATCAAATATGCAGTTCCTAGACGCATTTGTTACAATATCGTCATTGCTTTAGCCTCGACGCGGTAAACAACATCAGCAACTAACTGTCGTCAAATTATTCATCGTCCAAAACTTTTTAGTTTTATTTTTTAACGATTCTGAACATAAACAAAAGTTTCATGTAATCGGCATAGTGCAGTCTCTTTACTATGCCCGATTTTTTTTTTATCAAAATGATCCCTTAACAATGACGAAATGATTTTGTCCTCTCGAGCAGAGGTATATTTGGATGCCATTTGTGTGAACCAGGTTCGACTCCACCCAGGCCGTCATAAAAATGCATTTCATTCTTCGGTTTTATTTTCTTTAGTTTTCATTGCGCTAGTTCGCTACAGTACCCGTATCTTTTGAGAAATGTATCATTAGTTTACCAGGAAAATTGAATTTAATAAAATCGCAACAAAACATCAGTGAGGCCTACTTGTACTGAATGTCGATGTTGACATCTACATCCCACTGGAAATAGGCATAGATGAGCTCGTAGCTTTGCCATAGAAACATGCCCAGAGCCCACGTGAAAAGAACGGACCAAAAGAAACGACGAAACGGATTCGCTGCTCGGTCGATATTGGGCAAGCCGTGAGAGCTGGTGTTTCCCATCAAATTCTTCAATAAAACCCGAAGACTTCGACCATCATCAGCCTCGTTGTTGTCGTCTACCATGACTGCAGCTAGTTTAGACCTACTCTTGTATACAAGTGTGGGGAAAAGAACATAATCCTCAACAACTTTTCTGCAGTGTCTCTTGTTGGCGACTTTAAGTTTATGAAGTTCTTACAGTGGTGGTGCCGTGTGGTACTTGCCAAAAGTCCATGACGTCATGCAGACATTTGCATATTCAAATATGAGCCTGTTTCTATTATTGCCGTGTTATTTATATTTGAGCTTAATGGGAATGTAGCGTGCAAAGGTTGTTACAGTAATGATCAATGAGATCCGAACAAAGGTACATATTTTGAACAAACTTCACAAAGGAGGATTGCTCGAGGGCAATTTAAGACTATGTCACCTTACGAAACACCTGCTTTAACGTTTTGTCGATTTTAGGCGAACTACAATTTTGAGAATTTGTAATTAATGATTAGAGGAAAACTTCTACATTTTCCTGAATATTTTCCAAAGATGTGTCCAAAGAAATAGCTTGATCCACATTCACCTAATTTACATCCCCTATGTGCCTTACATCCCCTTGTGCCTCATAGTATTACAGTTTTGTCTCCAAAACATAAAAAGTACCTCTTTTTGCTTTCACAGTGTTTCTAACAAGCTGCTAAATCGAGTACAAACAGAATAATTACGGAAACAGACATGTATAGGTACCCATCGAAACATCCAAGAACTTCACTTGGTGTCAACGATTTCTTCTAAACGCGAATAACACAAACAAAACGGAGTGCTATTCAATAATTACAAACATGGTCTCTTAAATTTAGGTACACAATGTAGGACTTTGCCCTCGGGCACAAGCACAAAGACCAATAGACACATCACAAGATGCCCACTGCGGTCCTTGAAAAGGCTTAGGATCGCAGGTCTGGTACTGTTTACTCTCAATTCAGTCAGATTGTTTGATGAAACCTTTCAGTATGTATGCTCCATACTCGGTGCATAATATAAAAAATGTTGAAAACAGTTTATTTTCTTGATTACAAACACGACGACCATGTTTCCTTGTCGATGAGGGCGTTTCTCAAACCATGCTCAATCCTTGTCTTTGGTTTTGTCTCCACTTGCTCGATGGCTCTGTTACCAATCTGCTTGCCTGAAGGTTTGAAATCCGTCTTCAAAAGTATATGAGGGTGGGTGGTGGGTGGGTAGGTGGGTGGGTTGGGGGAGGGGGCGGAGGAGTACGGGGGGGGGAGGGGAAGGGGCCGACATGATTATATTGCACGTGATTCTATCAATGGGTTCCATGAGTTCATACCATTGCGCACGGAATATTAATAGGTCGATCGGGGATGAAATGGTACAACACATCCATGAAATGTTGACGGCATTTATTTCGAGAAAACACCTTTTTCAATTTCGATACATTGTGATAAAAGTTCTGTCCTTAATATCTTGAGATATTTTGACGGTAATAACTATTTAGTCAAACGGGCCTGACCGATTTGTGTACGTATTACGTCTTCATCCCAAAACACTGGACGCTACGAGGGCAGTATTTAACAAAGAACATTCACCGAGTGGTATTCACAGTATCAACACAATTCTTAAAATAAACCCCATTTGTTAATGTACAGATGAACTTGGGTAACATTTATAAAACACAACTTTGATGTCGCTGATAAGTAGGTGATAATGAACCTGTAACATTTACCAGTGCTATTGGAAATATACAGCAAAATATGACGTAATTCCTCGCCGTCATGTTCAGGGATGATTTACCGTATCACCAGCAAATACAATGCTCTTTGATTGGAACTTTAGTTACTGAACGATGCAAGATAAAAGCAAATTCACTTACAATGTATATCTCATTCGATAGTTAAATTAATAACTATGTTGGGTGAGTTCGTTAGTCTTTTTCCTCTGTATTTACATACACGTTTGGCTTTAAATAAACTTGAAACCGATTCAATGTTGGGCGAAGCGGTATGACAGCCTTCGGGTCAGGTCATTAGCCGGTCCAGCCCCTAACCGGCTTTAAATGTACTCGTTTAAAACAGGCCAAGTACATATTTATTTCCCTTAATGTTTTATTCGCGGCCAGGTTGTTCGTTGAGTTTGAACGAAAGAACCTTTCCCACAAACGTGGTATAGATCACCTTAGCTACACATGCTACTGTCTTTTTGAATTGTTTACATCTGGACATTTCAACTTCTCGTGTTTAATATTTCCACATTATGTTGGAATTCCTCTAAAAACTCTTTCTTCGGAACTCAACCAATGCCGATAGCGAGCTATCTCGTCCGAAGTGTTTTACATCTACTGCTCGGTTACTTTGTACTTCTATAGACACAACAGAACCTCTTAAACAGTTATGGGCTTTGATGACGATATACAAGACTGAAATGCGTGCCTGTAGGGATATCCTGTGGAGAATTGTAATCATGAATATTTCATCAAAATGACAATTAGCCTAAAGTGCCCCACAACAGTTCACAGGAATGGCAGCTAATAAAACGATACTACATGTGTGAAGCCAAGCAGATAAAAACGTTCAGTAAACGTGACAACCAGTTTTCGGTCATAAAATCTCGATGATAAGCAGACTTCGCATGGCGCAGGGCGATTCACCTGCAAGGCGTTACCATGGAGATACATCATCAGTTTACAGCAAACGTCACTACATTCTCTCGATATTTCAAAGTAATTATTTCGCTTCACTGTTCATCAGTCACCGATCGTGTTTACACCAAAGTTGATAAGTTATTATCGGTAGACTGGTTTCGAGTCGCCTCTGCCTCCGTGCTGACGTTATTGGTGAAGGTAAAGGGCGCCCTCCCGTCGAGGCTGCTGATGGCTGACGTGCCGTTGTATTCGAAGACACCCACGCCGCGAATGATGAGGTCGTGTTCCCTCCTCCACAGCCAGACGCTGCGACCAAAGGTGGTAAACATGAAGATGAGGCCGAGGCCGAGGAAAGACGTTGACAGAGCGGCAGGCACCAGACTAAACTCGTGAATGACGTATAAAGTCAAAGCTGAAATATTAAAGAATAAAATCGATGAAACCCAAAGAATTACTCTTTCAATAAAAACTCATTTTAAGGATAATAAACAGTTTTCCCCAAATACATTGTCGTTACAGCTGAATTGATGCTGATATCAAATGAATTATTATAATACCTGCAATGAATACTGGTATTGCGGTGAAGAACGAGCTGACAGCGAGAAATCTTGTCCCCGATGTATCTCCCAGAAACCGATGGGCTCTAGCAACAAACCAGAGGAATAATATTATAGAGATTTGAAGTTAAAACTACTTTTGAAAGAAATGTGAACATGGTGGAACTGACTGGGACCAGAGTTTGTGTGTGAAAACTGGAGATACTGCAGGCTTCTTCCATAATGCAACTCTTGAGGAGAAGTGACCATAGATGCAAAGAAAGTAAACAGAATGATCAATCCAAGGATTTTTTTTTCTATGAGAGGATGTCAGTGTGTCCAAAGATCCAGGATAGAAGTTCAGTGGCTGGTTAATATGATTCGGATTCACTGCGACTGCTATAACGCCCCTGTGGAGATGTGAATTTTGTATAAAGGTACATTTTAAAACAATTAAGGTGAACCTGTATTAATATTAAAATCGGGGCATAGACCGGTTCTGGTTTTGAAAAGTGAATAAAACAGTTGTTGTCCAGTCCATCACAAGTTTAACACAATTCAACCAAGAAAAAGTTACTGGTAACATAAGAAGGTTGGCCACTGTACTGACGAAATGCCTTTGTCATGGTATTACAGCAATTGTGACGACATGAGAATTGTGATTGACTTGTACCGACTTTGGGACATAACTCTGATTAAAATAAATGACAAAAAAGTGTGGATATCTTCACGATATACTGTCCCAGTATACATGTACCTCTCTTCTCCCTGTGGCAGTTTCAGCATCTTAGCAGCGAAGTAGCACTGAGCGGTACACGAAACAAGACTACCGAAGCACAGCATGGCACACAGGCAGGCAAGCACCACGCTAGACTCCAGAAACCTCTCCGTCCAAATCACTCCTCCGATCCGCTTAGACGCTGCCTCGGTCGTCGGTGGGTTATCTTGCCTGATGCTGAGCTGGATGATGAGAAGAACGGACAGGCCACCTAGGAGCATGGAGAGGAGACTAAGAATCCCCAGGGCAGCTAGGGACTTTGTGATGCCTTGGTCCTTACCGGCGAATGTAAGGCGAGATAGGCTCATGCTGTTCCAGGGGCCTGATTGTTTCAGACTAAGTGGAGATCCCGGAGCTTCGCTCATCTTTCAGTGTTTTGCAACCGAAATCATTTTAACGGTTTAAGCTCATTAACCTGTTGGAGGGATAAGAGACGCGCATGCTGATGATTATTTTGCATCACTGAGTTACCTAACAAGAAATCAACAATTAGAAGAGTTAACCAACTGACCTCAATTAACCAATCAACAACCATGCCCACCAACAAACAAACCCATTCACCGCCTTCCAAACCCAACCACTAAAGCCATGGAGCAACAATACATCCATGTGAATTGTTTTCGTTTTGCTGAAAGAATACTCACCTTTTTGTGATCCGTGTACAGAACTTTAAAACCGTGTTTGTGTTCAAAATTGCGCAACTTGAAAAGTACACGAGTGATTCGAATGATTCTTGTACTAAAAGAAAGCTTATTGGGCTTTCATATCCTAGATTTTGAAAGTGCTACATGCAGCACTTCATTAACAAAATGGTCCTGACATTTCGGGGTTTTTTTTTTTGACTCACCCTGTATAGTATAATTTCAGTGCAACCAAGCATGTAGTCAACTCAACCTGCTGAGCAAGGTGAACTGTGTCGTGGGAATTGGAAAGGAAGAAGTTGAAGGCGGAAGGAAATTAGTCATTATACTTACTCGTGCCCAGGATAAATGTCAGCCTGTTTCAGTCTAGGAAGACGGGTAGAGGTTCCTGTTCTAAGATTCCATGTTCTACTAGTACTGAATACTAGACACTATGTACGTAAGATGGTGAGCAGACCTTGGTTTTTAAAACCAGCCCACAATACTTTTTAATGCTATATTATACCGGTGCAAAAGATCCGGTCATACGAAGTCTTTTGTTGGAAAGTTGGATTTGAAGGTCCTTTTGCTAATCCCCCGGTGATCCGTGGATTAAAGCTCATCCGATCTCTGCTATTAACTAGGTCACAGCCAGTAATCCGTAGAGATGTTGTAACTCCAAGCACACAATTCCGAGCTGCAAATGGCAATGGCTGTTTAGATTTGCTGTGTATTCTTACCACTTCTCTTAAGAGTCGTTCCTTCAGTTTTGGAGCATAAAGCCGAACGGCAGCTATTATTTCAGTTACCATAGACTCCTTATCTATTCGACGACGCCATTTTTGATCGGTAGAGCGCTTGTGCATATTTTAGGCAACTGTTGTAAGTGTATACAGTATTATGGTGCAGCAGTCGATCCGGGCACAAGGTTTGCCAAGGTTTGTCAATAGGCAAGCCTAAAGTAAACAAGAAACGATAACAAGCGGGATAATAGAACTCGGGCGAGCGTGTAAAGGGGTTGAATAAAAATAGTGCGCGGGCTGCTGAGCGGGAATGGCCCCCTAGCTAGTTGTGTGCATGACGTAGAAATGGGGGGGGGGACCTATCAATACTGGTTTCATGACGCACTAAAGAGGTTTCTTTTATCTGTGATTGTTCGAGCATTCATCGCCGGAAGGTGAGTGGTGATCTGAACAAATGTGCGAGAAAGTATGTTACGATAAAACATGTATAATGCGCTTATGCCACGTTTGATAACTGCGACCACAGAGCAAGGAAATTACATGTATACAGAAATTCCAAAACAGACACATCTTATAAGGGTGAAAAGTTACAGGAGAACCAACATGGAAAGCACCGAGGATCGCAGTGTTGCAATTTCATTGATATTTCCCACGTCAAGTTCACCGTGGCAGGATTCTAACCTGCGACTGAGCTTGCAATACCCATCTCTAAGGCTCATGACATGGGAGATTCGCCATTCGTCATTCGCTACCTGCGACCTAGATACAAAAAAAATAACAAAGGCAAATAAAGTCCCAATTTTTTAGTTGGCGGTCTAATTATCATGGTGTTTGCAGTTTGCTGCCAGGTTTTTTGGATGCAAGGGCGTATCCAGAATGCATTTTTTTTGGGGGGGGGGGGGGGGAAGGGGGACAAAAAAGTGAGTCCAAAACTTACGGCGTGGGGTTCGGGGCCCGCTCAATCAAGGGCCCCGAATTTTTGTTTGATTCTATAGATGCTCTGTGGTGCGATCTGAGGTAATTTCTGACCACTTTAACCAATTTTTGTTTGTAGGAAATGACGCAGATCTTGCCTTTATTGCGACGTAACTTAAAAACAAAACAATATTGAGTTAGTTTTTTGGGGTGGCCCCCCCCCCCGGATCCGCCCTTGATAGGATGTCGCACAATAGGGTATTGCAATTGTGTTTCAATCTCTGCAGGAAACAAAACTACACTGTATTTATACAGAACACCACCAACAACCTCTAGTTCGCACATTTTGTCTGCTGTTGACGACGAAGCAGTCAGAAGTAGGTTACGTGAACGGACTCTGATCTGCTTGACGACTCTCTCGAGTGGCCGTTGTGGCCTAGCTCGTAATCGGCACATTTCGGCCAACAAAGTAGAGTAGTTCTAGTGTTTTTACAAAAATATTGTTTGCGGAATTCGCGAACGTTTATGATTATGCGTGTAATCTCGCCGATTAATCATACAAAAGCCCGTGTCGTCATCGCACGAAAAGTTTATCCAATCGTGCGTCGAAGAAGTAGGTGAACAGGGCAAAAACCCAATATTGAATCTCCATCACCCCGACGCAAAATTCCATCTTATGAATAATGAATAGATGACTTGGAATAGTAGAGACTCTGACAAATGGCCATCCTTTTCGCGCCGGAAGAACGATTCCATCACAACCTAAAATCCATTTACATGTAGGCCTATTTTGTTTTCAGAAACTGATGAATTACCATTTTTTTATTTGAAATATTGTTCACGATGTCGATGGAAAACAACGAACCCAGCTCTCTGAGGTAACCCGACAAACAAAAAGAAAAGAATTGCCACTATACCAAACATATTGCAGATAATAATTATTTAGTTTCGCGCTTGCACCGAAACATGTGCAATGCGACAAGGTAGTCTTTTTTTCACTGAGACCGAATCGAACATCACACCCACAACGTGGCACTACAAACTACATAAAATCAAGAACACTCTAGGAACTGCTTCAGTTTTAACTTTTTATTGAGAAAAACAACAAAACAAATTTTATTTCAAGAAAACACGTCGGTAAATGCTTAATCCATTTGGTCTGCGTAAAGGTGAAACGGCGCGGTACATTAATTTATAAATACATGTACATCATTATACAATGAAACGAGAGAAGCACGAGTAACAAGCGTTAATGCGGACGTGATACAGATACACTTCACACTGTTAACCACACTACCAAATTGCACAGACTGGTACCTTAGTTTATATTGTTATTCAAACTAACTTGTTTTACACATATATGGATGATACTCTGAAACCTTAAGTTATATGCGGAATTCAAAGATCAAAACCATATGAATCTAACTGCTGATGTTACGTTCAGAAATTCCAATTTTTCAAAAGCATTACAACAAATCATTAATTTTTTTTTCTATGGCTTTTGCCTAGAATTTAGCATTTTACAAAAGCTGTCACTTTACAAACATAATAACATAAAAATGAAGTGATTCGCAAACAATATTTTCCCCTCAGTATTTCAATCAGCATATTTCATATATTACAAACTAAACGTTAACCATAATAAATCCTAACCGTTTGGTCAACATTCATAGCGTATAAACATGCACCACCAACCAATGCAATAAACATGCACCAACAACCAACGCAAAATTAAATATAAATAATACAAAATTACAACAACTTCTGTTAAACAGTCAAGGGAAACTACACGTTATTTATATTACATATATTAGCTTTCGTTTGAATATTCTTTCGAACTTTATTTTAAAAACACTTCCTAAATACAATGCTTGCGTTCGTGTGGGTATCTTGGTAGGGCGCCAATTTCGATGTGTTTTAGGAGGCCGCTTCATTTCTCACAATGTTTAATAAATAAATGCTGTCTTCGTTCAGCTGATTGTTTCCAATTGACATGTTAATTTGCATAAGCAGCATTGTCTGGTCGACCGCTCAATACAACTGGGCCTCTCATTAACCCTAACTCCCCAGCCTAATTCACTAGGAACCATACCTTTTCTGGCAAATTCCAACACCCACATGGGATTGTACACACGCACTGTTGGACTTTAGTTTCTGGAGGTATGCCAAACCCCAGTGTAAAAGACCATCTGTTTAGGGAAACTGTACCTATCCCAACAGATTTAAACAAAACATGCTGTTGGGCTTTGATGGGTTGAGTTCGGTTAGGGTTAATGGTATACATATACACTGATTCTACCAGTGTAGCGTGAAATTTGGACACAACGAAGCCCTTTCTAATTGGTTTGCGCATGCCTTATCTTTAGTGGATAGAATAAGAATATTATAAAGTTCGTCGTCTGTTTCATCAACAAACGTTTCCTTATGAGTTGAAGTTTACTTAACATTATCTAATAATATGTAATGTATGCAGGGCCCCAATGGAAACCAGTTTTTAAATTAGTTGGGCATACCCTGGGTAAAGAAAATGAATAAATAAATATGACAACGGTGCAGCAAAATGCAATTCAACCATCAGAGGTGGCGTGAATCACAATCACACGATTACACCATTCATTAAAGTGCCATACCACCAATGTTTAATACAAACTTTGAAATGCATCTTTTGTTCCCCATTCTTTTTCAGTCTCTGTATTCCGATTTCGGCTTCTTTGGTTTTCCATATTCATGAGAAAAAAACAGTGACGTCAAAGGCAGAAGCTTAGGTGTTACAGAACAATTACTTTTGTAAACGTCTTTTTTGTGTGTTGAGAATGAAGTCCGAAAATAAAATGGCACTAATAGGGGGGAAATGCGCTTGAAAGAAAATTTCCCCCAAAAGGCGACTCTTTATTTTCTTACAGTTCACGGATGTACGGATGTTTCCCCACCAAAAAATATTTTGCTTAAATTAATTTTATGACCCCTTGGTTATAAGCACACACCATTAAACAAACATGACCATAACATTTGTGTCACTGCGCACAAACACCACATAGAACACGTTATGCTACACATTCAGTTCACTATAGATGGATTGCATTCAGCAGACATCTTGGTGGTGTGTTTTGTTGTGTTAATTCACTAACAATGAAGCACAAGAGATCTACTCCTGCGTATCCCTGGTGAACAAACGCTCACACCTCAAACATGGCTGTAGTGCAAACAATCTGTTGCGCGTATATTAATGTCTCAAAACTAGTTATTAAATGCTAAACATTCTGCAATTTGATTAAAGCATTTAATTTCATGTGAACACTGAAAACAATTGGATTAAACAGTGAGTCAACACATGTCAACATGTTCAATGTACTAGCTTGTTGTAATGTACAAATAAACATGCAGGGCACTTTTTTTCACTTAAAATTTCTCCCTCACAAAAATAGGGAAATTTGTCAATGTGAGCTTCAATTTAGTACATTTTGGTCAGAAAATCAACAAGTGATGGGCACTTTTACGGCCGACGATACTTGACGGCAGAACAGGACTGACAAACATTTATCCTTCTGAGTACTTGAAAATTCACACTTTTATGAACATACATGTATATCAAACTCCTGCTCTCTAACACCAACGTCTGAAATACACAAATTATTGGACTGATACTATGAAAAGTCCTTTTTCAATCTAATCCGAACAAAATACAAATGTGAAATGCAAAGGCTCCTACAAACTGTGTCAACTTGTACTTTCTACAATCACCAAAGGCCAAACTTGCAGTGACTCTTTGTGACTGAAGAAAATTTTCTTAATACATAAAAAACCTGGTGTTTTATGTATGTGCACTTAATACTTGTGTGGTACTATGGTAATGTGTTATAACACTTATATTACCCTGGAAAAAAAATACCAAATACATAAAGCTAAAAAACTAAAGCAAACTACGTGTACATGACCTACAAAAATAAGTACCTCTTCACCAACAAACAGTTTACACTTGTGTATATTAAGAAAGTCAATCCACAACTTTTTGTCGCTCACATTCATTACAAAAATAGTGAATTGTGCATGTACTTGTACACTGTCTTTACTGCACAAAATAAGGTTATTGGCTTTTTTCAACAGCTTTTGGCAAAAGCCTTTTTTATTGTGTTTATTATTTTTTTAATTACTTATTCTTCGATTCCAAATCTAATAGACTCTGTACATGTTTCATATTTTCTTTCTTTGTTTTGATATTTGTTTTTTTTCAAGTTTTAAGATTGGTTGTCCACTCCCCCACCTCAGCTCCCCTACCACTCATTTGCCCAAATATAGTCATGCTCAGGAAAATGTAAGATAGTACAATGAGAAATAATGCGAGTATGGGAAACATATGCGGTGCAGAATATTGTGGCTCTCACAGTGGGGAAAATATTCAAATCAAATATACAAATCTTGACATCAACATTGGAGTAACATATTGGGGGCAGGGTGGGGTTCGGGGAGGGGGACAATGATCCATTTCTAGTACAGCTGCCAGTGTGAAATATGCAGATGTAGCTGGTGATAGTCCAGCAGAGCATTTGGAGCATTTCCATGGGTGAAAATGAAAGGGCTACACAAGGCAAACTGGAGTTCAAGTTAGCACAGTGCCACCAGAACTCACAGCATTTTAGTTTTTAGAATTTTATGATAAGTACGCGAAAAAAAAGCAAAATTCAAAGTCAGCTGGTCACTTCAGCTGTGCTGTGGAAGATATTTTCTCATCACATTTATATTTTCTCCTAAATGAAAAAAAAGCAGCAAAGCACATGCACATTCATGCATTCAGCTAGTTTGTAATCAGCTGCACTCCCGAATTCCTCAGTGGTCCAAACTTTGCATTAAGGCTTTTGGGGGGGGGGGGTGTCAGGCTTACATGAAACATAGGCAGTTATCCTAGTCAAGTGAATTCATTAAAATACATGTATTGTTAAAACTCAACTCAGCACTTTACATAATATGTAAAAAGCTGAGGACAGTTTTTTTTACAAACTTTATAGCATAACTTAGTACATGTATTCCCATGGAATAACGGAATAACATTTATCTAAGAAATAATAAAAACTTCTCCAACAGCTGTTAAACAAACCCCCAAAATGTGTTACTGTAAACAAATAATGAGGCGTAACTCTTGCAGCAATTAAATTGTGAAATCACTGTGCAGTTGGAAAGAAAAATCCCTCCTCAGGATTTACATTGTGGATGGGGAAATAGACCGGGCCATTTAAGCCCTGCCCCCATGGTAATTTGGCCAATCAAAAGTATGATTAATGTCAGACAGCCCCGCCCCATGGTGATTTGGCCAATGAAAGGTATGATTAATGTCAGACATGCCTGCATAATGCATGACATGTGTGTATGGTCCATTAAGCCCCGCCCCCATGGTGATTGGCCAATCAAAGCTATGATTAATGTCAGACATGCCTGCACAATGCATGACATGTGTGCATGTGCATATGGTCCATTAAGCCCCGCCCCCATGGTGATTTGGCCAATCAAAGGTATGATAAATGTCAGACATGCCTGCACAATGCATGACATGTGTGCATGTGCATATAGTCCATTAAGCCCCGCCCCCATGGTGATTGGCCAATCAAAGGTATGATTAATGTCAGACATGCCTGCACAATGCATGACATGTGTGCATGTGCATATAGTCCATTAAGCCCCGCCCCCATGGTGATTTGGCCAATCAAAGCCATGATTAATGTCAGACATGCCTGCACAGTGCATGACATGTGTGCATGTGCGTATGGTCCATTAAGCCCCGCCCCTATGGTGATTGGCCAATCAAAGCCATGATTAATGTCAGACATGCCTGCACAATGCATGACATGTGTGCATGTGCGTATGATCCATTAAGCCCCGCCCCCATGATGATTGGCCAATCAAAGCCATGATTAATGTCAGACATGCCTGCACAATGCATGACATGTGTGCATGTGCATATGGTGTTTGCAGCTAGAACATGAAGTGTAGTATTTGAGAGGTGCAGGTGTGGTTGCCTATATGCTCAGTGGGCGTGGCCTAATGGATTGCTCTATTGAGAATGGCAGCAAAAGACACATTCAGGGATGCAGGAAGATTTTCAGCAAATATTAATACAAGTGGCAATAATGGCAGGAAATCCTGTAATGGTAGGACTGATATCTGGGTTTTGTCAGTGTCGACAACTCCTATTGCACATCGTTTCTCGTCCTACCTGCTACTCTGCTACAGGATTCATCATTTCAGTCCGGGCAGCAATGCTAAGACTTGTAGCTAGGCGGTGGAGTTGCCATCTTGTCAAGACACACAGGCGCGGTAATGATCCGATGAACTGTGGGCTATTGAGGCATTGGGATCCGTCTACGGGAAATAACACAATTATTGGTTGATTAAAGTGTTTGCCATAGTGGGTCGCTGAGGTCTTGAAATCTAGGATTTTTCAAATTTAGGTAGTGGTTGAAGTAAAAGCCTTAATTTTCTGCCAGTCAGCCAGTCATGTAATACCCTCCACACGGACTGCATTTGCTGGGGTATGGTGCAGTAAACACAGGCAGTGATCTTGAACTTGTAGCACTTGTATTCAATTGTATTACATTGTATTACTCCAGCATGAATCCATACAACCATAGAGTGCTGAGTGTCTGGGGCTACTAGGGAATATAGCAGGAGTGCCAGTCAAGGGCATCGCGAAGGGGGGGGGGGGGAGCAAGCACCCCCCCCCCCAAAAAAAGGAGAAAAACAAAGGAGAAAACAAAGGAAAAAAAGAATAAGAATTAGAGGCACGAAATCATATTTCTGTTAATTTAATGGGTTGGGGGAGGGGCCGGGGGGCCAAATGACCCTGCCCACCCTCAAAAAAATGATCAATGTGCTTTGTCCCCCTCTAGAAAAAATGCTGGCGACGCCCATGGTGGCAGTGACAATTGAGGTGAGCCAGCCTTAGTCCCTAGGTCAAGTGTCATCAAGCCCTCCATAAAATCAACCCTCGTTGGACTGTACCTTCCTCAATCCAGTCAAAAGTCTCCCAATCCTCCTGGGGACTTCTGAAGGATCTCATCCTAGAGAGTTAGGGTCTGGGGATTGCATCCATTGCCCTCTCCCAGTCTCAGACCCTTGCTCCTAGTGTATAAGAGTTTGCAGGATTGAGAAAGGTACAGCCAGTATACATGGGGCTTAACACCCCCTAGGGAGTTAGGGTTAATGCCCCTCAAAAGATTGGGGTGTGGAGAAGATGCCATAGCTATGAGCAAGTTTGGTTGGGAACTATGGTTAACCATAGCTTGATAAACTACACTCAAATGCAGGATGGATGATCTACTCTAATCGATGGTTTCTACAGTTGCATCGCTGGTAACCAACAGCCTCGTGCAATGTAAAGCACAATGGGGAACCAGTGCCAAGAAATTACATGATGACAGCGTTTGACTAGAGTTGTTCACATGTTATTATAAGTTTGCAGGCGTACACTACGTCACAAATCAACCACCAGTCGAGTAACTTGCTCAACACTGTACAGTGGAGGATTTTGAAGGATTCAGAAAGGTTTCGAATCGGAAAAGAAGGCTTGAGAAGGACTTACGGGTGAGTAAGGAGGCGGTGGTTGTCTGAACTCATAGTTTGGTACGTAGGTATACATCGGTGTGAACATCAGTGTGTCGCCCATCATGTCTTCAGTTTCATCATCACGAATATCCACAGCACCAAACAGGCATTCTGCATAACTAGGCGGGGCTACTGATAAAGAAAACATGAATAAATGACTTAATTGTGCTAAACTGATGGTATCAGACGGGCATTTCGAATATCTGGGTGTGGCTACTGACAAATACAACATTAATAAATGAATTAGTGATGATACAATGAAACACAGGCATTCTGTGCAGGACTACTGACAAAAGAAAAAAATGAATGTAATATATTATCCTTCACTGACAGCATTAAACATGCAGTCTGCATTGGAGGCAACTACACAAAATAAAGAGCACCACACGTACATTCTGCAGAGCGTGGTAAGACTCCTTTGAATAAAACATCAATAAAATACTATTTCAACATAGTACAGTACCAACCAGGAGTTGTAAACACCTGAGTGGGGTTTCTAATGAATACATGAATATGTTTTGTTTCTAGGGGTGTGAATATACATGTACAGGTAGTACGGGTACCCGATCCCACAATCTAGAACCGGTTCCTGACATCAACGGTCGGCTACTCGGGTACCCAGGTACCTGGTTCCGATGCACAACCCCATGTGCTGCAATATTAACATGTTTCTCTGCAACTGGTGTGTCATGATAAAAAATAGCCTATCAAAGGCCCTTAAAAGGCTCTCTGTACTTCAGATAAATGATGAATTAAACATGAACCCTGCATAAATAAATGATGCAGTTACAACAGAACTTTACAAGGTGACCAAATAAATAATGAATACATGAATAAAATTTGCCTCAGTACTGGCACTTACTGGCAAGTAATTGATGATCATTTTAGTCCAAAATTTTCTAATTATTTTTATAGTCGGACTAATTTTTGGCTTGAGAATAAAGTGACGTAGTTGGCTATCTGTTTAAAATTATCCAGCAACCCCACTTAGACATTACTGACATGTTAAAACGACTTCTTAAAATTGGGCAGCACCCATTTTGGCAACTTCTAAACATGCTACTGATCGAAGGATCGCATGAGTGTGGGTGTATAGCTTGATGATATGAGCACGATCCATGCTGCCATCTCGGTTGAGACTCTTGGTTGAACCCTAGCTTAGGGGACAGTTGTTTAGTGAAATGAGAGGAACAAGAAGACTTACTGTCTGCAATGGGTGGGGAGGGGAACATCCCAGCGAAGCCAAGATCCATGCTCCCTACGGCAAGAGGATCAAATGGGGTGTAGGGGGGCGCTCTGAGGGGTACAGTGCCGATCACGATGGGTAGATGGAGATTCAGGTTCATGGCACCGGTGATATCAAGGCAGATCTGTGGCAGAAAAAAGGAGCTTTGTTAACCGTAGCTCTCTAGGCTTTGATGATAGGAATCCTCCTGAATGAAAACCCACCACTGTGCAGAAAACCAATGCTAAACGTTGAATGCTTCCCAAACCTGCTGGATTTGTATGTATCCAGGAAGCGACCCAAGTAACCAGAGAAGATGTACATGTACACTCATGTCTGATGTGCTCTGTCAAATTTTGCACTGCAAGTACATTTTTAGATGAGGGCACTTTGCCCTGTGACTGCTAATAAAAATAATTGTCTTCATTCACGATGTCAGATAAGTTTTTTGAATTTAATCCTCTGTCATTTGCTATAACTAAGCTAAAATGGCCCAAACGGAGCAGACAATGTCCTGTGGTAAACTCTAGAGGGCGATGTGAATTAAGCAGATGTCCAACAGAACACCAACATTGATCAACCATCAGAACTGATGTGAGTAAAACAGTGGTAACAACAAAATTGAAATGTTTGCCAAATATCAGTTTTTGGTGACTGACTAGGTCCATGTCATCAAATAAAGCCGTACAATTCAAATTAATACATTCAAATTAACAGCCAATACGACGGGACTCACAGTAAGAAAGTACTCTAATTTGATAATGCCACAGTTGGTCAGCGTAGGGGTGATAGGCGGTATCTTCAACAGCTTGTTGTTCCAGTTCTCGGTCCTCCTCCCTCTGATAGTACTACCTTGCAGGAAGGCCACAGGATTGCGCACTGAGCGAGACTTGCCGTCAGCGAAGAACGTGGTGCGCTGGTAGAGGGTTGCCCGGGGCTTGATGCGACGGGAGGAACCATTCTGAAGCTCAGCTGAGATGGCGATAGATTCACCTGAACACACCAACCCCAAAATTGCATACAATAACTGGTTATATCTTTGAAAAATTAGGAAATTTGTGAATGACGAGTTTCAGTAGCCAAAATGTGAATAGATCCCTCATGCTAGCCAGACAAGGTTAAATGTAATTGTGTTTGGACTTTGAACATAAAAATGCACCAGTTATTAATGAAGTGACCTATCGTGTATGCACCCTCCATGTTCCTTTGACCAATATGGTTACCTAATCTAAGAGTGGATGCAACATGTGCACGAGCATGGTACAACCTCAGTAATAACCTGTAATATTGTTCGCAGTGTAAAAGGCTAATGTCAACACTATCAAATTACTGAAAATATTTATATCATTTATGATTATATTTTATTGCTGCCCATATTAAAATACATGGGCTCATCATGGTCATCTTCAGAAATATTGCCAAGTTCAAACAGGCAGGAGGTTTAGAACCATCTTTTTCAATTGTAAATTTTCCAGGTATGTCAAGGCCAAGATTGATAACAAGTTATTTCTAACCCCAACTTTCCCTAGGAAATCCATTTAGGGACATCACAAATTCCCATTACGGTGTAGAAAGGCTTCCATTAGCACTGATATCTGACAATATAAAAACTGCTGCCTCAATATCAGGCTTCGACCCACCCACTTTGTGGGGCGGCGACTTCACAGCCTGTCACCTGCTTCGAAGAATCAGGTGACTCGCGAACATACATTGTACATACATGCACACACACTCTTTGTAGTATGGTATGGCGGTGATGACCTACATGTATCCATTTTGTTGTGTAAGGTTTTGTGAAGTTAATTGGTACTAAAATGGGTCAAAGGTTAAAGGTCGTACCAGGGCAATAGCCTTTCCTGTCCGTCTTGATTGACATGCTGATGTTACCAGCAACGCACAGGCCGCAACACACCGTCTTCTCTTGAAAACCTGTCTGGGGAGCCTGTTAAAACAAAACAGATGACGTACGTGAAGATAGTTTCATGACTGTGTTTGAATAATGGTTGGTCATGATTCATAAACGTCCCTCAGACATAATAAAAGGATGTGACTAACAGTCTGCTTCATGCTCTGATAAGCACTGTAGAAGACTTATTCAGGGAACATCTTCAGCTTCCAGTCTTTCTCTAATATAAATTCTCTTTTTATAAGGTATCTGAAAACAGACAGAGATTTCTCTAAATCTTCTGGGAAATTCTGCTGTTAAAGTAGTATTAATTGCTGGGTTGACTCTTTCCAAGACATGACCAACTGTTGTGAGGCATAGAAGCATGTGCTAGTTGGTGGACTTGGTCACTTACCAGAAGTGCCGGTGTGTTGATGTCGATATGGTCAATGACTGTAAAGGCTCGTTTGGTTTTACTATTGAATCCCCAGGGTTTATCAATCTCAGCCTTCAACCAGTAGCGTATACGGCCGTATTTACCCTCAAAAGATGTCGCTACTCTCCTGCAAGGAAAAAATACGGATATCCATGACAGTGATCAACGTTTATTGATAGTTGATGTGTGCATGTCTAAAGCAATGCATCATTGTGATGTGATGCCAGATGCTATGGACCTCATGCATACCAGCCATATTGGAGGGCTTGTTATTGAATGCCTACAATGTCTGTTCATACAAATACCAGTGGAATAAACGTGAGGCCTCTAAGATGGCAACTTGGTGTAAGACTACTCCCTGCACAGGCACCCCATCAATAAGCCAGTTCAGTATTTCAAGTGTGCATCAGCACAATGATATGGGCCAGAGCTCATTCGGGTTAATCAAACGCTCATCAAAAGGCGCGTAAGGGAGATGGTCACACGACACTCGTCACGTTAATTACCACCAGAATGGACAGTCGCGTAACATAGTGTTACATCACATCAGCGAATGACCTTTAACCTGGACTACGTCATTGAGAGCCATTGCCTGCAGCACGGGTGTGTGCAAATTTAGAAGTAGAATGTTGAGAGAACAAGTACATTGCACCATATACGTATGAACCCACCAACCAGGTCAGGCATTTAGTGTGTACAAAATCCATAAGCAGGAGGTCCTATGTGCTATGATCAGTTCTCCTTAACAATAAACCACAGCATTTGTGAGAAAGAAGGGGGTTGCCCTTGCCTCTGCTTCTTGGGGAAGCAGGGGCAAGCGCAAACCCATAAGAGATCTCACCCATAAGGAATTTGAAAGCTGAATCGTAGCTCATGGTGTCCTGCTCTGAGTACAGGATTACTGCCTCCTTCATGCTCATCTGTAATGTGAACAACATTAGTACGACAAGAAGTGTTAACGTAAGAAATTTCAATGAAGACACAGTGACACACACAATACTGACATTGGAATGTTGTAGTTGAGTCCTCACATGTCCATCACAAGCCATTCATCTCAATTCAAGTCATAAACTATTCAATTGAACTTTGACAAAGACATTTCTTTGTTATTGTTCACTCTGTTACTCATGAATGGACTTGTTAATGGAATCAATTAAGTACTGTTACATTGCCTTGAAAATAATCTTCTTTCCAAATCTACTTTCTGAAAACTCAATGATTCTTGACTCTGGAGTACTGAATGATAACACTGCATGACACAGGAAATTTAAGAGACGAGAACTTGTATTGCAATTAACAGATGTTTTCGTTAGTTGAACTACTTCTGCCTGCAACAGTGATCATATTATAAATCCGTTCAACAAACAGAATGTTGTATGTAAATGTCCGCACAGTTAACTTTAGGAAACTACTGTTTACCTTTTCCAAAGAGAACCTGTTTCATGTAGAAATATTCCTCCTCAGCGTCATAGTACTTTGTATAGGAGCCTGTTTGATGGCCTCCTCCTCGTGATTCACTCCAATGAACCTACACAATTGACAGAATAGTCAAGTAAAACACAAGAAACAAGCAAACAAATGTAGCCTCAAACAACTGGTTAAATACTGGTATGCTGGGCAAATGCATTACAAAATGCATCTTTGCAGTTGAAGAGCCCGATATATTTGACCCAAGCAGACTTTTGTCTTTCAGAAAGATTCTTCTTGGACTGAACCGTCAGGTCGCCAACTTTTAGGATAGATATATATTTGTCTCTCTAGAGGGCTCAATTTTATTTTTGTTTTGTTTTAATCCAGTCCTTGGAAATGCAACTATGTGTCCCAATTACCACTATTTTCAATTTTCGTTTTGCCATTTTCAAGGGTATTTTGGTGCCTTTTTTATGCTAATGCAAATGTCCATATTCATGAGCAAAAGTGTGATGTCATTTCAGGGCTTCAGGCAGAAACCTCTATGTTACACTTACAGCTATTTCAGCACCAGAAGTTGCCAGGATTGTGGATATTTGACTGTCCTAAATTTTCTTTTCTTTGGGGATTCGTTGCTGTGTCAGTACATGGCAGTAAGCCAATGAGCAAACTTTCCTCACAAATAATTTCAATAAGCATTTTTTTGGTTCACAATTTGAACAAAATACCCATAAACTGAACAGCCTCTTCCTGAAATGACATCACAGCAACAACATACTCAGTTGTCTGGAAAAGCATGGACCAATTTCAATGTTTAAAGAAGTGCATTTTTTCCATTAAAATTTACCCAAAAGGGATGTCAAATATATTTCATACATTTAAAAGGAGTAGAAAGTTGCACAAAATATGTTCCTCAGAAAAACTTACTTCATGAACCCTTTAAACAATTCCTTTATTCAAGTCATATCTCTTTTAACTTTTGTTTCTTTTAAAGTAGAAACAGGGCAGTCCATGCTGTTTATTTCATATTATGCAAAAAAATAAATAAAAGGGGGATTTTAGGAAGTTTTTTCCCCAACAATTTACAATTACATCATAAACGAACTATCATTATCTTGAAATGCCTGTACTGCACAGGGGCCACATTTTAATAGGGCCTTCACTTCATAGACGGTGTCACAAATAAATGTATCGCTGGGTGATTCTGAATGACAACAACAAAGCCGAAGGCATGAAAGGCCTTGAGCAAACCAGACAACATTTCTGCTGTACTCCCTTCCCTCTGCACTGCAAGTCATTGATGTAGAACCGCCCACGCAGAAACAAAAACCAGTAGGCCTAGTGTACTATTCCTTATTGACGAATGATTGATAATGAGGTAAAAGTGTACTTTACAACCCCGTTGAGAGAAGGAAAAGACAATTTCATGTTTCAGGACTTTACTAAATTTTTTGCGCTGATAAAAGCAGAAAAAATCCGCTAATATTTTTGGACTCACCAAAATAGTTATCAAAGAAGTAAGATACCATGTTGAATTTTATCAGCAGGCTTAATTTTGTAGAAAGAGGCAGGGTATTGATTTTTGAAGGAAATTATGGGTCAAATGATGGCGGCGTCTGAACTGCTGTGAGTCTCCAACTGCTATTCAACAGATAAGAAAGTCACGTTTTCTTCCAAAGTAGGCCTATCCATAATAAGATTGAATTTTGCGTCGGGGTGATGTAAATCAATATTAGGTTTTGCCCTCAGTCAAAGACGTATAACACACATAGGCCTACTAGGCCTAGGCTAACTGTTAACTGTTTTTACTAATCAAAATCACAGAAACCTAGCGTTAATCCAAAACTGTCAATTTAGAAAATTTGACAGACGTTTGCAAAAGTTATTTTTGAACAGAACTAGTAAAAAATAGAGGTGTCTAAACTAACGGTCAGTCACTGCAAAACTTTTGAAAAGACAGAAACATGACAAATAGACACAACCACAACCGCTGAAGTGGCGTCTGGATCTTTCCATTTTCTGAGAATAAAGCCAAAAATCGTCGCTCAAACAATATGCATGATCATTTTTCGATACACTGTAAAACCATGGTAAAACACAGCAGTCCAAACTTGATACCTTTGCGAGTCCACGCATGTAGATTCGAATACCTCTCATTTTCATGTCCCCTCGCAACTCCACCACCACATTTCCCGACACATATTCGCCGGCCGAGTAAACCGTTTTGTTACTGTCCAAAATGATGTGAAAATCTTTCAATTTCACCATTCTGTCCTGCAATGATAAGTAACTCGTGGACGCAGCTTGACAGAAACATCAGCTCCCGAGGTATTTGCTGTTTTTCAGGTACATTTCGCGGTCCATTTTCCTCGACGCTCCAAGCAGGAACATTTTTCCGTTTCGCCGTTTTTTGACGTTCGTGACCTTGAAGTACAGATGACCTGAAAATTGCACAAACACTGTTGTGATCTGTCTGCGTTCGATTTGTCAGCGGGAAACCAACGTTAGAAACGGGTACCCTTATGTTTACTTTGAAGTGCGCCCTCTTGTGGCTGAATAAACTGAAAATAGGGATAAGGTGGCAGCCTCCAGGGTGGTAGTTTGAAAAAGTAAAAAAACAAAAAAACAAAAAAACGGGGGGGGGGGAGGGTAAAAAAATATGACTGCAAAGGAAAGAAAATTTTAACTGAGAGCCCCCCCAAACAAAAATTATCATCCTGCCTTTTTGAAAAAAGGGAGGTGGCCCTAATTATTTTTCTCTCCCAAGAGGTATTCTTCCTTTTTTTCAACTCCTTTGCCAAATGAGCCATCAAAATTTCTACCTGATTTTAAACTTACATACATAGCGTCAATTTTGAACGAGAGGTTTTGAATAAGAGGTTATTCAGCCACTTTTAAGCCTGTATACTTCTGCCATTTTGAATATTATGTGTTTATTGTTAATAAATGTTTATAGATTTTTATATAAAATTGTATTCATGTATTTATGTAGCCATTGGAATTGAAGGCCTTCGGGCCAGTTTTTAGGTAACATTTTTAAATTCCGGGCATAAGCCCCTGGCTTTTGTTTTGTTTCCTTGTGTTTTGTTTTTTGTTTTTTAATGCCGAATAAATAATAATAATAATAATATTGCTGGAAGCATATAAAAGACAAAATATAATCGCAAAAGTATGATTATTATTATTTTTTTACTTGATACTCAAGTTACTCAAGGGGTGTAAAAATTGCATAGAAACTGCACGCCTTCTTGCATCATGTGTCCCAGATCCTTCTTAGCCCATTTAATTTGTTTGTTTGGGTTGCTTTTTAACATGGATTCCTTCCTCCTTACTTTTAATGAAGCCGATACGAAGTCAATGCTCACTCTCTTCAAACAGCGCCCTCTTCTTACCCAAATGGGCTATGATAGGAATTGGGTACAAACTTGTAAGTAGCCTTGAATCAAGACTAGTTCCTGCCCGCTTACCCCCTCCCCAAAAAAATTAATGTGGACGAATTACACACACATAGAGAAATGAACACAAGACCATGTATGTTCAATTGCATTATGTTTATGCCAAGCATCAAATTAGTACTAACCAAAAGTAAACGAAAAGGGTTTCGACATAATTATTAGTTCTAATTATATGACAGTATTTAATGTCCAATTCATTGGCAACTGCTTGCAGGCCCGTATGTGGGGGGGGGGGGGGAGGGATTGCTGAAGATATCAGACCAACTCGAGGGGTCACCGTCATAATTATTTCAAACATGTAGACCTACATAAAACATATGAAAACATCTGCATGAAAGGTATGAAGGCCAATTCCCCACATTTTGAACAGATGAACGTAAAAGAAATGGGTGGTGGACAATGAATATCTTCTGGTTGTCAAACGCTGGGAAAAATGTTGTGAATATTTGGGTATTGGTGGTGAAAAAAAATATATACTGGCAAAAAAAAAGGTAAAACGTATTGGTTGTGCATACACACCCAGGCCACCCCTCCCCCCCACCCCCACCAACCTGGGTAGGGGCCTGTCTTCACTATTTTCTTACATCCATTTCATGGTAAAACATAATTGTTCAAGTTATTTCAGGAAAGGAATCATTAGCTCATATCTTTCAAAGCATTTTGAAACTCCAGAATATTAACATAACGGTGTCACATTTTGAAGGCGATAAAAATTGCAAAACAGCAAAAAACATGATTTTAACATTATTGCTATCAGATGGGCCGTTTACAAAATCTACAAAATTTAGAGCTATACTTGTGCAGATGTGTCAAAAGAGGTAGACAAGAAAATTATTTGAAAGTGACTTTGTAAAAATCATGAACTTGAAAATTGTTGTTGTGTTTGCACAACAAAACTGGAGGTTTAGCATATTTTCTTTGTTCCATGTATACCTAATCACTTGCTCCCTCATCAAACATGGCGGACTGAGCGCCACTGATTTTGAAACAAACCTAAAACAATTCTTTCATTTGAAAATAGCTAATATGTTTACTATGCCAAATTGTTTTTAAAACAAAGATTTGATATAGCTTGTAATTACAGAATTATAGAAAATACAACATGCATTGCTTGAATATGTCTTGCCATCTTCTGCGAAAATATACAAAAAACTTCAGCTTGTATTTCTTTGATCCTGAGCTACAGTGTTTCAATTGGGGAAAAAAATCATTCCTGTATTAGATAAATCAGTTTAGATTTTTCTCCAGGTAACAAAACTCGTATTGATTAAATAGGATTACCAAAGAAAACAAGCCGAGTACATTGAATGACACACTAACAAAAAATGCATTTATCTTCTTGATTACGTATGCACTTCTACACAGCACGATACTTTTACAAAATACTGAACATGAGAATTACTGAAAGCCAGTTTCCAATGAAATGATGTAAGGTTTCCTACGTGAGTTGCTGATGGTCTACATTCACTCATCCTAAAATATGACATGTGGTAAGTGGAATCCTACGTCAACTGTCCAATGACAACTGTCTAATACCTGTCAGAAAGCTATTATCTCGATGTTGATGGTGTGTATCCACTCATCTGACGACAGGTGTCATGTATGTTTGTTTAAGGCCAGCATCCACTCATCCCATGGTATGTAGCTGTGGATGTTGATGGTGTGTATCCATTCATCTGATGGCAGGTGTCAAGTATGTTTGTTGAAGGCCAGCATCCACTCATCCCATGGTATGTAGCTGTGGATGTTGATGGTGTGTATCCACTCATCTGATGACAGGTGTCATGTATGTTTGTTGAAGGCCAGCATCCACTCATCCCATGGTATGTAGCTGTGGATGTTGATGATGTGTATCCACACATCTGATGACAGGTGTCAAGTATGTTTGTTAAAGGCCAGCATCCACTCATCCCATGGTATGTAGCTGTGGATGTTGATGGTGTGTATCCACTCATCTGACAACAGGTATCATGTACGTTTGTTAAAGGCCAGCATCCACTCATCCCATGGTATGTAGCTGTGGATGTTGATGGTGTGTATCCACTCATCTGACGACAGGTGTCATGTATGTTTGTTAAAGGCCAGCATCCACTCATCCCTTGGTATGTAGCTGTGTATGTTGATGGTGTGTATCCAATCATCTGATGACAGGTGTCATGTATGTTTGTTAAAGGCCAGCATCCACTCATCCCATGGTATGTAGCTGTGGATGTTGATGGTGTGTATCCACACTTCTGATGACAGGTGTCATGTATGTTTGTTAAAGGCCAGCATCCACTCATCCCATGGTATGTAGCTGTGGATGTTGATGGTGTGTATCCACTCATCTGACGACAGGTGTCATGTATGTTTGTTAAAGGCCAGCATCCACTCATCCCATGGTATGTAGCTGTGGATGTTGATGGTGTGTATCCACTCATCTGATGGCAGGTGTCGTGTATGTTTGTTGAAGGCCAGCATCCACTCATCCCATGGTATGTAGCTGTGGATGTTGATGGTGTGTATCCACTCATCTGATGACAGGTGTCATGTATGTTTGTTGAAGGCCAGCATCCACTCATCCCATGGTATGTAGCTGTGGATGTTGATGATGTGTATCCACACATCTGATGACAGGTGTCAAGTATGTTTGTTAAAGGCCAGCATCCACTCATCCCATGGTATGTAGCTGTGGATGTTGATGGTGTGTATCCACTCATCTGACAACAGGTATCATGTACGTTTGTTAAAGGCCAGCATCCACTCATCCCATGGTTTGTAGCTGTGGATGTTGATGGTGTGTATCCACTCATCTGACGACAGGTGTCATGTATGTTTGTTAAAGGCCAGCATCCACTCATCCCTTGGTATGTAGCTGTGTATGTTGATGGTGTGTATCCAATCATCTGATGACAGGTGTCATGTATGTTTGTTAAAGGCCAGCATCCACTCATCCCATGGTATGTAGCTGTGGATGTTGATGGTGTGTATCCACACTTCTGATGACAGGTGTCATGTATGTTTGTTAAAGGCCAGCATCCACTCATCCCATGGTATGTAGCTGTGGATGTTGATGGTGTGTATCCACACATCTGATGACAGGTGTCGTGTATGTTTGTTGAAGGCCAGCATCCACTCATCCCATGGTATGTAACTCTGGATGTTGATGGCCTGCACCTACTCATCTGATAGCAAGAGTCAACTATGACTTTATTGGAGTCCTCCTCTACATGTATTCTAGTTATCCACAATCCCAGTAAGCTTGTATGTGGTTGTTAGACCTAGACATCTTCACTCATTCCAAAACTAGTTGAAGGTACCTATCCACCTTCATTATCATAAGTGTCTTGAGTTCTGATCATCACTTTTCACCATTATAGCACTTTGTTGACTCTTTGGCTAGGAATCATCCCAAGTCTCATTGATTGTGGCAGGGACAGCAGGCATGTCATCACCAAGGTCCATCAGACTTTGAACCCCTTCACTGTAGAACAGCTTCTCTGCATTGCGTCTCCCAACTCGCCTTGTCTTCTGTATTGCAAAAATGATGGCCTATGCAAATAAAACAAAAATCCGAGTAACTGATCAAACTATTAATAAACAATTAGTATATTGTCATAAGCTTTTTTTACCCCTGCCAAGGCCTTCCACCGATGCAATAGAAGGCACTCAGTGCTTACTGAGGGGTTGTGAGACACAATTCACAAGCTGACCCAGGAGGGACTTGATCTCTAACCTGTTAACAAAAGCGTGCACCTTGGTCATTTGGCACAATTGCAGAATACCCCGCCACTCGATCTATGCACCTCATAGCCGGCTATGGAGTGACGGTTGATTGCCCTCAATAAACCTTCTCAGTGCTACATGTATGTACTATGCATCATGCTCCACTGCACTCCCACTCTGTATCCGCGTAGCCGGCAACAGGGTAGTTGGTTTGAACATAGAATTTTTTCAGCAACTCCCACTATTTTTGTGTTGCTTCGTTCTCAAGCATATAAGGACTCCCACTTCATATCCGCGTAGCCGGCAACAGGGTAGTTGGTTTGGACTTTTTCAGCAACTCCCGTTACTTTTGTGTTGCTTCGTTCTCAAGGAGAACCCCACTCAGTATCTGCGTAGCTGGCAATGGACTTGAATTGTTTCTTTTCCAGTGATTCCAACCGCATAGCCAGAGAATTTAGGGGTGTATTACCGAGTAACAGGGTATTCTGCAATTACTCCGGTCATTTTAAAGCATCATAACCAGAAGGTGTTGGATTCAGTCATAACCAGAGTAATCTATTTTATTCTTGGAAAGCTCTGGGTATGTGGGGTCTGCACTGTCTGTTTTGAGGACACTTATGTAGTGCATTGTGGTCTATCATGTGCAAACACTATAGGTTTATGGCAATGAGAGAGTCTGTTCCCCTCCCCTCTCCTTTGTTCTGAATGTTTGTACATACCTCAGGGAGCCAGACTTCAGTGATATATGATGTATTAGGGATATCATCCTTGCACTGCATGCAATGCTCAACATACAGGTCCCGCAGGAAGTCTGTCAACTCACTCAGCTGAATAAAAAAAGATTTCACAGTAATCAGTCGTCAATAAATTCCTCCTCTATACTTGACACTCCTTTAAAATTCCTTAAGATCATTCACCAAAACAGACTTACCAAATTATTGTGAAAATCATACTTGGAGTTACAGACTGGACAACTACAAAAAATGGTGAAATTGTTTCCTCTAATAACATATTGTCATTGAAATTAAATAGTCACGACCTTTTGAACTTTGAGATGGTTCTTAGTACTATGATGAGCTTAGTTCTTAAAAGGTGAACTATTTTCTTGTCTTTTAACACCCTAAAAGAGACCAGCTGAAACTCATTAGTACCATTACTGATTTGGGAGTCTATTTTCTTTTCCACATAAAACTTTTAAGAACCTGTTACATCCTTCACACGCTTCACCACTTCCAGGTTTACTATGTAACAACCCCTTCACTGTTGGAATCCCTCAGTCTCCTGACGACGGGCAGAGTATACTGTCCGAAACGCTGACTTTCCCCGGTTCTTTTTAGAAACTCACAAACTCACACAAGATGGTTCTCGAACCATGCGTCTCGCCTGGTTTTGCAATTATCTGTAAAGAGTGACCTTTGACCTTTGCGTGTGACTTTTAACATCATTATCACGTGAAGGTTCCCGTGTGGCATCAATGACCCAAGTTTGGTTCCAGTGGGACTTCAACTTTTGAAATGAGACCAATTTTACGAAACTTGAACCAAAATACCACATACATACATACCGGTACATACATACATATGGACAGACATCGTGATTGCATAGTCTCTTTACTGAACAAAGTTCAGGCGAGACAAAAATGAGATTTGATACATTGTGCAAATGTAAACTTTATCTTATTTCAGAATGTGTTTGGTCCAATGCAGGGATTAAGTATTAATGACACAAATGTCATTACCATTTTGAATAAGAAATGACACCCACTGGAGATGACTTGATATTGCCTTGTATATTGCTTACATTCCATAAACAATTAGTAGTCAATAGTTTAATTTATGCATGAAACTTACCAGTTCATCATCCGTGATTGGCCCAAGGCCAGCCATTGCTCGCAGGGTCTGTCGATCCGTCTGCCTGTCTGAGTTAAACAACCGCTGCCTCTCCGACTTTACTTTCCCATGAAACATTGCCAATAGGTAGTTCTGTAGAAAATGAAAAATAAACAGGCATTCATAAAAAATAAAAAAAATCTTACCATAGTGACCCTGACCTTTGACCTATTGATGCCTAAGCCGCTACGATCTTATGGAATTCCCCACAGTTACACGGTGAAATGATCCTTAAAACAAGATATTGTCCAGAAACTAAATGCAGGCCTCAGCGTAACCTCCTCATCCATATAGGTTTTTTTAATAGGTTTTGAAAATCAAAGTTTAGGTTTTGAAAGGTTTTCCAAGTGCCTAAATATAGCCATTTAAAGGTTTTTAGGATGCAAAAGCATGCAATTTTTCAGCATGAGGTAGCAGAAATATAGTGAATTGCTTACCTCAAGATCTCCACATTAAGATAAAAAGTGAAAAATTTCATGTAAATTGCCAAATTCTGAAACACTAGTGAAGAAAATCTTAGAGAGGTAGGCCTATATTGACAACATGGTTATTTTGGAATTATGACAACTAAACTGTGGGTCCAATTGATTCTTAATATTTTGTGTAAAATTGTTGACATGTATGCCAGAATAAAAATATGGCTTTTTATAGGTTAAATACGTTACTGTTAAAATAGGCTCCAAGTTCATTATGTAGGTTTTTATAGGTTTTGTAGGTTATACAGGTTTTGCTGTTAGGCCTGTAAGTGGATGGCCCATGTCGCCCTCTAGGAGTGAGGGCAACAACATTCCATGGTGTTGCTTAGCAGAAAATATCACAAAGCAATTTTCTGCAATGAACATTTGAAACCTTTCCACAAAATGAAACAAAATAAGACATTTAAAGCTGCAAGTCCATACCTTGGTTGTGTCTCTGCGGATGTACTTCAGTAAACGGGTCTCAGTATATTTCCATGCTTTCCTTCTGAAATGGAAACACAAAAAGAGGAAACTCTTATCTTAATAATGGAAATTATCTTATCTTAATAATGGAAATTATCTTAACTCTTTGTATTTGGCAACCCCATATTTCAGCTCAACATGTTTCCGTCCAGAGATAGCAAGCTGATATATTGTCTCGTGCCACAGCTAATTAACGCAATTGGTCTAATTAACGCAATTGATTCCATACTAAAAAAAAATATTGAACAAGAACACCCAACAATGTTAAGCCATTTAAAAACTGTATATTTAAAATTAAGATAAAAATAACTACGTTAAGATAATTAACATTAATCACAATCAGAACAAGTCCAAGATTTTTCAGACAGCTGGTACCCGACCAATGTTCGATCAGTCACAGACAGGCAAAAAGTTCTTCCATTTCCTGCGCCATGCATTTGAAGACAGACTAGTGAAAAGAGTCAAATCACATTTGTGACTAGTTAAATTCAATCAACAGACAAAAGAGGTAACTGGTAGGTACAGCTGGCATATCAATCACCTCCAGTAAACGCATGGTTATATCAAATGTGATGCAATCAAGCTAAATGAGTCGTTTGTCAGGAGTTTTTATGTGGAGATACAGGCCAAAATAGGGCCACTTCATCACATCACTTCATCACATCACTTCAATGCATCTCTTGGTGTTCCAACTTCCATAATTTTTTAACTTAAGAGAGATGGTGCTCTTTTCAAATCTGTAATTTTGACCAGGGTCGACAAACGACTCATGTAGCTTGATCGCATCACAAATTAAGAAGGGAATTCTTAACTGTTAAAAACAGTCACTGCTGTGATGGTGTTGTCAGTATAGATAAGTGATCAGAAAAATGCCCTTGCATGAAATAGGGCAAAGCCAATAGCTCTGATTTAGGCTAACACCATCATATCAAACTAGACACTACGTACCTCTCTATGAGTTCAGGATCCTCTACCCTTGCCGTGTCGAGAATCATACTACCAATAGGATGACCTATCCGGAGTTCTTCATCCTCTAAAATCACGTTATTGGTGCTCTAAAGGGATTGAAACAAAGACAAGTCAATTGCAGGCAAATTGGATTTGTTTTTGTTTTTACTTATAATCAACCCTTTTTTTGTTTGTTTAGGGTTTTGAGTCCCCCCCCCCAACTTTTCCTTTAACAAATAATTGATCGTTTCACATTCACATTATGTTTTTCACTGCTGAATCAAACAGTACCAAACCAAAGGGTCGACTTATCATTGGACAACCGACATTTTCAAGACGTTAACAAAATTTGAAGCCTGAGTCAAACTTCGCAATGAAGGATACCATGGCCCAAAATTGATTGCACTATTTTATCAAGTCCGAACAGTATTGTTGCGGTGTGCCTAAAAGTCACCATCTGATAACCCTGGCTAACTTCTTGATTGCTTTTGTTGATCTAGGCAATACATGCACATCTGCATCATGAACAGCGCCCCCTAGTGTCATGTGGTGTCCAGCGACCCCCCCCCCCCCCAGCAAAGTTGTGGGAACTAACAATTGGTTACTGTGGAATCAACGCTCCATTCAAGACATAGAGAGAAAACTCATAGTGGGTTTGGCAGCCTCTCATAATGACGGAAATTATGTGTCTTCTTACCACTGGCAAGTCAGCAGGAGGACCCGTGTCAGGTGACCCGTCAGGTGATTTCTCATGCAGCCTGTCAGGTGATTTCTCATGTGACTGCGACATCTTTCTTGGAGAAACGGTGGGTGAAGCACACTTACTCAAGTCTAGGAGAAAAACAATATGCACTTACTTCATATCATTACAGTGTAAAAGATCCTGAATATTTTTATCTTAACAAGTTTATGCCGTAGGCCGTGTATAAACGCAAAAGTTTTGCGGTATTAGGAACGAATGACAGACACGTACACAGGGAGCGAAGCCGGATATATCTGTCAGCGACCCGCTCGCAGCGAGCGAGGCCGGAAATATGAGTGTGCTGCCCGAGGGTGATGGCTTCAACCCGCTTGGGTTGAGGTCGAGTGAAAAGTAATCCAGCGCCTTGTTCCGTTCTTGTCAAAATAATCCCAATGTGAACTGGTTAAATGAATGGTAAATTGCTCACCTAAAGCGAAGGACATGTCGCTTGTGGAATCTGCTGCCTTCCCCAATCCTGTACACAGTAAGACAAAAAAACCAATGAAACAGGAAAGATATTTGAAAAGCTAATTTGCACCAAACCAGCATTCAGTCCTTTCCTATCCCTCAAAACTTTAATCTTCACTGTCGGAATGAAAAATGGGTGCACAATGTAAAAGAAATAACAAAGAAGGATATAAAATACTCCGAAAATCATATGAGATCATCATTCATCATAGGAAGTACAAAACACTTTAAGTAAACACTTTCAACTAATTCTGAAACTCCAAATCTTGCCACTATTGTGAATTTTAACTTTGCATTATTTGTCCTGTCAAATTCCTCAAGAAGTCAAATCAGTTGTGTAAAATGCTCAATAAATTCTTTAAATTCTAGTTTTAAAAAGCTCTTTAATTTTTGTTTTCTAAACAAAAGATTTCCAATGGTACATCTAGTACCTTGTTTGATCAAGTAGTCCTCAGCTCTCTCCATGGAACTATTGAAATCCTCGCTGAGTTTGCAGTTTTTACCTAATTCCTGTGGGAAAATTCAAATAAAAACGACAAAATTTAATTTGAGTACAATTGTATTAATAGACACATAACCATCAAATTAGCTTAAAGTTGGAAATTGCTCTTTTGCAGTACAGTGGGGAAAAGCCAAAATTTGAAGGGGTCGTCCAAAACTTTTTGTTTTCAGATGAACCTTAATCTTTAAGTCCTGTTTTACCTTTCTCCAATTGTTTTTCTTCTGTCAAACAGCTTTAAAACCTATTTTATCCCATCTATTATAAGTTAACTGTATATTCACTGTAACACAACTTCAGGACTTTTAACTCCCATTTTCTGAAGAATCAGTTTTACAACTTCAAGTTAGTTTGTGGTCTATAATTCCGGTTACTGAACTCAGTAACCCTTAATGTTGTACACCACTGGAAAGCTCTTGTTCTGCAGAATTTAGATATGAATATCTTGATTCTTAAAAAGTCTGACTTTAAGCTGAATTCGTGATGACAGGTCAGTTTGCTCATGTTCTGCCTGCATGCAGGGTTACTGTTCTCTATAAATGCAGAAAGTAACATCTTTTACTGAATATTCTTTTGACTGGGTAAGCCTTTTCTTGGGCTAAAATAAGAAGACATGGCAATACTTACAATGTACTGTGATCTTAGAGGCCCAAAGAATGGGGCCATCGACTTTAGACTCACTTGAACTCTGAAGAAGGAAAAAATGTGAGTGCTGATCATCACCTTTTCGTAAGATCTTCTTTTGAGGAACATTTATTGAAACCACAATTTCACTTCTTTATAGTGGATTCCTGACTTAAAGACAAGTATCATGTTCTAGAGGATTAAAAAGAATTGAAGTAAGATGAAATATCTAACCTTTGCATTTTTTGGTCGAGGTAGTTGACCCAAGCTTTCTTGTTATTTGAAAACAGTTTCAGAAGCTACAAAGTAAGAAAAAATGGTGAAAGAAAATGAAAGAAAATGAATTAATAGCAAGCTTTAAAATGCCACCACCAACTACCAACCCAAATGTCTCCAAAATAATAATTTTAAAAAAGTACCGACCACTAATTCAAAGAGAACTTTCAAACAGTATCAAAATTGCAATCAGGAGTAAAGACGTGATTTTTTAACACAAAAAAACTGATGAGCTTCATATCACTTTAATAATTGGCATACTATGACAAATGGGCAATTCACGTGATATGAAAGGCAGTGTAATGGCCATGATAGAGCCAATTAACAATATCTAATGAATGATTCAAAGAAATGATCCCAATCTCCTAGTCTGTAATCTCCTTGACCATTGCTAGATGATGGATGTATAAGATTTGAAAAATATATTTTAAGGTTTATTGACTGAGCTCTTAAAAACTGTGTCACAGACATCACATAACGCTGGAATTGCCCACACATAATGAAGTTTCTCACCACTGCAGGCCAATGTGGATAGCCACGACTCTTTGCCCACACCATGGTGCCAGGTACAAGCTCCTTGACTGGACAAACGAGACAAAACAAAACTTGTTACCTCAATGCCCAAGTCACAATGAGCAATTGTTACGGGCAACTGAGAGTCAACCAGAAAGAACCCCCAGGAAAACATGAAACCCCAGGAAGAACAAAGTACATTGGTCAAACAGATGTAGGAAGTTTTTCTGGAACCAAAACTCATTAAAAAAAAATTCTTTTGAGTGTGTGGGTGAGTATGTAAACACCAGCAATCGTCGACCAAGAACAAAAGGGTTAGGGCACAAACAATACATCCATGATTGACCGAATGTCCCCGATTGAAATTAATTTGTGTTCAAAGCCAATGAAAGCTGTTGCTAGGGGGTCCACGATTGCCGGTGTTTACAAAGATAGGTGTGTGTGCATTTGTTTCTGCATTCAACAGGGGACGTTGAACAATAAAGGACAATATGGTCCCTAATACCTGAAGGTCCCCAATTTGGCGATTATGTACAAAACATATGGGAGGTCTTCCTAAAAAGCTACAGTACAAACAAAAGAGGGACAATGGAGGGTCCCCGATTGCAGGCAAATACACACTTGGGTGTGTGAGTTTGTTTCTGCATTCAATATGGGACGTTGAACAATAGAGGACAATAGGGTCGACAATGCCCGAGAGGTCCCCAAATTCCGATCGTGTACAAAACATATGGGATGTCTTCCTCAAAAGTACAAACAAAAGAGGGACAATAAAAGGTCCCCGATTGCAGGCAAATACACACTTCTGTTTAACTTGCTGATATAAGGACAAACACTTACCCTTAGTTTCAGCAGTGGCTGAGTTGTATTGGATATCTGGTAAGTCTTCATCCTCGCATGAATCAGTGCCGTCATCTTCTGAATCCTCTTTTAACCTGTAAATTCACATTTGTGGAAGTCTTCAGGCATCTAGTCTACACAATGTGCAGGAATAAGCCCATCATGGGGTAATCCTATACAATAGCACTGCCCGGTGGAATCAAAAGTCATTCATAGTCACAGGTGACAGTCAGTCAGTGGAATAGGAAGTCATTCATAGTCACAGGTGACAGTCAGTCAGTGGAATAGGTAGTCATTCATAGTCACAGGTGACAGTCAGTCAGTGGAATACATGTAGGTAGTCATTCATAGTCACAGGTGACAGTCAGTCAGTGGAATAGGTAGTCATTCATAGTCACAGGTGACAGTCAGTCAGTGGAATAGGTAGTCATTCATAGTCACAGGTGACAGTCAGTCAGTGGAATAGGTAGTCATTCCTAGTCACAGGCGACAGTCTGTCAGTGGAATAGGTAGTCATTCCTAGTCACAGGTGACAGTCAGTCAGTGGAATAGGTAGTCATTCATAGTCACAGGTGACAGTCAGTCAGTGGAATAGGTAGTCATTCATAGTCACAGGTGACAGTCAGTCAGTGGAATAGGTAGTCATTCATAGTCACAGGTAACAGTTTGTTAGTGGAATAGGTAGTCATTCCTAGTCACAGGTGACAGTCAGTCAGTGGAATAGGTAGTCATTCATAGTCACAGGTGACAGTTTGTCAGTGGAATAGGTAGTCATTCATAGTCACAGGCGACAGTCTGTCAGTGGAATAGGTAGTCATTCATAGTCACAGGTGACAGTCAGTCAGTGGAATAGGTAGTCATTCCTAGTCACAAGTGACAGTCAGTCAGTGGAATAGGTAGTCATTCATAGTCACAGGTGACAGTTTGTCAGTGGAATAGGTAGTCATTCCTAGTCACAGGCGACAGTCTGTCAGTGGAATAGGTAGTCATTCATAGTCACAGGTGACAGATTGTCAGTGGAATAGGTAGTCATTCATAGTCACAGGTGACAGTCAGTCAGTGGAATAGGTAGTCATTCATAGTCACAGGTGACAGTCAGTCAGTGGAATAGGTAGTCATTCCTAGTCACAGGTGACAGTCAGTCAGTGGAATAGGTAGTCATTCATAGTCACAGGTGACAGTCAGTCAGTGGAATAGGTAGTCATTCCTAGTCACAGGTGACAGTCAGTCAGTGGAATAGGTAGTCATTCATAGTCACAGGTGACAGTCAGTCAGTGGAATAGGTAGTCATTCCTAGTCACAGGTGACAGTCTGTCAGTGGAATAGGTAGTCATTCATAGTCACAGGTGACAGTCAGTCAGTGGAATAGGTAGTCATTCATAGTCACAGGTGACAGTCAGTCAGTGGAATAGGTAGTCATTCATAGTCACAGGTGACAGTCAGTCAGTGGAATAGGTAGTCATTCATAGTCACAGGCGACAGTCAGTCAGTGGAATAGGTAGTCATTCCTAGTCACAGGCGACAGTCTGTCAGTGGAATAGGTAGTCATTCCTAGACACAGGTGACAGTCAGTCAGTGGAATAGGTAGTCATTCATAGTCACAGGTGACAGTCAGTCAGTGGAATAGGTAGTCATTCATAGTCACAGGTGACAGTCAGTCAGTGGAATAGGTAGTCATTCATAGTCACAGGTAACAGTTTGTTAGTGGAATAGGTAGTCATTCCTAGTCACAGATGACAGTCAGTCAGTGGAATAGGTAGTCATTCATAGTCACAGGTGACAGTTTGTCAGTGGAATAGGTAGTCATTCATAGTCACAGGCGACAGTCTGTCAGTGGAATAGGTAGTCATTCATAGTCACAGGTGACAGTCAGTCAGTGGAATAGGTAGTCATTCCTAGTCACAAGTGACAGTCAGTCAGTGGAATAGGTAGTCATTCATAGTCACAGGTGACAGTTTGTCAGTGGAATAGGTAGTCATTCCTAGTCACAGGCGACAGTCTGTCAGTGGAATAGGTAGTCATTCATAGTCACAGGTGACAGATTGTCAGTGGAATAGGTAGTCATTCATAGTCACAGGTGACAGTCAGTCAGTGGAATAGGTAGTCATTCATAGTCACAGGTGACAGTCAGTCAGTGGAATAGGTAGTCATTCCTAGTCACAGGTGACAGTCAGTCAGTGGAATAGGTAGTCATTCATAGTCACAGGTGACAGTCAGTCAGTGGAATAGGTAGTCATTCCTAGTCACAGGTGACAGTCAGTCAGTGGAATAGGTAGTCATTCCTAGTCACAGGTGACAGTCAGTCAGTGGAATAGGTAGTCATTCCTAGTCACAGGTGACAGTCTGTCAGTGGAATAGGTAGTCATTCATAGTCACAGGTGACAGTCAGTCAGTGGAATAGGTAGTCATTCATAGTCACAGGTGACAGTCAGTCAGTGGAATAGGTAGTCATTCATAGTCACAGGTGACAGTTTGTCAGTGGAATAGGTAGTCATTCCTAGTCACAGGTGACAGTCAGTCAGTGGAATAGGTAGTCATTCATAGTCACAGGTGACAGTCAGTCAGTGGAATAGGTAGTCATTCATAGTCACAGGTGACAGTTTGTCAGTGGAATAGGTAGTCATTCCTAGTCACAGGCGACAGTCTGTCAGTGGAATAGGTAGTCATTCATAGTCACAGGTGACAGTTTGTCAGTGGAATAGGTAGTCATTCATAGTCACAGGTGACAGTCAGTCAGTGGAATAGGTAGTCATTCATAGTCACAGGTGACAGTCAGTCAGTGGAATAGGTAGTCATTCCTAGTCACAGGCGACAGTCTGTCAGTGGAATAGGTAGTCATTCATAGTCACAGGTGACAGTCAGTCAGTGGAATAGGTAGTCATTCATAGTCACAGGTGACAGTCAGTCAGTGGAATAGGTAGTCATTCCTAGTCACAGGTGACAGTCAGTCAGTGGAATAGGTAGTCATTCATAGTCACAGGTGACAGTCAGTCAGTGGAATAGGAAGTCATTCATAGTCACAGGTGACAGTCAGTCAGTGGAATAGGTAGTCATTCATAGTCACAGGTGACAGTCAGTCAGTGGAATACATGTAGGTAGTCATTCATAGTCACAGGTGACAGTCAGTCAGTGGAATAGGTAGTCATTCATAGTCACAGGTGACAGTCAGTCAGTGGAATAGGTAGTCATTCATAGTCACAGGTGACAGTCAGTCAGTGGAATAGGTAGTCATTCCTAGTCACAGGCGACAGTCTGTCAGTGGAATAGGTAGTCATTCCTAGTCACAGGTGACAGTCAGTCAGTGGAATAGGTAGTCATTCATAGTCACAGGTGACAGTCAGTCAGTGGAATAGGTAGTCATTCATAGTCACAGGTGACAGTCAGTCAGTGGAATAGGTAGTCATTCATAGTCACAGGTAACAGTTTGTTAGTGGAATAGGTAGTCATTCCTAGTCACAGGTGACAGTCAGTCAGTGGAATAGGTAGTCATTCATAGTCACAGGTGACAGTTTGTCAGTGGAATAGGTAGTCATTCATAGTCACAGGCGACAGTCTGTCAGTGGAATAGGTAGTCATTCATAGTCACAGGTGACAGTCAGTCAGTGGAATAGGTAGTCATTCCTAGTCACAAGTGACAGTCAGTCAGTGGAATAGGTAGTCATTCATAGTCACAGGTGACAGTTTGTCAGTGGAATAGGTAGTCATTCCTAGTCACAGGCGACAGTCTGTCAGTGGAATAGGTAGTCATTCATAGTCACAGGTGACAGATTGTCAGTGGAATAGGTAGTCATTCATAGTCACAGGTGACAGTCAGTCAGTGGAATAGGTAGTCATTCATAGTCACAGGTGACAGTCAGTCAGTGGAATAGGTAGTCATTCCTAGTCACAGGTGACAGTCAGTCAGTGGAATAGGTAGTCATTCATAGTCACAGGTGACAGTCAGTCAGTGGAATAGGTAGTCATTCCTAGTCACAGGTGACAGTCAGTCAGTGGAATAGGTAGTCATTCATAGTCACAGGTGACAGTCAGTCAGTGGAATAGGTAGTCATTCCTAGTCACAGGTGACAGTCTGTCAGTGGAATAGGTAGTCATTCATAGTCACAGGTGACAGTCAGTCAGTGGAATAGGTAGTCATTCATAGTCACAGGTGACAGTCAGTCAGTGGAATAGGTAGTCATTCATAGTCACAGGTGACAGTCAGTCAGTGGAATAGGTAGTCATTCATAGTCACAGGCGACAGTCAGTCAGTGGAATAGGTAGTCATTCCTAGTCACAGGCGACAGTCTGTCAGTGGAATAGGTAGTCATTCCTAGACACAGGTGACAGTCAGTCAGTGGAATAGGTAGTCATTCATAGTCACAGGTGACAGTCAGTCAGTGGAATAGGTAGTCATTCATAGTCACAGGTGACAGTCAGTCAGTGGAATAGGTAGTCATTCATAGTCACAGGTAACAGTTTGTTAGTGGAATAGGTAGTCATTCCTAGTCACAGATGACAGTCAGTCAGTGGAATAGGTAGTCATTCATAGTCACAGGTGACAGTTTGTCAGTGGAATAGGTAGTCATTCATAGTCACAGGCGACAGTCTGTCAGTGGAATAGGTAGTCATTCATAGTCACAGGTGACAGTCAGTCAGTGGAATAGGTAGTCATTCCTAGTCACAAGTGACAGTCAGTCAGTGGAATAGGTAGTCATTCATAGTCACAGGTGACAGTTTGTCAGTGGAATAGGTAGTCATTCCTAGTCACAGGCGACAGTCTGTCAGTGGAATAGGTAGTCATTCATAGTCACAGGTGACAGATTGTCAGTGGAATAGGTAGTCATTCATAGTCACAGGTGACAGTCAGTCAGTGGAATAGGTAGTCATTCATAGTCACAGGTGACAGTCAGTCAGTGGAATAGGTAGTCATTCCTAGTCACAGGTGACAGTCAGTCAGTGGAATAGGTAGTCATTCATAGTCACAGGTGACAGTCAGTCAGTGGAATAGGTAGTCATTCCTAGTCACAGGTGACAGTCAGTCAGTGGAATAGGTAGTCATTCCTAGTCACAGGTGACAGTCAGTCAGTGGAATAGGTAGTCATTCCTAGTCACAGGTGACAGTCTGTCAGTGGAATAGGTAGTCATTCATAGTCACAGGTGACAGTCAGTCAGTGGAATAGGTAGTCATTCATAGTCACAGGTGACAGTCAGTCAGTGGAATAGGTAGTCATTCATAGTCACAGGTGACAGTTTGTCAGTGGAATAGGTAGTCATTCCTAGTCACAGGTGACAGTCAGTCAGTGGAATAGGTAGTCATTCATAGTCACAGGTGACAGTCAGTCAGTGGAATAGGTAGTCATTCATAGTCACAGGTGACAGTTTGTCAGTGGAATAGGTAGTCATTCCTAGTCACAGGCGACAGTCTGTCAGTGGAATAGGTAGTCATTCATAGTCACAGGTGACAGTTTGTCAGTGGAATAGGTAGTCATTCATAGTCACAGGTGACAGTCAGTCAGTGGAATAGGTAGTCATTCATAGTCACAGGTGACAGTCAGTCAGTGGAATAGGTAGTCATTCCTAGTCACAGGCGACAGTCTGTCAGTGGAATAGGTAGTCATTCCTAGTCACAGGTGACAGTCAGTCAGTGGAATAGGTAGTCATTCATAGTCACAGGTGACAGTCAGTCAGTGGAATAGGTAGTCATTCCTAGTCACAGGTGACAGTCAGTCAGTGGAATAGGTAGTCATTCCTAGTCACAGGTGACAGTCAGTCAGTGGAATAGGTAGTCATTCATAGTCACAGGTGACAGTCAGTCAGTGGAATAGGTAGTCATTCCTAGTCACAGGCGACAGTCTGTCAGTGGAATAGGTAGTCATTCCTAGTCACAGGTGACTGTCAGTCAGTGGAATAGGTAGTCATTCCTATTCACAGGTGACAGTCTGTCAGTGGAATAGGTAGTCATTCATAGTCACAGGTGACAGTCAGTCAGTGGAATAGGTAGTCATTCATAGTCACAGGTGACAGTCAGTCAGTGGAATAGGTAGTCATTCCTAGTCACAGGCGACAGTCTGTCAGTGGAATAGGTAGTCATTCATAGTCACAGGTGACAGTCAGTCAGTGGAATAGGTAGTCGTTCCTAGTCACAGGTGACAGTCTGTCAGTGGAATAGGTAGTCATTCATAGTCACAGGTGACAGTTTGTCAGTGGAATAGGTAGTCATTCATAGTCACAGGTGACAGTCAGTCAGTGGAATAGGTAGTCATTCCTAGTCACAGGTGACAGTCAGTCAGTGGAATAGGTAGTCATTCCTAGTCACAGGCGACAGTCAGTCAGTGGAATAGGTAGTCATTCCTAGTCACAGGTGACAGTCAGTCAGTGGAATAGGTAGTCATTCCTAGTCACAGGTGACAGTCAGCTAGTGGAATAGGTAGTCATTCATAGTCACAGGTGACAGTCAGTCAGTGGAAAAGGTAGTCATTCCTAGTCACAGGCGACAGTCTGTCATTGGAATAGGCAGTCATTCATAGTCACAGGTGACAGTCAGTCAGTGGAATAGGTAGTCATTCATAGTCACAGGTGACAGTTTGTCAGTGGAATATGTAGTCATTCATAGTCACAGGTGACAGTTTGTCAGTGGAATAGGTAGTCATTCATAGTCACAGGTGACAGTCTGTCAGTGGAATAGGTAGTCATTCATAGTCACAGGTGACAGTCAGTCAGTGGAATAGGTAGTCATTCCTAGTCACAGGTGACAGTTTGTCAGTGGAATAGGTAGTCATTCATAGTCACAGGTGACAGTCAGTCAGTGGAATAGGTAGTCATTCCTAGTCACAGGTGACAGTCTGTCAGTGGAATAGGTAGTCATTCATAGTCACAGGTGACAGTCAGTCAGTGGAATAGGTAGTCATTCCTAGTCACAGGTGACAGTCTGTCAGTGGAATAGGTAGTCATTCATAGTCACAGGTGACAGTCAGTCAGTGGAATAGGTAGTCATTCATAGTCACAGGTGACAGTCAGTCAGTGGAATAGGTAGTCATTCCTAGTCACAGGTGACAGTCTGTCAGTGGAATAGGTAGTCATTCATAGTCACAGGTGACAGTTTGTCAGTGGAATAGGTAGTCATTCATAGTCACAGGTGACAGTCAGTAAACATGAACCAAGACACCAATAGTCTGGCCCTCTGGGACCAGCAAATTAAGTAATAATCCCAATAATCCCAAATGCAAATAATGACAACATTCATTGTCAACAAGCACAAAGATCCCTTCAAATAGTGTCTGGGATACACCTGAGTTCTTCAATCCTGCTAAATCCTAATCCTAATTACAGATCCAGCTTACCTTTTACATGTATTGCCAGTTACATTGCCATCACCCATCACAGTATCACTGCCATTTTCTGCACCTTTGCAAAGAAAATAGTGTACAATTACTACATGTACATGGAGTCTTCAAAGCTACAGTCCATCATTTGCAGCTATCCAAAAAGTAACTGACATAATTATTGTTCAAAAACATACTTGGTTGAAAGATAGTATGGGGACTAAACTCCCTGTGAAATTATTCTTTCTGGTATTCTGTCATTTTGAAGAAATCAATGAAAGAAGGCCTTTCCAACGGTGCACCGTTAACACACACCGTTGGAAATTTCCTTTAGTAGTTCGTTTTTTTGTTTGGCAAAGCGCATCCAAGTGTTGACACATTGCACAGGCACGCGGTTGCTCTAATTCTTTGGATCGGTGCGTGACATCGCGTAGCTGCAATCGGCACAGAGAGAACGTGTCTCGGACGCTGAATTCAGGCCCAATTCAAAACACGATTCAGCAACTTTTGATTTAAAATCGAGATCCTACAATGCTGTTTTTCTCGGAATATACAGCTGATGCTGAGCTGAAACTTTATCAGGTTAGTTGTTCACCTACATGTACGATATTTTTACAGCCCCTACCCTAATTCTGTTTTGGGAAAAATGAGAAAAAAACCTGAAACCATCAGTTACTACCTGTTACCCTTGACTACACGCAGACACCTCCATACGATCGTACACACAAAAATTTGAACCCCCCCCCCAAATAAAACCCCCTACCTACCTACCCTATTTTCAAGTACCATGCAAGACAAAAAAAAAAAATAGTCGGTCTCTGGTCAGACTGAAGTTGCGGAATTGATGCAAAAGGCGACGCGTTTTTTTTGGTGTATTGTACAGACAAGGTGGGTATAATTTTGCTTTTTTGTGTTCTCATTATTCATTGGTGTCCTCCATAATTTGCCTTGGTGCCCTTTATTATTTGCCTTGGTGCAATTTCCCCATTCCTTGGTGCTCCTTGGTACACAAATTTGAGGAGGTGCGGCAATAGAGGGCGCTGTTGTAGGTTAATTTGAAGAAAAAAAAAAAAAAAGGTTGACGCGCATGATTAAAATCGACGCGCGCGCTGACCAGAGACCGAGTATTTTTTTTTTTTGCCTAATCAGAAGCAGAATTTTTTTTTTTTTTACCTCATCTGAATGGTGAGTAATTAAAAAGTCAGTAGTAATTTTGCAAATTTTGTATGCCAATTTTTTACACCAAGGCTTAAGCTATACCTGGTCTACGCAGCACATCAGACAGTGACACGTGTGTTCCCTTCTTAGACGTTTTCTGTCGCAGACATTTTGCTCTCGGCCTTAACTTCTTGATGGTCTTTTCCTTGGCGGCTCTTGCTGAGGCAGTTCGTCCTCTCTGTTGATATTGTGTGCCATTTCTCAGACGCGAGGTCACAAGCACGGAACTTGATGAACTGGATCTTGTTTTTGTCATTTTCTTTAAGCAAAAAGTACAAATAAATTGATTGTATTTAAAAGTTACCATGGTTACGGTTATGGTAAACAAACCAAAAACGGATAGCATAAAATGCAGTGACTACTTTGTACATTTTTATTTTCATGGAAGCCGTCTTTTCCAATGCATTCAAACATAACACTGTGAACCTACATGACGTTGTAAATTCCCGCAGCAATTGATGTTCGCTAGCTCAATAAAATACATTCAATTTTAATGCCGAAAGTGCAGGGTTTGAACCGTGGTAGGAAGTTTTTTGTTTTCAAAAATGTAAAAAAAAAAAATGTAATTGCACCGTGCAGGCTTCGATACTGAAATCCTCTGCCTAGTGCTTTTTTGCTAGGCCTTGGTTAAGTGGCTAAACGTTCTACCAATCAGTGTATGATGAATCACCAATTGAACTTCCACAGTCGGGCCGCATTCTGATGGGCCTTATTCACAAGTCTGCCATGTTGAATTTAGAATGAGGTAAAATCTTCACTTTTTGGAACTTGCAAAGAGAAATGAAAGCAATGACATAAAGGTAATTACACATTATACCAGTCTGCTCTAATGAATAATTCAACATTTGTTGTGCAACATCGCACATTTCTGCGCAGATTTCTGCGATAAAATGTGCGACATCGCAGAAATCTGCGCAGAAATGTGCGATAAAAATGTGCGACATCGCAGAAATCTGGGCAGATTTCTGCGATTAAATGTGCGACATCGCAGAAATCTGCGCAGAAATGTGCGATAAAATGTGCGACATCGCAGAAATGTGCGATAAAATGTGCGACATCGCAGAAATCTGGGCAGATTTCTGCGATTAAATGTGCGACATCGCAGAAATCTGCGCAGAAATGTGCGATAAAATGTGCGACATCGCAGAAATGTGCGATAAAATGTGCGACATCGCAGAACTCTGCGATAAAATGTGCGACATCGCAGAAATCTGCGCAGATTTCTGCGATAAAATGTGCGACATCGCAGAAATCTGCGCAAAAATCTGCGATAAAATGTGCGACATCGCAGAAATCTGCGCAGAAATGTGCGATAAAAATGTGCGATATCGCAGAAATCTGCGCAGAAATGTGCGATAAAATGTGCGACATCGCAGAAATGTGCGATAAAATGTGCGACATCGCAGAACTCTGCGATAAAATGTGCGACATCGCAGAAATCTGCGCAAAAATCTGCGATAAAATGTGCGACATCGCAGAAATCTGCGCAGAAATCTTGATGTGTGATGTCCCTTCAGGGCCATCATACCTACTCCTACATGTCCTACACTGTAGATCCTACACATTACAATTTACAATACAATGAACATGTATACAGAAATGTTGCGCCCAATTTCCGGACACGTTCGAACTACACTTTTTGGTTTTACAAATAAAATTAGATCTGTTTACAACAAGATGCATTCAGTAAAAACAATATGCAGGCACGAGCAGGAAAAAACTGGTTTGTAAACCAAGCTTTAGTGTCAATTAACAAAAGGCCTAGCGTTACTTACTGAATACTGACTGTAGAACCAGACGACGCGACGTGTACAATGTTGTCTACGCCGCACCGTCGAGTCGTACGTACGTACGTGTACATAATTAGTAAATGTGCTGCGTACGTACAAGTTGCACGCTACACCTGTCCCACCAACTTTCAGCGTACGTTGGGTCGAGGTTGAAATAGAAAGCAGATTACTCGATTCTTTTATAAGCAATACTGCTATCTGGTATCGATAAAACAGCCCGCATTGTTTCTTACAACACGAACTACTGACGACGCGAATTATAGAATCGATTCTATTTATCAGAGAATCGAAAATTCTTCTTGTCGATTGGATGCATAAAAACAGCTAGCGCATCGCATACGCGCAGCGCAGACGATTTATGCGATATGCATGTTGTGTAGTGTGTATCCTATTACATACACGACATACGTGTGCTGCACCAAAAAAAAAAACATGCTCGGCAAAATGGCTGTAACAACACACGGAAATCAGGTTTGCCTTTCTTTTTCAAAGATTTTCAGATAAGCTATGTAGAAAGTTCGCCGCTGAGTTATGCAGTGGCAATTGTTTAGATCCTTATTTGTTCCAAAATTGGCTTTATTCTAGCATTTTTTTTGAAAAGGCCGGCCCTTTCATTTCAAGGTATTCTGCAGTCGAGTCGTCATTGCGCTGCCACTGGAGAGTAGGGGCGGGGTTTGAGATAAAGCGTGGGGTTTTCTTTTCTTAGTTTTAGAAGATGAAGATAATTATAAAATTAATAGCATCACATGATTAATCTGAAGCCACCTTTAGAGGGCGCAATTCTCGGCGGTATTTTTTTGAAAACGAAGCATCCATTTATCCATTTTTAATATCCTCGCAAAGGAAGGGAGGGCGATGGGGCACTGGATCTGTTGGAGGTGCGGAGTCGCAGAGACGCGCACCGATAGAGGGCGCAATTCTCTGCGGTATTTTTTTGAGAACGAAGCATCCATATCCATTTTTAATATCCTCGCAAAGGAAGGAGGGCGACGGGACACTGGAGTCGCGGAGTCACAGAGACGCGCGCCGATAGAGGGCGCAATTCTCGGAGGTACAATGTAGGTCGACTGCGGCTCCACGCCTCCACGCAGCCGTACGGAGGCGCGGATGTAGAGTGGAGTGGCCCTGCATTCTATAGTTGTACTGCCACCTTTTGTCTTCAAGATGTTCAGCGTAGGCCTTACCTACTTTTTTTAACGTTACTCAGGCCATGTATGTAGCCTGTAGGCTGAATAATGATAATTGGGAGACTTCTGAGTCTGAGACGTTGGTGGCAGCAAACACACCCATCCTTTTTTCATTGTTTACGTCATTTTTAAGCTGAAGCGTGCATGCTCAATGATGCAAACAATGGGAAAAGGACTGGTACGTTTGCTGCCACCAATGTCTCGAAAGTCTCCCATTGTACATGTACAGGTTGTAAGAAATTATTCCACGTTTTGTTAATTCTAAAAATGGAAACATTTAACCATATCTGGCAATCACTGGTCACCTTGTGCAGTGTGCACAAACCCTTTGAGTTTGAGACTGGTCTGAAAATTTCTGTGTTTTCTCAATATTTACATGTACTTTAATATTTTCGCAGTGGCTATTGTTACGGCAGCCGTAACGCATTTCCCATTTTCTATCGTTACGGTAGACTGCAACTGTTATAAAAACATGACAAGAAAATATAAAATTAGAAGCAAAATCCTACCCTCTATCGACTGAGCTGTCGCACTGCTCGCTAAAACGTGTGGAAACAAATAATTATATACCTGCGTGCGTATCAAAAAGTATCGTAGAGGGCGCTAAACAACGACTGCCGTAACGATAGCCACTTCGTAATATTTTCCCTTCTTATTTTGATTTTTAAGGACATACATGTATATGTACATGTACACATGTTTTATCATTTTTTGATGGTTGATAGGTCACTGAAGTGAAAGGAAAAATTAGTGATGGCCAGATATGGGAATTTTTCCGTTTTTCAATAATTTTTCAACAATTTGATGGTGTGCCCTCTGGGGCAAGTAGAGATTGCCATGTCACTTGAACGCCTCTTTCAAAACATTGCCAAAAATAAAACTAGCATGATTAGGGCTGTCTATTTTTTGAATAATTTAGTATTTGATTAATTGAAACTGTCATGAACTGTGTTTGACTGAATATTTGAATGCAGCTGTGTGCTGCGCCCATGGAATGTTGCACGCAAAGTGTGCCGGGTAAAATGTGCGTGCAGCGATTGATATTGTGAACTAAGAAATATGGGCCACTGCTAGGCCAAACTTGGGCGCTAGAACTCCTTAATTTTGTCAAAATGACTGTAAATTGGCAGTTTCATGAACATCCAGCTTAATTAAAAAAGGTGCCTAAATCATGGCAAAGACTTGACCAAAAAAAAGTTACATCAGGTGCCTACATGTACTTGCTTTTAACAACAAGTCAAAGAGGAACTACTGGGGCTTCAAATCATTTTTTGAGCTGCAAATCAATGAAATTTGGCCTGTTTGATGGTGCAGTGGGTGTCACCACCATGGGCATGTACATTTACATTTAAACAATAGTTAAGTTCCCTGACCTGAGATTAGGAAACTGGACGACTGGTACATAAGCAACAAAGCGCGCAAACACAGGGGTCACGATCACGTGAAATGTAGAGAAACGACTGTTTCGTCAAATGGTACAAGACGCATTGTGGTTACTTGGCTCATCCCCGCCCCTCCCTCCCCCTGCAAACAGGACGCTGGGACAGCTGATGAGCTTCACAGAATCTTGTGAAGGAAGTGGGATGGCATTCTGGGTAATTTATCATGACCTATGTATAAAGACATCTGGCTGCAGCTGTTTAAGACCGCAGTTAGCCAATGTACGCAAATGCTATCCGAAAACTGTCTCTTAGAAATACATACATTTCGTACCGGATGTGACTTCTTTTTCATTGCGGACCATGTGAACAAATTTTGAGCGTCGCATAATATACAATTTGACCATTCATGAATTCGAAACGGAGCCTGAACAAGTGCAGGAATTGAAAATTTACAAAGCAGATAAGTTTTACAGATTTTCCTACATTATTACGCTTTTCAATGAAAAAAAAATAAATAAAACTAGTGATGACTCATTCTTGACGGCCGTTTCAAACCTTGCAGGGTCGTGGCTGTGATGACTTGCATGTCACAGGTTACACAAAATCTATCCAATCAGAGCGTGATTCATCTGCCTGTCCCAGCGTCCTATTTGCAGGGCGGGGGGTACGAGCGAAAGTGGAAAAAGGCTCTAGTAGTTAAGAATATTTAACAGGTTCATGTACAGAATTAATTGCCCCAATGTGATATCCTGCCCCAACAAAGTTACATCCACATTTATGGCAATTTAACCTCTGTAAAGTGGCGTCAGGATACATGAACATTCTGTCGAAAATATTTGCTACTTTTTAAAATATGTTTCTGTATTGTAATTTGAATTGTATGACGTCCATAGTCTTACTGAAATTTAGTTATTTTATTTTATTCCCAGACCGGCAACTCGCAACCAAGTAAAACATGGGGTAAGTAGCACTTATCATTATTTAAAAATTAAACAAAATCAATAGCCACGCTGAATGAAGATGTCGCAGTGACATTGAAAGCTACCGGTACGTCGCTGCAATATTTTTGATTCCAAAGATTTAAGAAGTTCGTGGAAAGTCCTATCAGTGCCAAGCCTACGGTATTACAGAGAGACATGTACATGTATGTAAAGCACAGGTGATGGAAAATGTGGGAGGCTTAGATATGAAGCTTTTGAGCAAAAATAACTAGCTATGGGGTTGAGAATGAAGGCTCAGTGTACAATATACTTTCCTCCACCTTTCTCCACTGTTCAGAACTCAGTTTGTATGAGCTTCACCGCACCCCCCAGGAGGCCATTACAGACGACACAGAGATTGCAGTCTCCCCTCGCAGCCTCCACAGTGAGCTGATGTGTCCAATATGCCTGGACATGCTGAAGAACACCTACACCACTAAGGAATGCCTGCATCGATTTTGTCAAGAGTGCATCATTACTGCGCTGAGGAGTGGGTGAGTTTTGTTGTTATTCAAAACGGCTCTCAAAACACACTACTATAATCTAGCCTACAACACCACAGAATAAGTTCTTCTGGTTGTCAGACTGTACATGTTATAGTATACACTGTTTTTGTTTTTGTTTTTTTGTCGTTTTTGTTTTCTGTTGTAGCGCCATGAGTGCCTTTTTTAGGTGGATGTGTACGCATTTTAAGTATTCATTATTATTATTAATTATTATTATTATTATTATGAACTTTCTTGGGTCCCATTTCAGCTGCTAGACACAGACATTTAATTATATTCTGTGCAAAAAATAGGTTCCCAGCCAGGTTTTTACAGATACTGCCATCTTTGTTGTCGCCAATCATTCTCAAGTTCACATATCGCCACGTAATATGAGTTTTAACCCGCATGGGCTTCATGGTGCATATGTTCTTGGGCAAGACACTTTACCACAAATTGCCTGTCTATACCCTATTTATAAATGGCTATCTGAAAGGGTAGTCACCAGATTGTACTGATCATGAGCTGCTGCAGAAAGGGTAGTAATTCCTAAGTACACTGTGTAAAGTGCTACATGTACCTGAATATAAGTATTTAATAGAGTAAGTATTAAAGGTTGTGCATTTTGTGGGCTCAATGTTCCAGTGATCGTAAGTTTGAAATCTTGCTTCAGTCATATTTTGAAATATAGACTCAAATGGAACAGCGGCCTATCAGGTATGTGACAGGCTTAGTAGCAACAATATTAAATGCAAATTCTCTTCTTAAGGAAAATCATGATTTGTAGTCAATCAATTGCTGTGATCTGCATCTGTGTTTGGTTTTCCTTTTCTAGAAACAAAGAATGTCCAACATGTCGTAAGAAACTCGTGTCCAAGCGGTCACTTCGTCCAGATCCCAACTTTGACGCCCTGATCTCCAAGATTTACCCCAGCAGAGATGAGTATGAGGCCCATCAGGTATGCAACAGTCTTAGCAGCAGCAATCTACCTTATAAAACGCAAATTCTTCTATGGATAGTTTCATAAACCCAATTACCTGTGCAGTACATTTTAGGCACAAAATAATTTCACCTCGGCCACCCCAAATGCTTCAATGCGATTTTCAAGATTTGAGGTTTTCACTTCACAATTCGAATTTGGAAGCTGAAGGATTTTAAATGATTCAGTACCTGATCTAGGATTTAGAGAGGTACTCATAGAACACTCCAAGGACTCTAGTTTTCTGAGTTTCTAGTTTGATCATATTCATTGGACAATGATGTTGGACTTCTACTTTCTTGACCTCAGGAGCGTGTTTTGGCCAAGTTGACCGGTCACCACACTACTGCGTTAAGCAACAGCATAGAGGAAGGGCTCAAGATACAAGCCATGAACAGAGCACAACGAGTGGTAAGTACACAATTAAGCCGCTGTATCACTCACTTGAATTTAGGATCTGAGAATGGCTTGCACATTGGTGTCCTTACGACCTCTGACATGAGGTCAACTCTTAAATATCCCCATTGGAACAATTAGGCCCTGTATTTTGTTTCTTTGTGTACTTGAGAACTTAACCAATCAGGCTACTGGGAAGGCAAAGAAACACTGTAGGTGGAAAGTTCTGTAAAGTAAATAGTGTCACTGCCGTCCTATTTCTTTTTACTTAAACTCTCAGAGAGTTAGTTCTGTAGGTGTATAAAGTGTGATTTGAGCAGTAGTCACCAGGGAACTGATCATAATAGTGATCATTCTTAATCCTGTAAACCCACCACCAGTCATTATATGGATTGCCTTTATGTGATTCACCCCCTATAGAGGAAGCACAATCAAGTATGTGAGGACATGGACCCAGGGGATGCCGTCTGTGGTGGCAGTGGAGGGGACATAGCAAGCCTGGACATGGATCCTGAACCTGAACAGGAAGCTGGTGAGGCAGATACCTGCAAGAGATTACGGACATCGGATGAATCCAGCACCGAGGCTTTGGAACAAGTTACTGATAGCAGTAATGCGGACACGGCTGATACACATAATAACGTATGTTGTGTAGGAAGGGAGCAACCCACTAATGGCTGTCGCTCTAGGTTTAATAAGCCTCTGTACTGATGACGTCACACTTTGTTTACATGTGTGCTTTCTTATGGGAGCCTGGTGGGGACGATGGTTTCGTAGCCCCATAGAAAAGCGCACAAGTTAACAATGTGACGTCATCAGTACAGGGGCTTATTACTCTCAACCATTACAAGCTACAATTCACAAGTGTTTGAACAGTAATGGTAATTGGTATGGAAATTGGTTGTGGTTAAACAACATACTGCACTGCATAAAACTGCAGTGAAATCTTGATAAGTCAAACCTCAAGGGAACAGGTTCAAAATTTGACTTCAGCAGAGTTTTTAGTTAAGCAGGGTTGTATATCATTGTTATACTACTGAAGGGAATGTATACTTTGTTTGACTTAACAGTTGTTCTGAGTTATCAGCTTTTGACTTATTGAGATTTCAATGTGCTTCTCTTTACATGGTGTGTGCGTCACCACCGATGGGGGTTACAATGACTGTGCTTTGACTTAAGTTTTGGCATCGTGGAAGGTGCAAGATTCTTGCCACATATAAACCCCATCAAAACAAAACAAACGCCATTGACATTGTGTAGGAGAATTAGGTGTATCTGTAGCAGAAAATGGCCAAGTGCTGTCTGCCCAACAGATACATGGAGGTGCACTGCATTATGAAACGCTGGCTGTGAGTCATTGAATGAATGTTGAAATTCCTAGGCTTGCCCCTGATTTCTTTGATTTCTCTTACTTTGTCTGCTCGCTCTCAGGAGATTGAACTCGTCTTCAAGCCGCATCCCTTGCATGAACATCAACTCTTGAGACCAGAATCCATGCGTTATCTGAAGACGTCAGCTGTAGCAACCATCGATCACCTTGGCAAATATCTCTCCATGCGTGTCGCCTTGGATGCAAGAGGTATGGAATATTCTGGACTTTTTTATTTTGTGAAAATTAAAACCTGACTGAAGTCTCATTCTGTGTCGTGGAAACAAAAAGATTGGAACAAGATTTACAAATATTCAATTGAGAAACACCATAGAAGTCTAATAAAGCATGACATTTCCTTGTGATCTGTGACTTCAAACTTCTAAGTTGCCTTTCTGAAGAAGCATTCTCTGTTGTTTTGACAAAGCCGATTATTTGAAAAGGTTTTTAGTAAAAAATGAAAACTGTAAAAAGCTAATGTATCCCCTTCAATAACAATGATGGAAGCATTTTAGGTCATTCTTATTCAGTGCTGTGTAAGCACTGGGTTATATTTTAATGCCTCTTGATGCAAAATGTTGATCATTTCGTGCACTATTTCTGAAAATCAAACCTTTTCTTTGCACCTCTGTTTGATATAATTTGCTGTCATAAGTATCCTTTTATCGCACTGACCAGCCATTTTGACTCGTTCTTACTGTCTAGAGAGTGGTCAACGTGACATTACGGGCCCCCTGGAGTTTGACATCAGTATTAGTTCCACACCGGCACAATATACGGTGAGTACTGCACCAAACAATCCCATGTATATAGCTCTCCCATATTGGCTTATTTGTACAAACATGCATTAGCTCTGTTAAATTTAGTACTGAAGTTCATTCTAACTGTATATCAGCCAAATGTTAAGCATGCTGATTCAAGTGTATCGGACCAGTCTTTATCTGTTATGTCACCCTCTGAAATTCCATACAAGATCAAGCCTATTGCTGTCATTCATTCATTTTTTTAATGGTTTTTGTTCTTCAGATATTGATAGGGTCGATGACCCTGGAGCAAGTACAGGACAAATATTGGCGAGTGTCCCGGCCATTGGAGATGTACTACAGCATCAAAGGCAGCCATTAGTGGGGGCCACGGCGCAATGTACAATGTATATAACCTAATGTATTTGAAATGTCTTGTGTTGTCTGGTCTTGTTTGTGAACTCAGTCAATATAAATGTGCACCACCAAGTGAATGCACATATGTGACGAGTTATTTCGCAATGCAGTGCACTACCAAGCAGTTTTTTTAAACCGACAATACAACTTTCCAACATCGTCAGTCAACATCATGTATAAATTATCCTACAGTTATTCACTTATTCTTCATTGTTAATGTGCATTACCACAAAAACATGAATGAATTTGGAAGCCTTGTAACATGACACTCGTGATCTTCATTAATATTCCAAACAATCAGACAGAACATTACAATAGTCTTTGTGAATAAATAATAGTTAAGAGACAAGTAAACTTTTGTTGACAAAAAGGCCTGCCTGCGGTAACCTTGTTGGTGCATTGCATTGTGAATTGCCCGTTTCATCTTCATGTGAACAAAAGTGCCAACCTGGTACATATTGTTACTTGTGCTATTTTTGAAAATGACCAAAATTTCAATAATTACCACAAACATTCGGGGAGTTGGCAGTTATTTGCATATACGCATGAATTATGAACGAGAATGTAATATTTAGTGTATGTGATCTTACTAGGGGAGATTGGAAATAAAAAAACATGGTGAAAGCAACCCATCATTTTGGATCTCATTGGCTTTATTTCATCACATTCTTTTCAAAGGTTATTGTTATGTGTTACACTGACTGCTGCTGCATTTAAAATGCAAGGAACTATTTGCATTTGAAATTGTTGGCAACATTGCTCCTTTAATCTACTGGCTCAGTGACATCTAACCTGTTTCACTGATTGTTTAAAAATACTTGATAATGTTCGGAAAATTAAAAAAATACAATTACCAATATGTAACTTCCAAAATCTCAAAGTTTAAATATACAAACTACATTATGTCACTCTCTAATTTTTATAAATCACACTTGATATTTATTTTTGAAACAATAAATTTATTACAAGAATTATTTCACAGGCAAAAGCCAATTTCAGGAAATCACAAAGCATTGAAAGTTGCTAAGCATGTGAAAAGACTATTAAAGCAACTACAGGCAAGGGTACCAGCCAAAATGCCCTGAGATGCATAACATGTACCTGGTACGTATCGCTTGATTTCAACTACAGAAGCAGATTCTAAGAAGTTAAGCTGTTTAGATTTCTACATTGCTTTCAAGTCATTGGATTCGTTGTCTTTATCATTGAAGTATTGGTTCTTTGTACAAATTAAACTCTACATGTGGTATTCAAAAGTTCTGAGTATTAAACGTTGCATGTACTCCAGACTGCCTACATTTTTTGTCTCTTTTCATGTGTCATACTTGTGTCAACATTTAGGAATAATTTCAAAATTCACAGTTTTAGTTGGGCAGTGTTGCAGACCAGTCCACTACAAGTCCAGTCTCAAGTTGTTTGTTATTGTTCATCCACTTTACTTGTGCCCAGTCTTGTGAATAAACTTGTGATAGACTGCTGTGCATTGTCAAATAAAAATTTAGTATATTATTCTAACTTTTACTTGATTGAATATATACTCAATATTTGGTTTGAAATGCGCTGTTAAAGTGTAACATGCGTGGGCCTAAACTGACCACCAAACGGGATTTGCGTGCACCTGCGCTTATCAAAAATTAATAGAACTGGTGGCGGTGGTTGATATATAGTGACCAAATTTGAAGAAGACATTTGAGCATCATAATAAGTCCTCATGGGAGCTCTCAAATCATGGGCAAAAGTGGCTTTTGATAAAAGTGTAACATTGGACCCCCAAAGCCCCCCATTATACGATTAAAATAACATTGATGTATTCCATCCATGTCTCCTGGCAACCGCTCACATTTTTCGTATATTTGAATTGAAAAAATGCTATTTGCATGATTAGTTGATTATCAAAATTGGAGTATTTGGGACGGCTCCATAGTGGACTAGACTACACCACCAGTTGGGGTTTGCCATTAATTAAGCATTGCTCTGGAGCGTAGCGCTGTCATAATTTGGATTGGCAATACTGAGATCTCTGCCTAGTGAGCCCTCTCTGTTGTCATTAGCATCGCCCGTCTCATTCTTGTACAGCACAGAGGGGATATCCTTGAGAACTCGCCGACGTCGGATGAAGTACACAGCTCCAGTGGCTATGACCACAAAAGCAACGGCCAATAAGATGCCAAGGAGGACTTCTGTAGCAATCGTACCGCCAGACACCTGGGCCGATGTATCCCCGGGCTTTGCAACTACATGGAGAACAAACAGAATATTGCGTATTATTACATCTCATACATATTCATGAGCCAAACTTGCTTCTTTTATTGGTCGATATTCCAAAGTGTCAGGTAGTATTAACAGACCACTACAGAAATTTGAGAAATTGGTTATCCAGAGAAATCCCACATATGTGCACAACAGTCCAACAGGCTGGAACATGAAGCATGCCATTAGGCAGGTGTATGTGTTGGTGCCCATTGGATCAGTGTACTGAAGATATAATCCTACTTTGAAATATAATCCAATCAGGTAACAAAACTATTCAAACTGATGAAGGGAATAATAAAGGGATATCACAGACAGTTACTTACGTTCATCGCAGCTATTTTCCCGGATCATCAGGTTATCTATGGCGATGTAACCCGTGCTACTGGAACCAAGTTTGCCAGTAAAGAAAATCTGTCAAGAAAGTGCGATGAAAAACAGTTATTGATAAAAGCAACTGGTGCAGGTACAATTTTAGACGTTTATGTTAAGACCAGAGTTACGTAGTATAAACCATTCTGATCACTATGGGCTCCGTGCACCAACAAAAGAGGGCATATTTTTACCTCTTTTTAGAGCTCCGTGGACGGGACACACAGTGTGCCCGTACTGTACTATGTGTAAGCTGGTTCGCGCACGAAGTACACACAACTTTCTGAATGTGTAAAAGCTATAGCCATTGACTTTCGCGTGAGCATCAGGGGTCGTCGGCGTGCGAATACTTTCAAATTCAACTTGCGATGGTCTCCAAGACTAATCCCCGCCTCCAATAACTTTGGATACATTTGAAATACGCAGTGGATGGATCGGCAACCAGTCTAGGTCAACCTCAACTCTCCTTTTCTGGCCGTTGATGGGGTACCTGTGTACAGAGCCATACACTACTGGAGATCCCTTTCAATGGTGAATGCATTGTACCAGCCATCATGGCCATAGGATCAGGTTATCTGTGCGTGGCAAGTCACTTTATACAATAGCTGGCTCAATGCCTTGGCCATGGAAGGGGAACCATTGAAGGGGAACCATTGAAGAGGCACCATTGAAGAGGCACAATTGAAGGGGACGCCGTGAATGTTCAGTGAACTGCATAGTGATAGCTGCTTGGATTAATCTATAGAATGTATGACAAAGCAGATAGTGGGAAAAGTCCCAATCACAGCCGTAAAATGTGAATGTGTGAGCACACAAAGTAGTCTTGCTTTGAGGGGAAAAGGCAACACTGTGCTTTAAATGAAGGTGAAAGTAGACAATAAAAAACACTCTAATAAAAATCAAAGCTGAGCTGCCAAGATCTTAGAATGCACTTACTGTACAAACAGTTTTGAACAAATACATTGCACTGTAAAATATACGATATCCGACTGTTATTTCGCCCGCCTCTTAATATCACATTGTTTATGACTTGACAGTCGTTTAAATACAGTTTTAAAAATGTACGTTTTAATTCCCAGATGCAACAACAGTTTTAAGAAAAGTCTCCCTCTCACCATAAAGTCTTCACCAACTTCTGCCTTGGTCAGTGTCCTGCGGTCGTGCGTCCAGCCTGTCACGTCAGTCTTGAGCATCAAGTCATAAGGCACGCCAGCCTTCTGATATACAGACACCATCAGTTCTCCCTCCTTGTATATGGTGTAGTCATAGTCCAAGCAGTGTTCATTAGTGTGGCCGGCCATGAGGGGACTCAAGATGACCGCCCAGGTATCGGGTTTGAAGAAGGTGCCATCCAGGTACATGAAGGAGCCATCACCTAGCAAAACAAAATGAGATCGTTGACTTGCATGAGGCTTTTACAAAACACTGACTCAGTAGCGCTTCCCGTGATCTTCAACAAATTTGATTTTGTCTTTGTTTTACTCCAACCAAAAACCCAACTTTTTTTCCTTTTTTGGGATGTCTGCAACCCTCTGAAACAAAGGTTTTTGTTTTGGGCACAAAGAGATCGGTTTTGGGAGCAGACTGACTCCCTGTTCTTACATTTCTTTTGGATCGATGCCACATCCAAAAGTGAATAATTTTTGTATTGCTAGAAAAACAGCAATTTAGAAAAGGAATCTATTTTTAGGGATGGAACCCTAAAATAGCACGGAGAATGCAACTTTAAGTTATGGTTTTCATGAAGAGTGAATGCTAATGAGCATATGTGTGTTACTTCTATTGCTGATTTGTTCTTGTTGTTGTCATTGTTTCAGGTTTTATCATCAATGGCGGGCATGATTGCTGCCATTGTCATAATGCTAACATGTCATTGCATTACATTGATCATTTGCATAAATGTCATTCTCCTGAAGTCAGCAACATCATCATCATGTTCATGCAATCTCAATGTTGTCATCACATTATTCACATGTTCCATGATCATCATTCTCGGCAGAACAATTATGGTGTGTGACTCTAATCATCGTTGTCATCACCTCATTTTCATTTCACAATGCCACTGCCATCATCATTGCAAATGCTCCATAGAACCAGCCAGCACTATCTGGCTGTCATTTCTAAATGACATTGCTATCGTCACCATTGTCAATTGTCATGCTAATGACATGGTAATTGCTCCTCCACACCATACCTGCCAGCAGTTCTCCAGGGAGGGTAGAGTCTGTGATGTATTGATCATACCACAGCCAGTAGGTGTCAGCTTCATAGTATTGGTGGAACCCGTTCAAGTCTCCAGGCATCTCAAAAGAAGTGAAGGCTTCCTTAGCAAAGCCAGGGCACGGCTCAAACCGTAGGCTGATGTCATCAATGGCCATATCACCTGCCACTCCGTAACCAACGACACCTTCAAATATAATCTGAAGAAATAAGAGTAACTTGCTATGACATGTGATATTATGTGACCCCATGTGACACCGTGACACCACGGCGACACACCGTGTGACACAAAGAGCACCAAGGGATCCATCCTTGTACGTCACAGTTTCCAATATCCAAATTCCCTCAAGCCACTGCATTACTGATTGTTTGCCAAAACAAACTGAATGATTATAATGCAAAAACTGGTCACAATAAATTTGTAAACTTTTTTCAAAGGTTAACATCAATGACTGAACAGTAAATGCGAATTGTTCCCAGGTTCTATGAAAGTCTATCAACAAAAATGTTAAGTTTGTGGTTTTCTACAAAGCATCTGGGTAGAGTCCGTGTCCTATCAAATTTAGACTGCTGTAAAATTGTGCAATTTAATTTTTATGGACTCCTTCTATGGACACTTGCTGTTTGTGAGATGCACTGTGTATAGAGACATGCACAATACAACCAACGAATCTGTACTTCAACAATTGCACACTGCACCAGTCAAAAGTCTCCTACCTGAAACCGCTCCCCCATGTTAGTCAAGTCCACTGCCGCTGGCCGCCACATGTCCTTGGAGTTGCCCGTCAGTGACAGCAGCAACCCGTTTGCCGTTTGGGTCAGCCAATAGACGTTGATTTTGCCCACATCGGGGCCGTTCATGTGATAGAAGAATACCATGCATTTGGGGGTGCCTGACACATGGTACATGGGAGGGCTCATTAGACGAGCTCGATCGTCCGGCCGCTGGGGTAGGGATGCCTCCACGTACATGTACGTCCCTAAAAAGAAAAAGATGCAACAAACGGATCATCAAATAAGGGTTATAAGTAGGACCCATTACAAAGCATTATTTTATCTACTGTTCATGTAATTATACTGTCCAGGGTCCACAACAAGCAAAAGATCTGAGAAGTTTGATTGAACGAACAGGAACATGAGTCTTTCACACACTCGTCTCGGTCCGGCAACATGCAACCTGTGATGTGACCAATGTTGGCATGTGGCATTATGGTGTCAAGTATGCTCCACTAAAGTGATTCTGAATGTCCACAAACCCGTTGCATCTTTGTGTGAGCTTCAGGCATTGTCAGCTATGCGTCAAATAGGGCGTGTGCAAGTGAAGTCAGTCAAACTATGGTTAACCAAGCTCAATCTTCCTCCCCACTAATTTCCGTCCCAACAACCACTTACCTTTCTCAGTCCCCAGGGTATGATCCACCTGTGGCCCTGTGCCCTTTGATGCCGTGGCACCGCTGTGCTCCAACCAATAGAAGTCGTAATATCTCTGATGCTCGTAGCCACAAGCTTTGAAGCCAGACTCAAAGTCACAACTACCGTCCATGGGGTTTGGAGCAGCCGTGGCTATGGATGAAATAGAAAGGAAAAACTGGCTCAGAGTTAGTCCTATACCAACAAGAAAGGAGATGAAATACTGTATCAAATAGACAAGCATACTATTGTGTTCTAGGCTTATAATCTTATAGGCATTTCACAGTTATTTTGACCGCCATCTCTTGAAAGATGACATTCAACTTGAAAACAGTTGCTCATAACGGATGATTTATAGAAGTTGCATGTTGCAGACAAAAAGACAGGATAAACTTAGTATGAAGCTTTCAGTTTTTCAGTGTTGACTCCCACTTATTGATGCTCTTCTTTAAATGATGATGATGATTTTATTAGATTTTTTTTTTATATTTTTTTTTTTTTAGATTGATTGGGTTTTCCAGTTGAGATAGCTTGAAAAGTCCACAGAAAGTGTTTATGCATAGTATGCATGTTTGGTGTTAGGATTGTGTATTTCTGCTTCAAATTTCAATATTTTTATCAAAGTTCTGTTGGAGAGACGTGAGCATGTAAGGTTCTGATTACATTTGATAAGTTACAATCTCTTAATAAATGATAGTATTTCCACATTGTGTCCGCTTGACAATGTTCTTGGGTGTATGGCAAACTCATATCAACTTACCTTTTGGACAAGCACCCATTGTGAACTTGATATCGTCAAGGCCGACATTGTTGTAGTAGCTGTACAAAGCCTCAAACACAACCTGTGCAAACAGTCAGATAGTACACAAACTCTTGAAGTTCTAGGTAGCGATAAGGCAGTGAGCTGTTATGCCTGGAACATCATATCACACTGTTTTGATTTTGTCTTATTTAGGAAATATATCTTATTCACAGAAATAGCTTGTGTTTTTAGCCAATGTTTTTAATGCTATAATTTTAGGAAATATTAACAAGAGTATTTTTGGTGAGTTTGTGGAACCTATTCAAAAGCTATAATATAAAGTGCATGTGTTACAGCTAATGCATGTGTGACTAGACTTACAGTCAGTTCTCAAGAACTACAGAGATCAATTGGAGGTTTGGCTTAGAGCAAGCATGACTAAGTATAGTAAACTGTAATTTGACTGGCTTCACTCGAACCCACACCAGTCAACCAGAGTTTGATTTTGCCTAGCTGGTTACAATAGCCACACTACCGTAATTTTCGGAATATAAGCCGCGGCTTATACGATGATTTTGCCCATGAAAATGTTTACTGCGGCTTATACACAGGGCGGCTTATACGCCGAGCCTTGAAGAATAAAAATGAAATTCACATGTGTATTTAATGTACTGGTACAAGAAGAGATGTGTTGCTGAAATGAATTATCAATTAAGAAAGTCATTAACCAACCGAAACCACGTGCCACGTAAAGGTGCCGAGCGGTAAAAAGTACGGTGAAAGCTGTCTTCGATCGACGCTTGCAACAAACCGTACGTGATTCTAGTGCTGCTGCATGCAGCATGCTTTCCCCAGCGGACCACACCATTTGAGGTAATATAGGGGTGTACTATCTTGGAAACAATAATTACCAACATTTCCGCTGTTTAAAAAAAGAAAAAAGACGACTAATACTTTTTATGGTGTCCAAAACATTTCTTTATTCGATAATCAGTTGTTCAAAGTCACAATATAATTTTTGTACTTGAAATGTATTCAAGAAACGACGTAAACCTCAAAACAGGGACTACATCACCCCTTACAAAATTAATGGATTCGTCATGAAAATGGCAGCATCATTTTGACTATTTTCGAAGAAAGTTACAATCGAAACTTGAATACTGCTCGTTAGTAATCACAAACATTTGATAAGTTTTGAGATAAAAACGGACCTGTATATTTTTAGGACAAAACAAATCAGCATCTGTTGCCACAAAGCAAGATTTGTACGTAGCGCTCCAGTCAGACAACACACACAATGGGGGAAAATCACGGTCGGTTGCATACTCTCTCGCGTGCTGCAGGAAAATGTTGTCATAGGCCGGCGCGGTGCAGGCTGCCGCACCGGGCGATGTATTAACTTTTACGGCCGGGGACCGGACGGGGCAGCCGGCAGCAATTCCCGGTGTTTATTTCTCAACATCAATTTCCACATTTGTTTGTGAGAGTATCGATTGTAAATGATTTGATACAACTTTTGTGGCCCTTTTTATAGCTTCTGTAGTGTAAATGGAACTGGTTCAAAGCAATTTGGCTAGAATTTGGAGGCCTTACAAAATTGAAACCGCTGCCGTCGGTACGGCTTATATGCCGGTGCGGCGTATACGCCAACTTTAAATCTTAATTTGCAGGATTTTGCGTGCTGCAGCTTATACGCCGCGTGGCTTATATTCCGAAAATTACGGTAATTATAATGCACTGCAGGATACCAGGTCAGATATTGTTTGATAACATTTTGACTAGCGTGTAGCTATTTAACGTTGCGTGCTCTTCAAAAGATTTCATTTTTGTGTCTCCTTATATATTTTTAACTTGTATGTTTTACTTCAACCACAACACCTCCTTTTTTTTCTCCACAGGGGTGTCTATACAACCCTCTAAAAAAAAGATTTCATTTTAGGCACAAACAGATCCACCTTGCGAGCAGACATGGCTCCCGGTCCATACATTATTGATACTGATTGTGGGGTGGGAACCAGTCAATCCTGCGAGACCGGAATTATTGTTGGGCCGCAAGTAATTTGAAATTGATTAAGTAATGATTCAATAACTAAACATAGGTCGATTTTTTTCGGTCCATGTCTCATTCAAAAGTGAATAACTTTTGCTTTGCTAGAAACATAGCAATTTAGAAAAGAAGGTTTTTAAAGAATACCTGGAAGTTGGAGTCCATGGGAGGAATATCCACACGAGCCATGTTCCATTTGTCCCCCTGATCTCCATATATGGAGAAGAGTGGATCGATGGCGAGAGTGTCGCCCCAACCAGCCAAGTAGATCATCAGGAAATCTGGTCGGTAACCAGACATGAAGTAGTAGAACTCCAAGCACTGGGATTGGTTGGTACCCATGAGTAGCGGTGAGTAGATATCTGCTCTGTCGTCATCTCGGAGGTAGTAAGATCTGGTGTCGATGTACAGGTAGTGGCCTGGGATTTATCAAAATATAAAAAAAAAATGAGAAAAACAACAAAAACATGTCACTGATCCCAAAGTCCATTTTGTATTTACAAAAGTTGAGCCAATCTTAAGGTTTGATAAATTCTTGAAACGTAGTTTAGTCTACCGCATCTTTTTAAAATATTTTAAAAAACTACAATACCTTATCCTGGTTTAGGGTAAAGCAAAAATCAGATTTTTATTCTGAAAAAGTAGCTCAAACTTTGTGAGTTCTCAAAGCAAAATGTTTTCCTTTAAAGGGAATAATATACATCATTTGCTTTTGCTGTAATTTTCAGAAATGGATGGAATTGGGGGGTTGGAAATATATAGCAAATATAGTTACACTGACTTTTTTGAGGTTTTGGGTTCGAAAATGCTATAAAAACCAAGAAAAACAATCATTTTCCTGTAGTCTGGTTCCCTGACTCAATATAAGAAGAAACAGAGCACTTTACATACATTGGGGAATTGTAAGGTCAGGGAACCAGTCTAGTTTTCTTGTACCCGTTCATAGGTGTGTAATCGATTGCAAACAAGTGCGATGGTCAATTGGGGCCAATATATTTGAAAAAAGCCAGTTTTGTCCAACGCTGGTCGGCCGACCAGCGTTGAAAATTTAAACAAAAATACCACTTTTCTTGAAAATGACAGTATACCAGGTGCCATGATTTTACAGGATGCTTTACACTGTCATTCACTAACAGTCCAGCAAGGTATTTCAAAATGATTTGGTAGTTTTATTTTTTGATGTTTGCAAATGTTGTATTTTCCCTTTAATACATTTTTAAATGCGAGGAGTAAGGTTCAGTTGTTAAAACACCTTTGTTATACACTAGTGGATAAATTACTGGCTGACAATTATTTTACTAAAATGTGACACTTTGTTTTGGTGACACTATATTTTGAACAAAACATCCCTTGGTTCTATTTTTTGGCGAAAAAACAGGCCACGTACCATTAGCAGTTCCTAGTGTATGGTCAATCGGTATAGGAGAAGCCCTCCCATATGACCAATCATACTCATCATAGATGGACTGGGTGTAGCCACACATTGTATTGTTCACGTCTTCAAAATCACAGTTTGCGGACGAGACAGGCGCTGGCGTGGTCGTTGGAATTGGCGCACCGGTCGTAACTGTTAAACAAAGGTGGTTAAGTCAACTGTGAGAGATAACAACTCAGAGAACACTTTTCTTTGTAAATCAAATTGATTATACAGTGCATGTGATTAGATTTGAAATAATAAAAACTATGGTAAACTATAGAAGGTTCACAATAAGAACTGTTAGTTGTATAACGATATTTATATATCAAAATACACTACTTACCTTTACGTTTTCAGGTAGAATATTTAGTTATTTTTTTTTTACTAGTAGGTTGGTTTTTCGGTCAAGGTAGTTGCCAGAATGTGGAATTGAACTAGTCCGAGTATCACCCGTTATCCACGGAGCCCAGACTCCTGTCTAACGTCTAATATACCAAAGTATACAGATTTTCTTGCGCCTCAGCCAATCGGAGTCGACTTTACTAAATCGTGACGTCATTTCATTCCCAAATCAGGACCAAACGTTTGATTGGTCAATTCAAAAGCAGTGTTTTTGTAACACAACAGCCGGGCGCGTATCGCGTAACATAATACATAGCGCGTGACCACAGCCTTTGTTGCTGTGTCTAGGTTTCTTTTATCCATGTCTATGACGCGACAATGTGTGAATGACCCAACAACCGATATAGAAAGCGCCCGCTGATTGGTCAAAATCTAGAGGTCAAGATGCGGTTGTCTTGCATAATTAATCAGCGAATTTGCTCAAATGTTATTCTACATGTATCTGTTATGGTCTATTAAACAGACTAGGATTGAACCAGGTCAAAATGAAAAAAACATTCAATTTGATTAGTTATGTTCATCGTGTGCCACTGTAAATTTGTATTTTCTGGGATCAAAGCAAAACAATACTTACATGGAGGACAATCAGCTCCTTCGTAGAACGTGACGTCATCAATAGCCATGTTGTCTCTGTATGCCTGCCCTCTGGTCCCCTCAAAGACAAACTGGGGACAAGATTTCAAAAAGAAATACAGGAAAAAAGATTAATTTAATTTGCATCTGGGCAAAATGTACTGGATATAGCTTTAAAGAAAATCTGGTCAATTTAAAGCTGGCTTATTTCCCAACTCCAGGCTTTCATGCACTCCCAGGTGAAAAAGTAGATCGGTAGGATCAAAATAAAACAAAAAAATATCAGGATAAAAGTAGGACTTTTGCGGGCTTTCAGGAGTAGTTTCCATTGATGCTCACCCATGTCCATAGCATATAAGCCTCATTTGGCATGTTCTGTATCCACAACACTTGTGCTCCATCCTCAACTAAGCTCTTGGAAGTACAGTTGCAGTACTCCTGCGCCCAAGCCCTTCATTGTGTGATTTACATATGACAGTGCATAACACTGTTTGAAAAATATTCAATGAGATTTCTTTTTTTTCGCAGTTGTGGGACTGTAACATAGGAATTTCTTTTTTAAATTTCGAATTTCAAGAGAAAAGTAGGAGCAAGGTGAAAAAGACTAGGTAGGAGGAATACTTGAAAGCCTGTGACTCCCTAAGAAATGTGTCGATTACAATGGACTGTGTGTATAAACAATAGATGGCGCTTTGTTTCCACTTGTTAGTGATCCATATGTACACAGCGGTTTGCATATTATGGTGCGAGGTATGCAAGATGGAGTTTAACTCTAAATATGCACAAACACATTGTGTCTTCACATGAGCATCAGGCGCTGTCAGTAATTATTATGCATGCACGAGTCTTTACAGAGTCATCTCCCCCAACTGTTTGTCTATAATCGTGGAGGACTTATTGTGCATGGTGTCCATTCCAACCCAGCGTGACAGTTCAGGTCTCACTTGTGCTAATTGAAGAACACACATTTCAATTTACCAGCCAAGCTAAGGCCATCAGTGCTACAAGTAACTCTATGACATACATGCACAGAATAGTGAAATTCTTGGTTTCAATTCTAATTTCAAGTGCTTTCTTTACCTACCCTGAATTTGTAGTCTGTGACCGGTACATCCACCGTGGCCCTGTGCCAGTAGTTGCCCTTATCTCCACTCATACTCCACACAGGGTCATCAGGCAGGTCGGTTGCACCACTCTTCTTCATGTAGACATGTAAAGACTCAATGTCCCGGCCATACATGTGATACCAGAACTCTAAGCAGGATTGTCGAGGTTGAACCTTGGCTTCTGGAGACAGCAGCCGAGCAGTGCCACCGGGGAACGTGTTGTAATCCTCCTGGATGTACATGTAGAACCCTGGTGGTCAAATGGTCAAGGATTGTGTGAAAAGCTGGCAAAATGTCGGTTGGGAACTTTCTTTCAGGTTTGGTAACAAGAGGCCATTTCACATTGCGATCTCTGCTAGCTGTGTTGATTTCAACATGGGTCCTTTATGAGCAAACCCAGGTACATGTAGGGCTGAACATGGATTAGAAAGGCATATGATTTACATAATAATAACCCACTCATGTAGCAACAGCTGCCGCAGTCATTATTGTGTCTCAACCGTAGATTGAAAAAGTAGTAGTAGATTCTTCTATATGAGACAAGGTAATTAGTTTTAATGATACAGGACGAGGGTTCTCAGAATTCAAAAGCATGGTACATGTCAAAAATATATGATGGGACAAAGGAGAAGTTCAACTGCCAATGGAATTAGGAAAAAACATTGAAAGATTTTATCAAGTTTTTTCACAGTTTTTCAAGTTGCAATACTGATGAGGAAAAAAATGCACTTGGAATTCCTGTGTTTTTATGGACAATCTTTTGTTTGCAAACGTAGCTTTGTGGCTCTATTCATGGATGTTGTGATACTTTACTTTGCTTGTGGAATCTTTCTTGTGCTTTAATTTATTCCAACATTCATTTTAGGTTATTGACAACGTCCAATCAGTTGGGTGATGGTTTTTTGAATTGTTTTTTTTTATGGTTTGATATCATTTTAGTATTGTTTTATTTTTGATGCCATTTTGTGTTACTTTTATCATTTATTTATTTCATCTGGTTTTGGGAATCCTGTTTGACTGTTTTACAATGTGTTTAGCCTGTTTTACAATGCATTTGGTCTTTTTGATATATTGAAGTTTCCTTTCGGCTTTCATGTTTGTTTTTTGTTTGATATAAATATATTTATATTGATCAACTTTGGTTTTATCTTTATCTAGGAAAACAACTTTTTGGAAGTTAATGTGTGAGGCATTTGTTTGGCAGTCTGGGTTGTGTTTTTACAAAAAAAAAAACATGTGCAAGGTTTTTAGGTTTAACCTCAAGTTTAAATAGGCATTCCATATTCATAATCATCAAATCACACAAGTAACTTCTACAGAGCATGTCAAGTATTTGCATTTTATAGATCTTGAAAGAGTTCAGGAACTAGGTCTTCGCTAAAAAACCTGAGGATTGGCAAATGCTGTCAAAGCATTGTAAAAAGTTTGCAGGGCACATGTGACTTCAGGACTAAAGACATATTTGCACATAAGAAAAACAAACATTGGAAAACCTACCCACTAGCTATTCGGTAGGAATACATGAAGGCCTATTTACTAGCAGATAAACCACACAATGGCCGAGTATAACTTTGTTTGACAGACTTCCTGAAGAAGTTTGTTATCGGTAGAATAAATATACCACTTGTCCTCTGGACTTACCAAAAACCAAACAGTCCAATATTTATCTTTTGTTCGCAAACAACACTCTTATCTCAGCCCTGAACCACTTCACACACTAGTATTAACAAGGTGATTATATTGAAGCCAGAAGATAAATGGTAAAATAAAGTGTTTCATGGCCCATAAAACTTGTTTTTATGATGTTGTAAAGTTGGCTTCTTGGTTCACAAGGCCTACCTTATACAACAAATTTGGGGACAAATATTATCTAAGTAGCCAGGAACACGCTGGTACAACTTTACTTTTGCAAGTTGAAAGTAGTAAAGGAATAAAAGTTTGAAACCACAGAAAAAATGTTCTAGGGAATATTTTCTTTTTAAACAATCCCTGCATCATTTTTGTACTAAAACTAAAAACCTGGGGTCAATTTCAGTGCACTTCGTAGCTCATACATAGGGCTTGCTGTGACGGCCATCTCTGTAGGAGAACTGCAACTGCGTATTTTGCGCAATCAAGCAGGCATTGCACAGTGTTGAAAATGTTCCAAACACGCGCGCTTGTTGCACGAAATGTGTTCGAAATACAACGCAGCCAGATCGCGTCATGCAAGTTGACGCTCAAAATGCTGATGCAAATGGATGGTCTGTAGGAAATTACGTCATTTGAACGAGACCTATTGGAAGCACAGCAAAGATCTGCTCATCAAAAACAGATTACCATGCCAAAATGCCATGCTATTTGCTTATGGACCTCAGCAGAATTTTGCTCAGAACATTGATTTAATAAATACTATTTTCTGTTAAGCAACTCTAAGAAATAGGGCGCTGGTTTGATGACAATGTTATGTTAAAGGTAATTCATCACACTCTCACCAAGTTGACTGTTGGTCGTGTGGTCTTCAACTGGCCCAGTATTGGTTAGTCGCTGATTGGCGCCATTTTGCCATACCCAATCAAAATCGTCTGCAGTATCTTGCACGTAGTAGCAGATCTCAATCTCTTCAAAGTCACAAGTGATACTGGAGTAGTTCTTCAGTCCAGCTGCAACCAATGAAAGATTTTCTTCAAAAATGTAACATCAGCATACATTCAACAAATGAGCAAAATCTCAATCCAGGAAACATAATAAAATAAGTAGGCCTATTAAAAACAAACTGGTCGATTGTACATCCTGTGTTTGACAAATGAGGCTTCTAGCAGGTTAAAGGGGCACATTGTCCTGAAATCACCAACTTTTAATGATTAAGATTGTTTACTTAAGCCTTTTCCAAGGTCTGGTTGAAAGGAAAAAGGAAACTGACCTAATGTCACACTGTTCCTGGGAAAAGACACAAAAACACCCCTGTTGTTTGCTTCTGATGCAGCAGACTTTTTGTGGCATACGTACTTCCAGCCATTAGTCTCCTACTGGACGTTAAGTTGGCCCAACTTCAGACAGTTCAATGAACAGTACACAACGTGAGTGTACGCTTAATGTATAAGTAGGCCTACTGTGAACTCAGCACCAATACACACATGCTGTTTCCCACACGTCTGCAGCATGTGATACACTGATGGAACATGTGCACCCAAACCACTCAGTCACAATTTTGACCCCCGAATTCTGATTTGGCAAGAATAACAACCACATGGCAATTTTTAAAGGATGGTTGTGTGGATGTTTATATTCTACTTTTAAATGCTCATATTTCCAATTGATATTATTTTGTGTAAAGTGCAATTTGTAGACCAATTGGGTGCTTTTCAGGACCTCGTTCCCTTTCAGACAAATTTCAAGGATCTAAACCTCACCCTCTCCAGGGCAGCCCTCAGTGGATGTGATCCACACGTCGTCAAGGGCGATGTCACCTTGGTAACTGCTTCCTCGGAATGCTTCAAAAATGACCTGAAACATTGAAATATTCCAAAATGAGTTGGTGATCCATTCTTAAGTTTTATCCAATATTAGATCTTTCTTAAAATAATGCAGTTATTATGAGGGGCAAAACCCAACACAAGTAACTGGAAATGACATCTTCCCAACCAAAATGAACTTATTGCAAGTTATTAAGAGATGCTTAAAGGTCTCATTAAAAAAAAGTGGGTTCTGCTTTAGAGTTTGGGAACATTTGCAAACGATGTTGAGTTTTGATCGTATAAACTTGTAAATATGCACAGTTTCCACTATTTCAAGCATAATTCTCGTTAAATATTATACAACAATTTTGGTTTTTTTACAGTTGCACTGAACCATATAGTATGGAGCTCTCCTAGTCGACCCAAGTAGATTTTGTTTTTAAGCAGGTGAACTTTAAGGTATTAATTTTCGTATAAACAAGACAAGTGAGACGTTCCTAATGACTGCAATAGTGCATCTTTTGCTGTAGTCACTTCTTACAAATTCAAACATTGAACCATTTGTATTTGTTGAGTCATTTGGTTTGATATGACTCAGCTTGACCGTTACACCAGTCAGAAATGGATATTTAATTTGAATGATCCTCTCCCAGTGGTCTTATAGCAGTGTGTATGAATATCTGACCCCTTAAATTTTCATTTAAATCCACTTCTCTGTGAAAAGAATCTTTAAGAGATGTTTCACGGACATTTAAGTGGGGCTTATAGGACTAATCCTGTAAGGTTTTTTTCACGGTTTTTTAATGGCCCTGGCCACTGAGGATTATCATTGGTTATACATAACGGTACACTGGGTCTATCTCCATGGGTAAACAAAGGACTTTCCTTAGGGTGTTTCAGTCCTAGTCCAGCTTGATATATTTAAAAATCCGTGAAAATTAAGTTAACTGTAAATTCAAGGGAAAATGGCTCTTTAATGAATTTTAAAGGGATGAAGATGTTCATAGTGTTTGTTTACCAGGAAATCCTGATCACTCTGGAGATGAACTTCGGCAGCACGCCACTTGTCCCCACGGTTCCCCGACAATGTCCAGATGAGCTTGCGCTGTGTGGGTGCTGTGGTGTTGGCCAGGAGTACGTTCAAAGCGTCCACGTGCTGGCCGTACATGTGGTACCAGAAGATGAGGCAGTGGGCGTGGCCATGGGTCTCGGTGATGGCCGGGGAGATAAGACGTGCTACATGGCCGACGTTGACGGGGGATGAGGTCTCTATGTACATGTAATTACCTACCAAACCAAAAGACATTGAGAAGTGAGTTTTTTAATAAGGGAATAATTTATAAATATGTGCTTGGCACGTTTTAACCAAGTATGTTTAAAGCCTGTTTGGGGCCTGGTCGCCGACCCAACAAACATTCAAGGGAAACCTACCCGAACCGACTCCAAACTGAATTGACCGAAAAAAACCTGAATATTTGGCTTGGGCAACTGTGTATGATTGTTGTGCCTGAATTTACCCGCGTCTTGTGCAAATCCACACCAGTAGAGAATCATACCGTGCGGTACGGTGATTAAGACTCATAACATTACATAACATTACCTGCTGGTGCGCCTACATGTTACAGACTGTGCATGATAGATTGCAAACCACATGCACAAACACGTACCGGGTTGACGTTGGTCATACAGGGCACAATGTCTCTGCAATAATATTGTTTCGGTTTTTGGGCTTTATTTTGGGTTTTTCACAAGATGGCTTAACCGACCCGACCGACCAGAAAATTCGCAAACACAAAACCAAAAAGGAACCGACCCAACAAAGAAATTTCAAACCACACAAGACTTTGTACAGTGATTTTCAATTTGTAATGGCATTTGTGAGAAGTAAAAATTGAGGAAATCAGCGGATTGGATCCGAGGAAAAGTTGCATGCCTGTCTGTTACTACATGTAGTGTTAAAATCTTTGTTATATATTCACACGCAAAAAAATATTCTAAAAAATATTTAGTTTCAGTTATTCTATCCTCACGTATCACCATAGTCCAATTTCATTGAGCTTCATGGCACAAAAATAATTGCTTTAAAGCGAAACTGGATGACCAACCAAAATGTCATATGATGTATATAGCTTACCATTGGTTCTCACCTTTCTGATGTTAAGCTCAAACATTTGTGAAGCATTATTTTTTGTTCAGCCGTTACATGAAATTGGACCTATAAAGTATCTAAGCAAGCATCTGTATCTCTGGTCCAGAGGACTAGGTCTTCATCTATTACAACTTTGCTGGGCACATGCTGACATTAAATGTCAGTCGTAGCTCTGAACACCCATTTCAGAAATGGCCTTATGTTTGGGCAAACCTACCTGTGCTATTGCCATAGGTGTGGTCGTTCTTCGGCCCCGTTCCATAGCTTGGAGTTGCTCCATTATGGACTACCCAGTCCATATCGTCTGTACGATCCTGGGTAAAGAAGCAAATGTGGAGCGTCTCAAAGTCACACGTCACCTCCTCTGCCATGACACAAACAAAGAAAAATTACTTATCATCTATTAACACATGCTTAGAAAATAAATGCACACTCTCTTCTGGAAGTTGGTGTCATTACCTACTCAGCTGATTGATACTTAACCAGTCAGTGTTCACTCGTGCTTAAATATAAGACTTACTATGTTCTACTCAAAACAATTAGGTCAGTCAAACAATATCATGAAAGATCTAATCATTATTTTGCAAGGAGGTGATTGTTCGGTTCTGTTACTTACCGGACGGACATCTTCCATCCAACAATTTGAGATCATCAACAGCGATACACCCATCATAGTCCCTGCCACGATTTGCCTCAAATGCAACCTGAAAATATATCATATGACAAGTGTGAAATGGCTCACATAGAGACATTAACTTAATGGCCAATTCTACATGTAGCTATGGCCAATTAATCGAAGGCAGCCATTATTGCATAAACAGACAAGCAAGATTTGCTCAAAATCTTGATTCAATAGTCATGGATGCTTGGACTACCACACAACTACAGCCAACTACAGTTAGAATGAGCCTTGCAGTGTTGGTTACATTGCTATAGTTACTGTGATAGCTGCAATATTATGCACAGCAGGGAGTCAAGATTGAGAGGTTATATTCAACTGTAGACTGACTCAGGGTGATTGCACAAGGTCATATTTAACAAATGTTGACTGCTGTGACGTGGAATATTATATCCAGAGGGGCACATGCATAGATGCAACACACTTCACAAAACAACCACTTGTCCTATGGAGGTTGTTGACCCAACTTTCTCTTTGGTGCTGTTACATTGACATCATATTGCAGTTGTGAGAGAATTTCACTCATACCTACATGCATGGGTGTCACCTGATTTGTCCTGGATCTCTTATCGGATAATTTTGATTTACTGGCAACCACAGTCTGACACTTCAGCTTGCTCACTACACATGCACACGGTATGTACATGTACATGGTGTGATCATGGTGTGAGATACCCACTATGCTTTACGATATGGAATTGGGTATGAGACAGTGGGAGAATACATTTTCACCCAATGTTTTGGCCTACCCGATAGTTGGCAAAGGTTGGGTAGATGTCTAGCAATCCTCGGTTCCAGTAGCCTCCCTGATCGCCGGTTCGGTTCCACGGTATATGGACTGGGGGCGGCATGCCGTCGCGCACCACGTACCCATTGAGCGTGCCCACCTGGTTGCCCCTCATGTAGTAGTAAAACTGAAGGCATTTCTGCTGGAAGGCAGGCTGAAAAAGAGCGGTGCGAAACTCACCCAATTCCTGTACCTTGCTTTGACTAGCGACTTGGGGGACGTACAGGTACAACCCTGTTGAGAAAATATCACCAAAAATAATCAATCAATCAAGCTCAAGGCCCAATACGGTACTTCAACCAATGTTATACTGTTCAAAGAGATCTATTTACAGTAATTAGTTTCCAATATGAAGAGGAATATTGTTTTAAGTTTGTGACAAAAGTGCATGTTTTCCTAGAAGCATTGCATCTATATTTTAGTAGTGGGGGAAACCGGAGATTTCAAAAAAAACATGATTATCCAAATTTTTTTCAAACCGAATAATGATTATCCGATTTCACTTGGAGTTCCCATTCCCAACAGAAAGCTATGTGTGAGGTGCCTCATATAATGCCCTCCCAATGACTCGGTATAGTTGGCAGGATAAGTTGAATGGGCAGGCTATTCCTATACCAATAAGACCACTAGCAAGTGAATGCAGTTACAATCACAGACCATGGAGCAAATTTAAGGATGTTCAGTTGTTTTCCTTAGCCTGTGTCACAAAAAATGGAAGGCTTAATTTTTGCATATGTTGGTTTCAAATATCCATTTTCCAAATTCGAAACCGAATAGTTAAATTCAAATAAAATTGTTTATAATCCAGATTTTAATCCCACAACTAACATACTTTATTTGTAGCATAAGTTACACGTTTAAATAACTGCATTTCAGTGTTAGGGTAAACCATCAACACTCATGTTGTGGCAGTCCATGACCATTTCTCAAAACATGACTTTTTCTCAGGCTCTGGCTAATGGCCCCAGCTTCATGATGTTGGGAACCTGCCATAAAGACTTGGGCTGCATTATTCTGTGTCCATTTCTGCAAATGGAACATCAGATAATATCGTCGGTCCACCATGAAGTGATGTATCCTGTGCCCAAATCAATAGATGATACATCACTTTGTGGTGCACCCGGCGATGAAATGTGTGAAGTTAACATTTGAAGTTTTATCATTTGTTCAAACATTTCAGGCCCAGTAAATGGTTCTGAGGCCAGAAATGAAGCCACAGCTTATAACTAAGCTGATGCTTGTCAAATGGCCAACCCTTCAATTGTGGTATAAACCATCTGGGCATGTGATTACTGCACGAGCATGAGGCCCTTTCAATGGAGAAACCGTTGTGCACGCTTATTGTATATGTACAAAGCAACTGCCTTAGCTGTGACAGATTATCTGAACAATAGCTAGCACAATGCTTTCGCCATTGAAGGGGGCCTTTGTGATAGAATTGTTAGCGTGCCAGGATTGGTCTAGATCTACCCACCAGCAGATGTGGATGTTGTGTGGTCGTACACAGGCGCCTCATCATTGGGTACATAGCCAGACTGCCTAAAGATCCAATCAAAGTCATTGCGATCGTTGGGCTTGGGCGTGCACACGCGGTCATTTGGGTCATCAAAGGTGCAATCATATGAGGCCAGGGGTGTGACGGGAGTAGTGGGTTGGGGTGCCGGAGTTGTTACATCGAGCGCTGAAAAATACAAAGTACAGTAACAGTCAGTCAGTAGATGAAGCTTTGCCCTCTCAAAGTGCTATGATTAGTGGTGTGGCCAGGAATCATTCAATGGGGAGTTACCAAAAACAAATTCCTTGAAATTTGAATTTCCTCGAGGGACGTGAAAATGTTTTCTTAAATTGTAGGCATATATTTTAGGTACGCATTTACCATTTTATTTCTACTAACAATGTTGAACTAAACATCCCAAAAATTACTATAAATTACATCCCCTTGCCACGTCATTAGCAATGATGTCTAAAAGGTACGCGTACAAATTCTTACAAGTGTGTATTGCCTGCAATCGGGGACCCATACACGATCGCCAAATTGGGGACCTTCGGGAATTGGGGACCCTATTGTCCTGTATTGTTCAACGTCCCCTACTGAATGCAGAAACAAACTCATTATGTGTCAATGAAGACTTATTCACCGGATAAAGAGAAACGAATGCATGATTACAATGACTGTCTTACCTCCAGCACACTCAGCCAGTGACAAGGTAATGTCATCTAAGGCAATATCACCACGCACACCCCAACTAATATTAGCTTCATATATTATCTGGGGAATAAAAACAAATCCAACTCATTATCTTAAGACTCTAGTTCTGGTACTAGTAGGGCCTATTGGGGCTGGATATAGGTCTCCACCCAGCCTGGGACCTTGGGTGCAGAAAAAAACTTGCAAACAAATTCTGGCTTACTTTACCGACTCTTTAGCTGACAAAATTCTCCAAAATTTTCATGAGGCAAAAACAAGATCCTCAGTATTTCACCAGCCAAGTTTGAGGTCTCAAATTTTAAAGGAACTTTTCTTCACGTTTCGCACCTGAGAGTGATGTCAAGTGATTTCAATTTGAAGCCTATACGTAGACTGGTACATGCCCAACTGTTTGAAAAGATTGACCATTCAGTGGTCTGGTGGCAGACCATGGAGAGTCCATGTAGAAATAGATTCTGTGTACAAGATGCTTTTCTTTTGGCACAGTTGATTGACGCAGTTCTGAAACTGTGTTGGACTGGTTGTTTCATGTGCCAGTCTATTTTCTTGTGTTGCATGTTTTCAATACCTTAAGTTTTGGGACTCGATCTATAGTCATGCACAGGTGGAGAGTCTCAAATGTTTTTGAATGAAGTCTCCACCTTTGGCCCACCTCACATGATGACAAACAAAACATCCTTCAACCAATAGCGTAATTCTTATATATGATTCATGTCCACACTTCCATCATCAGCCACCAGCACACCAGCAAAGTTAAGTTGACAATTTATTACTTTTTTTCAATATTAAGTAACTTTTGAAACCTCTCACAGTATTGCATAATTTTGCATTCTTTCTATTTGTGTCATCAGAATTTCAAAAACAACGCAGTTTATTTAGATCCATCATCCATCCCCACCCCGGCCCCTCTGCTGTCTTGTTCAAGTACCGCTCAAGTACCTTGGGAATTCTATCACACTGGATTCTCAAATTATTCCAGATTACCTGAATGCTAGTGATACTGCTATCAACAGCGATTTCAACCTGGGTATAGACCCAGTAATCTCCCACATTTCCAGTGGCGTTGTAAATGGAGGTCTCCACATTGCGTATCTTCTTGTACACGTGCATGCTCTCCAGCGCTGTGCCAAACATGTGGTAGTAGAACTCCAAGCAGAGTTTGGGCGTACCGGCCGGGACTGCTACAGACGGGCTGAAGACTCGGGCCGTGGGAGAACCAAAGCCGAAGGTACTTACATCGGTGTCCAGAAAATGTCCTGGATGAAAGAGTCAGATTAGCGACAAGTATCTGGTCAGAAACTACAGTCTTCACTTAACACAAAGACTGTGTCTGGATTTCTTATTAGAACCTAGGAGTTACATGTATAACAAATATGAGAAAGTCAAGAGACTGAATTTGGAAGTCACTCCAAAATCAAGCTTGTCGTTCTATTTCACAAGTAACAGCTGAGTTCCTTGCGCTATGTTTTTCTCTATGTTTTAAATTCAGATTTTGATGACTCCACTATTTACAACGTTACAACCCTAACCACGGGCATGGCTCTTCAAGTAATACTAGTCAGCTGCACCTTAGTCAGCTGCACCTTAGTCAGCTGCACCTGACCCAGCTGGCCGTGGTTCAACAGAAACAGCATAGAATCAAATCTGACAACAGGCCTAAGTTTTAATTTCGCCAACTCTGAGTTCCCAAGTGCAGATTCTGCTCACGCGGCCGGCCGAGGCCAGTTGCCGGTCTGCCCTCTGCACTGCCAATTACCGCGTTTTGTCACGTATAGGCCCATACCTCACACATTGGAAATATACTCCGCCGCAAACGCTGAGAGCCCCTTTAAAAAGTGTTGATCATTAATCTTACTGGCTATTAAAATTAATACAACTGGTTGTGTGGGTCACTGTAGGTTTACTATAATTGCAACCCAATGTAGGTGTCAGGCTTTCAAATGGTCTGTATACACTATATTCATATGAACAAAAGGTGTATATATAAACAAAAAGTGAAGTTTTCAAATACTGTCAAATAAATTAGAAGTATACAAGTTGGTTAAAACTATCATCAAATTACCGGTAGTTGTCATCACACAACTAGCGTCGATATAGGTGGACAGGTGTCCCGTTCACATAACTTTTTGTAAGTGCCTAGTGACTAGTAGATACCCCTAGAACTATGGCTGTTCCGCGTAGCGGAACCCAATAGACAGCATCACCAACGAATTTGTTAACTACTACGAAACGACTACTCCACCCGGGATGTTTGGGTGCATTACACGTGAGTACGTCAAGAAGTACCACACAGAGTTTAAGGGAAAACTGTGCAGTGGTTTTCTGGCAATAGACTACATTTTGATGTATGTTTTTGTACATAGTCAGATGGTAGTCCTTTTGTAGTAGTCAACAAATCCGTTGGTGATGCTGTCTATGGGGCTCCGCTACGCGGAGCAGCCATAGTTTGGGTTTGTGTAGTTTAGGACACCTCTTTCTGTTACGTTCTTAAAGTATTTTAATTGTTCTAAAATGACTTTTGCAGCCTTCAGCAATCTTCTTTACTAGCTCTGACCAGCCCAGTTTTCATAATGTTCAGCAGTTCTTTGGTTACAAATGCAACTTCTTTATCTGAGTGATGTTCTTGTCCTAACCGTGTGCATCATCGCATTCGTAGTCCAGCGAAGCCACATTGCACTGAAGCCTGCACTGTACTGAATAATACTGGTCAATTTCCGTGTGTGTTTTACCTCGTAATTGCGCTCCAAACTGAAAACCCTACCCTCTCTTCACCAAATTAATTCTTCCATTTACATCGCCAGCTATTTTACTTTTGGGCGAGTCCAGAATTTAAAGAGTGGATTTTCACTCCCTTATATACGAAAACGATTGTGTAGTTTACTTTAGGACCCCCTTCCTAGTATACAATGTAACCAAGTTATAACTTGGTCAGTTGGTTACATTGTAGACAAGGAAGGGGTCCTAAAGTAAACTACACAATCTCTCATAGTACTAAGGGTAGGTCCAGACAGGGCTCTGGAGTGCTCTGAAACATGCAAAGCTAAATCAGGCCCACTTTACTCACACTTTAACCAGCAAATTTCGCCAACAATTCCACTGGGGCAAAGAAAAGTGTCCTCAGTATAGACCGCTTGCAGATGTGTTCAATGATCGACGCGCGAAGGCGCGCGACGCCATGTTGTGGGACAGGCGTATATCTATCCATGCACATTTTGTCCCATAACATGGCGTCGTGCACCTTCGCGCGTCAATTATCGATCGCGTCTGCAAGCGGTCTATTTCACCAACCAAGTTTGCAGACTCAATTCAATTTTTAAAGGAGACTTTTCTTCAATTTTTTTGCACATTGAGAGGGAAGTCAAGTGATTTCAAAATGGGGCTAAATACTAGACTGGTACATGTCCAACCATGGCAACTATTTGAAAAGACTGACCTCTTCACTCAGTGTCAATAGTCTGGTGGCTTGACTATGGAGAAATGTGTAGTAAATTGAAACCAGTTCCCGGTTCATGCCACATGTTTCTTAAATTCAGTTGGCATGGTTGATTGATGCAGTACTGAAGCTGTGTTGGACTGGTTGTTTCAGGTGCCAGTCTATTTTCTTGTTTTGCATGTTTTCAATACCTTAAGTATTGGGACTCTCATTACCTTAAGATTTGGGACTCTCATACACAGTATTGAGAGTCTCAAATTTCCTAGCCTTTCACCAAGGCCATCGTGGCTTAACTTGCCCGCATTCAAGCGACTGGAGATGGAGACCACACATGCGAGTGGCGAAGCCACGAGGGCTTTTTCTAACTTGTCGAGAAATTCTTATGTTTTTCTTTATAATCTCGATTTTGCTACCCCAAAAGGGTAGCAAAGTTCCAACCAATCATCAGCCTTTTCGTGCGTGCGTGGCTACTACCCGGACGCTTCGCGTCGACATGCCCGGATGCTTGCACAAAATTTATAAACAAAACAAGCGAGTCTAGTTTTCCACAATATCGTGACCGCATAATTGTTCTTACATTATTTTATTTTAACTTTACTTATAAAAGTATTTCAAGAAATTATTTGAGTGTATGAACTTATTTTTCATCTGAACTCACAGTTAGGCCTATTTGCTCTTACGTTTTCCTTACTCACCCTTCTTTTAAAAATGGAAGCGACTAGGCAAAATCCGCGTTGTGATTGGTTGACCTTCAGCACTATTCTTATTTGCATAAAAACTATGAATAATTCAACAAAATCAAGTTGGGAAAGGCCTCGTGGCTTTGCCACTCGTGCGTGCTGACTTAATCTTTGCTTCTGTCGCTTCGGGTCTTCGCAACTCCGCCGCTCTAGCCACGATGGGCGAAAGGCTACAAATTTTCGGACTAGGGTAGGTCATGTAGGTGTTGTGCCCATTCTTGAAAATCACGCATTCTCGAGAATGGGCATGCACATTCTCGAGAATGGGCGCGCATTCTTAAGAATGAGCGCCCATTCTTAAGAACGAGCACGCGTTCTTAAGAATGAGCGCTCATTCTTAAGATTGGGTGGGAATATCACGTGCACAATTTATGAATTTTGCCCAATCTTAACAAACATTGCACGACATAATTATGTTAAATGAATTGTATAGCGGTTAAAAGGGAAACAATTCATATAAAGAGGAAAGAAAATGTTCTATGCTTCTGTACTCGTATAACTACGATAATTTGAATCAAATTAAACCTGTTATTATTGCTTTTTTCTGCCCACTATGGGAAGTTTTGTAATAACGGAGGACTGGGAACTAGTCTGGGAAGTGCTTTGTTTAGGCTAGACAAGTTACAAGTCCCTGTATCATATGCGTGCCACGAAAAAAAAAACGATGTCCAGAAGCTGCCAAAATTGCTCTTTTGACTAGATAGAATCCAGCTCTGCGACGTTATGGTGGGATGTGAACAATAAATTGGTGGCAATTTAAATGGGAAATAGCATTAGCACTATGGGATGTCGCAGTATTCATTCTAATTCTTCACATTCTTCATTCTTACGTCCCCCCCCCCCCCCCCCCCCCCCCCCCCGCTTTTATTATCCCAAAAATCAGAATTCTTTGCACTAGTATTATTATGTCTCTTATTTTTTCCCGGTCCCCCCCCCCCCATATCAATACGCCTTTACTTATCATATCCACTCTACTTTTCAGCGCCTTGCGTTGCCACAGTATAATTATTGAGAATCAGTGAACGAGGATTCAGCTAGACTTGCCAAGCGCAGCCGGTGCTCGGCATCGACAAGACCGTTATCTTGTCGCGCATTCTCAAGAATGTGCGCTCAATCTGGAAGAGTTATTTTTTGCCAAGATTGAGCAAGGATCCAGCATGTCCAGTTGCACATTCTCAAGAATGCGCATGCCCATTCTCGAGAATGCGTGATTTTCAAGAATGGGCACAACATAGGTGTAGTAGACTAGTCCCATACCCCCATTCATTCCCATGATGCAGTGCGAATGTCAAAAAGATTATTCTACACACAGACAGAGACAGACAGTATATGAGTACTTTTTTGTTTCTAGTTAAAATACAAAACTAGTAAAAAGTGGCCAATTTGTTTTTGTTTGCGATATAGCTCAATCAAATAAAAACACATTATTTTTACGGGGTTAAGTGTGTCCTCATATTCCTGAATCTATAAATAATATAAAAACATAAAAACAGACATCAACTGAACGACACGTAGCGACGAAAAGAATTTCGAAATAAAAACTCAACTCACTTTGTGGAGGCTGCCATTTTAATGAGTTGTATCTACCGCCCTCAATTGTCTCATTTGACGGTATGTGGTGCAAAAGTAACCACAGGGTAGCTGACCAGTAAATAAACTTCCATAGACCCCAATGGTAAATGCTCCCACTTCAAAAATTCGGGAAAAATACTCACAACTCTCCAAGGTGTTCGAGACACGCATCAAATTAAAGCTTATTTCATCATCTTTCATTTTCTTTTCAATTTTCGGGGGGTCAACTGATGACTTTTAGGAGAAATTTCCATCTGAAGATGATCACCCCTGAAAATAGTCCTGAAGCCCATCGCCATTTTGAAAAACGATGCCTACACTCCATTGCAAAATAGAGCGCTTTTAGGGTCCAAATTACATCAAATTTACACAGAACTGCAAGCTCCCAGTCCTGTGCACGGCTTCCACCCATATTTTTTACAAACCCTCAAGTTCATGGCCCACAGCATGCCCAAATACCGAAGATTTTGAGGGCATGCAAATCGTGATTTGGCCGGCGCAGGCAATTTCGGACCGATTTACTGGTCTGCACCCACAGACACCAGTGCTAAATGCCCATAATCTAAAATTCTTTTAAAAAATACTCAGAACTCTCACAGGTATAAAAGCTGCATAGAAAAATGATGATAAACATGTCATCTTTCATTTTCATTTCATATTTTGGTGGGTTGACCATTGACTTTTCGAGAAATTTTCACCCAAAGAAGATCACCCCTATTAATTCCCAAAGCGGAAAATTAACCATCTTGAAAAATTATCCCTATATTATGGCAAAATCATAAGCGCCACTTTCAAAATTGGCCAGAGGTTCATTGCCATATTTTACCCATAATTACCCAATTTTATGGCTCTCGAATATAGAATATTTTGAGGGTACAACTTTAATTCTCGGCGGAGGGATTTAGGCCTATTTACCAGTGTGCAGCCATACCACTTCCGCTTAGGCATATTATCCGTACTTTGCAGACATAATGCATTTCATGCAGAAACACAAATGGCGGATTTTGATTGGAACATAAATGCGGTCAGTTTCTTTTTCAATTTTCCCAACTACTAAAATGTATTCAATAACACTGAAAACGGAGAGAAATGAAGTACAATCAGTTTTATGCGCCGTTTTAAGCTTTAGGGGTCCACTCTTAATTAAGCCTATAGGTCCGACGCCTCATAATAAGTCCAACAAAACTGTGGCATCCCCAACCAAATAAAGGCGCACAAGTCCGACGCCTCACCCATAATTATGGCCATAAGTCCGACGCCTCATATTAAGTCCGACAACCATGGCCTTAATGTACAAACATTGCGTAAAATGTCAGAATGTTAGCGCCTTTGGCGATTCCACATTTCACCAGAACCCCCCCCCCCCTCCCCATTTACGCCCGCAGCAATGATCAACCCTGTTTATTATTGCTAAAAACTGCGCGCTGGCGGACTATACGGCCAGAGTTATACAGTGATGCACGTCGTCGGACTACCGGAGGCGCACGTCGGACTATTATGAGGCGTCGGACCTATGACGGTGGAATAAATAAATGCCTCATAAGTCCGACGCCCATCCGAAATTTCGTCGGACTTATGATGCGGCCCTATTGTCCTCCCCTCCCGCTTGTCGAATACCGGGCAATGTTTGATTTTGCATCTTCATCTCCCACCCCCCACTCGCCGGCACAGATTTACTACGCCACAGATTGCATGTGCTCCCGCGCTAACCCAAACATCAATTATTGCATGCACATCTATATGTGATGCAAGCGAAAACCAATCAATTCAAGTGAAACACTATTTGAAAGGAGCCAAGAATTTTGACGGATGATCGTTAATATTTTTAATGATCCAGATTAAATACGCATGTAGTTCTGTTTAGGAGTTTACACTGTATCTGCAAACATCCTACGTGTTAGCAGTTCATCAGTGATGTTTTAGAACATAAGCACAACATTGAAAACTTGGTCCATGGTCAATTTGACTTCTCTTGGAAAATTACTCATAACCCGTCAAAAATTATCAGATTTGGACGTTTGATGTCTCATTTTAAATGCTAAAGGTGGAAATTGGAAAAACGGAAAGACGTAGGTCTATCTTTCAAATTGCACCTATATTATAATTGGTTACGCATTCTACGTCTGGCATTCCGTTGTTTGCATTTTTTTGATACACACCTTGTGCTGTAAGCAAGCAAATAAAGAAATTGATTTCTTTTCTCATCAAAGTGTTGAATTTCGATCCCAAAAGGTAAAACAATGGGGCTTTGCACGCCCCGCGGCGCCCCCCAAACAAATCTTGCTCCATTGCAATACCTGTGACGTTGCCGTAGGTGTGGTCAAATCGAGGGGCGGAATCTGTGACGCCTGCGTTGGCACCAGTAGACCGCTTGAAGTCAGCATCGTCGGTGTCCACGTTATAGAAGCCACACAGTGGGTCTCCCGCGTCCTCAAAATCACAGTTGATGATTTGGGCTGTTGTATCTTGAACAAAAAAGAAAAGAAACAAAACACATCATTTGAAATTAAAGGGGTCTCACATCGGGTATGTAGCTTATATGCGGAAGTATATTTGTGCACCTACTTAAGCGGCACATGGAGTCGAGTCGCAAGTCACCAACAAGACAGCCACTAAGTAAGTTGGCAACTACTAGATGAAACTTGGTTGAATTTTCAAGTCATGTTAGCTTATTTCCGATGCTAGTTCCGCAATTTTTGCCGTTTAAATAAAGAATGATGTTGAACTGGAAACATTAGAAAGGTCTTTAACTGGGCTTAACAATAATATTGAACTAAAATAAACGGAACTAATCTGTTACCATGAATAAATGTCTTTAATTTGAGCAGATTCGAATGTTCACGGGAAATCTCAAGTTGGGAATAATGAAGTTTATTTCGTGTCGGCATTTTACATACAGCAACACTCGGGCTTGGCTTCTAATTCGAAAGAGAAACACCACATTTTAGACTTAGTAACAGTTTTAAAATGGTGATTTCATCGTGGCATTCAGATATATGTTCTTCTTTCTTTCTTTTTTGTTGGGGGGGGGCATTTTTGCCGCCAAAAGATGTGGCAATGAGGGGATAATTAAGTTTGCGAAACTTATGTTATGCACATCAATAAAATAAATAATACCTGACTGCTTCCAGGAGTAAGAGTCCCGGAATCGACTTTTAAGCAGAAATGGAGCTGGCAGTAAATCAGTCACCAGACCGGGTGCGTGGCCAGGAAAGTTTGCCAAGAAGTTGATTTACAATTAGGGCCATAGGGGTGACTGTTGCTAGGACATGCCCCTTGCAAGGACCATTTAATGCACATCCCTAGTTGGAAACATTCCATATATTTACGGTTTCTGCTTTTGCAGATATACCGGTAGTTTATTATTTTTCAATGTGTGTGACATTGTGTTAGGAAGAAAACCATAACTAGTGCACAGGTACACAAATATTGTTTGGTTAGCAAACTTGGTGCACGAGGAGTGACAGATTAATGGTTATAATTTAATGCTCCAATATGGTTCCAATATGGTTCGGGGTCGTGCTAAAGAGTAAAGTTCCTAGATTTACTCTCAAATGCCTTAGAATGCAGGAAAAAGCATCGTACTTCTCATTTTCTCAATTTGCCAAGCCGCCCAGGCCCCAGTAGTATATAGGCGTGCTTCAGTGAAAATAAAAACAATGGAGGAAAACGGTTTAACTTTTGCATAAAGGCGTAAATTTTCGCCCATTTAGGTTTTGATAAACAAACTCTTTACTTAAAATTTGTGAATAAAAATAACACAGCTTTTTAAATCAAACTTCAAACAAATCGGAAATCTTTGAATAGACTCCGCCCTGACAAACATCCAAAATATATGCCTATATCTTTTTAAAACTAAATTTGTCTCTTTCGAAAAAGTTTAGTGGTGAACTTTCTTAATCTTTGAAAATTACGTCAAAATAAAGATTACTTACAAGAAAATAACAGCGTTGTTGAAAGAAACAAGAGCAGAAGGCAGTAACGCGGCTCCATGGTTATTCCGCCGAGGTCCGACTTGCTATATGGCACAGCAAAGCACACACGCTAACACACCCCTATACCAGGCCACTTTTTTATTGAAACCTAAGAGCAATTCACGAGACACTTGTAACATGGGGAGATGTCCCACGCAGAATCGAGTGGCACGCCTTACCGCTATCTCGAAAAAAACTCAAGTTTTACAGCACTTGACGGTTCCCTTATTCGTTTCCAAATGTATGACGACCCTTGAGTCGAGTCAGGTACACACGGATGCCAGGAGGCCAGGTGGTACGTAAAAAACCTCGCCCCTCAATAAACACGGATCATATTTATTGAGTGTTTACAAGAGTTTAAGTTATTCAAGTGGGGGCCATGAATATTTTGGGGATATGATGATATTTGGCAGGTTATAACCCTTACCCCTCAGAGGGGGAGGTTGTTTCAAGGAACACGACCCCCGCTGTTGGGGGTGGAGTCCCGGATCAATGATGAACCAATGCCCGCATAATAACTGTGCTCAAACAGACTGATATGCACCGTGCACCATAGAGATTCACTGTTGTTCCTTCTTTATCACGTGCGCTCGCCTCAGAAAACATTTCAAGGCGTTTCACTCAAACATTATGACACTAGCATAATCTCTCATGGTCTTCCCGAAGGATGCCCAAAAGGGTTCTGTATAGACAAAATAATATGTTTTCTTATACATTTTATAGAGGTACAAATTTGAAATGTTTGTACTGGTTTATCTACAAGGTGAGTACAAAAAACAACAAGAAACCTAAATGTCGGTAACATTGTTTTAGTGAAGTTCTGCATGTATAGCACTTTCAATATTTGGGATATGAAAGCCCAATTCATATGCTTTCTTTTAGTACAAGAATCATTCAAATCACTTATGTACTTTTCAAGTTACGGAGTTTTAAACACAACCACCGTTAGTTCTGTCCACCGATCACAAAAAAGTGTGCGTTCTGTCAGCAAAACGAAAACAATTTACACACATCCTTAGGCCCTTATGTGATTTGTTTTCGTTTTGCTGAAAGAACACTGAACTTTTTGTGATCCGTGGACAGAACCTTAAAACGGCGGTTGTGTTTAAAACTCCGCAACTTGAAAAGTACGTGAGTGATTTGAATGATTCTTGTACTAAAAGAAAGCTTATGAAATGGGCTTTTATATCCTAGATATTGAAAGTGCTACATGCAGAACTTCACTAAAACAATGGTCCCGAGATTTGGGTTTCTTTTTTTTGGACTGGCCCTGTATACCTATTGAGAACTATCTTTAATGGTCGTTGCGGAAAATTCTCGTCGAGATTCCTATTCGAGTTAGAGTTTTACCAGACAATACCGGTAGTCTTGTATTTGTACCTTATGACTACTTTGGCCTAACTTTGTTTCATTATTATTCAGATGTCCAAAAATATCGTATGATCTAGGCTAGGGATGTACTATTGCGATTCTACAGCCAATTAAAGCTCACTAAAGCAAACGTTTTCTTGAAAAATAGTGGGAAAAAATCTAGAAGAAAACCGGACCTTTTTGAACTACAACCCCAGAAGTTCAAAGAATATAAACATCAATCATCGGGAAAGTCTTTGTAAGCATTGTACATACCGATGTTTACAGTCGCGAACAAAATGTTGACCCGCGCGTGGGCCCAATGCAGTCACATGAAAACATCGTGATAAAATCAACAAGATCGATCGCATTGCACGTATACAGACAGAACACAATTCACGCTATTTCGAAGTTATTAATATTCAAATAAATTCAGGTTTTCAACGTTCATTATAAATTGATTGAACAGTTTGGACGTAATGTTCAATTTGTGGGGATTTGAGGGTGTTTCGATTGAATGAACAATAATGTGCATGGTTATGCGTACACAATGTTCTTTCAATCTACCATCGGATGCAGATGCACTCTTATTTCGAACAGAAGTTTTCGATCGATAGGGGTATATAGTTTATTTACTCTTTATTTTCAATTCTTTCTGGAGATGAAAGCTAGACGTTCCTCAAAGCGTACATAGGCATTGCAGTTCGGATAATGGTAACAGAAATCTTTGAACACATGATACTACGTACTACAATCATGTAGCAATTTTAAGATCACCAGTTACTTGCAAGAAATGAGTGCCCGCCAGTGATTGTTGAATGAATGGCCAGAAAGGTAGGCCTATGTCTACGCCTTTATGTGTACCCTTCTATCGCAAGACAAACATAATAAATCAATAAAAGTAGCGTAAAATGTTATATCACGCGCGTAAAATGTTATATCACGCGCGTAAAATAAATTACACGTCATAAAAGGAATGATCTCATCTACGAGTACGAACTGCGTCCCTTTTATAAAATGACCGATGGTGGCGCTACAAACAAAACACAGTGTACATGTAGCTGGTTTTAAAAATATGGTTCAGTTGTGTGATACGCGTTCGCCTCATTCAAGATACAAGTTTAGCTCGTACGAGTCTTAGAATGAAAAGCGCCATACTATTCAGTGGCGTTATAGTCAGCGTTCCCCCCCCCCAATATTTTGTAACATGTGCCCTTTTTTCACGAGTGTCTTTCTTTCATGATGCCCTAATTTTTCATTATCGCATGATCATGCGCTAATGAAAAACTAAGGCACGATCGTCCACTTTGAAGAGCGCCCCAAAATGGTGTCCCACCAAATGGAAGAAATGCTTAACATAAGTAACGTAGCCTACAACCATGGAGAACAACACATACAAGCTAATTAATGCTATATACTCACATCGCATGTGGTCGTAGTGTTAATGAACATACTTTTCTGAACTTTATTTCCATGCATACGAAATCAAGCAGGTCTACAACCATAAAGTACAACGTGTTCAAGTAGCGTTAATGATTTCAATTTAATTGCATCAAAAGCAATGCAGTATAGGCCTATATACAAAGAACGGTGGATTTGGAAACGAGACAGATCATGCATAAATAAAAGGTAATGTTATGTACGTATTTCATTCTCAATTAATTAATTTTCAAAAACAAACTGAGATTTCAAAAACAAACTGAGATTGCAGGCATTGCTAATACGGATATTCAACGCAAAAATCCTAGTGGATTGATATATAAGTTTTAATAAATAACAAAAACGCATTTACAAATACAGGTAGAGAACAATAACCAAAGTAGCCCTTTAGCGAAATTAGCTCTGACAAAATAAAATACTTGACATAATAACATATTATTTAGCTTAATTATATGAGCATAAAACCACGGATAGTTTTAGCTTATGCATCTACAGTGAAGAGAGGAAAACCAACGTGCTACGACTTCGAAACAGTACAGAAACATCAAATAAATACCCAAGGATTAAATCTGTATTTTTTTTTTAGAACCGTGTCCAATACGGCCAAAGACATTCATAATTAAATATCAGTAATATACAGCAAAGTCATTTAAAGAATTGGATGTGTGAACTTACCAACACTGACTAAATTAAAAAAAAAAGTAAAACAATAAATTCCTTTTGATCTTTTCCAAGAGAAAGAGAGCAATGGACGGCTGAAATCTATAAAAAAATATCCAGATCCATTGCAAAATCGAGGAGTGAGCGTAATGCACAGAATTGGACAAATAACATTCGCCGCATAAATCGAAGAAATTAATTACCGGGCTAATATCATATCGGCGTACATTGTACCGTATTCACTTATAATTTAACACGCTTGAGCAGTTTCACTTCTAATAATTGCAACCTGAAAATCTTTTCCACGGACTGAAAGTGATATAGAAGGGTAACAACAATTTTCAGTTTTCATTTATAAATTATTAATATACGATCTGCAAGCACGTGACATTTTAGAGTTATAAATAACTAGCAGGGAAGTAGGTGCATGCTCCACCTGAAAGAGAAGCGAATAATTATGACGTCAGCAACACTGACGTTCGCTCTAAATTCTCATGAAACATGAACAGGCTGTTATAATTTGTGTACTGCATATATTACTATCGTTTCCTTTTGAGAATCATGAGTTACCAACAGTTCATTATATCTAAGCAAAAATCTTTGAAAAATAGACAATAATCAAAAATATGAGTTAAGAGCAGACCCTATGCATTCCTCTTTGACGTGCTTTGTTATGCTCATTCAGTAAACATGAATGTCTAAGAGACCCACTCATGCACACCTTGTGGAATATAACCATGCACCTCCAAGATGTTAGCAATGCAAAGAGTCAATAACGGAATACTTATGGGTCTCAACCGTAGCATCTGATCACATCGGTAAATAAGTCACATCAATGCTTAGAATATCATCTCATGAAAATTGACATTGCAGTTTTCCTTCCGGATTTTTTTTCTTTTAATTCAGATTAATTTCTGCCTTTCTTTCTTCATATCCTTATAAATTTATCACCTTTCAATATTAAATATTTTATTTGAGTAAATGAGCATTTATAAATTATGTGTAAATTGTTATATTTCTACAAACTTTCTAGTGATTAGTTTGGTTTCAAATTCAAAAACCAATATTTTCATCTCTGGTTTAACATCATTAAATTATCGAGTTTTCACAAAGTATACGAATTTTATACATGTACATATTATGTATCCCTCGCCCCACTACATTTATCCCTTCGTGAAAACAACAATGAAAATAATGTAATACGTGTTTTCCGCAGAGTCATAAAACACATTACACAGACAATATCTGCATAAAATGAAGCAAGACAAAACAAATATAACAATATGGTCTTTTTTCACAAAACCATCTGCTCTAGTGCTGCTACCTTAATAACACATGGCCAAACATGGCATTCCTTTTATGGCAAATGATTGATTGACTAACTAATTGATTATAATGTAGTATATATATGTACAGAGTATGAAGTCGAGAATGCAAATTTGAATAACATGTGTGTTGATTTATATTTACACTATACATTTGTGAAGTACACTGACAGCTTTCCCAAATAGATTTTTTTTAAAACAAATTCAGCCTAATTCTCTAAAGATCTTTGCTGGTAATCTTCTTGAATCCTTCTGAACCGTCCACTTTGCATGAAATCAATGACAGTTTGTGTACTTCAACTTTAAAGGGCATTGTTATGCCCACACAAGAATATGGTTCCAACTTAAGCTGGGAATAAGTGTCCCAACTTAAGTTAGAACACTTCTGTTGGAACACTTCAGTTGGGTCACCGCTTAAGTTGGGAGCATCTCAACTTTAGTTGGGACCAAAGGTTTAGTTGGGGCATAGCAGCATCCAGCCCCCAGTGGCCGGCTGGACTCTAATATCCTCAAAACCTGCTGGATTTTGGAGTGTTTAGGGATGGTTAGTGTTTTATCAAAAGAATATGGAAGCACATTTTTCATCATTTTCCCAGTCTAAACATGCCAAAGATGACACCGCCTTTTACTTTCAATTTTTTTTGAAGTTTAACCAGAATAATCATTAATATTGAGTTGTACTACAGGAGAACACTTACAGCTACTACTCAACTACTCAACTACACCATACACTATGTGTTTTCAAATTTCAGAATTTCCTAAATTCCATCCTTATTTACAGTCCCCTATTCCTTTGTGTGTGTCATGAAGTGTAAGTCACTTTAAAAAAATGCTAAATGTTCTGTTAAACAATCTTATTTACAATTTTGTCACTAAATATAAATAAGTGAAACCAACAAGGAAAGGAAAGGCATACCAACAAAGTAGAAGGGGAAGACCCAGAACAAACTTCCTGGGAAATATCACGACATGGACAAGAAGATCAAGTCCAGAAATCTTCCAAGAAGCTGAACAGAGAGAAGCATGGCGAATGCTTGCCTTCCGAGTTGCTGAGGCAGCTAGCATCACTAAAGACGTCGATGAGTGAGTGTGAAACCAACAAAATTACCAAAAGTTGTGCATTTTCACATTGATAATTTTAAACTGGATTTTTATTATCTTGTTTTCCAAATAAGTTGCACACTCCAAATGCTGTATACCATTTAAAAATGGGAATTTTAACCCATTTTTACATTTCTGAAATCGTTGGTCCCAAGAGTCCTTCTGTATGAAGTCTAAAAGAACAAGATGACGACCAGTTAAAACTAGTATGTTCATCATTACATTTCTTTAACCTCCACTTTGTCTCCAACTTTGGGTTCAAATTTAGACTGACTAAAAACTACAATACACATAATTGCTTCTCTCCACCCAGGAGTAAATGTTCACATGTACAATTCATTTTTTTTTAACTGCGAGACATGTTTTTAATACACCATTATTGAATTGAATTGAATTTTAAAAAAAGTGGGTATAGGTGAGGGCAGGGATGGTTGTTGTGATTGAATTACATGTAGCTTCATTGCGCCTTACAGGCTGCATCGAGCTGTATACTCCCCAGGGAGCTGAGATGGTATTTGGAATGTTTCATGGACCCAATGAGCAGAGGTAATAATGATGTAGTGCCTTGAGCACCAGTTCTGGTGGATACATGTGCTTTATAAATACCCCTATTATTATTAACCCTAACCCCCAAAGGGTATTCTCTGGGCACCCTGGCAAATGCAACAGAATGCAGTGAACTAATACATGCCAGCCTCGGTACCAAGTACCTACCCTGCTAAATGCAACATAAAGCAGATCAGGACTCTGCTAAATGCAACAACTTTTTGCCACTGGTGCATTCTGTTGCATTTAGCAGGGTTATAGGTGAGCGTGGACTTGGGGGGGGGGGGCTTCTGATATTGCCTTGTCTAGTTCCCAGACCTATTTACTTAAAACTCAATAGTTCTTGAGTCTGGAGCAATGAATGGTACATGTAACTCACTGCAACTCGTGAAAACTGGTGTGCAAATGAATAGGTGTTTTCACGATTGTAGTCATCCCGCCCACACCTAAGTGTGGTCAAAGTTTTGGGTATTTCAAATTGCTATGCTTCCCAAAGATTCTGAATCCAGAGATGATGCCAAAGAACAGACGAAGACAAAAAGGCACCACTATGACTAGTCTGCATACTAGACTGGACTGGTGTATGTACCTACAATGCAGCATAAGTCACTTCCGGTTCTCAACGTTTCAGTGTTGCGTTGCAAAGTCTGAAAAGAAATCCAAAACAATGAGAGTCAAACAACATCTTGTGAGTTGGTTGCTTGAAAAAACAATTAAAAACCCGAAGCGTATCATTACAGTTCATATACTAATGTGTAGGACTCTGGACGTCTGAACTCATTCAGACTAGTTGGGAATTGGACTTTGGGCTTGAATAAAATAAACTCCACTAAGCACTGTAAAACGGAGTGTTTCACAAACACATGCAATCCTGAAATGCTGATGGTTACAAACACAAGCATGTGCATAGAAAATGAGCACATCAATACTATGGAATCACTTGTATTCTCATAAGGAAAAAACAATCCATGGAAACAGTTAATCATTACATACAAGACCAGGTGACAGTTCGTCCAATTATGCTAAAATACCTCTACTGTTGAGATAACAGAGCCAGCATCTGTCGGAGTTTTCCTGAGAGTCAATATTACCAATGATCACAATCCTGTTCTACCCTTTCATCCCCTTACAACCATTTCCCTTTGGTGGGCAGAGGGGAGGGGGGAATTTTAGCTCACTGCAAAATCTGAATAAGCCTCTGTACTAATGACGTCACACTTTGTTTATGTGTGTGCTTTCCTATGGTGCTCAGTGGACCGTGGGCCCCCACTGGCAGACTGGCTCCATAGGAAAGTGCTAAACCACCCTCTTGAACCAAACCTGGATATTTGCTCAGGATATCATCACTGCCTTACAGATTTTCACAATGTATTGAAGACTCAGAGAGTCAGTTTTGCGTATTTTCTACACATGACATCCCAGCTTGCAGTGTTTTTGTCATCCCCTATTATTTTGTATCTGAGACTGGGCTTGTGAATTTACTTGTTTTTGACTTGTGACTGGACTTTTGATGCATAACAAGTACCGCCACAACAACACAGCAAATTACACGTAGATGCTTACTGCTTTGTGAAATTGTGCATTACTTGCACAAATTATGATTTATTAGTAAAATGCCCTACTTCTAATGTTCATAAATTTTACACTTTTTAGTGCATTTTTAAGACCAAGAAAATTACCATGACTCTCTCACTGCAGCTATTTAGAGTTGGCATCAAATACTGTCATATCTTCATCGTCTTCCTCCTGATCAAGAGGAGTCAACTCAACTTCTGATCCTCGTGTTGCTAGGATGCCGTACTTCTTGGTTTTTCTCCTGGACCTTGATCTGGAAACAGATGATTGACAATTAAACAAAACAGTTACATTACTAAGTGCATAAGTTTGTCTTTAACATTTTAGAGGTCACTTTGTTATTGTTACGCTTCACAAAGTTGATGGGAGTACAAGGCTCTGCCTTGCCCCCTTCGCAGGGTAGTCAGCTTGGCCACTAGTTTGAGTATCATCCGTTGTTTAACAGAGTCCTCAAGCTCCACAACAACTTCTGATATATGTGTGCATGCAAATTTTATGCGACCCCATATGCCAGCCAATTGGAGTCGACTTTGTAATTGTGACATCACTTCGAGTAGGAATTCAGCCTAAGCTGTTGATTGGTCAATTGGCTGTCATATTGTTGTAATACAACAACAGGTTACCGAAGGTCCTAGAACTTATAGAAGGCGCCCGAATGGTCAGCATCTGGACGTCCAAGACTTAGTCTTGATTTGTATAATTAATTGCCAAATCTGCACGCATATCATAGACCCTTGCTTTGCAAGCGGCTATTGGGAAAGAATAAAGTAGAAAGATGGAAAGAATGTTGCAACCTGACGCTGCTTTTTTCTTCCTATAAATATATCATCTCAATGAAGGTCATTCATTTCAAAAATGATGATAAGACATGAATCTGGGAGTGGGACTGAAAAACATTTCCAATTTTCTTTGCCCTAGTGGAATTTTTGGGGAAATTTGCTGGCTAAACTGTGAGTAAAGTGGGCCTGATTTAGTTTTGCACGTTTCAGAGCACTCCAGCACCCGATTTCATCAAACTCTTCGTAACTTACGATGCGTCGCAGCTGTGACGCGTCCTGCGATCCATTTCACAAAACACGTCTCAAGTGCGACGCGTCGTATGTGTACTCACAACTCGGTGACTGTTTTATGTATTTAGTCAGCGTACAGTAAATAGTCGTCTGATATTCAACAAAGAGTCGTCGGATCTCAGCTCGAAATTTGTTAAAACGTAAAACAAAATGGCGGTCGTGCGATGCAATTTTGAAGGAAAACAAGCTCTCAGTGGACTGTGTAGGTACTTTGAAATTTCAACTCTAATATTCCGGTCTAATTCATAAATTATTCCATGAATTTTTCATTTACAACTTTACACACATTGTCTCGGTATTATAATCTCGTTAATGTAATTGTTATGGCATAAAACTGGCTTAGAAATGACTCTTCTTATTTTGCGACGACCACTAGACACGTCTTGACTTGCGACGTGTTTTAAGCCGTTGTCAAGGAACTTACGACGCGTTCAACACATCGCAACTTTCGTGAAATGGAAGATACGACGCATCGCAGCGCTTCGTGAAATCGGGTGCAGAGCCCTGTCTGGGTGAATTGCCTGCTTTGTGGCACCTACCTGATTATTCTGAAGGCAAAGCAGCCAATTACAAGCACAGTGACTCCAACAAGAATGAAAAATGCTGTTTTTGTGTCCACCATGTTCGCTGTGTTCATGGGGAAATTGAACCCCCCGCCACCACTGTCGCTCTTGCTGTTGTTCCCAGTTTGTTGTTTTCCAGGTTCAGCTGTGGTTTTTGGTAGGTCAGTTACTGGCTTGGCTGTTGCAACTGGTGTAGCACTTGTGGACTTGGTATTTTCATCTGCCGACTTTGTCTTTTGAGGTTTGTTTTCCTGTACAGGTGCTCTTTTGCTATTGCTCCCATCAAAAGGTTCATATGGTGACTTGTGTCTTCCATTCACTTTGCGCTGAATTTGTGGGTGTTCATCATTCCGAACGAACGTCTTGGCAATCCCTCTTTTCTGGCTGCGTTCATTGTCATGATTGTCGCCATACAAAGTGACAATATGTGACCTGTGTCTCCCATTGACTTTGCGTTGTATTTGTGGGTGCGCAACATTCTCAACGAAAGTCTGTTTGTTGTTGCGAAACGCAGCGATAACTACACTCAGTTGAATGCATGTAAAAAACAACAAAGGATAAAGGATACGTTTTGGCTCCATCTTCCACTGCCAATGTGCTTTTAAAATAACGAAAAAGGCCAAAATATCTCGACAAAGATTGTCACGTCATGATCATCATCACCATCTTCCACATCAGTATGGTTTTGACTGGTAACCGGCGTACGATTACTACTGCACATGAAGTGTATGTGTACGCACAGCTACACGGATCCTATAGGCCTACACACAGGACAAAATTCTGCAGGCTCCAGTATAAAATGCAATGAGCGGACTTAATTGCCTTAATTGGTTAGACGCGTGATATCGGGCATTAATACCCGTTGGCTTGCAATCACGAATTTTCCAGGTGTGCCATTGTGTCGGGGTTTTTTTGCATGACATCTTAAACGGAAATATTCATAAAACTGTAAGCAAAACTACTCCTTATAGGACAATATTCTTCCAAAATTGTAAAAAAACAAAAAAACTTCAGGATATAACAGATGGTACTGTGCAGTTTATGTCGTCATAGATGAAGTATTTACCCGGAAAATAAACGTCAAATTTCGACGAGAACACCGTTTACCCAAATTTTGTTTTTAATTAGGCTTTCATTAAAAAGTTTTAGACAGATGTGATCCCGAACAGATGTGATCCCGAATCAATGCAATATGTATACTGGCGTGCTTTTTACTTTGTATGCTTCCTCCACTTGTCAGTCAAGCTGAACATATTTTAGTTGTGAAGACGTTCGGACATTATACCTCAAAATCGCATTTAGTTTTCTCATCACAAAAAGTGGGGATGATTCCATAGCCCATCCCCGGCCCCGGTCAAAACGTGGGGGATATTATAACCCCCCCCCCCCCGGATTTACGCCCGGGCCTGCCATTAAGCGGGCGCCAAGTTACGTATAACCCGTTGTTGCATTACAAAAACACATGGCATCCAAATTGATCAATCAACAGCTTAGTCCACATTTCTGATCGAAATGACGTGAGAATAATGACATTCCGATTGGCTGGCGTGCGCGCGGGGTCGCATATATGCATAATTATAAAATCTTAAATGGTGATTAAACATATCATAATGTTTTAAGCCCAACAATGGAAGTGCGACTAGAATGTAGTCTGGTACCATCCCATTCAACAGTTCACAATTAATAACATATATTCAGGGAACCCGACCAAAAATGGCTTTCTAGTGAATAAGGTCCATTTCAAACAGCCTCACCCACCCCTGCTGTGGGTTTGAAATCACAGGCCCTTGAATTGCAGAGCTGAAAAGGGCTCGAAATTTGTAAAGTTGTTATTCCGTATTTAGTGGTGCGGCATAGGGACAGAATTGTGCATTTTATAATAAAAGCATGAAACTTCGCATGTTGGTTCTTCATGCCATGGCAAACTGAAAATTGTCAGATATGGACGCATTTCATATCTGACCCCTGGCGACCTTTGAGGGGTCAATGACCTTTGAATACTCTATTACACCTATTGTTCTTGAAAATATCACTTTCCTATGACCTAAGTCTTTGTATAGTCTTCATACAATGTAAATAACGAGCAAATGCGAAAATCACAATTGACCTTTGATGACCTTCCAGAGGTCAATGACCTTTGTATTAACTGCACTAACTCAATACGATATACCCTTTAAACCCCATTTTTTTTTCAAGTCCCAGGTCGTAATGTTAAGTGGCTCATGCTATGAAAAGAATTTCATTTGTAGGGAATCTCATATCTGACCTCTGGTGGCCTTCAAGGGTTCAATGAACTTTGCGTATCCTATTTATAGATATTAAGAGGATTAACTATTCAAAACGCCACTTTTTTATTGCCCATATCTAAATTTTGGGTATTCTTGCCATAATATGAATTTTCAGATATGTAGACATTTCATATATGACCTCTGATGACCTTTGCGAGGTCAATGAACTTTGTGTACTCTGATTGCCGTTATTTATTATGTTCAATCTTCCAAATGCCATTTTTTTCCTGACTGAAGTCTAATTAGAGCAAAAGGAGTGTATTTTCATAATTATTCTACAACGTGTCATGAAGTCAAACCCCAAAGAATGTTTTTTTGCATGGCCTCCAATCTCAATTTTCCTATTTAGAAGGGCAGACGCAAACGTGAAAGAATATAAGCGACACGTACATCGGACAAGCATCACTCTCTTACAGTGACCATTGGTCTTGGTAAAAAGGTTTAAAACGTGGCTATCCAAGTCCAAGTGGATACAGCAGGGTGTAATATGTACACAAGAGTTTATATTGCTTGACATATGTACATTTTCCATTACAAAATAGACCCACATATTTCTACTCCAATCTCCATCATATTGCATCTGCCAATAAAACAAGGAGAAACGAGGTCAGAGGTCACTGTAAACTAATAGGTGCAACACCGTTCTTTGCACTATTGGCGATTTAGTCACCAACGTTTTGGCGAATAAATATGATAATTAACGGTAACTAAACTATACAAAGTTCACTGACCTCTCCAAGGGTATCTATACGTCAAATATAATGTCCCCACATCTGAAAATTCTTTTTATGGTACCAAGAGTCACGGCGCTTTACACTTGGGTCATGAAAAAAGTGGCATTTACAATTATGAAAATCTTATTAATATCCATATGTAGGCTATTGTTTTACAAAGGTCATGACCTCTCGTAAGGTGACCAGAGGTTGAATATGAAATGACCTATATGTATATATGAAAATACTTTTCACATCATGAACACCTTTCATTCAGACTTGACTTGTGAAAAAAAGATGCGGTTTAAAAGAATAAATCTTACAAATATAGCTATAAACAGGTTTACAAAGGTCATTGACCTCTCAAAGGTCACCAGAGGTCAGATATGAATTTTTCCACTTCTGATCGTCATTTTCATTGTATGAAGACCTATGACATAGACTTGGGTCATTGGAAAGTGAACTTTTGAAGAACAAAAGTTATGAATAGTGCATGTAAAGTTCATTGACCTCTAAATGTCACCAGAGGTCAAATATGAAATGCCTCCCGTATCTGAAAAAATGTTGTCATGGCATGAAGAACCAACATGCGAAGTTTCATGCTTTTATCACAATCTGCACAATACTTTAGCATATTATGGTGGCTATGCCGCACCACTAATTAACAACAAGGTGGACTTTTCAGTTAGAATTCTCTTTCAAAGTAAATAACTTTTGTATTGCTGAAAAAATAGCAAAATGGGGGTAAAACTCAAAAATAACACTTTTAATTAATTAGAGTTTTAATCATTTCTGAGGGGACGGTATGTGATATGGTAGCAGTATATAGCTGCATTTTAGTACTCATGTGTAACACTTTTGTTTACATGTTAATTTTTGGCTATAGGTTTACATGCACTGGGTGGGACTTTATGCACATTTTTGCAAGAATAATATGGCATTTATTTTATAGCCTCGTTTCTTGTTTTTCTTAGCATTTTAAATTTTTGACATGTGTGAATCGGGAATACTGTAATGTTTTGGTTTTTTACTCGCACTGTTTTTTGTGTCTTTTTTGTGTACAATTTTTTTTCTTCGCAACCTGCTTTTTTTTCTCTTTTTTTTTTTAGGTCTGCTGGGGGACTCCATGACTCAAGAATACATATATTTTATATATATTTTTTGTTGACTTTGCAGATGTTTTGGTATGAATGTGCAATAACTGTTTTTAGTGCTCTCTCTACGCACCTGTTACTTTTTTAATCATCAGTCAAACTGTTTTCTTTGTTTAATTTCATTTCCATGTAATTTTAATGTGAAGGCTCCAAAGCAGTTTTCTTAAACTGAAATGGACTACCCTCGTATTACAATAAATGAAAATAGAAAATAAATAATTGCAAGTCATCAACCAGTCTATAGAGGGCGTCCTTGAATATAGCGTTTCTCTAAAAAATAAGTGCCGAGTACCAGCTGAAGTTGCACGTCACACATGTGATTTCAACCTCGTAGTTTTGTCTTCGTGGATTTTGAAATAGTTGGATCGAGAGGCCTGAGAACAAGGGTGAACATTTTCCCAAACTATCGTTCATGTCGTTGTGTCCGTGGAGCGGTTCAGTTGTATTTGAACAAAAATTTATATTTTTTAATATTTAGAGGGTGTCGTCAGTAGCTGACAGAAAATGGATGATCTTTTGGAGTTAGATGTACATGAAGCTGAAGAGGATGAAGAGTTCAAAGTGGATGAAGAATCTGACCGTAAGTACCGAATTACACCAAGTTAACTAGGCCTTAGCCCCATAAATGTGGCCTATTTACTGGACTGCCTCCGTAAACATAGGCCACACATCCACATGTACACAAATCGTGTCGACGGAGCCAAATTTTGATTTTCACATTTAGGCTTAGTTTGTAGGTTTTTTTTGCTTTAGAAGCATACTCACCCTCTTTATAGGCTAATCAGAAAGTGCTGCCTTTTTCAGATGTATATTTTTCGTGAAATTTCCAGATTCATTTTTACACGTTTGTGACTGTGTATCAAAATTTCAACATGAAATTTCACAAAAATTAGGCATCTGAAAAAGGCAGCACTTTCTGATTAGCCTGTAAAGAGGGTGAGTATGCTTCTAAAGCAAAAAAAACCTACAAACTAAGCCTAAATGTGAAAATCAAAATTTGGCTCCGTCGACACGATTTTTGTACATGTGGATGTGTGGCCTATGTTTACGGAGGCAGTCCAGTAAATAGGCCACATTTATGAGGCTAACTAGGCCTATGATTGTTCGTATTTTTTATTCGTATCGTAATGTTCTTGTCAATATTGTCAACTCGCCCCTAACTGCCTAATAGTACTATTTATTGATGAAGTTATGTATTAATTAATCCCCTTTGGCATGATTTGGCACGGAATGACCCTATTTGAGCCACATTTGTTGGGCTAATGACCAGCATGCCTCCATAACCATGATAACAATCATGCCCTGAATCAATTTGACATTGGGTTTTCCAAAACGTTACTGATTAATTTGAATGAAATGTGATGAATTTGGGCCTGGGAAAATTCTGATGAAAATGAAATGATCTGAAATGATCTGAATTGCAATGAAGCTTTTATGTTATTGTTATTGTTATCATGTACATGTAATCTAAATATTCTTAATTCATAATTGCAGAGGGCATCCAGAAATTGAAGCAAAATGCCAGGAGGCGTAAAGGAAGAGGTTTTGTTGCAGGTAAGTGCTCCTTAACCCTTCAACCCCCCCCCCCCCCCACCCCACCCTCCTCCGCCTCCGAGCCTGCAAAATCCAACAGGAGGATTTTGCAGGATTCAGGAAGTAAACAAGTGTGAAAAAAAGAAACATACATGTACGTTGCTATCTCTCTGTGCCTTATGTAACGCTATATTATGTCATTTATTGATCTTGTTTTGTGACCGTGTTGAAATGCAGATTTCACTGTTTGTGTACTTTCCAGATAACACTGGCATCAGGACAGCAGACACAGATTTTGAACCAATGGATGTTGACACTGGAGAAAGTGGGCCTCAGAGATGTAAGTGAGAATAATCATCAATGCATTGTATTAGCCTTCATTATCCATCACATTTACACACCCTACAGCCAGTGTTTTTTTAAGTACTATCGCAAGGCTGAGAAAAAGCAACTGTGTTTACCGTAACGCCCTAAAAACTGTCCAGTTGGGCACAGTGTGTAGGTAGGAAAACTGTTGTTGAACAGTTATTTTTATGTTTGTCTGTCCCTCTTTTGTACTTTCTTTTTCTTTTTTAATGTAGGGTTCCTTTAACACTGTTCTGTTGAATTAACCTTTTTAATTGTTGAATTGATCAATAACACACAAAAACACTTCCATATTTATTAAAGGAAGACTCTTTTATTTTTAAAATGTACATTACGTCATTTTAAATTTCTGGCCAAATGTGGCAATAAAAAGTTTGAGGTCAGCAATTTGGACTGAAACACACATTTGTTTTGTTAACACCTAATCTGAATTTAGCAAAATCTTAGGATTCTTTATTCGTGGAATCTGCAAAATCCGACAGAAAAGAGATATTCACCTGAAATTGAACCTGCACTCAGGACTTAGGCTCATTATTAGGCTTATATTTTTCTCTGAAAATATGAGCAATTGATAAAAAAAGAGGTCTCTAAAGACCTTGAATAAGTTTATACTTGTTCTGCAAAGCAGACCAAATTACTGCCATCGGCTGAAAAGAGGTGCTGAGGAGTCTTCTTGAAAAATCATCTGAATAGGCGGATTGCATCGCATTGCGATATCTGGACGCTCTGTTGGGTAAACAGTTATGCTCAGTCAAATGTTGGCTGACGACAATTTCCTGTAAGATTTCCCCAATTTATGGAGAGTTTAATCCTAAGACAAAATGAACCCTAGAATCTTTTCTCTTCAACTTTTGAAGGATTATTGTCCAGATACCTCCTTACTAGTGCATTTCTTGTTACGTTTATATGCAGCCGTTGAGGGCTGGATTCTCTTTGTGACTGGGGTTCACGAGGACGGATCAGAAGAAGACGTCCGTGATAAATTTGAGGAGTACGGACTCATCAAGAACATCCACGTCAATCTGGACAGACGAACTGGATTCCTCAAGGTATGATTCCACATTGAATATAACACTTACCGTCCTAGATCAAACAAAATGCAAACAGAGGACTTTGAAGGCTTGAGAGATCTTGCAGGATTGTGCATGGTAGAGTCCCGCCACTATTACTTGACATAATCCTTGGTGCCTCACCTCCTTGAAAGTAGACGGATGTGGCGTCAGTTTCCTGCTCAGTCAGGGATTTTGGAGGATTGAGGATGGTTGGAGCAAAATGCATTGCATTTGATCATTTTGATGTTTTTGTTAAGAAAACTGGTTTTGCTGTGCTTGTGAACCATCGAATCACTAAATTACATGTAGCTGAGATTTGACATGATGCGATAAAAAACGATTTAACTGTAAGATTTATTTGTCAAAATAATAGAATGTCATTGGCGTTTTTTTCTCTCTTTTTGTTTTTATTTCAAAACCCATGTTTGTAGTTTGCATGGAAATTTAAAAAAAATTACTGAACAACTCTAAATACACTTTAGTTGACAGTTGAGTTGTAGTTGAGTCCTAGTTGAGTCCTCACAATCAAATCACCAGTGATAGCCTTGGTCAAGGCGCTAAATGTTATTCATCCCGGCCGTGGCGCGTAAACGATATCCTCGCTAGGGCCATGCATTATGCAGTGCATTAAAAATACAGCGCGAACAGCGACCTCATGCGGCCACCATTTCTATGCAAATTAGTTGGACCCAATATCGCGCCTTGGTTTAATAGTCGGCAAAAGCTTATGTTTTTCTTTATTTTGCGCTGGATTTCTAGCGCACGACCTCGTAGGCAAATACAGATAAGTGTAGGCGGGGCTAATATGTGGAGTGTCCAATCACACCTTGGTAAATACGGACGTCATCAAATTGTTTCCAGCTAGCTATTCGCCTTTTGCGGACGTGACAGGAACCACAGTTTTTGTGCATTGGTGCCGTGTGCAGAGAGACACATAACGTGTACGTGTACATGTATGGATTATGTACGGTGCCACGTTTTAATAAGCAAGTTTCCCCGCAACGATCGACCAATAAGAAAACGACATTTAAGGTCAGCTAAGGCTATTAACATAATGAGCACCACCCCCAAAACCTCACATGGACGATTGAACCAAGGCGCTAGATTGGGTCCAACTGATTTGCATAAAAATAGTGGCCGCGTGAGGTCGCTGTTCGCGCTGTATTTTTAATGCACTGTACTGCATGCATAGCGCATAGACATTATGACTGCATGCATTACCGCGCTACGGCCGGATAAAAAACAACTAGCGCCTTGACCAAGGCTAGTCAAGTGAGGAGTAAGTACATCAACTACGCTTAAGGCGCTCCTTTGTATTTGTAAATCCATTGTTACTTGTGACCTGGGCCCAATTTCATGGCACTGCAGTTAGCAGAAAAGTTGTGCTTAGCATAGCAGACAAATTTGCTAACCTTAAGCACTATTTCACAGTTTGGATGTGCTAACGGTCGCACGTGCATGGAGATTTCTATTGTTGTGTCACAAAGTTAAGCAAATATTTCCTCTGAAATAAGCGTGCCTTTTCGTTTGCTGTGATTATGCTTACGGTCTCCATGAAATAGACGGAGGCTCTGTAAGCAGAAACTTGTGTGCTTAGCAGCGTCACGAAATTGGGCCCTGACGTGTGAATGGACTTGTGATTTGACTTATGATGGAGTGTCATGGTTGTAGCCAAGCCAGTCATAACAAGTGGCTACAGACCATATGTATGTTAAAGGTGGAGTCGGAGAGCAATGGTTTTTGTATCGCTACGATAGGCATGAGTAAACCATATTTGCATTTATTGTTAATAAGTGTAAAAAACAAAGAATACCTTTAATATGTGACATCCCCCATGCATACCTAGTCTATTCTAGGTGTTTTGCAAGTGCTTTTGTTGAACTGTTGTGTCTTTTCCTCCTGATTGATGCTGTGTTTTTCTTGCTTCACACCAGGGCTACTCGCTGGTTGAGTTTGAGACCTTCAAGGAAGCCCAGAAAGCCATGGATGCACTGAACGGCAGCGAGTTACTGGGCCAAGAAATCACTGTAGAGTGGGCATTCGTCAAAGGACCCCACAAAGATTCCAAGAAGAGGTCTGTACAGAAACTATCTTTTTTATGACAAATATTGATAAAAGTATGTTACATTTACACACCCTTTGATTTTCCATCATGTCTCCTTGCTGTACAACATGATACATGCAGCTACTTAGTAGCTAGCTATGCAATTATGCATCCTCCGTTTCCTGGTCCAGAAAAATCAACTAGAGTAGTAGCTATGGTTGACCAGAGGTGGCAGCAAGTCATTTTTTGCAAGTCCAAGTCAAGTCACAAGTCATTAGGTCCAGTCACAAGTCAAGTCACAAGTCATTAGGTCCAGTCACAAGTCAAGTCACAAGTCATTAGGTCCAGTCACAAGTCAAGTCACAAGTCATTTGGTCTAAACACAAGTCAAGCCACAAGTATCTTTGTCCAAGAACACGTCAAGTTGCACATTATTTTGTCCAGCTGTAATAAGCTAAAAGAACCTGTCGTCAAATTACAAATTATTTTGAACATGCCTCCTTAATTCCCCTTTTTCAATGTGTTGCAATTACTATTCTTGTAGTTTATCACATATCTGTCGGATATTAGCCCTTTGTACTTTAATAAATTTACTTTACATTCTAGAAATAAATGTTGAGATGACATGAAAAAAAACTTCACTCACTCGATTACATGTAGTATACTAACACTTTATTGTTCAATTTTCATGTATACTAAACGCCTACCAATGGGTTAGGCTATCCGGTATTTTACATGCAATTGACAAAGGACTGCTTTCTTTTCATAAAAGGTTCCTTTCAAAGTTTGTTCAACCATTACATTATAAAGCAAAAGACCTGGTCATTGAAAACTGTAGTTTGTTGTGACAGTCTTATTGAAAACTTTTGAAACTAGTGGGAACTATTCATTTTACTGGATTCAGTCACTGAGGTCTATTTTCTGGAATGAAACTTTCTCGCTGCATCTATAAACTGCATTTATAAACACCTTCAGTGGCCTTTTTGGGCCTTGTGTTGGGCGACTCCAATTTAAAAAAAAATCTATTTGTTTCATGTACAAACTGTTACACTTCAAGTAAACAAGATTTGATAGCATAGTATCACTCAACTTTGCTCGGTGTGGCCTCATAAATATTCCTCCATGACTGAATACACGTTTGATGGGGGAGCTAGTAGTAGCAGGAACAGACAGCGTACGCAACGTAACAGCTCAGCTCACTGATATGATCTACAGCTGCAGCTGGGCGAAGTAGAAACCGCGCAAGCCAAAGTCCGTTTTTTAATGCACGTAAGGCGTAAACTGAATAGCTAATTAAAAGTATAATAGCTTAATTAAAGTGTATTGGCCATTGGGTCGCTCGAGTAGCGTCTGACTTGGGTTGGTAACAAGTCATTTTTTGCAATCCCAAGTCAAGTCACAAGTCATTGTTTGCAAGTTCAAGTCAAGTCACAAGTCAAAGCTGGTATTTACAAGTCAAGTCACAAGTAAAAAAAATAGCGACTCGAGTCCGACTCGAGTCCAAGTCACATGACTCGAGTCAGCAACTCTGTGGTTGACTAGCATGGGTTTGACCAAAGCTAGTCAACCTGTGGATATAAGTTGCATGTTGATGGATGAGGTTGAGATCTTAGGAGAAGTGACAAATTGCAGAGAAAGATCATTTCTTGCTGTATTATGTGTAGAGTTTTGGATCTGCTAAATGAGTGTGAGGCAATGCAAAAAGTGCGCAAACCATGCACATGTAATATGTTCCTCGCAGAGAATAGTTTTGATTATACGTGTACCTTGAAAAGAAAACCACCATTGGCAAAAACAGCCAGACAAAAATAAAATAAGTGTTTTTTTGACTACGCTTATTTTTCCCTTTGTTTTTCCCTAGGAGTGGCCGTAGGAGATGAAATGAGCCATCAAGGTCCCTGCACCATTGTTGCACCAGTGTTCAACCTGTCAAAGATGCTAAGTCCTGCCCTGAACCTAACACTTGTAAAGAAACCAGAGATTTCTTCTTTCCCGACAAACATTCATTTACATGTAGGTATTGGGATTGGTACATCTTCACTAAAGAAGCACAATACAACCAGATTGGGGGTTGAAAAGAGAAATTGTTTTTTTTTCCAATCTACTTGTTTACCAAGTTTGTTTCATATTTGTGAGTTTTTGAAAATTTCTTGGAAAGTGACCGGTTGTTTTCCAAGCCCGGAGACCAAGGTTGGGGACTGTTCATTCAGAGTGTTGTATCAAATGTTCAATCGTTTAAGGCCACAATTTTATTTTGACTGACCATTGTCCAAGTATGACACATATGACTGCAGTTTCAGATTCTTTGTGGTCTAAACCTTCAATCTGTATCATGTTTTGTAGATTCTGTAACCATGTTCTTCATGCTCTTCAGCAGGTTGAGTTTTTTTAAAAGTTCCACTTTCACAATTCAATTAAGGATAAAAAAACGAACCGGTTGCATTTCTTTTTATTTAGTATTATGAGCCGATTTAAAGGTTGTGCATATTTAGGCATTTTGTTTTTCACCTTTGTTTTAGCTTTTTGTGTATTGTTTGGATCTGCACTTCTCCAGTAGTTAGCCGTTCGTGCTCCTTGTTCAAATGGGAAAGTGAAATAAAAAAGATATATTTCTCTTGACTTGGATAAAAACTTATCTTGCTGAATTTGCCTGATGTATGAACAGATTGTTTGGGCAACCATTGGGGAAGTGACCTTCTGTAAATGTGACAAGTTTTTATTAAAACACGTTAGTTTGAACAAGAATGTTCGAGAAATCTGTTCATTTTGTTGTGTTTGTTTGGGACGTCTCTATAGTCCGAAGTACATGTACCATTGGTCCGAAGTCCATTGGTCCGAAATCCCATTGGTCCGATGTCCATTGGTCCGACGTCCCATTGGTCCGACGCCCCATAGGAATAGGGTTAGGGCAAGGGTTAGGGTCAGTCAACCTGAACAAGTGGAACTACACAGTATTATGTTTCGGACCAATGGGACTTGGACCAATGGGACTTCGGACCAATGGGACTTGGGACCAATGGGACTTGGGACCAATGGGACTTGGGACTGTCGAGATGTTACCGTTTGTTTGACAGTTGATATTTTCCCCCAGTGGACAGGTCCAAGAATAGCTAGTCTGAGATATTTTGAGGAGCTGAGGTGGTTCTTATTGTCAATCAATACTTGTTGGGGTTAATTTTTGTCTCCGGCCGTGTCCGAATCACTTGGCTACGGCTGTTAATAACACACAAGTCAATGGGAAGTCGCTGCAGCCGCTAGCCAGTGGCTTCCTTAGGTGCTCGTATTATTCCCGGCCGTAGCCAAGCGATCTGATTCGAAACGGCCCTACACTTGGTCTAGCTAGCTGGAGACGCATTTTAATAGCGCCCTCTGTTGTCATTTTCTGTCGGTTCGTGCAGCCTGTGTACGACGCGATGACCTCGGTAATCCATAAATGAAAATGTAACTATCTATCCTTGACTCTTAGATTATTTCCGTAAAAAAGACGCGCTTTTGTGTTTAGAATTTTCTTATTGTAACTTTCAACTCGACACAAACGGCACTTAGGCACGGCCTGTAACCTAATGGACAGTGTTGTTAACTGTGGTCGGACACACGAGTCCAACACAAGTCCATCGCAAGTCCTCCAGTTTAATTCAAGTCGCAAACTATTCAAATGAGTTGTAACAAATTCCTGTGTTACTGGTCACCCACAGCTACCTGCGACCGGAATAATGGCGCTTTACTTATGAAAAGACGTGTGGTGGGCTCCTGTGTTTTATGCAAGATAAATCCAACAAGCTTCGCTTTGACGGTTGATAACGAATCGATCAAGCTTAACGGTAGCCCACAATTTAGTCACTTTCTTTAAATGCTAACTATACATTGTATGACCTTTGGTTTATGGACTCTGTGCAAGAACTAGACAGCGATTTTTGGCCTACACAGGGCTTGTAAGGACACAACACGTGCCGCCCGACGCCCTGGCCTATAGCGCGGGAAATAATGTGCCAGCCAAGTACCCGCGCGCGACTAACTGCCAAAATGATAGTTGTGCGTCTGAGCGAGAGTGATGCATCATTTAGGGAAAAAAACCCGTAATGTCGACTACACTGCTGCAACAGCGGTGTTATAGTTTGGTTTAACACCAGTGGTATCTCTACAGGGTGTTTAAAAAAAAGAAGGAAACCCAACTTCAAAGAATGAGTATGGACAGATGATATGTTTACTGGCTGTTATAAGCTGGTATCATCTGGAAGCGTAATCTCTATGCTTTTCAATGATACCATGTTTAGGTTTTGTGAGTCATGCATCAGTGAACATCATTGTCTTGAAAACTGGATGCAAAAATGCCGTTGGCTCACTTCCACTGGGCACGGTGCGCCTATTGTTACGGAAATGTCTTTGAAATGGCTTGAATGTTAATCGTCGGCAAATGGCACATTGTTTTGAACGTGGCTTGGTCAAAACGAGAAATTCATGACAAATAATAAAATCCAGTTTTGAAACCAACCCGACTTGTTTTTTTGTTTCTTTTTATGCACTCGTGTCTTCTTCCTGAATACTTATTCTCATGCACACCATGCCTATTGTGTTTGACATGAAAGTGAATCAACTGCACTTTTGCATCAAAATCTCATGACAGTGGCGCTCAGTGATGCATGACCCTGGAAATGTAAACAAGGTATATTGAAAAGCATAGAGATTACGCTTTCAGATGATAACAGTTTTATAGCCAGTACTGGTTCTTCAAAGTTGGGTTCCTTTTTATTGAAACATCCTGTATAGGGCAAGCGGTGTAAATTGTTTTACACCGTGAATGGTCTATATCACCAGTGTTAAATAAAACATGCAATCCTGTCTGCTGTCTTGAACATGAAATTGAATAAAGCATGTCTACTACAGAGAAACAATAGACATTATCCTAAACTGGTTCTTGATAATCTCGCGTCCTTTTCATCAAGTCTTATCTACTGACTTCAGCGGGGTTCTTGTAGGGGGTGGGGATCTAATTAACCCTCACCTGCCCCTCTCTAATCCACCGGGAGTGATCCCGGATCTTGTACTCATTCCACAGGTGAAGACAGCCAACATTTGAATACACAATCGGCTGTTATTCTGCCATTCCCGTCATTGTTTGTAATCCCCCGGTGCCAGCGGGTACCACCCCTCCGATTAAGCTGAAATCACCAGCCAGCCCCGGTCGTTGAATGATGGTGGGATCGGGTTGAGTTTGGCCGGCCGATCGAGTTCACGTAACTGGGTCAAGACTGAGGAAATGAACACACAAGTGCACGGAGTCAACCGATTTCCATCCGTCGTCAGCTGTAAGATCGTGGAGGCCACCGAATTCTAGTCGGACCCACGGTGATGAATGCACCGCGAATTCTTTTCAAATTGCACCGCGTGTGCTACTGACAGACTAAATCCTAAGGGCGGGCAGTTTACAAGAAGTGCATATCCTATCGCGTTGAGAGAATAGATCAACAGGAACAATAAGTACAATTCAATATTTCACCCATGCCGTGCAGTGAACCCAAGCTGTTCAACCGAGGCCAGAGTGATCGAGAAAATAGGTTTTTTTTAACTGCAAGTTTCCCGACATCACAAAAAAAGAGAAAAGAATATGCCTTCGTAAAATCGTTTCTTTATAGTACAGAAGGACGGTAGTCCTTTTGAATTACATCTTCTAATTTCACAAACTCAACGCTGTATTTGTTCAGTATTTCGTAGAAACAAAGCACTAATTATGATCTGATTTGATTTTTATCTAATCATTGCCTGTATATGTTAACATCACATAAGTCTATAACGAATACTGACAAGTCCTGTTCTTTTTGGTAAATTCTCGCCAATTTGCGAGGTCAACCTGAAGTCTCGTCAGACTGCAGCGCCATTAACTTAGTGAATAGTAAACCGTTATTTATCGCCTGTTTACATTTTCATGCGTTTCCCTTTCCTGCCAATATGGGACACTTTCTTTGTCTTCTCCCGACACTCCTGATCCGAATAATTAAATGTTGCCCTCTACCGACATTAAAAAAAACCCATACACCCTGGTATGCATTGCAATTTACCGACGCACAATTCCACCACAAACAAAAGCACCACTCCTTAGATGTTTCTATAAAAAATAATATGGAATCTTCCATTGTTTCAACAAAAATATAAGGCCATATAACTACTAACTGGGTATATAAACTCTATTTAGTCTATTCATATACATATTCTCACAGGGTTACAAGACTTACTGTCCTTTCTGGTTTTGTTTATTGTCTTATATGTGTATTAAGTGTTAATACAATTTGTCAATTGCCAATTAATATTAACGCGTCCCTAGTCGACAAGCAGTTGCTTTTTCGGGACCCCCATCCACATTTCCTTTTCTTTTTGTATATGCATGTAAGGCGTAGACACCAGTTATGTGGAAATAAAGACTGAACGAATGAAAAAAAAACCACACCAGCAGGAAACATTGCGGTAACTTTGGCATCATTATGTGTTAAGTTTGCAATTTATTACAGTTCTTTTGTGCAAAGTTAACATGGCACATTATTAAATACTGTTTCCAGAACTAAAGAAATAATGTCCAGAACATACCATACTGCCCCTTCAGTGAAACACTCAAACACAGTACATTTTACAACTATATTTATTGTTGTTTCTACAACACAACATCACCAACAACAATTGGTCCCTTTCTAAATCAGAAACAGAACTTTAATCCTCTGAAATTAAGATTTATTTATTTGCACAAACTGGCGAGCCTTGTAAGCTATTAACAAAAATTACGAAAACTTTTTTTCATGCGAAATCACTTAGATACAAATAATGAGGTATCTGGTGTTCAGCCTCATGTTAACCGAAAACAGGTTGATCACTCCCTTCGTATTTTATTTCTACATCAATTAAGAAATTGGTCCCTTTATATAAATCAGAAAATCACAAAGTTAATATAATTGTTTGCATCATATTACAATGTATGTCAGGCTTTAGCAGCCCACTCCCCAAAATTCCAAACAACCAAGTTTAATCATTCCACATCATTTGCAACGCTTCAGAGATTCGACCATCCTGAAAGCCTATAGCTTTACGAAAATGGTCACGTTGACTATCTTTTGAATGATAAATGTCGTCGCACTCAGCAACGACATTTCCTTTTCTAACCCTTTGAATTTTGAGGTTATTTTGGACTCGTGCACACTAGCCAAAAAGTTACTTCCGCCTTACATTGGTTCTTCCCGTTCATTTGAAGTCTTGGCACAAATAAAAGAAGATGATTCTTATTATCTCGTCTTTTGAATGTTTCTTATACGAAGGTGGTTTTCATAAAAACAGGGAAGCCCCTCATTTCCCTGCCCCGGGCAATCCCCTTGGAATAAAGTAATTTGCAAAATAACTTTCCCCTCAACTCCTCTGCAGCAGTTGTTCAGCAGTTTTGACCCGAGTTGTGAAATGTGACATGTCCAGAATTCATCTTCGAGGGGTCAACTTGGGTCAAAGGTCGAGGTCAACTAAATGAACCTACTAATTCACATTGGTATCCTCAGGCAAATCATGTCTGTGAATTGGAACAATGTCAACGGTTCCTTATTTGCCAACTGAGGCGTTCCAATTAATCGTGTCCGTTTTTCTCTCGTCTAAATAGAGATCATGTGTGTTTGTAACGGGTCGCATTCTTCAAGCGAATTTGCGCTTCAAAGTTTAGTCTGGTCATGTGCGTCTTCCATCATTTTCTTTGTGGTCTGGCAACGGACCTGTTATTAGCGTGACAAGGAATGGCCATTCTTCACTCGCTACTTTTGATGTCGGGAATTTGCGCTCTCATCATAATCGAATTGGTTGTTGTGAGACCAAACTGAAAAATGCAACAATTAACGTGAACCGATGCGGCGCTCCATCACGCCGGACCACTTAGTCGCGCCTCCAGGCGCCGAATGGAATTCCCGACCCAACTTGAATGAGCACAAGGTCCGAGACAAAAACTATAAGCATAGCCGTTTGTTTTTACATAAATCTCTCGCTAATGAAGCCATCACGGGCAGTGAGATCAGGCAATAGCAATGCCATTCATTAAAAACCTACACACACTCGACTTGATTTTGGATTCATTGCGTCAAAGAAACTCATAATAGACCAATGTTATATTTTATCCATTGAGCTGGCGTCACTTAGGATAAGCTTTCATAAGACCGTCTGACTCGACGTTCAACAAGCCAATTTGTCAATTTTGTAAAGTATAATTATAACTCCGAAAAAGCAGCATTTGTTTAGACACATTTAGCAAATTCTACAATAGTTTATACACTGCGGTAATATTAATTTGTTCATTATATAAAAGTCGCCTTTGAGCGCTATATATTTTTACAACCGAATATAAACTACCACTGGTTACAAAACGTAAGTATTTTTTCAGTAACGTTTTAGTGTAAACAGTAAAGTATTATTATTTTTATAAAAGTTATGCCATCTTTCAAAACCTGTTCCGGTAAATTGGTTACTCATTTTAACCCTACTCAGTTGCTTACAATGTGCATTATCTCTTTTGTACAATAGACGTGAATATTTTATAGACCTTATGCATTAAGGCGGAGTAAGGGGCAATGCTTTTGTATCGCTAGGATAGTAAACCTTTCGTAAAGTTATTTTGTTAGTAAATTTAAATAATACAGAACACCCTCTGTGACACCCGCAACGCATAAGCTGCGCTTCAAAAATAACATAGTCAAAATACCGAGTGTAACTATAAGGGACAATATACTTGGAGTCCCATCCACCATAAATGTTGGGGTGCTTCTTCTGCCACGCCGCTTGCCCACTCGGAGTGAAGCATGTGACATTTTAATTGTGACTCATGTTAACTCGATTCCCCTCCCCTAATCCAGACCAACCCTCTTCTCAGGTTACAACACGGTCTAGCCAGCAAATGTTGCGAGGATGCCCCGTAATCACTAGCATGTGCACCTTCTGATTCCAAGGTCCCAGCACGAAACCTCACCAGATAAACCGAACATTGAATAACAGAAACAGGAGCAAAATGTTATAACGATAAAAAGATGGCTAGACAGCTAGAAATTCTAAATATATAGACTACTTGCGCGAGGTGAAAGAGCTCAGACGATCGAGGAAGAAAAATATACCTTCCCCATATGCGCCAGGGAATGGTCTAACCCTCGCGTACATCGTTGAACGGTATCCTGGCAAACCGAGTCAATAATTATGCCTACCTTTCCCGTTTTGCAGTCTTGATATTAATTAAAATATTTCTGACAAATCAGGTCACTTTTTGCAAACGCTAAAACAGAGTTGACCTTCCTCCCAAATAAAATGCTCTGACAGCGAGCTGTGCTGGCTTGAAAAGCGCTCTCTTATTGGCTAACAAAGCTTGAACTCTGCAAATCCAGACTCGAACATTGCTTGAGAAAACGTCAAGAAATCTATCAGTTGCGCACCCAGGATTTGGCGGGGGGGGGGGGGGGGGGGGGGCTCACACTTTTTATTGGTCAATTAAATTTTTTTCAAAAACATTTTTCCAAAATGATTTTTTTTGGGGGGGGGGAGCGGACTATTTTGACGCTGGTAGCGCCACTTACACCCCTATTATACTACTTGAAAATAGGCCACATACATATCATCAAGGTCAAATCGTTGGATTAAAAAAAAAGCACACAAACAAATTAACAAAAAATTGACAACCTGGGGGGGGGGGGGGGCTCAAGCCTCCTGAGGCGCCCCCCCCCCTGGATGCGCCACTGAAGTCTATACGCAGAGAATCTGATTGGCTAACAGAGAGTGTCAACAAAAGATTCAGGCTCGGTTTGCCAGGGCGTCGTACAACGTAAGATTGCCCAAGCTAGCGAGGATGAAACATGCAAGCTGTTTCCCTTTTTCACTTGATCGTTAGCGCATGCATGGTCATGCAGGACGCCGCTTGGCGTAAATACAAAGATTACTACATGGGATTCGGAAATAATAAATCTGTGGCAAATGGCAGTATAAATGATACGTCAATAAATCTGGCAATCCTTAGCTTTTGTATACGGCCTGTATAGGCAGACAAGCTTGCTAATCCGTGCGACCAATTCGATACTGCGCTCGTATTGCAACTGTATCTTACGTGATGATGTACTTGTCGAGAAAATGAGCGCTTTGTGCATTGATCCATATTAAACTCAAAAACCTCTGTAGTTAAAGGTGCCAGCAAAGGTAATTTAGAGAAAATCAACAAACTTTATTCTCTGCCATATACCAACAGAGGGTTATCTCATCAAAATCATGAATAAATTCCCAACTGAATGGAAAATGAATCCTCATTACATTGGTCATCCCTACTTTACTCGAGGGAGTGAACAGTTTCACTTTGAAAATGTTGTGGGGTTTGTTTTCCATTTTGGGGAGAGAGAAGACTCCATAAAAGTCGAATAAAATCTAAAGACGTCGTTGCTTGTACCTCTTTTGTTGTATATGACTAAAGTAATCTTAATAAATAATTGATAAGGTTTAAACTTATTCTTACTGCAAGGTTATACACGTTGTATTAAACAGAAATAAGACAAAGTTTACATACATTTACATTTACTTAATAAATATTTTACGTAAGCAGCAAAGCCAAAAAAAAAAATTGTATGTTTCCTCTAACTGAAAAAAATTTCAACAAAATACAACTTAGCAACGGTGAATATTGTTTCATGCTGAATTTCCTTGTGAAAACCGCATGTCCGTACACTGTTTGTTGTAATCACGTGATGTTGCCATACGTACACTATTGGGTATATGATTATATATAGGGAATTCATGTCAAATGTAGTATGAACCAAATCACCTAACATAATTGAAGTGAGTGACATAGTTGAGGAAGCAAATTATGATATAACCAAAACGCAGCCACTGAAAGCTCCGTTTCTGGCTGACTCTTATTTTTTTTCACTTGGTAGCGCACAAGTCATCAAGTGAAAAGTTCAACTCCAAATTAACCTTTGCATGTATATTTGTCTACATTTTCTTAACAAAAATCGTGGTTTTATCTTTCTGCACTGAAAGAGATACATTAAGCCCCTCGAATGTATGATTTTAAAATGTTACATAATTATGGAGCACTGTCTCAAATGCAATGCTGGTTACTTTACAAAACTCTTATACAGTTATATGGAACAAAACTCTGTACAAAGCAAGCATTATCAAATGAGCCATGGCAATGTGGTATAAATAGTTCAGCGGAATTCTATACACTTTTAGAAAGGCAGCTAGATGTGTTTTGTCCTATTGTATAAACAATTACTAACATTATGTTTGGTACGAAACACTTGAATACATGCCTCTTTCAGAAATTTCAATTTGTTGGTATTAGGTTGCAATCTCGATTGTGTTCACATGACTCTTTATTTGTTGTCACAAATCATTCGATTTTCTTTTTGGCAACGTAAATCAAATTGAATTTATCCTTGGATGGCGTCATGCTGACGTCAGTGAATCCGACTTCTTCTAACATTTTCACGGCCATCTCGCGGCCCCACATGGTACCAAGCCCCGCCCCATCTTCGAACCCCAGCGAGACCGGCATGCAATGCATCATACTGATGACGTAACCGTCGACGGCCCGCGGGTTCCCGATGTTCTTGGACGGGTGGCTGTGGACGTTGAGCTCTAGCATGCCGAAGATGCCACCGGGTGCAAGTGCCCTGTGGATACCGTTCAGCACTATGCGCGGATGAGCCATATCGTGCATGGCATCGAAGCAAATGATGAAGCCAAACTGTTCCACCCAGCGCTCCGGTAGAGACGCGGCGTCTTTGATGATGAAGTGACAGTTGGAGAGACTAAGACGCTGAGCCTCGTTCCGAGCAAACGAGATGGCTTCATCTGAGATGTCTATGCCATAGAAGACACTCCTTGGAAACCTCTGGGCTAAGAGGAGCACCGCCCTTCCCCGGCCACACCCAACGTCCAAACAGTCACATCCAGATTCTAAAAATAAAGCAAATAGTTGAAGGGTCTATATTTATATGAAAACATTTAATAAAGAACGATGTGTTATTAAAAATCACTTGTACAATATACCCGTGCTAACAGGCTTTCGTACAATGCCTAAACGTGTCACCGACGTCCACAAATCTAAACATGTCGTAGATTTAAACGTTTGAAAAAGTGGGTACAATTTAAGATAGGGCCCTCTGCGTTTTAGATCAAGCTTTTAAACTCTTAATACAATTTTTACAGTGTTTGTTATGCTATAATATGGAGCAATTCTGAAACGTTTATCTTGATAACATTAACATTTTATTTCATGTACGTACAATATATCGCGTAAGAAGACGATACAATCCTACATAGATTAGACAATGTTTAGCGTGTAGATATGCGATAATAATCAAAACAACTTTTCCCAACTTTGTCTCCAATTATGTGGTCTTTATAATGTCTTAAACCAAAAAGCAAGCATCGACAACATTTGCCCGTAATGAGATAACATGTTCCTGGAGCAGAGTGTGAAGCCAATCTGTCCAAAGAAAGGGGCCTTAAAATTCCCCGAAAATGAAGATGAAACCAGGCCCATGTAGGCTTGGAAAGAATATCTATGTTTTTCCAAGCCACATGCTTATCCAGTACGCGCACCATTTCTAATAGGGATATCATTAGAAAATAATGGTACACGTACGGAATATGCGTATATGCAGCTGGGAAAAAGTCGCCTGTTAAATCACCATTGGGCAGCAATGTGAATGCAGCAATATTTGGTCAGCAAAATGGTGATTTTACTGATTTAATACACCACTTTTTTTCCCGAGCCGCGTACGTATCCTGTATACCCGCAGCAACAACGTCGAGAGACTGGTATCTGGACACATGCTGACAGTGGACGGCAATAGCTCCGGTGGCCTGTTTCGGACAAGGCCCAAACGACCCCAGAATGCAACGCGGTTAGCAGTCTGACCTACGTCATTGCGTGACTGGCTCCCGGCAGTTAGTGACCAGCGACCGTCCGTCACGGACCAGAAACTTTCCCGGTCGTTTCGCGCCAGTGAAAAACTAGAGCAAACACCCACTTTGGTAAAATCACATCAATTTGCTTTCGAAATGAATTTCCAATCTGGCTCTCCAAATAGTGTTGGCAGCTGGATATCTGCCCCCCTTTCTTACCGTGACCCACCTTTGGACGCGCCCCTGATCTAGTTTGATTACGCGAGGCATTAAATGCCTAGTTTCATGCCATCAGGTAGGAACTGGAGCGTATTAAGACTGACCACCAAGGTCAGCATTATAAGGCGACCGTGCTAATTAGGCTGTGAACTTTAATGCATTTTAATACGCCAAGCATTCAACCGTTTGGAGTTCGCTGAGCTACATCAAAGCACAGCTGGTTTTTCAATGATCCCCAACACGTCCAGCAAAATTATCAAGATGCGTTGGTGTAACTTCTTTATTTTTTTCGAAGCACGTAGCATTCTTGCCTCGGTTATGTCAACATGACAGCGCGCTACTCAGAAGCGCACGGAATGAAAATTCCAATTTTAAAAGAGACTCCATGGTTCTCTATCATGTATACGTGCCAACTCGTCCCAGCGAATTCATCAAAGGACGCCCTGACCACTAATCCATTTCCCAACATCTTGTCAACGGGAAACGCAGACATCGCAAGGCATTGTGGGTATGTCACTACCCATGATAGATGTACGTACATTCAGTGCGCACCCGCCATGCGCGCGCATACGCGGAAGTGGTGACCCCGGGATAAACAAAATATGCCCAATGAACGTTCGTCGAAATTAGAGGTCACCAGTGGCCTAGTTCGGTACCGGATCACACTGACGAAAGTTAGGATTAAGTTTGAGGTCAGGGTCAACCCTTACCCATAATAACAATGAAATTAAATAGGCCAATAAATTTTGATTGTGGATGACGTAAACGACAGAAATTTGCATCAGATGCACTAAAGAGTTCACTTGGCGGCGTTGGCGCAGAGTATATTATGACTGCCCCAAAACAGAGAGGTTAAATTAAAGATGAATCAATGCGTAATCATGCATTGTGGCAAGGAACCACAACTCCTATATTACAGTTCAGTATTACAATTCCAAGCTTTTATTAATATTACGCGCCTCATCACCAAACAGAAAAGTATGGTTACCAGAAAACAAAAGATATACCCCAGCCCCTTCCACCAAAATGAAATTTGGCAAAGCACGCATCAAAAAAAAAAAAAAAAAAAAAAAAAAAAAAGAAAAGAAAAAGAGGCGCGAAGTCATAGTAAATTTAATGTGGGGGGGGGGGGGGAATTTCCCTGCCCCTCTAAAACTGATAAATGTTGAGAAATACAGGATTTTGGGGGGACAAATATGTTATGCCCCCGCTGGAAAAAATCCTGGCGACGCCCGTGTACACTGTTTGTGTTCAAAGGGTGGTACGGTGAATGATAGATTCCTTATCCTCACGTTTCTCTCCTCGTAAAACTCCCAAGAACCATTTCTCATTCCTGTATTTATATAATTTATCTTATAGGCCCTAGGCCTGTATGTCCAGCAAAATATCTACAGAATCCTTTTAATATGTTGAATTTTTACTGTCTTTTTACATAGACAATTGTCAATAAAAAAATCCTGACAATTGCAGCATTTGATCCAGACACTCTTGGGCAAATTCTCCGCAATGGTTGGTCAAGTTTTGCCCGGATTAACCAACAATGAGGTAGCTTTCATTCCAATCTTGGCCAAATAACATTGCCCAACAGTATTTTTTTAGCGCCCAACTTTTTTTTAAAGTGAAAATGTTATCAACGCTTATCTCAATGGTACTTGTCATACAGAACATATTGATATTCATGAAAGTATTTATTTTCAAAACATCAGTAGCTGTTGATTCCTCGATTCTAAACCACAGATTCGTAAGATTTCTGAATTAAACGATTAGATGACACAGTTTGTCCGCCCTCTTTTTTTTATTAAATTTTATTTACAAAAAAGAAGAAGACGGGTGGCGGAAGTGAGTGTGTTTTCTTAAACAACAACCGAACATCACATAACATTATTTTTGCCTTGTAGTTAACCCGACCCCATTATTCCCATCTAGTTTTCATATTGCATAATATCATGTGTTAAAATATAATCGGCATTGGGTATCCAACATTGTCCATCCAGACGTTCCCCCTAAATCATTTCGTGGTAGTTCTTGGCACAAAACTCAAAAACCTGTTAACATTTTTGAGATGCGTCAGTGGATAGGCGCGGCCGGCACTCCCAGGCCATGTATAACGTTGAGTCTCCGATAAACATCGTTTCATAACGAACATTTATAATGATACCACCGGCTAGACTCAAGCACGATGAAGTAGGTCGGTTCCATGGATATGAGTGTCTGCACACAAAACATTAATGTCACCGATATCCCATGTGACCATAGCAATATGATCAAAACAAAACAAACTTAAGAAAATGCCAACTCCGAAGACATGGGGGCAACAAATGCCTTTTTTAAAACAAAATTTGTCACGAGGACAAAAGTGTTGGGATTTTTCCCTCTCAAACCCGCCCCCCCCCAAACCCCCCCCCCCCCCAAAAAAAAAAACCCCAACAAACTGAAGAAAAAAACACGGTGAACAATTCCCTTATTTTCAAAGAGTGAAGTTAGGGACCAAACAATTTAAGATGAAATACTTTGAAAAAATATAATCACTTCAGTGGGAACTCAAGCGAGAAACGAAACTCGATCTATTCGGGTGAATGAACTTCACTCTAAATGGTCTGGTCCCTTGCTTCGGATGGTATGAATTTTCGCTCCAACAGAATGAGCTTGCACTCCTTGGATGAAAGAGAGACCAACAAAAGAACAGAGTTATAAAAGTTCTTTCAATTGTTTAAAAACCGTGTCCGAATTAAATGAGAGGATTTCTTAAAGGACTAATGCAAGAAGCAATAGTATGCAAACAAAAGAAGTCTTAAGAAAGTCAATCGGGGACTGCAGGAAGTGTGGCCTAGTGGTTAGGGTTCGTGACTCGTGATCAGAGGGTCAGGGGTTCAAATCCAGCTGTTGGCCATAGACAAGCCACTTTACCCCCACTGTTGCCTCTCTCAGGAGTATGAATGGATACCTGAATTAGTTGGGGAGTTACCTGCTATGGACTAGCATCCCATCCAGGGGTAATACAAATATTCTCAGTCGTTTCATTCTACTGAAACCGGAGATAAACGCCGGTCTGGTGGGCCACATTGGCACGTGACAATTTTTATTTCACAAGGATTATCATTGGCAATTATCTTATTATGGTGAGATGTGGGCCGGGTGAAATAACCACACCGTAGTGATGTCTTTTAATCGTTTCTGATGGTCCGAATATGAGAAGTCTTAGGTCAACAACATATGTGAGTGTAGATGTGTGCCACTGGGAGTGGGGAAAGTAATCAGAAAGTTTCGGCAGGTTCGAAATTAGCGTCTGTATATAGTCATGTGGTTGCTAAGGGCGATTTCTAAAGGTTACGTAACACTTCATTTTGAATGAAACTACATGTACACACACATGTTCACGTTTGCGGGCGAAATTTTGAAAATTAATTTCTCCCGTTTAGAAGACCGTATCTTCATGAAACTTTCAGGGTTTACTTCCCTCATATTCATAATGATGCAAGTATGTGCTAAAAATCGTTGTGATGTGCTCATTACTTTTCGTTGAAATTGGAAAAATAGGCCTGGCTACGTGCACTTTTGAAAGTTGGCATACTAGCGTTTGCAATATCTGTCAATCTTTTCAAGCCCGACGTTTATTAATAAGGTTCCTGTCCATTATGGTGTGCAGTAAAAATGTGGAGAAAAGCCTTCTTCACGAGTTATTAAATGATAAATATCACCCCTTTTGCCGGCTTCCATTGGGCGATACCGAGACCCACGGCAGTTGGTATGTTGACCAACATTGTGCACAATTTCAACCCTTTTGCCCAACTTTCTTTAAGTTTAAGTGTAGGCCTAGACTTGACCAAGATTAAAGAATAACAATTAGTTTGTTGCATTAGTTTTAAGTAATCGTGTGTTACTGTTGTACCTCCACAGTTTTTGGCTTACTGCTGTCAGTGCTTTTTGCGTCGTCTTTGGCCTAATTTTGGAAGAGTAGGTCACATTTGCAGTCTGTCTGTGTGTGGCACGCTCTGATATGTCAGAGGACACGTTTACTGGATCTTATACTTTCGTCAACCACTTAGATCGATTGCAGATTACGATGACAAACGGCATACCCAAGCTTGTTAAGGGTCGTCATTAGCCCACGAACCGTGAATTTACGGCCTGCCCGCTTGCCGCTCGACACGGCCCATCTTTCACCAATACCATCATTTCGTTGGTGTCCGAACAACCCCCCTTCTCCGAGGCAAAACAAAGCGATGTGATTTGTATATAATTAGGGCTATACTGCCGTCATTGGTGGCTCTTGACCGGTGGATTTTTATTTTGACGGCGTCCCTTGTGTGTCGTTCGTTAGACTGTTACCTGACGTTTCGTGCCACCCAATGCACGTCCACCCGCGTGTTTATTGCTGAAATCTCTCCCAAAACTCACTGGTGAAAACACAAATGTGGCACGGGAAGTTGTGTGAGGCCTTTCGATTTACAGGCCCGTAAATGACGCTACATCGTGCCTCGACCTTGAAAACCGGATCCCTTTCATTTGGGTGTAATTGGCCAAAGCGATAATTCATGGAAACTATTTCATTTTATAGTGCACTCAAACTGTATGTACCATCTGGCTCAGATCTGATCGTTTTTGGGTTCATATATCAAGGGAAGGTGCATACAAAATGCCGAGTAAATTAACAGGAAGTTACAACTGGGGTTTTCGACGAAATACTTTATTTACTGGCAGAATAATCGTGAAATAATTCGAAGTATTAAGCGCCATAACTACAGTCACCTTATGTCCGACTGAAATGCAATCAATGCAATTTCAAACTGGAAAGGATATTAATTTTATGATACGTGTGACAAGGCCTAGGACATTAATGTTAAAACACGTGACTCCAATGAATACAATGTGAACTCCTATCGGGCACATGTTAAAGACTATGGTCATTTGGAGCAATTGTGCCGGCTGCTGCAAATGTTTCTTCCCGGTGGAGATGAAAGGTACTGAAATCCCATTTGTTCTACACTCCATTAAAACCTAGGCCCTATATATGATTCGCTGAGCTTTAATTGTGAGTGAATGAAATAATTTGTTCCTTTAATATTCTAGATAATGTAAAAGATTGTGGAGGGCCAAGTGTCATATGAAAATCGGACTCTTTTCCCCTTTTATTGGTAAAACCCTCTCACGTGACCGGTCCCTCTCCTAATTATCTATGCATGAGCATGAGCAATACCACCAATGAGTCCGTATTTCATCAACCTCGTACCCAGGGTGTTGAGCAGTACGTGCCCACCACTACCTGCTCTCTCACCCTGGTATTGGATCATTTGCATGTGCAAGATTTTTGAACACGTATGCAAATGAGGAATAGTCTGGTGCCTGCATGTGCGTTACATTAGCGCTTGTTTTTGTATGCGGTGTCTGGGGTAAAAACAGAGTCAATTCGTCGCAGCGCGAGCATGGCGTGAGTTAAAAAAAACACGATTTATTTAAACTGTTACGATCTGATTGATACAACATGTAGTATCACATTTCATATTAATATGAACAAACTTGAAAGGAAACGAGTATTTTCGAGAAGGCGTGGACGAATGATCGGGAAAACACGTACTGCACGTTTTGATTAACAACACCAAGTACACGATAAAAGTCCATTTCTAGTCAATTGCGGTATCGAATCAGGATACAGGAAGAAAGTTTCCTATCCAGGGCTTACTATTGGAAACGCGGTTGGAAATAAAGGAAGCACTGGGGACGAGGTTGGTAATTCATGCTACACCGGTTCATACTCGGCGCGAAATCGAGCGCGAACGCGATTTGGTGACGTCAAGGCAATTATTCGCGCTGCAAATTCGCAACAGTTGAACACATTCAACTCCAGCGAAATTCGCAGCGAATGTTCCTGACGTTTTTGTGTGACGAATGAATCGGTCTTTACGAAGCGGAACACTATATCAAACATCAGGACTGGGGCCTATTTTGATTGAGTACGTTGAACGAGTAGGAATGTGTTTGGACACACAGCTGACATAGGTATGCAAGAAATGCTCAACTATATTTCGCAAAAGAGTCAAAATTAAAGTCCTGTTGCAATTTCTTGTACAGTTTAGCATAGGCTACCTTTTTCCCCTGAATACTCACGCCCGAATACTGAAAGGCGATACTAGGCTATGCTTAGTTCTTATATTATACCATTCGTTTTCTTGTCGGACTCAGAAAAAGACTCGATATATTTAAAGCTCAGACAATTTGTCAAAAGAGTGTGTCAGTTGTCAGATGTTTACAAAACTCTTTCAGTCCTCCAAAAGAAACAATGGATGACTTTAAGTCTCTGCGTAGTACCTACACACAGTCACATGCCCGTTAGATTACACCATATATACGTGTGTATACAAAAGGTAATCCCAAAACAATGTGCTAATATATAAAAGTTAGGATGTCTACAATGTCAAAGTGGTTCCATCTTAAAAGATGGTTCTTCAGCTTGCAATTTATACCTTATTAACATCTTTTCAGTCACTGATGACTGAACATCATTGATTGCAAAACAAAGGCCAAACAAACTTTATATTTGATTTCTTTCTGGTAATGAAACCGAGGATTCCTCAAAAGTTCCCTATATGCACTGTAACCCGAAAGCCTGACGAAACTTGTAGAGAGAAGACAGTGAGAAGAAATTACAGTTTTAGAGGTGGGAGGAAAAGCCCAGAAGAATAGTCTAGGGAAAACCCACGGAATCAGGTAGGGACTGAAAACCCAATCCACGTATTGGCCCAGGCGGGATTCGAACCCGGGTCACAGCAGTGGAAGGCGGGGAAAGTAACCTCCCTCCCCTGTTCGACTTGTCCAAGTCGAATAAATGGCGCTTTCTGAAGAATGCGCTGTCGTTACGAGTGTGTTAAAAAGGGGTATGGTGTAGATGTTGTTTAAAATAGTACATCATGTTGTCCATAAATAATCCATCATTCCAAATATTATGATGATGTTTTAATCACAAACTAGCAATCCAATTTCAAAAATCTTTAAAACAGCTTGCAATGGGCATTGCCAAAGCCATTAAGTTGGGCCGATTCCCAAGCTATGTTTTGAGTACAATTTTACAACCGGTAGTTATTATTTTAATGACTAAACAAACCAATCTTCGACATGAGTGATTTAATCATGAAACACGATACTCCATTTATGCTCAAACAATGTCTTTCTTCCCCCATTCAACACGTAATCCATTGCGGCTGCGCACTTTTTTGGACAGCTCAATTTACCACTGAAACAGGCAAATTTGCAAAAGAGGTGTTTGTGATGATAAACAAAACCTCTGGAATATTTAATCACTCATGAACAACATTATTATGTACCTTAAATGCACCAACATCTCTAACACACCCTTTTTAATGCACTGTGTGTGCACACCGTCAGCGCATTCATCCGACAGCTTAATCCACCACTTAATTCAGCAAACTTAGAAACAGAGATTTGTTGACCTTTGTTTTGCAATCAATGGTGCTCTGTCATCAGTGACTGGGACCACTTTGACAGTAGTCAAGTTCATAACTTTACATATTACCCATTACTCCTGACTTACCTTTTTTTATTTTTAAACCCGGTATAGTGAAATTAATCAGTACCCCGGCCTGTCCCTAAATGGACCGATCCAGTAAGCCCCGCACACTGCGCACTGGGCAAATCAACACGTGCTCCTCTCCAATGCCACACTGCATTTTCCTGCTGCGCGCATCATACGCGCGTGCACGCATGTCGGACTTTCGTGCACGCACGTCGGACATAAATCACGGCTGTGATTGGTCAGAACACCATGGGACGGTGCTTACTGGATCGGTCCATAGAACGCTTGCAGATGCGTTCGATAATCGACGCGCGAAGGCGCGCGACGCCATGTTGTGGGACAGGCGTGTATCTATCCATGCACATTTTGTCCCATAACATGGCCTCGTGCACCATCGTGCGTCAATTATCGATCGCGTCTGCAAGCGGTCTATTGGATGACCATCCTCTTCAAAGTTTGCCAATCTCCTAACTACTGGTACGGTTCCTTTGAGAGAGAACACAATCAGGTTATATTCTGTACTCACCAAGCTTTGGCACAAGACCAGGGATGGAGGGAACCACGTCAGGGATAAGTGTAGTATTGTGGAGCATGTTGGACATGTGGTCCATGAACTGGTGAAATTTGCCGTATTTGGTATAGCTCACACCTGTAATAAACACCACCAAAAAACATTGTCGTATAATGGGCGGATCAATGGCCTCATGAAAAGAGGGGGAAGGTTTAAGACCACACAAGAAAATTGGCTACAGCGTGTGAATTCCAATTACATTGTACAAAGTTTATTTTATTTCAGCCACATCCAACAGCGTAAGCGCCAATAACAGGATAGATAAATGGAGAGAAGACAACGAGAAGAAGTTACAGTTTTAGAGGTGGAAGGAAAAGCCCAGAAGAATATTCTGGGGAAAACCCACGGAATCAGGCAGGGACTGAAAACCCAATCCACATATTGGCCCAGGCGGGATTCGAACCCGGGTCACAGCGGTGGAAGGCGAGGAAAGTACCGGTACGCCAACCTGACTCCCACTTCTCATGCCAAATCACTGTCAAAATCACTGGGGGATGAGGCACGTTATCCCCAAAACGTAATTTTCCCGCTATTTTAATTCATGCTGTTATACCATGTTGTTTCATAGGTCCTATGTAGGTTGGTGTAGGCCTCTACTTAAGTACAGTGGCCGAAGCATTCCGTACAGTCTATCCATCGACCCAACCATAGTTCGGGCTTAATGAGCAACAAGTTGTCGACACGTACCGTGGTCTCGGAAACAAAGTAACAATTCTAAGGAATTTGTAAACTATTTTGCGGACAAACTTCTGAATCACGAAAAGGTTACACAATATTGTTCATTCGGATTTGGAAGAGCTGCGTGGAAAAGACCCAACACAACCTCGGCCTTCTCCCGCACAAGAATGCCGAAATTAAACGACTTTACCGAGAATTTCGTTGAAATGAAAGTACCGCGCGGTGAGTTCAAGCGCATTGTGCTGATGTGATCCCACCTGGGAGGCGCAACTCGTAATCCTCAGTCGAGCCTCTGGGATGTTTGGGGGTCTTAGTGGGGAGGGTCGGGCTAATTCCAGGGCTTTGTGTTCCCCTGTATTTCACATCTGTTATGCGGATTATATGCCAGTGGCGTTGATAAAACCGCAGTTTTAACCCTCAGGATGGTCCTCGTGTAAAGGTGTTGGGGATGGGTGGTTACAGCATATGTCATCAGCCGGGTTCTGGTATAGTGTGGTTGGGACACTGCAGCAATCACACTTTTTGCAACCAATTACAGTCACTTTAATGAAAATGCGTCAGCTGTTGACGGATTGGTTCACGGACTCTACTTTCCTTAAAACCCTCCACAGCCATGAGTCGGAAATAAAAACAGATCTTGATTTTCATTGAAAAGTACAGCTTGATTAAACATGACTAACGCGAAGAAATTTCATGTTTCGGGGAAAAATAGGCCTTATAAGACTTAGGAAATGACATTACTCGGGTTACCGACATCGCATATTTCGAATAGCAAACCAGCGTGATTCAATGCATTCTGTTTACCAACAAAGGTGTTTTCTTCCCTTCGTACACTAGCTCTCCAGAAGTTCTTAACGCCACAAGTGCAGCAACCCCCGTAATAACAGAAAATTGTTGACTTAGAAAAATTGGGTTCTTTTCAGACAGGTCCCTGCGCTTGAAAGAATCATTCTTCGGGACAAGGGATTTTGTTGGGGGGCCTGAGTCACCTGGTCGGACACATTTCAACGCCTCCTTTCTTGAGGGATAAATGTCTTAATGAGGCGTGAAATGTGATCAGGTGAGATCAAGCCGGCTGGTTTGTGGGAAGCACAGGGGTGTTTTGTGAGGGGCGATTAAGCTCGGCCATGTGTGGTACACCGGCTTAGTGTTCAGCATTTAGTCAGGGTTAAGGTCAACAGGTGCATGACCGCTATTACAAGGCAATCAGCACATGGGCATACGTTTTCTTTCATTCCTTGCTATGTCATCTTTCATTCCTTGCTATGTCTTTTTAAAAATGTAATTGTATTGTATACTTGTTTCATTTGGCTTTATTTCATTATATCAGCAGCCGATTCTATGAACCTTTACGCAATAGCGTTACATAGTGTCGTCACTGACGTGGTCGAATTGTCGGGAGCACTTTGGGGAAGCGATGATTTTCTGGAGGGGACATTCAATGGGTTTTTAACAGTTAAACGCTCAGTTTTCAGTTTTACTAAGTTGCCTCCGAATTCCGAGCAGTGCATGCTTTAAAGGGTGCCCCTGCCTCCATGTCCCCCGCCCCGCCAAGGAATCCAGGAATTTTGTGCAGGGGGATACTTGGCCTGCGTAAATTCAAATAGTGGGTGGGGGGGGGGGGGGGGGGGGGGGCTGGCCTGGCACCATCTTCCAAAATATTGGGCGCTCTTCAAAACCAGCCATTATGCAAACTACCCATTATGTGCTCATTTTCAGGGCGCATTGTAATGATTTGGGGTTTGGTTTTCATATTCCTCGTTCATATCAGAACTCTCTATACCATTTTGGGAAATGGTTGCTGAAAACAAATTATCCGAAATTTTAGGGCAAGTTTTGTTTTCATCTCGAGGGGGGCACATTTATGCTCGGGGCACATTTATGTCAGCAAGAGGGGCACTTGGGTAAAACTGGGGGGGGGGGGGGGAGGGGGATCCGCGCATGCTCTGCACATGCCACATTTAATTGCGCAATCAAGTTGCGCGGCACGTCATAACACATTTCCTCGACAGGTACGCATTAAGCGCGTCCGCGAAACCCAGTACAGCTACACCAATGACGCCAGGATTGACATCACGAAGACGTCACACTTACCCGAGGGCCCGTCTCTTCGGAAACACTCGGCCACGCTATCATAGGCTTCGCACAACATCGGAATCAGTCGGCTGAAGGCGACAACATTCATTGGCCCGTCCACCAGAAACGGGCGTCTCTCCGGCGGCACATAGTACGTGTCCTCAATCGGGTCGACGTCCACAATTCGGCCGACAACCATCGCCCCTAACCACTCCCTTACGTACCTGCAAGCATACGTGACGTATGAGATAGTCACAAGAAGACATACCCATTATCACCGCACGGCAAATAGGATCATGTTACATCCCACGTGACCGAAGGAATTGAGACATTTCCTCCAAGGCACATTGGACTTGTTCCCAATGGGGGCAACATGCCAGGCTACAGGAAATGTCATTTCCAGCAACCCTCCCGGTACAGCCCTCATGTCTCCGGGTAACCTCAATTCATCATGGTTCTTGCCGTTTATGTGCAAGCAAGGTAATTGACCGTGACACAGGATCACTCATGACTACCAGAATGTTACTCAAAAACATGATGTCTAAAGAGAGGTTTGTGGGGCCTTCAGTTTATTTTGCATGTAGATTTTCGACGTACATTTTGTACATCATGAGAAATTCATTCATTGATTCATTCATGGCTCTTGCCCCCCTCCCCTACTTATTGTTGGGGGATTTCTTTGGAGATGAGGCGTTTACCCCACTTAAGAAGCAATCGGTATTGACAAAGTGTTTCAAAGTTACAAAGTTTGAAATTGTATTCAGCACATTGAACGTGACGGTACAATACCATTTAAGCTCTGCGATACTGCTTGCCTATTTAGGCTTACAAGAAAAGAGAAATTTGTATGTTTGTGCACGTGACGAATCCTGGATGTCATGCAATAACGCAGCAGTGACTGAGGGACGAATTGATACCCATTGCCAAGTTATTGTCAATCCAAGAATACACACTTCTTATAAGACAAGGTATTCCTTAACAAAATAGAAAAATCCAATAAAGAAGAGCAAGAACGCACAATTATTTCTACCAAATCTGATTTCCTTTCCAAAATGTAATTAATTTCCCCGAACATTACATTATAAAAATCCTTGACCATGGAGTAATGTACATGTCTAACACCCCAACACTCTTCCATCCCCCAAAAGTGCGACATATTGGTTTTTGGCGTTTCCTGAACTGGGCGCAATATTTACTTGGATTTTGGAATGTTGTCACGTGACAAATCAAACCCAATCCTTCACAACGGTGGATCTTTTTAATTGAAGTCACAAAATAGGCAGCCATTGTGTGCACCACCATCTTTTGTTTAAAAATATATATATTTAAAGTGGTCAGAAATTGCTTCAGATCGCACCACAGCATATAGAAAGAGGGACCCGAACCCCACGCCGTAAATTTTTGAATCAACTTTTTTGGGGGAACATAATTCCCCCCATGTCCTGGATCCGTCCTTGATCCTTCAATGTTCGAGACGCCTGTTTGAGGTGGTCATGGGTATGATAGGCACGGCTAACCTTTTCATTTGCTATGACTGAATAAAAAGCCATAAAATATCAATCAATACTGACCATGATAAAGCTATTTATCTTTGACGAATGATGAATGAAAAGAAAGATATGCAAAAAAAAACCCTATGTCTTTATTTAAATACTTATGTATTTATATATTTATCATTAAAACACTCCTGCGATAATCACAATCAAAGTAAATTAACTGGGACTTCGATTCAGTTTTAATCGTTACCCATTTGGATCCCTGCCTATAGTTACAATCGGGCCGTCGTTTCCATCTTATATATTATGGATCTGCGCGGTATACTGCGTCAGACGTTGCCCTGAAATGTTCGGGTGGCTGCCCATCTGTGGACAGTAACTCGGTCAGCAAACTCGGACAGTCTCTTCGTGTTGATGCATTACCGTATGCAGTTTACGATGCAATAACCGTATCCAATTATTTTTTTCTCTTTTCCCTCAAGTTAAAGTAACTTGAAATTTGTCCTGTAGATATTTCACTGCCAAAAGCAAGCTGCGGCACGTAAGTAGGCCTATATGGTTCAATTTGAAGGGGACACTTGCAAACTTGTCGTGAACTTCTTATTTTGGCTCTCAATGCATTGTTTGTTTAGAAAAGAGAGAGATAATTTTGACATCTCTGAGTGAGGGGGGGGGGGGGGAACTTAGCTACGCCACTCCTGAAATCTTGACTTAAAAATGAACCAACTTTTACAACAGGTTCACAAATACTTATGACGCGCAAAGCGTGTTTTTTTTTCATCCACTGGAGGTGAACTCTATAGATTGTTCAGCACTACGCCTGGACTGGGAATATCTCAGGCAATTTCAGCCATAAACTAATAAATCAATGGCGTTTTTATTATGACCAGACAAGAGAACATAGCTAAAATCTTGCGCGCTGGAAAGAATATTAAATTGTTCAGAATATTCCTTGGCCTAAAATAGTGCGCCCGGTGCAGTCGGCAAGTTTCACTTTCGGGTGATATTTCAACCCCTAATTTGGTCTTGACCCTCGTGCACTCCTCTTATTTAATCTTTCAAGTGGTTGGAAGCGGTACATGTATATCAATTCTTAAACATTGTTGGCCTGTTGGCTAAAGCGTAAAATTCTAAAACATCCCTGGCTTAAGAAGGGTATCACAATGGCAAAAAGTCTCCCACCAAAAATAAAACATAAAAAAACACTATATACACGTACAAACCATTTTGACGGGAATCGTGAATAGGTTTGGAATGCTAATTTTGCTAAAACTGTTATTAGGTTTTGGTGACGAGATAATGCAGACTCATTATCTACTGCAGTCTGTCATTTGTAACTTCGGCTTCATATGTATTTCTTGCTTCATTCTCAAAGGTTTTTAAACCTCGTGAGAGTACTATTGTATTTCAAACAAGAAATCGTTGCACTTACCACCTCGGAAGAGGCTGCTTATTGGAGTGCTTCAAGGAGAACACAAATATTAGGTAATATCATTCGATGAGACAGTTGAGTTGACGTGAATCGTCCGCCGCAGGTTGATGAGAGTTCGATAAAACCCTCATTTTACAAAGAACATTTACCTTTCTTTGAGTCCCGCCCTCTGTGCAATCTGTGAACTGGTCGAAGGTTCTTGTAAATCTCCCATGATCTTAAGTAGGCCCGTCTCCACTCCCAGGCTGAGGGCCACAGTCATTGTCGCCGAGTTGATCATCTTCATGATTCGATGAGCGAACTCCTGAGGAGTCTCCATCCCCTGATCGATCGTCTTGTTGCCCTTCAAAATATCCATGGTTACTCCCGGATAAACAGATGACCAAAATAAAGAAAAATCAGACTCGATGTGTCCTGATCATCCAAAGGTACAAAGATTTCTGACGCGTGGGTGTCGCATCTGGTTCCTTTTATACAGCGGCAGGAAAAGTTCGGGCATGAGAACTTTCGGGAGGAATTTTGGAGGGTCTCTTGTTTCCATTCGCGGGAGTGCAACTTTGTCTTTTGCAGAAGTGATTTCGAGGCAGGCTTAATTAACCACTGGAAGAGACGGGGACCATTTCATTTTTCATTCGGGTAAGTATCAAAATTAGCATTTATGTTCATATCTTATTAGCATGTTCTTAATGGACAAGGGTCGGAGAAATCGTTGCAAACCGAAAACATTTCTTCTAATACAGGAGTTGAAACTTTAGATAACATTCTCTTGAACTTCAAAGGAACAAACTGCCCGCCTACACCCCTCTCATTGAAATGGAATCTTCTCCAAGTCACTCCATCCAGCAGAGTACTTGTGACGTTGAACGTGGCGTGTAACTTACAGTGTCCCATAGGGTACACCTTGACATAGCTTCGTGGTGTCGGTGAGAGGGTCATTTTGGTCTGTCGCTATTGCTTAATGAGATTGCCTGCAAGGCGTGTCCGCTGTCTTTTATTGGACCGTGACACTGCCTGGATTCGACCCGTGTGTGCTGCCTGCGCACTACAGCGTGTGGAAGGCACGCGTACGGAAAAACACTCCGGAAAGACCTTTGAATAATTCAAGCGGATAATTCACAATGAGTATTGCCAATCATATATAGGCCATATCACGGCTAGGCCAATAGTCAAGAAAGAAAAAATTGCAAGCAAGAAAACCTCCTATGTCAACTCCTGGTTTAAACTCATTTTTTTTTTACCAATTTTTTTTTTTTTTTTATCTTTCAGTGATCAGTGTAGGCCTAATTCACTAACTTTCTTCGTAATGTTTGGTATTTGGGAGAATTTCTTTCGCTGTGTAACGGGACGAAAATTATATTTTGCACCCAAACATTTTTCTATTGAATGTTCTTTCTCACGAGTGCCATTTTTCACGAGCACTTTTTTTTTCACGGTGTCCTTGTTTACGTCCCGTGAATGTCATGCCGCGTTTAAAAGTGCCACTTATTGTCTGAAAGTACAGGTTTGGATAGCGCCCCCATTGGAAGGTGGTTTTCCCCATCCCCCCCCCCCACTTTTTGAATTTACAGAGGCTGGATGTCCTTTTAAACAAAAAACCGTGTGTACCTTTCGCCAAGGGTGCCGAGTGCCCTTTTCTCGCAACTGCATTGGACAAACAAAACTCTGGCTATATATACAAGCCTGGTTCAGCAGACTATCTTGATGAATTCAGACAGTCATTTAAAACACATTAATGTGACCGCCTGCGATATTCCTCCATGGTCTTATCTTGATGTAAATGCCTCACCCATTTCAAGATCCAAATGTTTGATGGAGATGATATGAATGTTGTTTAACATTATGATAGTGTTTTCAAGGTTCACTCAATGTCATGCACCAACATATGACGTCATGCCATATTTGTGAGGCGATATTATTTTGCCACCAACAAAAAATGAAGATTGATAAGTTGAACCATATTCCTTCATGGTTGAACCCTGACAATAATGATACGACACACTCTGGCATTTTAGTGAGGTAGTGCGAAACAAGTAGGCTGCTCTGAAAGTTGGGAAGGCGGGGCGGAGCGGGAAATATTGCAAGAAAAATGCACATTTTGTTAACAGCAATCAGCAAAAATCACAAGTGACACTCGTTGAAGCTTTATGGGGTACTTACTTTGGGCGCAGGGGGGTGGGGAGATTGCTGTCTGCTATAGCTAGATCTGCCTATCGTGTTGCAATGGGTCTGATGATGGCTTCATCGTGCGGTTGGGGGAAACCCTGTATGTGGGAAGCCTTTGCTTGGGCAAAGTGTTTGAAATTATGCAACTTAGAATTCTTATATATTTATGGGGGCTATATTGCGCTCATAACTTTTGTATCAAACAAGTCAAAATTGAGTGCGCAGCAAGAAATGAGTAACGAAATAGTTCAGTTAAATCACGTGCTTAACCATTGGACAAACAAATCTCAAAGGAAGCAACTGTCCCACTTCTTACTGTCGTGCGATACATTTTCACCTGTGATTATGAAAATAATCACGACGGAAAAAGATAACAATACCCGGCTAAATAAACATGATGTTTCCTGTCACAAACAAATCACATGGAATTCTCTGTAGAGCAATTTAAAACCATAGAAAAAAAATACGATTTATCCTATTGTGTTTGATTTACTTTTTGTGTGATGTAGTCCTACTTATTGTTTTATCGTTCTGGGACCTTCAGTCATCTTCACAGAATCAATATAGAAATCAACTTTCAATGTTTTCCACAAATGATGCTATGCAATTTGACTTTTTGTTAACCACCTTTGTTTTGTCACTAAATCACTGTCGTCATGGCAGGGTTTAACCAATCTATGTTAATGAATGCAATGATGGGCCATTGGGGAGGGTTGTTATACGTGAATTGCCGTAGGGCTACGGATGTATTCAAGTGTGTGATGGGAGTTCGGCTTCCACCATACTGCGGTGAAGTTTTCAATTATACATTTTATCCGAGTCATGTCTTTCCATTTCTTGTTAGATTTTGACTTTGGGATCATTTCTCTGCGCGTGGATGGAGTGGGGGTGTGTGGACTACATACTTAACCCTTTGCCCTTGATATAGAGAATATTCTTGTCGTATTGAAGTGTACTTTTCTCTCTCACAAATTTCGGCCCCGGTGATTGTCAGCCTGATATCATCGCAACGTGATTTAGGATAAATGGCCGATATGTTACGACCTTCCCATGTTTGAACGAGAAGATACAAATATCATGCTAAGAATTGGGTAGTTTGGGGTAGATTAATCGATAGGGAACTGTTGAGCGTTTGCAAATCAAATGGATGGGTATAGAGGCTGGGAAGACCGACGAGATTTTGTCAACGTCCAGTGTAGTAGAGGAAGTGAAGAGGACGGCCAAAAGGGGGAGGGGTGTGGGGAGAAAACCTATCCGTGAATCTCAGCCTTGGTGTAGGGTTAAAACATTCTCATAAAGTATGGCATGCATCATATCGCCTATCACTTTAGTTAGGGCCTAGGCCTACACCATTACGCATGCGTGTTAAGTTTATAAGCCTGTAGCGAATCGGGGAGGGGGGGGGGGGGTTGCAACCCCGTTCAGCCTCTGTTTTGTTTTCTTCATGATACTAGTAAAATGGGGCCAAAATTATTAAAATTTGACTTGAAGTTCCTAATTTGTTTTTAAATTGCTTTAGAATGGGGGGAAGGTATGCCCCTAGACCCCCTATAGCAGGGGCACGCCTTCACTCAAATAATACTCACCGTCTCCATGCGTTTCCTGTAAGCTGGTTTCGCCCTTTGAAAGTTGGACCGAGCTAAGTATAGGTTTTCCCGGCCAATTTCCTAAAATGTTTATTCACTTCTGAAAATCGGTCATTCATTTTCGTCTGAACTAGAAACGCTCTGAACACGCGTTTCATTTTCGCTCGATCCATTTCAATTCAATCGATTAAGTGATTGAGCAGCACCTTTCGTTGATCAATTCAATTCAATTCAATATAACATTTATTTATATCCAACCATAAACAAAATGATGTCCAATTATAGTTTACAATACCTCTTTTTCGCTTAGAGGGCGATTTCAAACATTCGCCATTCTATTTCACTTTTTTACAATTAGAGGGTTGTTTTTCATTAACCGTCAATCAAATTAGCTGTACCTGAAATCAATTTAGAAATGAATGAACAGGTAACGTAATTGGCCGTCTGTTTCTCAAAACCGAATGCACGGACAATGAAAACGATTGAACTTTCGTTGAATTGAAATGGGATTAAAGACTTGCATTCAAATTCAGACGAAAACGAATGACCGATTTTCAGAAGTGAATGAACATTTCAGGAAAATGACCTGAAAACCTATATTATACGTAGAAATAATGATTAATGCCCATTTTGCAGCACGTACAGAGCAGTGTGCGCACGTGTAACGTGTCTAAATACAAATACACAAATTGAAGGTGTCTAATTAATTCGAATAGTCAATTTAAAAGGGCAGTGAAAGAACATCTCTCTTCTCACTCTAATTTTTAAACAGCCGAGTTTTTAATGACAATTCTTTTCTATTTCCTGTGTAATTATATTTATGGTTTTTTTTGTAATGTACATGTATGTTTGTTTTGGTGTTTTAAGGACCCAGGTGGAAATAAGCCGTCTTATAAACAGCTTTTTGGGCTATCATTGGCTTTGTGTACATGTGATGTATGTTTGTTCATATTTGCCAAAATAAATAAATAAATACACATATATAAATTAATAAATGGTAACCAACATTTTGCATTACCGTTTGGCCGTTTTATCGATACTGTGCTTTAATTTTGTCGGCTCTGTGTACTGAGTTTTGTGGACCTTGTATAGGCCCCTACCTAAAGCTTTGTTATGAAGGCACAGCCCTGAACTTGTCTTTGAGGTTGCATTTCCTTAAAATAAAAATTGACCGAAACGTCGTTCTGTATAGGCCTATTTGTGGAGGGATAATTTTTCGTAGTGGCGATGGCTTTCCGAACTGCTCAGGGGAATTGATCTTCTCTGGGGGAAAAATCACCCTAATTTACCCCGAAAAAAAGAACAGAGAGTTAGAAATCTTTGATTAAATGTGCCTTGAACACTTTGCAGAGTAATTTGTTTGTGAGTATTTATCCTTTTTTATAATAAAGGTTTTCCCGGCCACTTTCCGAGGTTTTCTAATCAGCATTCAATTTCGCGTGAGTTTTACACATGTGATTGAATTCGGTTTCTTTTCATTTTGGGGGCATTCAATTTCATTTTTAGGCAACCAAGATTTTGCTCTGAATGTTTGTTTTCGTTTTCGGGCATCCTATTTCGTTTTGGTGCATTCAAGACTCAATTTGTAGCAGTCTTAAATTAAGTCGTTGCAACCTTTCGGACGGTTGACGCATTCAAATTAGCGAACGTCTGTGCGCTTGTAACGTATAACCATGCTTTTCGTTTCTTATTCGTTTATGGGCAATCGCTTTCATCGTTTGGTCATTTAATTTAGTAAGATTTTTTAATCGACATATTTTCCTATTTTCCTCCGAGGTCCATTTCCCCCCAAAATCTTGGTGAATGTAAAATTGACGATGTTACAAATTAACTGATATGAGGGATACAACTTGTAACGAAATAATGAATTGAAAGGGGCTAAGATAATTTCTTTTTCACTGTTGATCTGTACAAAGGACATCTTTACGCTGACGATTTCTTGACGTGCAAGACATCGGGACACGTATGTTTGCCAATGTTTGTACCATCGGGAACACTTCTTTTGGGTTATTTCTCAAATGTTTGCTTGCGTATGTCTGACCGAACACTTATTCAAAGGGCCCATGCAAAGTAAATTTCCAATGCAAACCTTGAAAATACATCTTTGAGTCACATTTAACCTTATTTACAAGTTTTATGTTTCGATTTTGCAGGGTGTTTTTTTGTTGCCTTCTCCGTTTTATGCTAATGCAAAGTTTCATATTCATTAGAAAAACTGTGATGTCATTCCGGGCATGATTAATGTTACATGGTTATTTCAGCACAAAAAGTTGCTAGAATTTTGGATATTTTGCTGTCATAAATTTCTTTTATTTGGTGATCCTTTGATGTGTCAGTACATGACAGTAAGCCAATGAGCAACCCTTTCTCACAAATGTTTTCAATCAGCAAATTTTGGATGAATAATTTGACAGAAGAAACCCAAACTGAACAGTCACGGTCTTCCTGAAATGACATCAGAATAACAGCGCCCTCAGTAGTCACTCAGTAGTGCACTTTTGCAATAAGATTAACCAAAAAAGGATGTCAAATGTTCATACATTTCACAGTAGTAGAGAGTTGCACTAAAAGAATTCCTGAGAAAAAATTCATTGCACATACCCTTTAATTAAGAAAGAAAGGCATACGGATTGAAGACATCAAATATGATTTACGCTCAGGATCACGGACACGTATGAAGTCTTAAAAGATGTTTGACAAAATGTGAAATATGTTTGCCCATCGAATGCCCGATCAACCCTCACTGCTGGTTCAGACGAAATTGAATGAACAACGCGATACTTTTAATATGAATGCATCTTTTATTATATAGGGACGAGTGAAGCTAAGAGAAGATAGAATGCTCGGAGAGTGAAATTGAATGATTCTTTTTGATTGTTGAATATCGATCTGCGTGATGGTTCAATTTCAATCTAAATCGAATGAGCCAGGCGTTAAATTGAATGAAAACTTGGTGAAATTGGCCGGGAAAACCTATACATCTCTAGCTATAATTATAAGCTCTCTGCAATAATCCGTATTCAGACTGTAGCGCCCTCAACATTTGGAATAAATCCATTGGTCTGTTTTCAGCCTCAAAACTTCCCTACGACGTTTTAACAACACGCGCGGCAGGCCGGATGTCAGACTAATTGGTAAAGTCTCACGTGAACAAAATGGCCGACCGGGAGCCTCCGCCTCTTTTTGACGACGACGATCAAGAAGAAGTTCCAATTAATGACAAGTCCGAGGTAGGAATTGTACCATTTGATTACAGTTATGTCTTGATGTCATGTCTCTAGATGTGTTCATCATTATATTCGGGACTTCCTTAGTAGATGAAAACGTGTTCATGTGAGTTGTGTGTAGAACCCCTAATTAATTGTCCAGATTTCGGACATTAAGTTAACACAGTCACAGGTTTGAGCGAGAAGAAGTCTTTCTTCAAAATTTTGGCGATCGTGTAAGGGGCGTGTCTAACTCTCAAACGGCGATAGATAATAAAGTGACACTGATATTGATAACAATGATCTCCCTAGTTACAGAAAACAATGGGAAAGATTGACGGAAAGAATGTTATGTAGTATCCAGACGCCTCTTCTCAGTCTCTTGATTTGCGTTGTGTACAAAACTACAAAGTAACGTTAGTTAACTTAGGTAGCGCCAGTATCACAACTCCAGCAGTACCACTTATGATAATTTATGCTTACGTCACCACAAGTCAGGCACAAGTCAGAGCGGGAGGTTTCGCATCGAATGATCAGTCAACTTTCGAAATGTAACTCGTGTTTGAGCAGCGAAAATGAAAAGGAGGGGGTGACGGCCACGCCCCTTCTCCGTCCACTTTGGATGTGTCTGGCGGGCCCTATGCAGCAGACAATTTGTCTGGCAATTGATATTTTATACCTAGTAGGGTGTAATTGTTCATTTAAACTTGGTTTTATGTGGTACCTTGAATGTTTGATCCAGCCCATTATTTGCCCCCTTCTTTTGGGCCCCAGGGGCCACATGCAGCAGGGGGTTCCCGGCAGACATCCATATCTGAATATGTTACACATATCTGAATAGGTTACACAATAAATGTTTCTGTGCTCGGAGTGGTACCTTGTTCGTTTGACCAAAATGCTCTGGGCTGCTGCTCTAACTTGACTTCCCTCTCATGTGTAAGCCACTGCCAAATATTAAAGAAAAGTCTCCTTTAACTCTAACTCCCTAGGCCTTTTTGCTAGGATGTAGCCTCAATCCTGCAGAATCCTCCAATTGGCCTCATGGACAAATAGCATGATAGCCTGATTCCTGCAAATTCCTCCATTATTTCTTGAATATGGTCCGTAGAGGAGTGACCACTGCCTGAATCCTGCAAAATCCTGTAGCAGTGACTGTCAATATGTTGAGGCTTGGCCAGTGACATCCTTGAGCAGTACGGAGGATTTCAAGCATAATCCAGGCCTATATTTATGCATGGCTGAGCAAAAACAACACAAGGTCCGGCCCAAGACCTTGACAAAGTGCATCCTACTCATCCTCCACTTTGGCAAAGAGGATTTTGAAGGATTCAGGGCGGTTAGGGTTAAAAATTGAATTGAGTCTTAAACTTGGTTGGTGAAATACTGCAAAACTTTTCTTTGCCAAATGACAGTTGTGGATAAATTTGCTGGCTAAAGAGTGAGTAAAGTAGGCCAGATCTTCTTTTGCATCGTTTTGAGCACTTAACATGTAAGGTCCCAGTCTGAGTTAGGTCCTACTAACGTGATTTGTGAAGTTAAACATGTTCAAAACTTCAAATACAAACACAAGTCTTACGTCGGTGTCCTTTTTTTTTTACTTGTTCCGTTTACTACTATCTTTTGCAAATGACTGTAAAAATTTCAAAATGTTTTTTTTGTAGCCCTCAGCAGTCTTTAACTCTAGGTTTGTGTAATTTTGTAAAATACAACTTCCTTACCCTTATGGTGACTTAGAGACATACTAGTCACAGCAGTTCAGGCGCTGTCATCATTTTACCAGATAATTTTCCTCATAAATTAAAAAACCCTGCCTTCTTTCTACAAAATTAAACCTGCTGATATTCAGTATAGTATTTTTGCGAACTAAAATATAAAGTTACTTTTCCTGCTGGTAACTATTTAGGTAAGTCCCAAAGCATAAAAATGTCTTTTTACCTTTTATATGGAATGGTGTCCTAAACTACATGATTACCCTTACGTTGTAACGGCTGTTCTGTTTAGCACAGCAGTGGATGGCAATTCTTGCCTTTGCGTGGAGCTCAGACTATACAATATGAAGTATGGGTGTGCAGGGTATAAATGATGATATCAAAGCCGAAGGCAAAACACATGCGCCCTCTGCTCTTCTGCTAATCCTATCGCCCTAGTTATAAGCATAATGGTGTACATGTACATGTAGTTTGTACTGCCTGCAAAGGCAAGAAACCGCTACGTGGAGAGGCCCACATTCTTGAATAAAAAGCTGCAGTTTTTCAGATGTTAAATCTTCTTGGCTCAAGCCAGAATCTCTTTATGCCTCACATTACTAAAATGATGTGCTACACTTCTTAGTTTTGTGTGTGTTTTGAAGGAGTTGATGGCATGGTCATGGTAGGTGATGGTACATGTAATTAGTATGTCCGAAACATTCAGTTGTTTTCCTTGTTCCTCTTGATTTTTTTTTTTCCTAATTCTGGATATCTTATTAGGCATACTCCCTCTTTTATTGTAGCATCTTTTCAGATATGGGCCTAATGCTCACACTGCATACACGACATTTGTATGTGTTTGTTATCCATATTTAGGACACGCAAGACACAAAGACTGCACCAGCAGAAGAGGAAGACGATGATTTGTTTGCAGGTATGTTGCATGTAAACCTTGATAAATTCCCCCTTAGTCTTTAGTACTTCAAAACTTGTGAAACTTCAGATCACATCACATTCATCATTTATATTGATGGCACACCAGATTTTGAAAAGTTGTAGGCTTACATACTTCACATAAGTTAGAGTTTGCTGGAGTCGACTTACATGTATGAGTAAGAAAAAGAAGAAAAAAAGAAGAAAAGTTACATCATCTCAACGCAAAGACTCAAACGACAATTGTTTTATTGACTTTTTCAATGCCTGCAGGGGGTGGAACAGAAGTGTCGTTAGACGATGACCCCCTAAAGGAGGCGGAGCCTGCTGAAGCCCCACCTACCAAGTCGGAAGCTCCACCTACCAAGTCGGAAGCTCCACCTACCAAGTCAGAAGCTCCACCTACCAAGTTGGAAACTCCAAAGTCTGAGTCGCCCAAGGAGGATGCACCCGCTGAGTTGGAGACACAGCCCACATCACCAGCAGCAACGGCACCGGACGTATCAGAGACAGTCACTCCTAAAAGTGTTGCCAAATCTAGAGTTACAGTAAGTTACACTGAGTCACATGCTCAGAATTGAAGACTTTGAGCAGAGTATTCAAAAAAGAGCAGTGTTCACTGTGCCACCTTGTGCTAGTTGCCAGTCCTGTCCTTTGAATATGTTACCACTACAAACATGTGAGCAAAGAGATTAGGGGGAGCACCTACAAAGTGTTACAATTCTTTGTTGGACTACATTGAACAAGTTTGAAATTGAAAATTTAAGAATTTTATTTGTTAACTTTGTTGTTGTTGTTTCTTTGAAGGACGAACATGACGAGGTTGAGGAGAAAAAGGATGCACCTCCTGAAGAAGAAGAGGAAGAAGAAGAAGAGACTGACACCTTTGACATGGAGATCACCATTACAGAACCTTTTAAGAAAGGTAAACAGTGATGTACAGATCACCATTACAGAACCTGTTGAAAATGTTAAACAATATCACAAAGAACAAAACGATCACGATAACTGAATCAATCAACAAAGGTAACACAGGCCCAATGTCATCTGCTAAGCACCGAGATTTGCTAAGCAAAGACAATATTTGCTAACCAAATACTGGGCACCAGCCAGATGGTCTTGTGGTGTAGAGTGCTTATGACTGATTTTCAGATGTATTTAGCTCAGCACAGAATGGGCTTTGTGATACTTTCTGCATAGCAGCACCAAAACCAGCGAGAATGGTACATTGTAACTAATGCCAAGAGAACATGGTTGATTTTCAAATGTGAGAAATTATGGATTGTTAGTCACGAGAGTACTACTAAGAATTCATTACTTCAATGTATTTTTGTTTGATAGGTGAAGGGATGAGTGCTTACATGGCATACAAAGTGTCCACCAAGGTAAGTCTTTAGTTTTAAAACTTTTATTACTTCACCAAATACCCAATTAATTATTTTAATTGATGGAACATTGAAAACAAGATTTGTAATGAAATGCTTGATGTTACATTTTGGTTTTCAGACAAGTAACCCAGTCTTTAAGAAACCAGAGATGTCCGTGTTCCGTCGATTCAGTGACTTTCTGGGCTTGCATCAAAAGCTAGTGAACAGTCACACAGTAAAGGGATACATCGTACCTCCGGCACCAGAGAAGAGTGTAGTAGGTAGGTAGATGTTGCATGTACATGTATAGCTTTACAATAGAGGACGGACATGCAAAGGGAGAACAAAAGATCCTTTCAGTCCTCGAACGTTGGGTCTTTTGTTGAAAACGGTCCTCGACTGTATGGTTATGTGCTTAGTCTATGGGAGAGTATTATATTACAGGGACAAAGGGAAACGCAAAGCATTGTCCTCGGGCGTATAGAAATTCATGACTGTGTGTGTGAGTAGGTTTATGGTGTAAGTCGAGGAAACACACGTGCAACATCATCAATGAATTGAGGACAGGAACCAAATCAAGGGCGACCTCGATTAGAAAACGTGTATAAAACCAATGAGAGCTGATGCAAAAAAATTAAGGTATAAACAAAGGAAAAGGGAAGAGAAACAATTGAAAATCCTTGATTTACAGCATAAACAAACCTGCTTGTGTGTGTGTGTGTGTGTATGTAAACACCGGCAATCATCAGGCATGCAACTTTTCCTCGGATCCGCTGATTTCCTCGTTTTTTACTTCTCATGAATGCCATTACAAATTGAAAAACAATGTACAAAGTCGTGTGTGGTTTGAAATGTCCTCGTTTTTTTTTCTGAATTCCTAGTTGCAAGCCTGAATCATGGACCTAGGACAAAAGGGTTAGAGCACAAACAATACATCCATGATTGACCAAACGTCCACGATTGAAATTCGTGTACAAAACCAACGAGAGCTGTTAGTAGGAATGAAGATTAGGGACAATAGGGGGTCCACGATTGCCGGTGTTTACAAAGATGGGTGTGGGGGGGGGGGGCAAAGAATTTCAAAGATTTCAGGTTTTGGGATGTGGTCAGGAGGACTATTACGTGACTGGGTCCTTCCAAAGACCAATGAAAGTTGTTATTTATTGCTTACAGATGATTAACAGGTATACTGTGACATTCCAGTTTGCTCTCAAACCTGGCTAAAGACATCTAAACCTAGCCCAGCATAGCCTGAGCCAACTTGTGAGTTGAGTTGCAGCACTAAATGTGCGATTGGGTTAATACGGCACAGAGGGATTCTAAAAGGAGGGAATTGAGTTCGGGAGGTTTGGGGAATTGATATTTTTTTCTTCATTTGTTAAATGGTGGAAGTATATCAATGTGATTCTTTGCTTTGTGGTTTGAAGGAATGACCAAAGTGAAAATGTCCAAGGGCCAGGAGGAACCCAACTCCATGGACTTTGTGGAGAAGCGCCGGGCCGCCATGGAGCGATATCTCAATCGAACTGCTGCCCACCCACAGCTTCAAAAAGACCAAAACTTCATCGAATTCCTGGAGAAAGATGAGGTACAACATTGTTTAGTCTTCTTACAAATTTCCCCCTTGCTCAGTTGAGTACTACAGCTCTCTTCTGTACTCAATTCATGCTTGTTCTTTTGCACAGATATCACATTCACTCACATTTTTCAAATCCTGGTTCGGTTTTCATCGTAATCTGAATGATTCCTGAGCCAGAGATCACAATCCACTAAATCTGAGGGGTTTTGTTCTCTAGCTTCACAATCATTTAGAATCATTTAACCCCCTGACGCCGGTATTGTCATGCCTCAGTTTAACGGCTTACACATATGAATGCACAGTGGCCTTTGTCCAGTACTGCACAGACCGCATTGCACAGCATACCACGGCTTACAGCATACTGTACGGATTAGAGTACCGTGGCCATGCCCGTCAGCCGGCTTTAAGGGGTTCATATGTCAATCTGAGCTATCAATTATATCACAAATGTCCCTTCCAACTGCAAAAGCATTGTGCTAGCTATTGTACAGATGATCTGTAATGGGGCAGTAACTTTACACCATAACTTGCACAGTGGTTTTTCTCCATTGAAGGGGGCCTCATTAGTGTCATTTACCAAATGTAAATACTCTCAAACTGACTCAAATGTTGATCAAATTTCAATTGGTATTGTAGGTATTGATGTTCTTGAAGTGTGCCTTCTGCGTACTGTCTCCGTGATATAGACAGAGGCTCTGTGTCAAAAAAGAGTGTGTTTAGCAGCAGTATGAAATTGATTATGAGTAGTTAATGTTGACTAGGTGTCCTGGACTAATGAATCATTTTTGTTGTTCCCTCCGTGTAGCTTCCTAAGGCCACCAGCACCTCAATGTTGACTAGGTGTCCCGGACTAATGAATCATTTTTGTTGTTCCCTCCGTGTAGCTTCCTAAGGCCACCAGCACCTCAATGTTGACTAGGTGTCCCGGACTAATGAATCATTTTTGTTGTTCCCTCCGTGTAGCTTCCTAAGGCCACCAGCACCTCAATGTTGACTAGGTGTCTCGGACTAATGAATCATTTTTGTTGTTCCCTCTGTGTAGCTTCCTAAGGCCACCAGCACCTCAATGTTGACTAGGTGTCCTGGACTAATGAATCATTGTTGTTGTTCCCTCCGTGTAGCTTCCTAAGGCCACCAGCACCTCAATGTTGACTAGGTGTCCCGGACTAATGAATCATTTTTGTTGTTCCCTCTGTGTAGCTTCCTAAGGCCACCAGCACCTCAATGTTGACTAGGTGTCCCGGACTAATGAATCATTTTTGTTGTTCCCTCTGTGTAGCTTCCTAAGGCCACCAGCACCTCAATGTTGACTAGGTGTCCTGGACTAATGAATCATTGTTGTTGTTCCCTCTGTGTAGCTTCCTAAGGCCACCAGCACCTCAATGTTGACTAGGTGTCCCGGACTAATGAATCATTTTTGTTGTTCCCTCTGTGTAGCTTCCTAAGGCCACCAGCACCTCAATGTTGACTAGGTGTCCTGGACTAATGAATCATTGTTGTTGTTCCCTCCGTGTAGCTTCCTAAGGCCACCAGCACCTCAATGTTGACTAGGTGTCCCGGACTAATGAATCATTTTTGTTTTTCCCTCTGTGTAGCTTCCTAAGGCCACCAGCACCTCAATGTTGACTAGGTGTCCCGGACTAATGAATCATTGTTGTTGTTCCCTCCGTGTAGCTTCCTAAGGCCACCAGCACCTCAATGTTGACTAGGTGTCTCGGACTATGAATCATTGTTGTTGTTCCCTCTGTGTAGCTTCCTAAGGCCACCAGCACCTCAATGTTGACTAGGTGTCCCGGACTAATGAATCATTGTTGTTGTTCCCTCCGTGTAGCTTCCTAAGGCCACCAGCACCTCAATGTTGACTAGGTGTCCTGGACTAATGAATCATTGTTGTTGTTCCCCATGTAGCTTCCTAAAGCCACCAGCACCTCAGCCTTGAGTGGAGCCGGAGTCAAGCGTGCCTTTTCCGGGATCATGGACTCGGCTAAGAAGATGGCTTCCAAAGTGCATGAATCCGATCAGGTCTGTCAACACTCAGGTTTGGTTTTCTATTGGTTTTGCCTGGAAGAGAGGAAAACCTGAGTACATGAAAAATGCCAAATATATGGCATTAATTTGGAAGCATGTCAGCTAATCATGGAAAACACAATGTGGAAGTTCAGCCAGTTTATTAGTCAGGAACACATCCTGCTGTGGTCTGAAAGATGATCAACTTGGTGTTGGCTTGTGATTTGACTTGTGATATGACTTGACCACAACTCCAGGATGAATGGAGTAGCTTTGAGAATAGCACATACAGTTGTTTATTTGTTGTGTTTATTTATTTGTTGTTTACCAGTGGTTTGAAGAGAAGCATCAGCAGATTGAGAGTCTGGATTCTCAACTGAAGAAACTTCATCTCAGCGTGGAGAGCATGGTCTCCCACAGAAGAGGTAGGGTTGATGATAGGGTTAGTACATCGCTCAACATACCAAGTTTGAGCACAAATCGGGAGGGGAGGGGGATGGAGGGAGCTTAACATGCCCCCTTGTTCTGTCTGACCAGTGTTTATTTATTTAGATATTACTGCAGAACAATCTTTTCATGACATATCCTACATTATTTCAAATCTGGGTTGATTACTTAAATCCTTTGGCCTCCATACATGTTAACTTGAACATCTCAGTCTTCTGGCCCTTGAAGAATCTTGAACATCCAAGACCCTCTTCTTTCCAACCCCTTTGAAAAATCACTGAAGGCATTCATTAAATAATTTGAAATTTTAAAGTGATAAAATCTGACGACTCTGTTTTGACATAACTTGTGGTTATGGGTTGCACCTGAGAAAAATTGCTAAAACTCAAATTACTTAAATTTTTTTTTTTTTTTTTGGGGGGGGGGGATTTTACATATTCAAATTTGACAAAAGTGAGCATGTTTTGCACTGGAGAAGTCATATTTTTAATCATTTGATTTGTTCTCATTGCACATTTGAGGAGGGTAGAACTTTTCACTCACTGTGACCAGTGAGTGATGCAAATTCAACATATTCCTTCACTCAAGATATTACTAAGAGTGACAGTCTCAAATACAATCTGAATGAAATAATTGTCTTTTTGTTTCAGAGCTTGGGGGTGCCACGGCCATCTTTGCTAAGAGTGCGGCTATGCTGGGCAACTCTGAGGAACACACCGCTCTCTCACGTGCCATCTCTCAACTTGCCGAGACAGAAGAGAAGATTGATCAGATTCATGTGGAGCAGGCCAACACGGACTTCTACGTCTTGGCTGAGCTGTTGAAGGATTACATCGGACTGATAGGATCTGTCAGGGTCAGTCTGTGTCTTGTTAAGCTTAGGCTTGCTTAGTTGAGCTGGACTATCTAAAGTCTCAGTTGAATTTGTTGTGTCAGTGTGCAAAAACGTCATAACTGCCAAATTTTTGTGTAATTTTATTAAGATTTACCCACAGATTAATACAGGAGAGTTTCATTGAAAAATATATGGAGCAAAATTGATATATTAAAGTCATAAGGTCTTATCTCGATTACGAGCCTGAACGTGCAAGCAACAATTTCATATCTCAGCGCGTTTATGTAAAATGCCATATGGCATATATGGTCGTGTTTGTGCAAAAACTTTGTATCTCAAAGTCATCCAAATTCCTGTTCTTGCACTGATGTGACACCATTTAAGTATATTTTTGCATTTTCTTGAACCAAATTATAGGAATTATAAAATACAACAAAATAATTTTTATTTTGTAATAAAACAAATAAGTCGGTGGAAAATATGAGAAACAAGAATGAAGTAAATGGGAAATGCCAGAAATATCATGATGACTTGTTGCCATGCCATCAGGATGCGTTCCGTGAGCGGGAGAAGACGTTCGGTATCTGGCAGTCAGCTCAAACCATGCTAGCCAAGAAGCGAGACCAGGAGGCCAAATTGAAGATCAGCGGCAAGCCGGATAAGTTGGCTCAAATCCAAGAAGAAATCAAAGAGGTAAAATGAAACTTAACACATTTCAGACTGGGATTCTAGAGTTGTTCTGGAGATCTGAAATAGATACATGAAACGTTTGAAACTAAACACAGTTAGGAGCAACTGCACTGAAGAATTAATTATTGCAATCATTTGGAACGACTCTATCAAGTCTAGTGAAGTCTAGTTTTAAGCAAGTACGTTTAAAAGTGGCGAGGGGCCTCGACGCGGATAGTGGACTGAGCCGAAGGCTTGTACTTGTTTGAATACCGTAAATGTACATGTCAACGTAGTTATTTCATACCAGCCAAGCACATATTTATTCCCATTATATATACCTTTCGGTCAAAAAGTCAAAACAAGTCAAAAATTCACAAGTTCCCAACAATTTGTTGACAAATTTACTTGCTGTTTTGCACTGCTGCAAATCTCCTGTAATGGAGATTGGCACGCTTGGTGCGTACTGCACAGCGCAGAACGCAGCGGTGCAGGAATAAAGTGTTTAAAACCAGTTGGTGTTTTATCAGAGGTTTAAAACCTTGAACGTGACGGGCTCTTGACCAATATGAATAGATACACTGTCTTGGGTATTTATGAATAAGAAATGAACAAATAAGTTTTTTTCACAGCAAAACAGATTACCAACCAATACATATGATGCCTATTATGTGTAACTGGTGCTAAGCTGACAAATTGCCGAGTTTGAAATTGTCACTAAGCTTTATTGAAATGATTACCACCATCTTGTGATTGCCACTAAGCTTTATTGAAATGATTACCACCATCTTGTGATTGTCACTAAGCTTCGTTGAAATGATTACCACCATCTTGTGATTGTCACTAAGCTTCATTGAAATGATTACCACCATCTTGTGATTGTCACTAAGCTTCATTGAAATGATTACCACCATCTTGTGATTGTTACTAAGCTTCATTGAAATGATTACCACCATCTTGTGATTGTCACTAAGCTTCATTGAAATGATTACCACCATCTTGTGATTGTCACTAAGCTTCATTGAAATGATTATCACCATCTTGTGATTGTCACTAAGCTTTATTGAAATGATTACCACCATCTTGTGATTGCCACTAAGCTTCATTGAAATGATTACCACCATCTTGTGATTGTCACTAAGCTTCATTGAAATGATTACCACCATCTTGTGATTGTCACTAAGCTTCATTGAAATGATTACCACCATCTTGTGATTGTCACTAAGCTTCGTTGAAATGATTACCACCATCTTGTGATTGTCACTAAGCTTCATTGAAATGATTACCACCATCTTGTGATTGTCACTAAGCTTCATTGAAATGATTACCACCATCTTGTGATTGTCACTAAGCTTCATTGAAATGATTACCACCATCTTGTGATTGTCACTAAGCTTCATTGAAATGATTACCACCATCTTGTGATTGTCACTAAGCTTCGTTGAAATGATTACCACCATCTTGTGATTGCCACTAAGCTTCATTGAAATGATTACCACCATCTTGTGATTGTCACTAAGCTTCATTGAAATGATTACCACCATCTTGTGATTGTCACTAAGCTTCATTGAAATGATTACCACCATCTTGTGATTGTCACTAAGCTTCATTGAAATGATTACCACCATCTTGTGATTGTCACTAAGCTTCGTTGAAATGATTACCACCATCTTGTGATTGCCACTAAGCTTCATTGAAATGATTACCACCATCTTGTGATTGTCACTAAGCTTCATTGAAATGATTACCACCATCTTGTGATTGTCACTAAGCTTCATTGAAATGATTACCACCATCTTGTGATTGTCACTAAGCTTTATTGAAATGATTACCACCATCTTGTGATTGCCACTAAGCTTTATTGAAATGATTACCACCATCTTGTGATTGTCACTAAGCTTCATTGAAATGATTACCACCATCTTGTGATTGTCACTAAGCTTCATTGAAATGATTACCACCATCTTGTGATTGTTACTCAGCTTCATTGAAATGATTACCACCATCTTGTGATTGTCACTAAGCTTCGTTGAAATGGTTACCACCATCTTGTGATTGTCACTAAGCTTTATTTGAATGATTACCACCATCTTGTGATTGTCACTAAGCTTCATTGAAATCATTACCACCATCTTGTGATTGCCTTGCAGTGGGAGGCCAAAGAGGCCAAAGGTCAGAAGGACTTTGAAAAAATCTCCAAGACGATTCGTAAAGAATACAACAGATTTGAGGTGAGTTGAGTATTCTGGTTGTCATGATTGCAGCCATGTAGGAGTGGCTAGCCCCAATGGACCTTCGTAGGGCCCTTCTGATGCAGTAGGTGGAGCTGTGTTGCCTACTCAGGAGAGCACCATTGTATACAAAAAATATCACCCAATAGCAACAGATTATATTTGGTCTACCTGGAAAATGAAGCTGGAGTTTACAGCCACAAATATTCAAAAGTAATATCCATGTTAAATATGTTTATAATGTACTGTTGATTCCATATGTTATAGAGCTGTCACACTAAATATTTTTTTGTGTTCAAAGGTGAATCGTATGCGCGACTTCCGCTCAGTAATCATCAAGTATTTGGAGGCATTAATGACTCATCAACAGGAGGTAAGGTAGTCTTAACTCCAGTCTGACTTTCAGTCAAAATCTGTAACATGTCTTCTGCCTTCATACCCCAACCCATAGGTCTATACTGTGATCAGCGTACAGGTCCAATGCCTTAGAAGAATGGGGTTGGTACTTGCCTCACATTCAAGGGGTCAAATTCCACCCAGACCCGCATGTGGATAGGCTTTGAAATCCCTGACTGAGGCTGATTGCATCATGCTAGGGATTCCTCCCACCTCTAAAAGCAAACATTTCTTCACCATTTTTCTCAAACAAATACTTATCTTCAGGCTTTTGTGGTACTCTGCCGGCAGGACTTTTGGGTCATCCACAAGAAAGAGTTAACATTAAATATAAATAAATAAACATTGCATTTCTGCATGGAATTGTTGTTTCACAGGTCATTCAGAGTTGGGAGGGATTTCTTCCAGAAGCCAAAGCCATAGCCTAAGCCTCAGCCACTGCACCACGCTGCCTGCAGTCATGATTGCAGTCGCCATCTCACAAAGACGCATCTACAAGCGGCTTATTCAGTATATCAACATTCCAGGCAAAGTTGCAGACTTATCTACATGCATCAGCCCGAGTCAAGTACAGATTGCTTTAATATCAAAATCAAAAATCCTCCAACGGAAAAAATAATCCCAGCCAGCTAAAACTAGAAGTTGGAAATGATGTGAAGGGACATGCTATCTACTTTGCAGATTTTCTGCAGTTGTTCTTTTTAGCTGTGTTTTTCAACCTGGACTGTCTAGAAAATAATGCTCAGCAAGTTTACAGTCAAAGGTAATACATGTATAAAAAGGTAATACATGTATAAAATCTATTTGATTTTGGCTGGTAATCTGTTCTTGCTCAGCGCGTTTTTCTGCGCATGGCAAATGTTTGTGTTTGCAGTTTCACTAAACTGGCCCCTGCAGCTGGAATATATTGAACAAATTCCAATGGTTTTGCTGTTTTCTTAAGGATTCATTTTAGGGTATGATTATCCAGAATATTTTGCCAACACAGGCAAAATGGCCTTTCACAAATTCCAAAATCTCCGTATTGGATCCGGGTCCAAAATGGAGACTTCAAGAACCCCATTGACACAAGCCTGAATTCAACACGGCTTCTTCATGGGTCTGGTTCTCTAGCCGGGTAAAATTCAGCTCCGGTTGGGACCAGAGTTGAGAGGCTCTACCCAGGTAGAAAATCCCTTATCTACAGCCGACCCGTATACACCCCTTGGCCTTGTAAGTGTGAACGGAACGCCTTGCTTACCCATGTTTGATGGCACCGGGTTCTGCTTACAGTGAACCCTTATTGATTTCAAAACAGGTAGGGGAGATGATGGTGTGAAATGGCCTAAACTTTAAGGTGTCGGAAGCTGTAGGTGCTGAATCTGACCAAACCTAACAACCATGGATTTTAATGGATTGAGTTCAATGCAGCATGTGTGCCAAACTGTTTAGGGATGCAAGGTTGAACATGTGCACCATTGCTTTCTGCATTCACTTTCTTGGGCACTTTTAGAATATATGCTCTGAATATTTGGTTATCAAACTTGGTTTGTTTATAGTCCTCCATTCACTTGCACTTCTGTCTTTCCAAATGCCAGTTTTTCATTTTTGAAAAATGTTAAATTGTACTTTCCTGAAAAAAAATTCAAACAATCTTTCACCTAATGATGTAAAAAAAATCTTTACTTGGGCTGATTACCTTCCTGACTGTACGTAGCTGGGGTGTGATTAAATATTAAAATAAAAAGGATAAACAAATATTTTGTTATACGTCACTGTTGATATACATGATTGGGAAAATTACCTCAAAACATTCTTTTCAAATGCAGTCCTTTTTAGTGCCTAGCGTAATACAGACAAAATTTGTAGTGAAGATTAGATTTTCAGTGCAACGGTTGAAGTAGAAGAAATTTAGCAGACTGCTTGGGACAAAGAGTTGTTTTGAAGCCTTTCTTCATAAAATTCAATTATTTGTAGATAATAACAAAACAGCTTGCTTCCTGTATTTACAATTGCTGGTTGAGAATTATACAGAAAACTAATCCAATTTGATTGATTTCAAACTATAAAATGTAAACAGAAATGAGAATGCACCGTATTTGAATATTCATTAAATATCTGAATAACAATCACAAGATCTGAACTGCAAAATAAAAGACGGGGACCTTGAAAAATTTGATTTATGTGTAAATTATTTTGAAATAAAAAAAGGCGAGTAGTCTAGATATATAAAAAAGTTATAGACTAGATTTACAATGTAATAATCATTTAGTCATTGACTTGTGCGTTGTTCCAGCATTGGTTCCTTTTGCACTCCAAATGAGGTATCAATTTTTGTTGTCATATTTTCTATTCTGCAATCTTTTGTAAACATTTTACTTAAGCATTATAACTATTTGGGATTTTTTTTCTGGGGTAGGTTGATTTTAAGAATTTGATATTTTCAAAGACACTTGTTGATTTCTGGTACGCACAAATAGTAGAATGTCTGTTGGCCATTTTCCCCTCTGCATTTTGGGGATTCTGTGTGCTGTATGATTTCTGTGCTGATCAATTGGAGTCATGGTCTTTAATAATCTAGGGACAGGGTTTCATGCATTGATCGAAGTCAAATGTGTGTTACATTACCAAAGAATCCCAGCAAATGTTTTTAAAACTTGGTTCAGAAATAAGTAGCAGCGTTTTGAAAGAAATCACAAGTTGACAACTTTAAATGGCGGACTGAATTTTACTGACATTTAATAAAAGGTAGCTCTGTAAAAATGAAAACATGACCCCTAGACCCAGGGTCAATTTGATGACAAAATAACGGCGAAAACGTTTGACTGTCAATGTATACAAGGTTACTTAAAACATGTTAAGTTTATCCCCTACTAAGTCTATTGGACTAATGCTGAACCTATGTTCTGTGGTAATCACAAAGTTTACTGTTTCAAACCAGTTTTTAAGTAATAAAAAACAGAAAACAAAAAAACTAATAAGCCTCTGTACTGATGATGTCACACTTTGTTTACACGTGTGCTTTCTTATGGGAGCCTGGTGGAGACGATGGCTTCGTAGCCCCATAGAAAAGCACACATGTAAACAAAGTGTGACATCATCAGTACAGAGGCTTATTGAGTCTAACAATCGAGAAAGCTAACACATGCAGTGAATGTACATTATAATCATGTAATTCTTTGGATGATGTAAATGTAAAATAGTTCAATCCAGCCAGTAAATATAACAAAAAAGCATTTTTATTTTGGCCAGTCCAGCCCAGCCATGAATGTGCTTAAGGCTGCATGTTTCCATCGTCTGGTATGTTGCAAAACTGACACAGACAATACCATTAATCTCTAGGTTATTGTGCTTGTGTTCCTACATAAGTACAATTATTCAGTATAACCTCACTTTTGCCAGGCAGAGATCAATCTACAATCGTTGGCACTGTATGCCAAGATATTGTGTGTCAACTGTGTTTATAAAGAACTAAGAATCTATCATTGACAAATCAAATATTTGCTAATAAACACAGAGTCCATGAAGTATGCTATCTTATTTTACAATTCTGTGGTTGCATTGTTATTTGTGATGGTGCTCCGTTTACATTATTTGTTTGGTCTATACCCTATGGGTAGTTCAGAGGGGGGGGGGGTACCTCTGGAAATAGCTCCGGCTCCAAAATATTTGTCGTCGAAACTTAACTCTGCCTCTGGAGCTAGCACCAGAGCCATCCAGCCCCTAAAATTTGTGGGGCTACCTCCACTTTCAGCTCAGCTAGGCTTCTTTTTACCACTTAGCTCCATTGTTTTGTCATTTGGACGTAACTGACGTATGTCCATGCTGACGCATCTGTCGTTTATTTGTCTGATAAGTAGTATTTGGTGACCTTTTAGCTCCACTGTAACTCCAGCTCTGGAGCTACCATCATTGTATGAATGTAAGTGGATGTTAGATTCGATCACTAGCCCCACAGAGTCCCGGTTGAGTTCATTAATTGGTATAGCTGCCCTCCGTCTGAACATACCCCTAGAGACCTTGCATTGCATATACCTCAGAGGGTGCTGGTGGTTATTTTAATTTACAAAAAAAAGTAAACTGTTCAACTGCAAAAAAAGGCACAAACATTGTCCGCCTTATGAAGGTCTATTGGGTGTTGGCACCCTGCTAACAACGTCAAGTCCATCGCAAGTCCAGTCACAGGTAAATCACAAGTTCATTCACACGTCTGGTCACTATATACAGTGGATGCATAATATTAACAAAGGATTTCAATTGTCAGAGTCTTTTCCAAATAGCTTGTGACTTGACTTGGGACTGGATGCCTTGTGATGGATGAAAGTGCTGCCCACTAAATGTCAGAATACGAAAATAACTAGAGGTGCAGACTGCTGAATGTTGCAAGTGCTACAAAGAATGGGGATTTGATTTTCATCCAGCCCCAAGCTTTTTTGGACTGCGAAAAGACCTTAACTCTAATAGCTGTCACGTGTGTGGCATTGATAAATGTGACCTGATCTTCACTTTTAACTGCAACTGCAGATCATCAACAGCCCTTAGACCAATTTCAGAGATCTCCTAAGCCAAAAAGCTGCTATTTTAGCAAATTCCAGTGCAAAGCCCAAACCCGCTCAGAAGCAGTCACAATACACCCTGCAAGACATTTTGGCTGATGTCCTAGTTTCATTGAACAAATATTTACTGCGCTCAGCTCAGCACACTTTCTGTGCTTAAGCACCTCCATCAAATTGGCTCTCAATAAGCCATTTGCGAGTAACCTATACCCTTTGGGATTAAAATTTGAAAAGCGTCTGGTACACTGACTTGCTCAGAATGCTTGACACATTGTAACTGTGAATTCTCCCGACCAAAGAGACTGTTGCTAATCACATGATTCGGGGCAAGCTCTTGCATAGTTACGTAAGAGACGCTCAGTACCAATACATTGTTCACAATGGGAGAGAATGGCACAAAGACACCAGACCATACTGGAGCTGGGGTTTGCTAGCATAAGCATTGCCCCGAATCACGTGATATAGTAACAGTCTCTTTGGTCGGGAGGATGCAAAGTAAATACGTGCAAAGCATTGGATTAAGTCAGCGTTCCAGATTTTATTCAAATTTAACTCGCAAATGGCTTATCAAGACCTTGGGTGATGACCTGCAAGCATGACCTTTGATCACGACATGACCTCCGTCTTCCAGCTGTCGTGCAATCTCTGCAGGTGATCGGCAGCTCTTTGGCTGATGTTGAGGGAAGGGTTGATGGGTAATTAATAACGACCTTGGGCGATGACCTGCAAGCATGACCTTTGATCACGACATGACCTCTGTCTTCCAGCTGTCGTGCAATCTCTGCAGGTGGTCGGCAGCTCTTTGGCTGATGTTGAGGGAAGGGTTGATGGGTAATAAATTGGGTTCCCCCATTAGGGAAAGGCCACAGATTCCAAAGTAAGCGTGGAGAGCATCTGAAAATTAAAAAACAAAAACCAGTGTTTTTTAGTATAGTTTTTGAAATTCTATCCCACTACGCATACCCTGATGGGATATGAGGAGGAAAATGACTGGATCTGAGGTTGTGACTGGTTATGACTACATCTACATGAGCACACCTTTGCTAGGTACACAATTGACCTATCGCGGTAGAATCACATTAGATTCGCCTCAACACAACTTGTGAAGTATTGACCGATTACATAATAAACACATGGACGCAGAACGCGCAAAATCTGAGACACACAAAATTTAATGTGCAAAAACTCCATACGGTTTTCTAAGGGGCGTGGCTAACTCGCAAATGGCGATAAGTCAATTCAGCTATGATCCTACTTTGGCATTAGTATTCCCATATAGGAAATAGACAGCCTTGAGGAGTTACAGCAATTTGGGGCCAATCCAAAGCTGGGGATATAGCTTCAATTGGGTAGTAATCTACATGTACGTAGTGGATAGTTGGTGAAAATACACCAATTGGGCACATTTATCCAATTGTGCACAAATGTGCTCAGACACAATTGGGCTGTAATTGGGCTGTGATTGGGTATGATTGGGGTAAGGTTATCGAATCAGGTTATACTCCCACAAGGGAAGTTAGACTGCTACATATTTGGGGTTCTGGGTGCATGCGGTAAGAATGATTGGACAACGATGGGGGGGGGGGGGGGAGGGTACACATGCACCCATTGTTGGGTTGACAGTTCAACTGTGGCATTACATTCCTACCTGGGTGATAGTCGGCCCATTTAGCGAAGCCACCCACCATCTCATCTTGGGTGGATAGGATGTAGGATCTGTTACAAGCACAGTCCACAAAGTCGTAGCCGTTCAACAACTGAGGACACAATGTAACCAAGAAGAAACGAAAAAGAAAATTACCTCTAGCAGAATAAATTATAAACATGAGACAATTATAGACTATTCTTATTAGACTCACCAAAAGCACGAGTACATTTTTCAATCAATATTATGTTCAGCATAAAAATAGACTATCAACTTAATAAACTCAGCAATAATGCAAGCATCTCCTCAATTTATATGAGGCTGAGCCAAGAAATCGATCGACATGGGATTTGAACATAGGACCTTTGGACACTATAACAGTGCTCTATCAACTGAGCTATCTAATCTTAGGTAATGTCTCTGCTCAAGGGGCAGTGGGGGGACTGCCGTTATAGGACTACAAGTTCAGTTGGTAGAGCACCAGTATAGTGTTCAGAGGTCACAGATTCAAATCCCATTAATTTGATTAATTTTTTTGGTGAATTAGGTAGATTATCATTTAAATAAACAATGACATCGAAAGCTACGTCTCTGCAATATTTTTGATTCCAAAAAGGTATCTAAATATTTGTTATCAACGTGATGGAATCCAATGCTGTTAATTTAAATTTCCTTATCTGTGTAGAAAAAGGGATTATATTATATCTTGGCAGAGAAGATATTCTGCAATTACAGCAGAGTTGTAGGTCACCAGAGACAGAGGATGAATCGTAACAAAGGAAAGCCTTTGCCACAGATTGTTTGAATAGCTTAAGACTTGACTTGAGACTGAGGGAATTGATCAAATACCTTAAGTGTAGCGCCGACCCAGAATGAGTAGCATGTATCTACAGGCTTATTGGGTCGGCCCTGGAAGCCAGAATGTTGTCTCTTGATGCACCAGGTCTTGATTTTCTCTCGTTGTCTCTTACTGAAGGTGGATTCTAGTCTACCCATCAGGACCAGAGAGGCAATTGCACAGAATGTTGTACCTCCTAAAGATTAGAAAATCAGGGAGCAATTGTATGTCCAAACAGGACTTTCATTCAGGTGGCTTCAAACCAAGCCAAAGGTTGGAGAATATTCCTGCTGTGTAATGTGCAATGCAGAGGTATGGCACGGCATAAGCATGGCACTGTTCATTTTCAGTGTGGCACAATGTGGTGCACCCTTTTTCAGACAGGAGATATTTCCAGCTAGCATGGTGGGAATGCAGCCACTAGGTATAACTAGACATGAGAAAACTGTTGGCGAGTTATACTGTATGCAACAGATGATGCTTAACAGAACTAATTGTACCATTATCAGTAATGATTTGGATTTACACAGTGTGAACGATATGTGGAACAATGTCTTGATGTTCAACATGGAGACATGGAGACATATAATAAAAGCTTCTGTGGCTAAAGTGTCACAAACTGATTACGGAAACCTTGAGATGGTTACCAATAAAACTGCTAACGGAGTGAGATTAGAACTAGGTTAAAATGGTCCATATTTGTTATCATTTCTTTTTTGGATAAAATTTCAAACTTACCATGGCCTTCCTGGCCTGGTCCTTGGCCTAGTCCACAGTCGTAGCTCTGAGAAATTAGAGAGAAATAAATAATAATATCAAGAATTACATGTACACTATAAGGAGGAGCAGGTGGAGTCTTGGGTAAACCATAACTTGTAATAAGTAGAAGACGATGTCCATCAAAATCCATCACATACTCTATTTCAAATAATGCTTCAGGACCAAATCCACTGAAATCCAACACTGGGGCTGGTGGATTTTGATGGACTTGGTACACATTATGCCTTATCTGCCAAAATCCCCCAAAATGGGAGGGGGAGGGGGAGGGAGGAGGATTTTGATGGAGTTGGTAAGGTTTGGTTAAGGGTTTTACTCACCAGACTTTTATAAATAAATTCCACGGCTTTTTCCACATCAATCCCACTCCAGTCTTGTAGCATAGAACTGATACAGCAGGCACAGTACACAAATCGCATGTCATTCTCACTTCCATTAAGAGTTGCTGCAAAACTAAGTTTAATAGATGAAAGACAAGTTGAAAAGTTTGCAAGTGAAGCATTTTGTATACAGTTGAGGGCATGATTTTTGGAATATTTGGGAAGTAGGTCCATATGTAGGTTTGGGATCCACAGTTCTTCCAAATCAAGAGGAACAATAACAACTTGAAATGGGAACCAAACAATACAGGGACTGGCCTTTCTAAGGCTGGTTTGTAATGAGATGTGTTTTCCTTGCTTCACAGCATGTACAGGTTGAATAGTGTCGAGCTAGCTCTGACAAGTGATCCAAAAGCAAAAGAAGAGGACAAATTGAGAGATTGTCGAGTGTCAATGAGACTTGTAGTCAAGTCCTCACAAGTTAAATGCAAATCAATCACCCGGAATTTCATGAGCAATTCAAATGAACTGAGGCAAAGCCATTCCTTTGTCATTCTCTGTTACTTGAGACCTTGTGATTGTCTTATTGCTTTGAGAATTGTGACAGACTCAGGGTTCTGTTAACTTCATTGTGTTCAGACCAAAACATTCATTACTTGCGATTATTCTTCTTCACATATACATGTATGTGTGAGCTTACAGTTTGGACAGCACTGGTACAGAGGGGGCAAGTCAAAATCAGGCTCTTGTCAATTTTCTTTCTTTGTAAAAAACCTGTAATTATGATGACGGAGGACAGAACCTCTCCAGACTAGACTCACCTTCCGTCTGCTAACTGCAAGGCCTTCAGTCCGGCCACTATGGCCGGTTTATTGACCCGCCTCAGGTCATCGCCCAGAATGAGTAGACAAGCCAGCCCAGTGTAGGTCATAGCGATGTGACCCCAGTCATAAGGATGACTCTGTGTAGGGGATTCCTATAAGAGTCCAAACATTAAATATTGTGTTTCTATCTTATCTTGGAGTTCATTTTTTAACATTTGCAATCAAGTTGTGAATTAGAAAAAAACAGAAAGTCTTCTTGTTATTTTACTTTAATCAATATCTCACCGTGGAAGGATTGTAAGGTGTCCCAATTGTTGATGATCCCCTGAAACCGCAATGTTTAGATGTTTCTTCTGTAACATATACATGTAAAGCAACAAAATTAAAAAATATCACCACTACAATGTGTATACTATAAAGAAAAGATGTGTGTATGGGTTTGTTTCTGCATTCAATCATGTGTATACTATAAAGAAAAGATGTGTGTATGGGTTTGTTTCTGCATTCAATCATGTGTAAACTATAAAGAAAGGATGTGTGTATGGGTTTGTTTCTGCATTCAATCATGTGTAAACTGTAAAGAAAGGATGTGTGCATGGGTTTGTTTCTGCATTCAATCATGTGTAAACTATAAAGAAAGGATGTGTGTATGGGTTTGTTTCTGCATTCAATCATGTGTATACTATAAAGAAAGGATGTGTGTATGGGTTTGTTTCTGCATTCAATCATGTGTAAACTATAAAGAAAGGATGTGTGTATGGGTTTGTTTCTGCATTCAATCATGTGTATACTATAAAGAAAGGATGTGTGTATGGGTTTGTTTCTGCATTCAATCATGTGTAAACTGTAAAGAAAGGATGTGTGCATGGGTTTGTTTCTGCATTCAAAAGGGGGCGTTGATCACTACAGGACAATAGGGTCCCCAATTCCCAAAGGTCGACGATTGACGATCGTGTACAAAACATATGGGAGGTCTTCCTAAAAAATTAAGGTACAAACAAAGAGGAACAATAGGGGGTCCATGATTGCAGGTACAATGTACATGTACATTGTAAATACACACTTGTATGTGTGTGTACTTTTACAAGCTAGGCGCTCGACTGTGGAGCGGTCACTTGACCGCAAAGTGGGCACTCGCCCACGAAGCAGGCAAAGTCTCAAAGTTAAATATAAATTGATGCATATATCAATAAACAGATCATGAACTTATTTTTTTCTGTAGTGTTTGGGTTCGGAGATCCAATAATTAGAACAATTACCATAGTGATTTGGATCTGGCAGAACCTGCAATGAATAGATCCAATCAATAATGTCTTCTTTGTCCTTTTCGATTGCATCTAGCGAGTCAAGCACGTCCAAGCCAGATAGGCCAAAGAAACACACCGTTAATCTGGAAATGAAAATGCAAACAACAAAATGTTTCATCAATCTTCATTTCACCAAATCAAAACATCTTCTTGTTCATCAAAATTAATCTAATTCAACATGGACCAACAGGGTAGGCAAAGTAGGTTTGTGTTAGCCCTCAATGGAGCCCAAAAAGTAGACTGCCCTCCCCCTTCTGCTAGTGCTAAAAAAACATGTGATGAACATACATATAAAGTTCCACACTCTACTCAGACATCATTCTCCATACAAAGTCAATGCCTATGTTGGGTGCAATCGGTTGATCATGTCGATCGCGCTGTGCCATCGGTCGATCATGCTGCCAATGATCGTGGTCGCTCGAGTCACTATGCCCATAAATGTGGCCAATTTGCTTGACTTCCTCTGTAAATAAGGCCACACTGTCGCCATAGCAAGTGATGAGGAGGATGTTGTTTTTTCCGATTTTCACATTCAGACCACATTACAATAGGGGGCGCTCTTTAGCATATAGATGTGTATCGATATGTATACTTACATCAAAAAGGCACATTTTTAAAGCTTTTGTACTTTGTTTCTCCACTTTTCAGTGCTATTGAATACATTTTGGTTGTTGGGATGTTTGGAAAATACATGGAAAACCACATTTCTTTTTCTCATCACGAACAAATGGGGCGAGGGATGTTTCAACAGCCACTCCCTCACCCCCCCCCCCCCGCCCCCCCCCGCCCGATTAACGCCCCTGCCCGTGTCACGGCGGGCCGTCTGACTTTGACTGGTCGGGATCATGTGGCCAGGACACGGCTGTGACCTTGTGCGGTGAACCGGATACAATGAATAAGAGATAAAAATCTGATTGAAAATATTGAATAGGATTCCAACAAGTCCAATGGTATATTATTATTAAACTTTTGTTTGGTTTCGAGAAATTAGACTTTAGAGTTATATAAAATAAACATAATTTGACACTTAAAATGAATGAATGTTTCACTGCATGGATTTTGCTAGCCCCATAATGTGGCCAATTTGCTGGACTACCTCTGTAAATAAAGGCCACTCTTCCACCATGTACACAAACATGTCGAACTTTGTCAAATTTAGATTTTCACATTTAGGCTTAGTTTGTAGATTATTTTTGCTTTAGAAGCATGTACTCACCCTCTTTAAAGGCTAATCAGAAAGTACTGCCTTTTTCAATTTCAGATGTCTATTTTTCATGAAATTTCCTGTTGAAATTTTGATACGCGAACGTATGCAAACAAATCTGGAAATTTCACGAAAAATAGACAACTGAAAAAGGCAGCACTTTCTGATTAGCCTATAATTTATAAAGAGGGTGAGTATGCTTCTATTTTTTCTAAAGCAAAAATCATCTACATGTACAAACTAAGCCTAAATGTGATAATCAAAATTTGACAAAGACAAAGTTCTACATGTTTTTGTACATGGTGGAAGTGTGGCCTTTATTTACGGAGGTAGTCCAGTAAATTGGCCACATTTATGGGGCTAGGATTTTGCCAATTTAATGAAATCATTATCAACTTAATAATTAAAACTTTAATAAAAGTAATAAAAGTTGACTCAACCGTTTTCCAACTAATAAATTAATTTAATTAATTAGTCGGACAATGGTCGAGTTGACTTTTACAGTTGAATGCACAACGGTCGAGTTAACAACAGACGAGTTGGTAAACGGTTGGTCCGAGTCGAATTGGCATGCGGTCATACTAAAAAGCGTCAACACAGCGTCAACACACTCCATAGCGTCAACACAGCGTCAACACATCCAAAATGCATTAAAGTGACAAAAGCAGTATGTAACCCATACAGTATGCACAGAAACAAGATTTTGGTTTAAAATCAATCTAGGTTAAACGTCTGAAAATTGTGATTTTCAGTTCAAGAAAATTGGCTCTCCGTGCCGCTCCGAAATCGGCTGCCATTTAAGCTAAAGGGTGACAGCGTTGTACAATAAACTAACAGAGAGAGCGCAGCCGGCCAATACCAAAAGATGTCCATTTCAATAAAGTAAATGAAACATAAACACAACTCACAAAATAATGATCCACCACTCCGATCTTCAGTCCTCACAGATCTAGTATCCCTCTGTTGTTTATGACAAGATAATGTCATTACCTATACACCCCTGCTTGAAATGGTGTAGTCCAAGATTTGTGCGAGGTCAAGATGGCGGACAACGGCCGTGCAAGTGAAAGGTCATTTTTTCGCGTGAAAATACTATATTTTTAAGATAGTGGATATTTTGCCGGAGGTAATGACGGCAAACTAACGTTTACTAAAGGTTTGCCGACGGCAATCCATATCAACAGAGGGCGCTGTACTCTTTAAGATAGGGCTGAATTATAAGATGTGTTAAATTCCCACCAAAATTTGTGTAGCACGTTTGGTGTTATGGTTAAGCAAAGGCTCTAGTAAGCGGGATGACTCGCGTTCGATTCCGACCGCACCACATTTTTAAAGGGAAAATACAACATTTGCAAACATCAAAAAATAAAACTACCAAATCATTTTGAAATACCTTGCTGGACTGTTAGTGAATGACAGTGTAAAGCATCCTGTAAAATCATGGCACCTGGTATACTGTCATTTTCAAGAAAAGTGGTATTTTTGTATCAATTTCCAACGCTGATCGGCCGATCAGCGTTGGAAAAAAAACTGGCTTTTTTTCAAATACTGGCCCCAATTGACCATCGCACTTGTTTGCAATCGATTACAAACCTATGAACGGGTACGAGCCAGCTAGACTGGTTCCCTGACCTTACAATTCCCCAATGTATGTAAACTGCTCTGTTTCTTCTTATATTGAGTCAGGGAACCAGACTACAGGAAAATGATTGTTTTTCTTGGTTTTTATAGCATTTTCGAACCCAAAACCTCAAAAAAGTCAGTGTAACTATATTTGCTATATATTTCCAACCCCCCAATTCCATCCATTTCTGAAAATTACAGTAAAAGCAAATGATGTATATTCCCTTTAAGTTTTTTTTCCTCATCCCCAAATAAATAAGAATATTCTTCTTTTATTATTTTAACACGTCTCAAACATTTTTTGCAGAGTATTACATTTTCTTTTTCAGATTTGTGGCTCTGGAGGATTTTTTTTAAAAGGGAAATAAAGTCCGAAATTATAAAATGGTCTGAATCCCATCTTGTGAATACGAGGTAACAACGACAATTTTGGCATGGAGCCAGACTAAAACTTGTCACCGGAAAATGTTTTAAGTACAAAAAAACAGTAACTGCGCATGTTCAGTGCATATCCGGCAAACTAACGTTTACTAAAGGTTTGCCGTCTCCGGCAAAATATACACTGCCTTATTTTAACATGTCTCAAACATTTTATTGCAGAGTATTACATTTTCTTTTTCAGATTTGTGGCTCTGGAGGATTTTTTTTAAAAGGGAAATAAAGTCCGAAATTATAATTTTTGGTCTGAATCCCATCTTGTGAATACGAGGTTACAACGATAATATTGGCATGGAGCCAGACTAAAATTTGTCACCGGAAAATGTTTTAGTACAAAAAACAGTAACTGCGCATGTTCAGCGCATATCCTGCAAATTAACGTTTACTAAAGGTTTTCCGTCTCCGGCAAAATATCCACTGCCTATTTTTAACAACGAAATGGAAACTCAATCCAATGGAAATTCTCTTTTATTCTAGGCAGTGTATATTTTGCCGGAGACGGCAAACCTTTAGTAAACGTTAGTTTGCCGGATGTGCACTGAACATGCGCAGTTACTGTTTTTTTGTACTTAAACATTTTCCGGTGACAGGTTTTAGTCTGGCTCCATGCCAAAATTATCGTTGTTACCTCGTATTCACAAGATGGGATTCAGACCATTTTATAATTTCGGACTTTATTTCCCTTTTAAAAAAATCCTCCAGAGCCACAAATCTGAAAAAGAAAATGTAATACTCTGCAAAAAATGTTTGAGACATGTTAAAATAAGGCAGTGTATATTTTGCCGGAGACGGCAAACCTTTAGTAAACGTTAGTTTGCCGGATATGCACTGAACATGCGCAGTTACTGTTTTTTTGTACTTAAAACATTTTCCGGTGACAAGTTTTAGTCTGGCTCCATGCCAAAATTATCGTTGTTACCTCGTATTCACAAGATGGGATTCAGACCATTTTATAATTTCGGACTTTATTTCCCTTTTAAAAAAAATCCTCCTTACTAGTGCGACCCTTGGCAAACGGTCGAGTTGACACTGTTGCAACAATGGCATGCAATTGCAGGTGGCAGACAGGGTGCAAACATCAGTTGTTTCCCGATGAAATTTAATATGTTCAATACTTACCTGCTGGTGTCGAGTGAGGTGTAACTCTGCGGTAGAATATGCAAACACCTGGAGAAAAATTTAATGTGTTTAGCCTTCAAAAATGGAATGTCTTTTTCGTGTGGTTGTTCAATTTCCGCTGCTGCAGTGGGCGCGGCCATCTTCGTTTTGTAGCTGTCTCGTTCAAAAATACTTAATTCAAGGTGTAAAATTTTGATTTTACTATTAAATGTGTGCTTCCAAATGAAATCGTGAAAAAATGTAAGTGAAATTATAATTATATTTTGTGGTAGACAAGCTTATCACAGTTCAAAAATATTGCGTTGCACCCAGTTCTCGAATTTTGTTTTCTTGATGAGAAAAAAAAGATGGCCACTTCCATGAACAAAGCGTGATTTGTGAGTTTTGCGTTTTTGAAATTTTATCTTGACAGCAGACAAAATGAGTATCGGAACGAAATTATTTATGCTGTTGATATGGATAGGAACTTTATTTGGCATTGGTATCATGATATTCAGCAGAGGCTTTTTGTTGAATCGACTTGAAATTCAACAGAAAAGTTATTGCACTGGCGACAGTGATCATTCTGGGGAGTCAATAGAGGGCGCTCGACAGAGCTGCGGTGAGCACAGGAGATACTCAAAGGCGATAATTATTGTTATTGATGCACTTAGATATGATTTTACTCTTTACAATGAGACACTTGATAATAAATCAGCCCTCCCTTTCCAAAATAAACTTCCATTTCTGCACAAACTGCGCTCGGAAAAACCCCAACATTCGCTGCTGTACGAATTCATAGCAGATCCTCCCACCACAACAATGCAGCGATTAAAAGGCCTCACAACAGGGAGTCTTCCAACATTTGTAGATGCTGGAAGCAACTTTGCCAGTGCCGAAATCACCGAAGACAGCTTCATCCATCAGTTGCACAGACTCGGAAAGAGGATCACATTCATGGGTGACAACACTTGGGAATCCCTCTTCAAGGGTCAGTTTTCTCGCTCATTTCCCTTTCCATCGTTCAACGTAAAGGATCTCCACACTGTGGATAATGGTGTGATAGAGCACCTGGTGCCAGAGATGGCAGAACAGGACTGGGATCTCATCGTCGCTCACTTTTTGGGAGTTGATCATTGCGGTCATCGATTTGGGCCCTTCCACTCAGCCATGGGAGAAAAACTTCTACAAATGGATCAAGTTCTAAGGTTTGTTGATAAATAAAACCAACTGTTTTCTAAACCTCACTTGGGAGGTAAATTGCTACATCATGCTTCAGTTCAGTTGCTAAGCTTTAATGTTGGGAATGTGTTCTACATGTATGTGGGAGGGAAGGCTGCCTTGCTAAAATTATTTTATTGGCCTCTTATAAATTCCACCGTGACCCGCTTTACTCTTGAGTCCCCTCACCCCTGCAAAGTCACACTTAAGCTATTCACAGTTACAGCTTTTGCCTGCTATGCTGCTGTGGGAAGTTTTACTCTGGAGTGGTTTAACCAGAAGGGACAAGTAGCATCTTGTATTTCTTTAAAAAAAAAGAGGTCTATGCTATCCCTTCAGATTCCACCATGGTGTAATATGAAGTTCTAAGATAAATTTTCATGCAATCGTTTGCGTGGGATGCCAACAACACAAAAGAAAAGGAAAGAAGATTATAGAGCATTGTCATTAAACTTGTTTGTTTTGGTACTCAAATGTTGTTGTCTTTTATTTGCAGGTCAGTTGTTGAGCGATTAGATGATGACACAGTGTTGTTTGTGTTGGGAGATCATGGAATGACGCGTACTGGGGACCATGGTGGTGATAGCAGGGAAGAGGTGGCTGCCGCACTGTTTGTCTACAGTCACTCCATTCTGCATCAGGAGACACCTGATATGGTATGGCTTTGTTTGGGACATTACCTATACATGTCAGAATTGTAATCAAGTCCATCCCAAGTCACATCCAAAGTCAACATATTCCATCTGTCAAGCCAAGTCCCAACTCAGACAAGGAAGTCACAAGTAACGGGAGACAAATATGACATTAGAATGTCATTGTCACATTTCATTTGACTACAAAGGAAGAAACCCTGTTTGGTGATTAACTTGGATGGATGCTGAGGACTTGATTACAACATGGACCTAAAAGTATGAAGGATATATCCTTGTACTAAGTTCTGCCATATTGTAATAGACTGAAGCACAGGATGGAGATAGTAAACCACAAGCTACATGTGTGTGTACATGCACATTTACAATAGTATATCACAGTATTCATTTCCATAGCCCCACTAGTGTGGCCGTCGGTATGCTGCGCTGAACCTAAGGCCACACACCGTGGTACCGCGCGCTACTGAGGACGAAGTTTTCATAAAATTCAGGGCAGTTTCTTACATTCTCAGTTTCTTACTTTCTTATGGTTGTATTCTATGATGTCTCACCTATCACTTCTGGGATGCTTAGGTCTAATGATGTTCCATTTTCCGAGATATTCTTCAATCTTTCTGGAGCCCATATGCACTCATGAAACGTCTGGTGGTGGCAGCCATTTTGAATGTGACAAGAGATGACCTCAAGCTGTGACGTCGCGTTTATGCAAATTGCTTGTCGAGCGCGCGAGGGCGCGAGTTGCAAATGCGACGGCTGTTTCCTGTGCCGTAGATCCTGAATAGAGATCGGTGCACGTGGCCCCCTGACGATAAATGCATGAAAGTAAGAAACTGAGAATGTAAGAAACTGCCCTGAATTTTATGAAAACTTCGTCCTCAGTAGCACGCGGTACCACGGTGTGTGGCCTTAGGTTCAGCGCAGCATACCGACGGCCACACTAGTGGGGCTATCATTTCCATGAACATCATAAAAGAGACTCGGGCCTCCTCCACATACAAAGTGCACAAATAAAATTTTGATGAGTTTCTCACTTGATGCACTTTTCTTGTTTTGACCTCCAGAAATCTGTCCAAGTGGCTTCCCAGATTGACCTGGTTCCTACATTGAGTCTTCTCCTTGGAGTTCCTGTTCCATTCTCCAATCTTGGGAGCATCATTCCGGAACTTTTCACACTAACTCCCTTCTCCAACCAGCCCTCCTCGCCAGCCATCAAAAACTGGCCATTGCACGTCCAGTCAGTGTATAACAAAGTCGGTGCTTTACGGACAAATGCTCACCAGGTGAATCATTACTTGCAGGCTTACTCGAAAATCTCAGATGAGTTTCCAAGAGCTCAGTTTGCCTTACTCCAGGATTTCTTTCAGGATGCAGAGACAGCTGTCAAAGAGGTGCTTCAAAGTTCTGCTAATGATGAAATTCGTTCCTATGCATTATTGCAGAGGAGCGAACAAGTGTATTTGCAGTATCTAAACAGAGTCAAAGAAATGTGTCGTAGTATGTGGGCACGGTTTGACCTTACCCTCATCATCCTTGGATTGGCTATCGTAGTTGGAACTTGCCTGACGAGTTACGTGTTACTGACTCACAACCAAAACTTTGGTAACCGGGTCCTGCTGGATTCAGCACTCGGAACTCTACTGAAGATAATAGCAGTCACAATAATTGCTTGTTTGTTGATCGGTTTGATAATAAGCTTCACAATTCCTGGTCTTCAAGCCCATTCAGCCATTTTGGTATTGACTATACCGGCAGTGGGCTCCCTACTAAATGCAGTTGTGTGGATTGCATTTGTGTCCACAGAGATGAAAATCTCCTACTTGTTCAAATTCTTGACGTACTCGATAAAAACTGTGATGGCAGTGATTTTAACTTTAACATATGCAGCGTGTTTAACGTCAAACAGTTTTGTAATCAATGAGGGCTACGTGGCAGCCTTCTTGACACACAGCCTCCACTTGGTCTGTATGTGCTCTGTAGGATCTATCTTCATCCAGAGTAAAAGCAGTAAAGAGACCACGCGAAAGAAGACCAAGACTGAGAAGTCACGAGACATAGGGCACTTCCTCACCAATCCAGGGACAGTCTTTGCTTTACTGGTCTTCGCTTTCCACCTGTGCGTGCGATTCAGCAGCCTGTTCTTGGCCTGCCGGGAGGAGCAGAACCCTTGTCAGCAATCAGAGCTCCTAAGACCCTTGGGAACATTCTCAGATGACACAGGAAGCTACAGGAACTATCGCTATTTGATGTCAGTAGCTTCTCTTGCATTCATCCCGGCCTCTTTGACATTTTGGCTAAATAAACAAGGAAACTTGAACGGAGGAGCGGCCCCGGTCTTTAGTGTCGTCTACGCTCTTCCAATTGCAACAGTGTGCATTTGCCTGAATTGGGGTCTCCAAGCTCTACCACAGAAGGTGTTGGACAACCTTCCAGCATGGCAGCAGGTTCTTATGCCAAGACTTGCCTACGTCATGCTCTTTGTAGCGTTCATCACCATCCTGTGGAATCCATTGTGTATCTACTTGGTTCCAAGAGAAGAAACCAAAAAGAAAATCCAAGTGGATTACCCAGGTGAGGGAGAATCTGTCGTGCCCAAGCTCTTCAACCACCTCAAGACGACGTGGAAGAGAAATACCAGGCAAGGCAAGTTGGCATCCGATGACAGCCAAGACGAAATCAGAGAAACGTCCCCACCTGTCGTGTACGGTCTTGCTACGGTATTCTCAGCTTGTTGGCTGCTGTTGAGTGCTTCTGTAGCTCTTCTCATAGCTCTACTTCTCGGAGATGGTCTGGCTCCTGCTGTACTCACAATGATTCTACAGATGATCATATATCTGGAGCTGTATGCCATAATTCGGAGGCAGCAACTGGCTCCATTGGAAGTTGTACCAGACCTTCATCACCTTGGTTAGTGAACTTCTTTGATAGAAATGATTCTGTGTGATGAATTATATTTACTTTGTCACTCATTGCTTCTCTCCATCCAGGAGTAAATGGGTACCTGTGAGGGCAGAGATGGTTATTGTGATTGAATTAGCTTCCTTGCGCCTAACAGGCAGCATCGAGCTGTATACTCCCGAGGGAGCTGAGATGGCATTTGGAATGTTTAATTGGCCCAATGATCAGGGGTAATAATAATACTGTAATCGCTGTGATTTAGTTTACTAATAAGAGCGTTCTTAAATGCCGATTATTAGGCCTATTATTTACTGCTGGAACAGTTTATTCAACATCCCTGTATGGTCAGTGTGTTGTTCAACAGTCGACTATGATAATTTTCTCCAAATTGAGTGGCATGGAGGATATATTGAGAATCCTCATTGAGTGAGTTGGAGAATGCTCAGTTGTAAACAGTGATTTCTCAGAGAATTGTTGGCATATGACATTTTTGCATTTTTGTCTTTCATTCAGGATGCATGTACTAATACTTGTTAGCAGGGGCATTCAGTTGTTTCTCAGAGGACTCGACCCGACATGATCAATTGTTTTCCCTAATTTCTCTTAAATGTATAATCTTTGATATCTTTATTTTTCCCAGGTATGTATCAAGTCCCTTGGTATGCCATCGCCACCTGGGGCTTCATGTCCAGTCAGTTCTTCTTCGCCACCGGCCACCACGCCACCATCTCATCCATCCGATTCGACTCAGCCTTCACCGGTTTCCATGGTGACTTCCCTCCATATTTATACTTCATTCCTGGCGCCCTGATCACCATCAACACATTTGCGTCTCAGATCGTCTTTGCTGTGGCGCTGCCTCTCTTGTTGATCTGGCCGTTTACTCGAGGGAAGATGATTGATCGTAAGAAAGATGAGGACAGGAAAGGGGAGCTCGGTCTACATGTCAGTAACCGAGAGCTGCGCATTGCTTTCTTTCAAATCATCCTTGCGTACATTCTGTACAATGCTACCCAGGTATGTAGATCAATCATTTTCTGATGAACAATTGTTTTGGAGCGGGCGGGGGATGGGGGGCTATACAGGGTGGATAAAAAAAACCCTGAAACCGAGATATTATTGCTAATTGGAACAGAAGTAGGGCGCATGCGAATCAAGGGAGATATCCTCTGTTTGGGTTGAATCTCCTCTTTGAAATGACACCCTGGTCATGTCATTACATTCACGGTTGACTGAGCAGGGACCAATATTATGAAAGGGTCTATTTAGAGATTTGCGCCACTTCTCAATCGTGGTTTTTGTTGTGTCAATTGTCACAGAGTGAAAGGCTATGGTTGCCAATCAAGGCAGGTAGGGAAAAAAGAGATTTCATCATGAAAAGTGGCGCAAGTCTCTAAATAAACCCTTTCATAAAATTGGTCACTGCTCAGTCAACCGTGAATGTAAGGACATGACCAGGGTGTCATTTTAAAGAGGAGATTCAACCCTAACAGAGGATATCTCCCTTTGATTCACATGTGCCCTACTTCTGTTCCAATTAGCAATAAAATCTCAGGTTTTTTTTATCCACCCTCTATATGGGCGACTAGAAGAGCCCAAATTAATAAGATATATAACAGACACATTGAGAAGCATACAAAAGACAAACACAAAAATCGAAGGAACTAATTTATGAAAAGACAGACAAAGTCGGAAATAAAAAAGGGACAAAACAATTTACAAACGAATAGAAAGAAAGACAAACTCAATCAAGCAATTCAGGACAAAATTTGCAATCAAAGAACACATTTGAGAAAAGAACAACATACCGACACAAAGGACAAAATGATAATCAATGAACAGATTTACAAAAGGAGAGACAAACTCAAAGGACAAAAGCGTCTGCTTTACATCTAATAATTTCAGCCCTTTTGGCTGGCCATACATGTAGCTAAAAGAACCAAGATAGTTAGAGCCAGTCATGGATTTGAGTCCCACTTCAGGAATCTAATGACTTATTTTATCTGATTTTCACAAATCACCCAGCAAGTAAAGCCAAAATGTAGATGAGCACAATGATCTTATGGTCTTGATGAAGAAGCTACATGTACATGTACATGTATGTGACTAGCCCGACTGCCTCTGGCCGTACACTATCACAAGCTCTGTAGTACGGCCAGAGTGGCGTTGAAAAGTGATGCAGTGTTTTCGCTACCGATTTTGATCGAGATTATCTTCTCATCCAGGACAGAAATTTTCAAAGTTAGGGTACCTAGTCATAGAGGAACTCATACCTGTTTGAAAACACGTTCCTTTATCTAGAAATCTTCATCCATCTGGCTATAAAACTACGATCAGTCTTCAGCTCCCATGAATATCGTCCCAAAAATGTGTCTTCATGGGATTTCAAAATGTTGTACGCGTTGTAATGTATGTGTTGTGCCCATTCTTGAAAATCACGCAATCTTAAGAATGCGCGCGCATTCTTAAGAATGAGCGCGCATTCTTAAGAATGAGCGCGCATTCTTAAGAATGAGCACGCGTTCTTAAGAATGAGCGCTCATTCTTAAGAATGCGTGGGAATATCACGTGCACATTTTATGAATTTTGCGCAATCTTAACAAACATTGCACGACATAATTATGTTAAATGAAATGTATAGCGGTTAAAAGGGAAACAATTCATATAAAGAGGAAAGAAAATGTTCTATGCTTCTGTACTTGTATAATTACGATAATTTGAATCAAATTAAACCTGTTATTATTGCTTTTTTCTGCCCACTATGGGAAGTTTTGTAATAACGGAGGACTGGGAACTAGTCTGGGAAGTGCTTTGTTTAGGCTAGACAAGTATAAGTCCCTGTATGTATCATATGCATGCCACGAAAAAAAATGTCCAACGATGTCCAGAAGCTGCCAAAATTGCTCTTTTGACTAGATAGAATCCAGCTCTGCGGCGTAATGGTGGGGGTGTGAACAATAAATTGGTGGCAATTTAAATGGGAAATAGCATTAGCACTATGGGAAGTCACAGTATTCATTCTCATTCTTCACATTCTTCATTCTTACGTCCCCCCCCCCCCCTCCGCCTTTATTATCCCAAAAATCAGAATTCTTTGGACCAAGACACTATTATTATGTCTCTTATTTTTTTCCCGGTCCCCCCCCCCCCCCAATACGCGTATACTTTTCATATCCACTCTACTTTTCAGTGCCTTGCGTTGCAACAGTATAATTATTAAGAATCAGTGAACGAGGATGCAGCTAGACTTGCCAAGCATAGCAGGTGCTCGGTACCGACAAGACCGTTATCTTGTCGCGCATTCTTAAGAATCTGCGCTCAATCTGGAAGAGTTATTTTTTTGTGAAGATTGCGCAAGGATCCAGTTGCACAATCATAAGAATGTGCATGCACATTCTTAAGAATGCGTGATTTTCAAGAAAGCGCACAACATATGCATTGCATGTAGGCGGGTGCGCTTGGGCAAGGTTATGAATATGCAACACGAGGTCGATCATGAAGTGTACAATGCATATTCATAACCTTTTCATCTGTGAATTGTAATTCGCACGGGACCAGCTCATTTTCTAGAAATAAGATGAAAATTGGAGCCCGATGCGGGAACGTGAAAAATGTCTCTTTTACTTCCCAACTGTCACACACTGTACCCCGACTTGCTTATGTGCAAAATGGTACAAGCCCTTTGAGATTCCCGTCTTTTTGTTGTTGAGCAGACGGGCGTCGATATCTCGTTGGGCCCATACCATTTGCATGGAAATGAGTCGGGGTACAGTGCACAACCAACATTTTGAGAAATTCCTCACTTGTTCACACAGGGCTCCAGTTCCTCTGTATTTCTTGGAAATGACAGATCCTGTGCGAATGACAATTTGTGGATAGTCTTATAATGTATCAGTAAGTAAACAGGGGCAATTTCAGCTCAGAAAACACTGCGGATGGAAAAGGGAAAATATAAAGTATTGGTGCTTCTCTCATCTGACGGCAGTGCTAGATGTATTAAACAAACCCGGAAACTTTAGTTAAGCGCCTGTTTTTTGGGCTATAAAATTCATAACATCCTTCTTCAAATACAATGAGACTTGACCCACCTAGAATGTTGATTGATGTTTTGGGGAAGTTTGCGCTATCCATCTGTTTATAGAGTGTCAGTGCTGTAACTTTGCCAGAGTCTCTGGTTCACCGCATACACTATTTGCACCACCATATGTTTGTGTTGTATGCCTCGCTTTGATTTTCAAGATGCATACAATAACAAAGGTCTATTTGGGCCAATGACATTTCTTTAGGTTAGAACTTTGCCATTGATATTTGAACAAAACTTCTTCACCTTCAATTATTGTACTTGTTGTAAATTGTACAAAGGTTATATAAAAGAACTTACTTGAAATATGAGCGTTCTGTGCCCTGTCTCCTTCTTGCAGTTGGTGGGAGCGATGGTGTCTGCTGCCATCCACCGTCGCCATCTCATGGTCTGGAAGATCTTCGCTCCTCGTTTTGTCTTCCAGGGTGTGTCCTTCATGGTTGTCATGGTGATCCTCATCCTCTTGTACCTCCTGCTTGTCAAAATCGACCGTGCCGTGAGCAACTGGCTTCAGGTTTTGTTCCAGGATGTGTGACGTTAAACTTGTGGAGGTGTGGGGGACGGGAGGGTTGAGTAGTAAATGGAAATGATGGCTGAACTAGTCAGCTTGGATCAAATACCAGTACAAGGAGCTACTAAGCATGCAATTCTATTTAGCAAGATTATGTGCTGACCAAGTATAAGCTGATACAAAGAGTACACATATCATGCAGTTTTGTCTGGTGACAAGTCTGTGTTTGCTTAGGTTATTTCTGTGTTTAGTAGCTCTGTGTAAATGACCCTCAGGTAGTGTAGATGACAGAGATGTACTGTTTGTCAGTTTTTATTGTCAGTAGGTACATGTATCAGCCAAGCTCAGCTAGACTTAATTAGCGGGTAAATCTCGCCACTCCAACGTCAGTCTCTCTTATCAGACCTGCCCACCACACCGGAGCTGAGCAGCAGAAAGTTATGCTGAGTACATTTGTGTGCTAAGCGAGAATCAACTGAATACATGTACCAGTTGTAACCAATATACATCATGTGTCTCTGGCTGGTAACTATTTTTGGTCAAGACGTTGTTGTGGCTGTACACCCACTAATAGAGGGCATGATCAAAACGAACCACTATCACCCACAAATGGCTATCACAACAATGTCTTGGGAATGTTGTGTCATGTACAAGCTCCTACATTGCAACCTGCCTAATGTATACATGCAGCACGTATTCAACACCTTGCATACATGTATGAGCTCCGAACTGAACTCTGAGATTTCAATCATTAGCACACAAAGCGCTTCCAGACTTCTGTGCAGCCTCATGGCAGCTCTTTTGTCGTATGTTGTACCAAAATGGTCTGTATTTCCCTGCAGAAGTACATGTAGCTCATGTACACTAGTTCCCCCTTTTTTTTTCAGGGGGAGATTTTAAAAGATTCCCTAGACGATGTTGTGATTGTGATTCGTGGGTGAAAGTGATTGGTTATGATAAGCCTTCTTGCGGCAGTTGATCCAATATTATACAAATATTGAGTGGCTCAGAGTGAAATAGGAGGAATATTATCGCAAGGTAAAAATCTGGACTTTTCCATTTCACGAGGCGAAGCGAGGGATAATATTCCTCCCATTTCACAATTTAAAGCCACTCAATATTTGTTTTATATAACTGACACATAGATCCTTGTCATTTGGTATATTTGAACTTTTATTTCACTAAAAAATTGATGGGAAATGTATTTCTCTCTTCCAAACCACCCCTTCACAAAAATGTTTGATCCCAACTCTGTAGCGCTGGCTCTTTGAAACAATACACGCTACGCCGACGCTGAACGCGCACACCAGCATGCCTTTGCACACAAATACCGCGTCATGGAACAAGAATGATCCTAACTGTTCAATAGTACATTGTATTTCCCATTCCCCATGGGCAAATGGGACTTTTTGAGCCCCGGCGTGAATGGGACTAATAACGAATGTCACGTGATGTGAGTTCCACCAATCAAATGACAATGATCTGTATGTTGGTTATATAAACAACAATGTGTTGGCCTAATACAAGCTTGTAACCTGTTTTTGCTAAGCAAAATAATATCTGTGCTAACCAAATGCCTCTGCTTAAAAGCTGCCTGAAATTGGCCCATGCCCAATGCATACATAGCACTTTCGACTTTCAAACCCTGGTTGATTAACGACAATTATTTTGCCATTTTAAAGGCCAAGATTTTATAAATAAGTTCAAATCAATTGAAGTGTTTAGATAATTTACGTGACAAAATCAAGTGACTTGTCAATTATTGATTTGTACACTGATCTGAAGTAGTTGCAAGAGCTCAGGTTGATAAGCTGTACTGTTAATTATTCAGCTTTATTATTAATTTTTTTGTTGAATTTGTGTGCAAAATTTGCAATCATAAAGTCCAATTTTTGCGAGTTTGGTATTTTTGTAAAAAAATATGATGTAGTTTTTATTTGAATACAAATTCAGAATTGTTCAATGTTGCAAATAGACTGTTTATCAGTATTGTTCAATTTCTGCCGACACCAAACCAAAAGAGAGGAAATTGATGCTATTGTTTTTTAGCAAAATTGTGAGAAATGTTTTAGAGAAGAAACGGGCTGTTGAACTTTTGTCTAAAAAGTGTTATTTGTCGTGTTATAAGATAAAGGCCAGTGATTTTGTAAGTAAGTAATTTTTGTATTCACTCAATCAAATCGTTCGAGGACAACAATCCTTTCTGTATATTGTAAATTGAGCATTGCAAAGTGGACAATTACAACTGCGTCTAAGAATGTAAGAATTGTATAAAATACCTTTTTTTGAAATTGCAGTTTTTGTGATAGATAACTTCATCGTGTCGTTATAAATAACTACAGAGGCTAATTCTAAGCAATACAATAATTACAATTACATGTAACTGTTATACAGTCCAACCCTATAAGAAGAGCACTGTTTATACAAGGTTCTGCTTATAACAAGCAAACTTTTAGGTCCCAAGTCTTTGCTTTTCTTTGTTTTCCTTTGTTTTCCTTTGTTTCCAATACTGTTAATGCAATGTACCTGTTATAACAAGGTAATTTGTAAAGTCCCAAGGACCTTGTTATAAAAGGTGTTCGACTGTAGTTGTAACATTAACACTGAACTGAGCTAAAATATTGATTGTTAATACCGAATACGACTAAGAATAGGGCTTCATGTTGGAGACGAATGTTGCATTTAGTGTTGAATAACGACAACTGAAGACTCTGAAAATTAATGTTCATAGAATAGGTCACAAGGCGCGGGTTTGCTCTTGACATATGATATTTTGTTTGTCCGTCTCATTGATTGGAATAAATACCAGTCAGCAGTCTGTCTGGTCTACTATCGACACTTACAGTTAGTCTCCTGCATTGTTATCCTTATAACTTTCCGGAAATGTCGCGGTTCACTAACTTGTAGTTGGTAGAATACGATCCATGCATAGGCGAAGCCCTTTTCCATTTAAATGCCCTTTTTTCACCAGCGCTTACCCCCCCCCAATACTTTGTAAAGAGTGCCCTTTTTATAACAATTGCCCTTTTTTCTGAACAAGTGCCCTATTTAAAAAGAAGTAGTGCCCATTTTTGTGCCTTGCCGTTCCGGGTGCCTTTTTTAATTTCACGCATGTATCGTCCTGAATTAAAAGCACCCATACTAATTTCTGTTAATAAACAAAAGCGTGTGTACATTTTCACCACGGATATGCAAGTGGCCTTTTCAAGGAATTTTTTTTACACCCCTCCAATAAAAATGACCGTGCTACGCCGCTGCATTACTTGCTATTAACCCATGTCGCCAAAACATGGGGTCCGCTCAGAAGTGAGGGACTGCTCTGTAAACCTCAATTCAATAATCATTTGCTGTTCCTGCATTTTGTTCGTTTCTGATAACACCACAACTTAAAAAAAATAAACCTTATCTGTTCATGTTTCAGCACAGTGTATTACAGTGTAATTACACTCTTCGAGAAACGGTGAAAATGCATGCACAACCTTTGGATCACGAAACACTTTTCGTCAATAACACTCTTTTATTTCCAACAATCTGTGAGGATTTGCGGTAACACCTGGAATATTAAGAATTTCTTTTTGAGAAGATGTGCGGTTCTGAAAAGAACCGGTTGGTTGTACATTGTAGGACGATCATCAGAGCATTATACTGATCGAAACGTCAAATTTCACAACCAGAACAATTTCAGAACCACACACCTCAAAAGAGATTCTTAATCTTCCACATGACTGTTATTACCGCAAACCAGCACTATACACTAGGATTCATTCTAGGACGAGGTTACCCTTTTGTGGGAGGCAGGTTACCAAATACTTCTAAACAGCAGCAAAAATGGAATCCGACGCAAAGGTATGAATCACACACACGGATCAATGATTTGAAAACAGCATCTTTATTTTCGACATTTTTACACAATAAAACATATCAAAGTCAAGATGGTCATCATTGCTCTAAGAAATCTGGACACCTGTAAAAATGTAGTCATATAATCATATTACTTTTGAACGCGTACACTTTCATTGTGCAGTGTGCTAAGACATGCGCAACACAATCCAATAGTGCATTATTTCATCTTGTTCAGATATCACACCACACTGAAAAATAAACAAAGAAAGCAGGCCCTACGATCACAGCAAACGGAACAATTATGATTTACAAAAAAACACCTCAACTATAGACTTTGTACAACTCAACTAAAATATAAATACAAATTGAAGACCACACTGTTAAACTTTTTGGACTTTTCGTGCATACAATGAATGGTGAGTTAAAAAAAAGAAGAAATTGATCCGGATTAATATTTTTTTCTTAAAACCAATCAAATTTGATGCACCAATTAAGCATGTTTTAAATGATTTTTTTCACTCATTTGAAAAAAAATTACTGAAAGTGATCCATGCTAACAGATATTATGCAAGTTTTACTGAAAGAATCTATTTTTAAGTTATCTATGGAATACCATTGGAAGCTATTGAACTGAGTGAGAATTACAGATTACACACGGGCATTCAAATACAAATCAGATTTTAATCATTTGAGTCAAGACTGAAACAATATATTTACTGTCAGATTGTGGGTTTTGAATATTTCGAGGAACAAGCCAACCCTGTATTTCCTGTTAAATTGTTGGCGATTTTTGTCTGTTTGCCTTTGCAAGTCTTTATTCATTCATGGAGTTGCATGGGGAAACGTCGCTATTTCACTGTACATGTCTTTAAAATCTCAGTTCGTAGGACAGTGGTCAGTGGTGGACAGGTGCAATTTGTGATATTAAATTAAAATAGACATAACTTGCGAATAGAGAAAGCAAACTAAATGACATTCTCAGTTACTAATAACATTATCCCAATGGTATATTTGTGAAATGGAGCAAGCCACGTATTAAAAAATTCTATCACTTTTTTTGTTGACTCATCACCCTGTAGACTAATCCAGGCACGTGACCACAATACACACTTGGGGCCCCCTTCAATGGCGAAAGCAATGTGTAAACTGCCCCGCGACGGATTATCTGAACGAAAGGTAGCACACTGCTTCTGCCATTAATGGGGGCTTTCGTGATAGAAATGACGCGTGCCCAGATTGGCCCATATTGTCCTTTGCAAAGGCGATGGATTATGACGTTCCACACAAAACTCGAGACAGCATGCTTGACTCATAATTATAATCTTCTTTGTCCTATCGCAGCAAAATAAAAAAAAAAAAACCGTCCATACATTCTGAATTAATAATAGCGAATTCTGCGTGAATAACATTGAATAACATTCTGTGTAAATACGGAGCAATACAATCCTTGATTTAAAATCACAGTATTGCGGGAAAAAGAAACACAAATTTTTGCTAAGATGTCACAAAAACGAGGCAAATTATTTTTTAAGGTTATGCTCGCCGCATGACAAGTCGAAGTACCGTGAAAAACCCTGATTTTTGCTAGTCTGTCCGCAGTTTTTCCAAGCACGATAAATTCATATAAATCGTTTCTGCTTAACCATAACAAGCTTAACCGTACAAGCATATCATATGGCAAACGTTTGGTTTGGTCTGCTATAGGGCCACCGCAGATATTGGTCCTGCGACAAACTATAGGTAAAATAACATGCAATGGCAACCATTTTGAAATGGTTATCTAACCAATATTTTGTCTGCTGACAAATCTGCGATGGCCCTACAGCCAAATATCTTACATACTCTGACTGTGCGTCAAATGCCACATCATCAAAGGCACAAATCCTGCACCTATCTGCCGTACTACCGTCATAATACATCTCCACGGAAACTGCGTTGTTGTCATGGAAATTACAGACATCTTTCACAAGAATTAAGCTCGTCCTGCATGCAGTACTGCAATACAAAATAATAATAATAATAATAATAATAATAATAAATCAAATTGAAAGTTAAGAGCGCATGTATTTTTTGGGAATTTACATTTCAGCTTCTTTTTTTTCTTTCTTTATCTATTTATATACTAGTTCGCCGTAAGACTGTGTCATACGTCAGCTATCCAGAATATGAAGGTTTAAAAGGTTCTGCTAGATACTTTTGTGACGGTATTCTGATGAAGTGTGGTTTCAGAAGGATTCAATATACGCATTACAATAAATGATTACTTCTAAAAAAAAAATGTAAAAACAGACGCATAAATTAACTGGTATTAGGAAAAACGCCAAATATCCCGTATTTCCCCCCACTTTTTTAGGTTTATATTATAAACATTCTGGAAGACTATTATTCCATGTGAGGGTAATCCAACAATTAAACAGTTTTAGAATTCAGTACTTTTGATTCAGAAAGAACCGTTTGTCTGCAACCCGTCCCGGATAACCGCATGCATAGTTAACGATAGATTATTTAAAATCCTCGCCTTCAATTCTAAAAAATCAGCTTTTTAAAAATCTACTGTTCATGATTTTTATTAAATTAAAATAATGTACCTTTTTCTGGATCCACTTGTTGAGTTTCTGTTCATACTTTGAGATGTCGTTGTCGTATTTCGACAATACGTCCATGTACTCTGCAGCCAAGTTTAGACGGGCTGTAGGAGGAAAAATAGACCATTTATTTATTTATTTACTTATACATTTTTTTTTTTTACATTTCGTTACCTTGAGGGTATGCCCAAACAATTTAAAACTGGTTTCCAATGGGGCCCTGCATAATCATAAGAAAAGTGACATACACTAGGAAAAAGTGCATAGGTGAAACAGACTACACACATCAATACTTGTAAAAATACAAGTACTTTGGAAATATTTAAACAAAAAAAGTTAGGCCTATACATTCATTAATGTAAACAAGTTGGGAAAAATGGGTTGATAATTCGACCAATGATGATCGAATTATCAACTGCCTAAACTCTTGGGCAAACTCTTCCCAATAGTAATGGGTATATGGGTAAATTACATTGCCCAACAGTATTTTATCCAACCTTTTTACAGTGTACAATTGATAAGGTCATACTTGTTTACAAAAAATGGATTTGTAGTCATGTGATGCCAAATAGCAGCAACTCTTCCGTTCTGCTCTACATGTATCTCGTGAAATATTGGTGTTTCGATTCCGTTAAATGTGTGGAAAATAACACACAAATAAAGATGCTGAGATGCTTGCTTTGCCTGTCGGCAACCAACCGGCAAGACGTCACGGGTAGCATTGTCTATCGGCCTACTTCAATGTTTGTACTGGCAAGCCATCGTCGCCTATAAATTGTTCCTTACGTAAGGATGAATTTTAAACGTACGGGAGTTATCAGCAGTGATAGTGAAGTTGATGGTCTTTGTCACACATTCTGTTGCTAGGACAATCGAACACGAACAGTTCATATTCTCCGTGGACGATCCATTGATGAGTAACATCAGAAACTCTTGACTGGAGCTGATGGATCTGTGCTCGGTATACGGCAGACTGGCGCACGGCGGGCAACGGATCTCATCGTCCACCACGAGAAGGTTTTCCTTCACATCGGCCTGGGCCACCAGGTACATGTTAAGTGGCTGGTTGGTAATGTTCAGGGATCGGAAGAGGTTGGATGGGCGGGTTTTGACCATGAGTTCGCTGTCTAATCAGGAAAAAAAAGTCAAATGGCGGTCAGTATAAAATTATAGAATCTACACTGATGGTTATCAACGAATTAAGAGACATGACGGTAACGACTTATTATGGCAAATTGTTTCCCCTCTAGAAAAGATAACAGAAATGACAAAAGGCTTCCCAGGCCAATCTGCCGGGGTTTTTACCTATTACGCCTGCCTTTTCCAACCAACCTATAAGCTGCCAATGGCCATGTTGCCTCCAAATGTACGCCATATTCCAGCCCAAATGCAAGCAGTTACCAGGCAACATGGCAGTGTTTGCCAGTCGAACTTCCAACATTAATGGTCAGTGTTATGATTTGCCAACCACACCGCCTACTAATTCAAGCCATCATACAAGCAAAACTGCCGAACCATTGACAAGCAAACCGCCAACCGATGCCAGCTAATCTACAACTCTTTACCAGCCACTTTGTACACTGTTGCCTGGCAGTCTGCCAGCCTTTGCATGCGCACCAGTCTATCTGTCGGTCTATGTCAGCCAAACTGCAAACTTGTATATGGTCAGGCTGCTATTATTTTGATAGCCATATACTGCCCGTCAATTCATACGAGCCACCTTGCAAGCCAAACTGCTTACCCTTCCCAGCAAGTCTGCCAGCCTTTACCAGCCAGTCCGCCGGCCTTTGCCGGCCAAACTGCCATTTGTACACTTCAGTCTTCTGGCATTTGACAGTTACCTGTCAGCCAATGCAACCCATCCTACTTGCCAACTGCCAACCTTTCCTTTACCAGCAATTCTGTCAGCATTTGCCAGCGATATGCTTTTACTGGCCCACTTGCCAGCCTTTACCAGCCACGCACTGTGCTCATCATTGCTAGCCAATCTGTTAACCAGCCTGCAAGTCTTTGCAAAAAGGTACGTACCGGCATTAAAATCAGGGCACATTTTCCTGGCGCAGTTGTCTTCCAAAGCCTGCAACCTGCAAATAAATATACATATTAGGAGTTTTAATACTTTGTTTTCAATTACATTGGTGACTTGTTGACAATCAATCTAGAGCTGATTAACGCCTCCAGAAATAAAGTCAATTAACAAGCAAAGTTCCAATGGAGGCAACTGAACGAAGAATCAGACAGTAGTAGGAGTGTGAGAATTTATATTTATGTATCAGTTGAGAAGAACATTTACAAACATTGCAATGTTCAGTATTATATGATAACTATGTACGTAGTTTGAAAATATAGGCTAGAGTTTCGTTGAAAAATTTATGACTTTATAATAATTGCTCTCCTGAAAATTACAGAATGATGTTATATGAATGTTTTTGTATCATTATACGGGGGATGGGAGACGGAAATAGTTTGTCAATGATTCGGCGTATACGGAATCACTGCCTGTGGTCAGTTCTCACCCGTCTCCGGAATGTACACATTCTTCATTCTTCCAGCTGCAATAAGGGTCTCGAGCATCCAAACAGCTCTGGCAGGTTGCATAGTCCTGGCAGTGCTGGAATGGGATCTTGTAAATACCGTGGTCGGTGCCCACAAAAACGGCTTGAGCGGAGTCACTCAGCAGCATGGTCAACACTGGGGTCTGTGTTTTAATAATGAAAATATGGTTGTGCTTCGAGGCCATAAAAAATCGACACAGAAAATGTAATCTACATGCAAATTTCTTTAGTTTGTTGACTAGATCCATGAATTGCGATGTGGTTGTGGAAGCCCACTAAATGTTTTAGAATTAAATTTCCAGAAAAGTTGAGACTTGGGAGGAAAATGCCCATTTTCCAATTTGGGAGAACAATTCCAAAAATTGAGCTTGAGTTCAACTCAGCCAAATAACGCTTGACTAAAAACAAATAAAGTATTGAGACTCGTCCTTCGAAGATAAAGGCCTGTTGTTTAGGGTTTCGTTTTATTCTTTTAAATACTTATTTATATCAAGGAAGCCTTTGTTTTAAAGCAAGTCAATTAACTGAAAGATCTTTTATACTAACTTTAACATGGTCATTCGTATTCAGGCTTATCTCCTCCACGACTCTTGCTTCGGATCGGTCTCCGTTCAAATAAGCCTTCAGCACAGTCCCATTCTCTGTTAAAATCAACAAAAAGGAAATTGATGGGGGAAACTGAAATGGATCGATCCCTGCCTGAAGATAACGTGAGAAAAGAATAAGCAAATTGACTGTTATTAAGGAACCAGAATGTAACGAGTAAAAGGCCATTCGACAAAATAATGCTAATTTATACCAAAATTATGTTCACCCATACGGACAAGGACTCTGATCGGTGACAAAAAGGCGATTGATGTCAAACGTTACTCTGAGGCAGAAACAATTATCTTGGCAAATGTGTAGGCCCTACTTGTGAATTAAAGCGCCGTACGGCAAACTACATAATAGTGATGAGACTCATGACAGCTCATTCATCAAACTGCTTATTAGTGACGCCAAAATCAACACGTTGTAGAAAACGATCAAATAGATGCTGAAAGTCTGAAACGCAACTTTATTAAAGGCGTTAATGCTGTTAACCATGAAATCTGTTTGGCAATGTCTTTAGCTGTTTAACGCATTGTAAAGAACGTCATCTACTTACCCGTTCCGATGAACATTACGTCTGTAGAACTGAAGACGTTTTCGTCAACGACGATCTGTGAGAAACGTTCCCCGTCTATCACCAACAGAGGGTTGCTTGGAGTGCTCGTTATGGGGTTCTCGTAGTGAAGATTATTGGCATCCGCAGTGTACAGTATTTGACCATTTCCCAATATTGCCACGAATTCAACATCAGAAAACCCGGATGTGTCTGGACACTAAATTGCGTTAAAAAATAGTACCCATTTTTAAATTTATGCCAAACAACTATCTTAAAATAGAAAGAAGATAATATGACAAATCTTAGGTTAGGTTGCCGTCGCATTCAAACATTAAAAACATGAGTTGCAGCTCCTCGAATGAGCGCACAGCCACTGCGGCTGGCTTTGAAATGTTTAAATGCGAGAAATATGAATCTGTGGACTGAACTTGTTAACAAGCATGACAGGTATTTTGTCGGTTAAAAAAACCCTTATTTACGTCCGGACAATCCGAGTTATTATACATATCGGTAAACATCAAGCAATTTTCGGAAACGGGCTGGATCCTGCACCGTGTTTAGTCTCAGCGGTGGCGGCTACCTGACCTCAGATTTGACAGAATAGTCGGCATCGATTGGTATGTGAACCAGCTGGTCTACAATATTCCGGGAATAAACCAGCAACAGATCACTCGTGTAGGATGAACTGGATTTACTCCACTAATGCTCCCCAAAGGCACTCAAATTGAACCTTTACTGATCTTCTCTTACCATGACCAGCCTAGGATCAGTAGGGTCCATGTTAACTGAGGTCCAAAGCATTCCATCGGACTCCTGATGCGTGAATTTACTCTCCTTAAACAGTAACTCAATGTCATCCATACGATAGGCGCACACTGCGGAACTTGCCAACCCTGGGCTATGATGATTTGTATTAGAAAAAAATACAAGACAAACAAATAACCGTCATCTTATATATTAAATTTTACAACTATAATTTGTTATTGATCCATATACATTGTTGGTTCTATCAATGAGAGCTTTGGGGAACTTCCATCAGCAATTTTGATATTGGAAAGTTATATGCCTATAATCAATGTCTCTGGACAGTAATTAAAAATAGTGTGTGAATATTATGACAAAAATGGAGCAGTGTTAATTATAAACCCACATGGGCTTACAATTTGAAAAGTATTGGCATACTTCTCAAATGAGGCAATCGCATGAAAAATTCACACGAAATAAAAATTAAAAATCACTTACGCTCTGGTTGCGAAAACAGCAAAGATCACATTGATATCATGGGGGGATTGGTAGATGTCCTCTGTAAATAAAAATGAACAACAAAAAGAATAGTTTCGAATTATCTGGAAAAATGAAACAAAGATTAGAATATCACATAAACTGTATTTTATTTGTTTTAATTAAGCAGTTTCAATCATGCACTAAAAAAACAAACCGGGATTGATATTGGGCAATTGCAAGGTGGATGTTATTATTTCCGAGGTTTAGGGAAACCATGTTTAAAGATAACTCTTGCGTGAAATTAGTGAACGTTCTTGTTATCGCTGTAATGCAAAGCCGAGCAAGTCCTAAATAAGGCGGGTGATTTAAGTAAATGCACAAACAGCATCAAGTGCAGATTTAAGTAAGCGCGTTAGGCACTTTGCATATTTTGAAAATACTTATATTAAAATATACGCGTCATTTTGCCCTGTATAATAATCCAGAAGGATCAATACCTAATACAAAGTTCCAATAGCATTCTCAGCGAACTCGGTAAATATATTTCCGACCAAATGCAGTGACTCCATTGCAAATTACTTAATGCTCCAAAACCACAAATATTGAATTATTGGAGAAGGTAAAGTAATAAGCGGAACGACTCACGTATTTCGTTGTAATGATAGGGTTCGTCTCCCTGGATGAAGCACGTCAATCGTGTTTTCGTGAAAGTTGCGAGGTTGGTGTCCAATAACACATTGGAGAACGCACGACCCCCTGTATCATTCTGAAAGAGAGTTTTAATCAAACTTCATCTTAGTGCCATTTCGCATTTGGTATATCCTCAAAGGATACACTTAATTTTCAACGATTTTTTTCGCCTAAACGATGTCATTTCGGGTAGAATGATTTCACATGGTACAGGATGAGTAAAAAAAAGCGGAACCCAAACCCCCGAAATTATAGTTCATATTTATATTTAAAAAAATATGTAGCACCAAGAATAATACTCACTGGAAAGCTAATTTCATAACCTACTTTAAGATGAAAAAATTACTGAAATTGCCCAATCCGTTCAAAGAATATCTCCATTTAAACACAATGACCCGAAAACTTCTCTGCCCCAATTCCGAAGAAGCCTATTATTGAATGTATGAATGATATGAGGCCTATACTGCTCTTATATCTGTCGCCATGAAAGTATTTGAGAAAATTGTATTGAATCGATTGAAGCCTCTTGTTACTAAATTTATTGACCCATTGCAAAACCAACCGCAGTAGGCCCTACTGAAGATGCAATTGTTTACAAGTTGGACAAATTGTATTCTCATTTAGAGGGTTCTAGTAATGGTAACTCTGTTCGGATAATGTATTATGATTTTTCTTCAGCATTCAACACAATGCAACCTCATCTCCTCATCCAACAGTTGTTGAACATGGATGCTCCCCATCAGCTGGTTAGGCTTATCCTTGATTTTCTTACGAATCGCAGTCAGTTTGTAAAGTTAAATGAAAATGTTAAGTCAAGATGCATAATCACAAACACAGGCGCTCCTCAAGGTACAGTGCTAGCTCCATTTCTTTGCACGGTACATACATCTGATTTTCGATCCAGTCACGTTGACTGTCCAGTGATTACATTTGCTGATGATACTGCATTGCTTGGACTAATTCAACATGATGACGATAGGCATTACAACGCTGAAATTGATTGTTTTGTTAAGTACTGTGAGGATAATTATCTGATACTTAATGTTGCTAAGACTAAAGAACTTGTTATTGACTTTCGAAAAAAGAAGAGTGAGCCTAGTAATATTGTGATCAATAACATCTGTGTTGAAAGGGTTCATATTTATAAATATTTTGCATTATGTTCGATGATAAATTGGGTTGGAGTGATCACTTGGATGATGTAATGAAAAAGCTTAACTCTCGCATGTATTATCTCCGTAAAATGAATGCTTTTATAAATAAGGTCAAAAAGGAAATTCTTGTCACATTCTATTGCTCAGTGATTGTTTGACGGGATGGGGTGGGAATGCCTTGAAAAAGGATAAAGGTATGATTGATCGGCTAGTGAGGAAAGTTGAGAGGATGACGGGGTTGTGCTTGCAGTCGGTGGACTCTCTGTACCGGGAACGAGTGACTGGTATGTTTCGTCGTATTTTGGACGACAAAAGCCACCCACTGTGCGCTGAGCTTGCAGGTCATATTATTCCTAGAAGTGGGAGAATGACACTGCTGGCTGCTCGCACCAATCGCCATCTTGATGACTAGACAGTGGGTGACAGGTACAGGCTTCTCCTTCACGTGCATTGTTTTTATCTGGTATCTGTAAATTTTAACTAATGTATTTTGTATTCAGTGTACTTCCCTTTTTATAAGCTTTGCGAGCATTGTAATTTCTTCATCTGGAGATAAATCAAGTTTTCTTATGTCTTCTTATGTCTTATCCAAAAGGTACGATTTCAAAAATCGTCGTCACAATTGTCTTCAAACATCACCAGCGATAAACCTCAGTTTGAAAAATAAAAAATTGTCAACAATGTGTGATTTTACAAATCATATTGTTTGCCTAACCAGGGTTTTTAATAAAGATATTGTGTTCTACTGTTGTTGACTGTTGTTGAAACAAGTGTTCTGTGTCATTTTCTTTGTTTTTCCAAATTTACAGTCAAAACACACAATAAATTGCCTTTTTTTTTGGACGAGACAGGTTAGGGTTATTGCGTTTAAATGGTGATATTCTTTGAAGCAATTTCAGTTTTTTCATCTAAAAGAAGCTTATGAAATTGGCTTTCCAGTTATGATTATTGTGGTGCTACACATTTTGTTAAATATGAAATTTATTTTTGGGGGTTTGGGTTCCGCTTTTTTTTTTACTCACCCTGTACCTCTACTGCATCGCACATGTGATATAAGCTTAGGGTTGGTTTACATGGGCATGGTGCATATTCTGTGTTTAGTAGCCCTAACCATGAGTGGCTTTTAAATTTTAGACGATTTCCAGGTATTTTTTTGTTGTTGTAAATACCAGTAGGCCTACTTTCAAAACTTTGAGCGAGGTTTTTCTCATTAAATCGGTAGGTTTGTTACCGATTAAATAGCACTACCAATGTTTTTGGGGATTTTAAAACATGTAAAAGCACAAACCTGGGTAAAGATTTATGAAAGTGGAAACAAGTTGTGGTATATAGTTAAACACGTAAGGGGTTGTCGGGAGAAGTTGATTAAAACCGAGAAAATGTCACATTCCTATTTTACCTGACACACTACGGCGACTCTCGAATACACGACTCTCTCGTTGACAAACTCGGTTGCAATCTCGCGGAAAAAGAAGTAGACATGTCCATTGTAGTTGATGGGATCCCCAACAAACTCTGGATGCGGCGGACCTGTTGAAATGAAACTGCACTGATGATCAAACAATAGAAGTCTTGCCAGTATTCATGATGCAATACAAACAAGTGAATTTATTGTGCGATTTGCAAATTTATTACGTTGTCCTGACAAGCTTGATATGAAAAAAAGGAACAAAGAAACAGACGTGAAACTTATGATTCTTTATTCTCAAATTTCCTTGTGGATTTTGAAACGAGGACATTTTTATCGAATTATGACGTATGATACGTTTAAATTTTCATTATGCAACCCCTGATACTGGATCAGAAACACGGACCATTTATATTTAGTTGTTTTATTTGAATTTTATTATATTTCTCCACTGGCTGATATAAAAAATATTACAAGATACACAGAATCTCAGATTAAAAAATACAGAGAATTTACGATTTCAATAAATTGTTAAAAAAAGAAAGATTTTAAGCCAGTGAGTGGCAAGATGGAACAGGTGACTAGTGCCAAGACCAAAATGAAACTAAACCTGGCGGGCATGTTTCACTTTGTTTCATCTCATTTGCTTATTACGAACGTGTGGAAAAAAGTTCATTGCGTTGTCATAATATTTCGTGTTTTATGCATCTCTTTGACACCAGGTCAGCGTAGACTGGTATTTTGTTTAAACCTTACCCCTTTATGTTTTTAATCTTTGACACTGTATCATTCTACCTACCGTTATTGGACAGTACACTGGCATCGTTCTTGGTCTTTAGTTGCACCTCAATACCAACCACATTCTGGGAGGAGTCATTCTGCAGCATCGATTTGACGATAGCTGGTCTGGCCAACGACCCAGCTACCAACTCCAGCTTGGTACCAACAAACAGATCTAAGTCTGGAAATAAGTATTAAACCGTTGAAGCTTATCAAAATTAAACCAAAGGAAGCAACAAGGCATCATTGGACATTCCAACTAATACTTTCTTTGGGAGGATTGGGATGTTTCTTTAGGGTCGTTACATCTCCTTCATATGATGCAGAAAAGAATCGTGTTATCCTGTAAATATTTACAGCTCACTCTTAGTGAATGATGACTGTTAAGGCCAGAGAATTTTGTTGCCCGTCAAATCAAGTACATAGTCTTAGAGGGTAACAAAACTACAAATATCTTCTGTGCGGAGGAGTCCGTTCTGGATACTTTTTTAGGGCGACTTTTTTAGGAAGATTTCTCAAACACCATGCGCTCCTGTCAATGGTTATCTTGTAAAAAAACAGCAAATGTGTTGGTGGTTTGCCTTGTGTTGGTCAACATATAAGCTATCTACACTCTTGGACAAATTCTTCCCAATAGGTGGTAAATTTTTACCCGAATTAACCAAAAATAAGATAACTTTAAGCAAATTACATTGCCCTACAGTGTTTTACCCATTATTTATTACAGTGTATAATCCAAGGTGACTGATTGCTGATGGCCCAGTTTTTATCATTAAATTTTATTTTCTGCAACTAAATGTTGTGATGTATCACGCCGGAAGTTACATGTAAATCGCATAATAACAAATAAGTTACTGTTATTCTTTTCAGTGAGTATTTCTTGCTTTTGTCTTTAATTGGTAAATATTCAAAGTATTATTTTTTTTTATTTAAAACACACTTAAAGTCCATAAGTCCATACCGTCATCAACTTTAAACCGTCCCTACGAGAATACTTTGGTCCCTTTGCTAAATCATTCTCCTAGCTTTTATTTTCCATACTGAAAACCAACCAGAAACAAAAAGTGCAAATTCACCCTTATTGGTACATACCTTCAGTTAGAAACCAACCACTAGAATTCTGGTTGTGGGTAAAAGGCACAATGCTCTCGGAGGTACTTAAGGAGAACCGGGATTCTACATCTGAAAGCTGAAGAGAATCGGTCTTTATTTAAAAACCAGAGTTGAACTTTCTGTGCCATTTTGTAAAATTAACCCAAAGGTTGCAATTATTTTAGAACTTTTAAATTTCAACGTTTTCTGAGTCTTACTTTGTACCCTCTTTTTTGGACAATCTCCTACTTTTAGGAGAACAAGAAGAATAAATTGCTCAAGTAATTCAATACAACATAGATTAAAATCGCTAATTTTCGGTCTTTTGTCCCCTTGCATTATACAAATGTATGTACAAATTGTATTCGGCTTTTCCAAGAACTTGTGTTTGTTACCATAAGCTGTTTTAAACTTTGTGGCATTATATTTTCTACCAGAGAGGAGAACATTTTTTTGGCTCATTGACCTAATAAGCCCCGCCTTGTCACTTCTATTACATTGAACAGCAGAATGATGGATATTTTATCCATGTTATATCACATTGAACAGCAGGAGCAAAGTCAATGTTGATACCATTCTATAGCACCTACGTTTCCAATGGACCTCTGTTGGCAATAGGGATGCTTGCTATTGGTGCCACACTCCAGCAACACACTGCTGTTTAGCAGGGGATGGATCACGCGGATGTAGTTATTACACTGAAATAAAATACCACAGCAATCTAATGATAGGCCTATTTGATTATAAAGCATAAATTGATTAATTCATACATGCATTTATTTCCATATTGTTTACAATGACTGTACACAACATAATGATCCTCTGATCATGATTTGAAGTCATAGGCGTGGATTCACGAGAATGGGGGAGGTTTTAAAATTCTGCATTTTGGTTCATCAAAGTCATTTAGAAATTTTACAGTTATCTGATCTATACTTTATTTGGACTTCAAAAATATAGCAAGCATTTTAATTAATAACTTCAATCCAAAATGAAGAAATCAATTTGGTTGTTTTCAAAAATGAGAAAATCAACAAACATTCTTTCATTGGATCAATTACAAATAAGTATATACAAGATTGCGGAAGACTTACATAATCGCAAGTCTGAGCCACCGTGGTCGGAATGGAAACATAATCAAGCTGCAAAATAGAATGTGAAAGAGTCGATTTTAATTTGAGCAACATTAATGCGATACTTAATAGTGGTTTTGGCAGAACCCCTTTTTTGTACCACCCCAGTATCATATCCTTCCTTCTATACCCACTTGATCCTTACCTACCATCATCCCCTCTCTTTCCCTTTGATCTACACCCACATTTCGTAATCCCTTGGTACTTAATCCGTCTTTTGTGTTGTTCCTTTCACCCCTGTATTCCTGTGTTTCCCCCATTATGTTTGTTTCCTGTATACCACTCCCATTTGCCTCTGAAAAAGGTCCTACGACCGGAACATCAGGTCATCTTAATTTGTTTACATTTATTAAATTGTAACATTTTAAAGTTTTACAAAGTTAGTATATTATTGTTTACATCGGTCGGTTGGTTGGTTGCATTGATTGCATTTTTGTTTTACCATTGTAAGGTCGGCAGTGTCAACGGAGAACAGTTGAGCTTTACCCCCCACGAAGAGTTGATCATTGATTAATACCAGAGTACGGTAGTACTTGCCGTCGATGACTGAAGCATTGGGTCCATACGTCATGAGTGAACCAGATACATCTACAGATAATTACCAATCCAGTTTAAAATTATCGTGTCTTGCATGAACACCTTAAGTATTACATTTTGGCGATTTACTAAGACTATGAAACCCGAGGCAGCATGCAGTAGCCTGCAATGACTAATACTTCGGTTTATGGTCTCCCGATCATTAGGAGGATGTCAATGTCTTAACGTTACGTGAATAAGCTAAAATATGGTCTCATAATAGTGTTTTACATTCCTAATAGCATGGGCTCATATTGAGCTTCAGCTCTCCTACGTCAAGGGCTAGCCCTAATTTCCTGAAACCGAAGCCGCAGACGGAGCCGATGTTTTGAAATCTCCAAAGTTCTGCTCAGGCAAGTCAGAATGCTTAGCAAGCTTCTAAAACATTTTGTCTTGCCTGAGAAGAAATATCGAGGCTCTAAACATGGAAAGCCTCAGCCAAGAGACAATGGTAGCTCCTGGGAGGGTAACATGCTCACTGTGTTCTGATTGAATCCTACAATATAAATGCATTGAAACCAGTGTTGTAGTCGAGACTGGATAGTCCGAGACCGAGACCAAGACCGAGACCTGAGTTGCGAGACCGAGACCGAGACCGAGACCAACCCCTTCAAGGCGGACCGAGACCGAGACCGAAATGGTCCGAGACCGAGACCGAGACCGAGACCGAGACCGAGACCGAGACCGTTGATAATAAATAACAATAATCTAAATAAACAACAAGACACTAATTACAGCTGAACAGTCTGTCCTTGAGATGTTGATGTTCATGGGGATGTAAAGGAAGTGATTGAAAGTTAGGAATCTCTTGTACCTGCTTAATTGTGTCATGCGAGTGCTCTTCGTGTTTGCTTCATGCCATAAATTACAACATGGCAACAGAATTTGTTATTGTCACAATCAATTAAAAAAATTGGAAACAACCTAATTTAAAGAAGGGGAAACCTTATTTAATGAACTCAAAATATTAAAGATATATTTTTTTTTTAAAATTTTTTAACTACTATAAAGTGTAAATCTGATGAAGAAACTCTAACTTAGGAGTACGACAATTTGGACTAGTTTTTGCAAAACTTGAACATGTTGAAACTTGACAAAAGTAAAAAGTTAAAGGGGGATGTTTCATCTGTTATAGGAACTCGGACCCTAAACTCCACAGCCACCCCTTGGTTTCAGCAATGACCACTAACGGATATTTCAATGCAACTTTAATTTTACATTGGACCTCCTTGTAAACCTGATTCGAAAAAAAATTTGGAGCAAGAAAATATTGATTTATTTTTTAAAATTTCAGTCATTGAATAAAGATTTGTACATGTAGACCAAAAAAATGAGAGATGGTAGCCAGATATGGATTGGTCTGCCCCCCCCCCATCCCTCTTTATGATTCTCCTTCCAACCCTGCATGTTTGTGTGTCCCCTACATGTTTGTTTCTTGTTCCTCTGTCATTTACCTCTGAAGAAGGCCTGGCTAAGGCTGAAATGTAATGCCACTTTATTTTTGTTTAATGTCAATAACGTTACATATACTATAGAACATTGATGAACCATATTTGCCTGATCTATCTTCTGTTAATCTGCCCGCCGTCATCATTGTCATTAGCCTATTTGAGAATATGGCCGACACAATAGAAGGGTGCTGTCACAAACTGAATGTGGTGGGCGAGATGTACCTTTAGGATTCATGGCTCAGTGCCCACGCCTCTCTGTGTTTTGTACCGTACCATCGTTTCGCCCGCATCAGCTACTTTGCTGGGCAATTTACTTGAATATTTTAGTGATTAACAAGTATGACATATTGCCAATATATTAATAGCTTAATGTGATGGCCGTAAACAGCATATAGCGATTAATGAAACACAATTCTTTTCGACTCATGCAAATGCAATTGACATTTAGGAAGGAGACGAGGCAGGCAATTAGACTCTATTTTTTGGGTGACTATGGCAGTAGCTCAATTTGTGTTTATCACAGATGAAAAGATGAATACATGGCGAGTCAAAAAGAAAGTGACCGTATGATAAAAAAAATGGCATGCTCCATTTTGTAAAAAAATATAATTGTTATTGAGTAGTAACTGTGAACATTTCACGTAATTTGCATACTCTATTCCCAAGTCGTGTCTATTTTAATAAAGAGATCACAGAATTCAGCTGTCCACCACTAATACCAATTTAACGGTCTACGAATTGATGAATATCCATTAATAAATATAATTAAAAAAAAACACGTTTTCCCGCCTCCACGAATAAAGGAAAAATTGAAAAGGAAAATAGAAAAGAAATCACCAATATTTCCAGGGAAAAAGAGTTGAATTGTTCCCATATTCAAAATACAAAATCTGACGGTAAAAATAATGTTTCAGTCTTGATTCATAAGATTTAAATCTCAGTTGTATTTGGAATCAATGAGGATGGCTATAAAGTGCTTGTTTCAACAGATCATCCCACAATAATAACGAGAAATAAGAAGAGGAGCAATGGTTATTGGACTATGCCTCACTCACTAGAAAGTGTAGAGAGACATGTCCATTAGCATCACACTGCAGTCACATTTGCCGTAAACTGATTCTTTACTTAACCCTAAAAGGGCCGGGAGCGGAGTCCGCCCCCCCCTCACTTTTTGGCTGGTCTCGACTCGAGACCAGCCAAAATATTGAGACCAAAGGGGACCGAGACCAAGACCGAGACCACAGCTCCCGAGACCGAGACCGAGACCGGCAAAAAGTGGTCTCGAGACCGAGACCGAGACCGAGACCGGTCTCGAGACCTACAACACTGATTGAAACCGTGTGGGCCGACGGGGCTAGGTATACGGGTACTTGTGATTTTATTTCCCACGGTATAACGTTCAGTGTGTATCATACGTCCAATCCTCCTCCTCCCTTTACCATGTTGCTTATCACCTCCTAATGTAACTACATCTTTGAAGACAACATTGTATTAAGATCACACGACACGACAACCTCGTTACTACGGTGTCGAGCAGTACGCTCCAACAACTACCTGCTCTCTCACTCTGGTACTGGATCATCTACATATCCAGCAAATTATAGGCTCCCCGTGGGCGATGTGTTCTGGCGCACATTATAATCTGGTGGTAATACTAAAATTCACAATTTGTCTGTTTTTGGTACTAAATTTAATAGCTTGATTTGAAAATTCATGCATTGAAAGGCTATGTCATGTTATGGTATGTACGCACGTGTAGGCCTACGTGAGTCGAACAATTAACATTATAGTCGGATAAGATTTTTGAACATGCAAAATGATCCAGTACCACGGGTGAAGAGTTTGGGAAAGGTCGGGTTTCTTCTAGGCATAAAACAAAGCGAAAGTGCTGATTGACTTACTGGACAAGTTGTAGCTCAACAGGTATGGGGTAGAGACCTGACGCAAAACGTTCTCGTTCTGGGAGTAACAAGCGGGTAGATAGGCGAGAAGAATGCCAAGTACCAGCCAAGACACGCGGTGGGGAACTGACATGATGCTAAGATGTGATACTGGTGCCAGGCAGACTGCAAGGTACTTGTATATCACTATACATTTGTAATGAAAGAATACATGAAGGAAACTTTCACTAAAACATTTAAATAATGAAATTCAGACACTTTTGCTCAGCCGTTGCATTGTAACCATAGTACTAACAGGTTCACTTAGAGTTATGTCATTGAATCTTCAACAAGTTACTAGTTAGATTGTCCCCCTGATCGACGGACTTTCAATTAATATGTTAATTTTCAACGAAAAGGTTATGTGCTACGGTACTTATTTTATTTTTGCAAATAATTTTAAATGTAAAGAATATAATCCAAGACTAAACGTGGGCCGATGTCTTATTTCATAAATGAATAACTTTAGTACCACAATAACGATTTAATATGCAAATTGGAGTGAAACTCACAAAATCATACAAACTAGGATAAACAAGGGGAAATTGTTATTTGAACAGTTAAACTGCTACAAATAATGTGATAAGCTCCTATTTCAAAGCTGCTTAAAAGGTATTGAAGCAAATCTTGTTTAATCTTGAACAAGAACTTATCATATGTTGAAATTAAATCGCCATAATTAATTTTAAAAAAAAACTCTGAATAACTACACATATACATCTTCAACTAAGTTTTATATTGTTGAGCATATATTTCTAAATTTTACCTTCATTGCAGCCATTCCCAGACTGCAAGCAAAAGCAATCTTCAATAGACAAATGTCAACATGACAAGCATGCATCCTTATTAGCGTTCGAAAAAAAAAACCGGTTCCCTGTTGGTCCGCGAATGAACTCAACCATGAACTTGCAGGCCTATCACAAATCTGAATTTAGTCCTTAATCGTGTTTTGTTTATCTGAATACGGTATCACACGTAAGCCTACTTACCAATTAAAATATGGTTTGCAAAAAATACTGAATCCTTCGTCCCACTAAAAACAACCTGAACATTATCAGCACATGAAGACTTCTGTGCACGAACTTGCGCATTTGCAGGCTATCGTATTACTAACACAATATCCACCAAAACGAAGCATCCATGCGTGGCGAACGCTACAGGAGAACATTTGTGTTTCTACAAATGGGTGGGATTTTTTTCTTAAAACGATTGTATTGAATTATTCCTTGTTGCTACAACAAACGCCATATTGTGGGAACAGCCATCGTACGTGCTGTATCCATGCATGGGGCACATGCGTGTTTGGAAGAGGGGGGAATTGTATCGTCAATATGAAGTCACTAATTGAGCATGGCCATATGGGTTGTTGCTGTTAATCGTTTTGCCTGACCATAAAACTGTAGGCTAGTCATTATGAATTTCCGTATTCATGTAGACCTTAATTCGTTATATACAAGCCATGTTATTAAAAGGGCAATGCTTTTGTACTAATGCATGGGATAGGCGTGGGCAGACCTTGTGTGCGTTCACTGTTGTTGAGGTTGAAAAAAGGACACCCTCTAAGATGACCACCGTAACTATCTTTATACCTCAGTGAAGTCGGCTGCAGACTACAAATGTAGTCCAACCAGCCGTAGATTAGCGCGCGTTCGTAGAAACTCAGTCGAGCTATGATTAACTTTGGTTTGTGATCAGACTGGACCCTAGGCAGTACTATCTGAGTAGGCCCGGGGACGCGTCGAATGAACCACAATATCCACATGGGTGGTTGATCAAGAAAAGTCTCCAAATTATTACATTAACCCCTTGTCAAAACTAAAGAAATAAATAGGTAAAATAAATAAACTCGAGAATGAAATTTGTTCCTTTTAACTGCGTCTGTTACGCGAAATCATGATACGCCTTTGAAAAAAATCACGGTCATTGTGAAGCTCTTGCCTTCAGATCTACTGCACATGCGTGGTTCCATGAGTGATTTTTACAAAGCCAGCCTCGTCCCCAAAAGTAGCTTTACTTTCAACCTCGTTTTCAATAGTAACCCCTGGGTGGGAAGCCGCTTCCTGTATCCTGATTCGATACAGCAACAGCCAGTGATGAATGGATTTATATAGTGTACTTGGTGTTGTTTTCGTCGTGTTATAAGTAATTTAACGTTCAATGTGAACTATTACGACAACCTCATAAAAATCCCCCTTTTCCAGTCTGCTTATATAGGCTGGATAAGATTATAACATGTTAATTTTCAAGAAATCGTGTCTTCGGATCTCCCGCCGTGACATTTTTTTTGATTTTGTGTTTACCAGACACCCGTAATAAATACAAGGGCGGATCCAGGGGAGGGGGGGGGGCCAAAGGGGGCCATGGCCCCCCCCCAAAAAACGAAACAAATTTTTTTTTTTTTAATGTGACATCGCAATAAAGGCAGGCAATGAGTACACCACCATCTTTTCCTCAAAAAAAATGGTTAAAGTGGTCAGAAATTGCCTCAGATCGCACCACAGAGCATCTAGAATCCAATTTTTTTTTTTTGGCCCCCCCCAAAATTGTGTTCTGGATCCGCCCTTGAATAAATACTGATTTAAAGCACACCCAGGTACCATACTATTCCTAATTTATTATAATCAATGTGCAAGATTTTTGAACATGCAAATATATAGTCCAATGCCAGGGTGACTTCGCAGGTAGTAATGGGAGCGCACTGCTCAACACCATGGGGACGAGGTTGCTACAAAGCAGTCACAAATCCGTGCATGTGCAGTTGAATACGATGACGTCATTTTTGAAGTTGTGGTTTTCCCCTTTTTGTCCCCACACGAAGTATTGTAAACTTTTACCTTTTTTAGGGATGACAAAGGACTCTCAGGCTGTGGTCTCCACGCATGAATGCCTCACAATAGTCGGCATTGTCCGCACCACCCACTGTCTGGCACCAGTCAACATGTGAAAAATATTAATACACAGCTACTGCACTGAAATATTCGTGTAGGCTGCCTATATACTCGTAACTGTGTATGGGTGTGTGCTTCATGCGGCTAGGATCACTATTTTTTCCTACGTTACATATTACACGGAAATATTTAACCCAGGGCCTCTTACATACTTCTTGACGTTTGGAAAATAATCATTCGAATTGGTGATCCCAAAGCTGTGGAAGACGTACTCCCAGTGATTGACCATAATTCACTTGGTAAGTAAGAGGAGTTTGGGTTATTCTTTGACAGCAAAAAACCAAGAGCATTCACACTCAGATTTTAGTAGCTTATGACGTAGTTTACAAGTTCAGTAGTATACAGATCCTTATCAAAGAACAGGAAACTTGCATTTTGGAAAGTTGGAAAGCGGAATGCGTGATTGCCCCTCAAGTTGGCAAAATGAATTTCTCGAATACATTATGTTATGACTTTGAATACGAATTTGAAAAAGGTCGCAAATCAAAATGGAAAACAGAAGTACAAATTAAATACTGGCATTGCGTATTTAGTATGTATTGACGAAACAGTTGTGTCTGGTCTTGCATTTATTTCCAAATGTGTAAATTATAGGGGAGGGACCCTGTTGTTCATGAACTTCATTTTGATTTATTTTGATTTCATTTATTCGCATAATTTTGGAATTCTATTTCATAACATTCGTACAAGTCTTCAGATGGTTTGCATGTTTAAAGCTATTTGAGAGACATTGTGATGGTCAAAACACAAACAGGTTCCATCAAACAAGCAATCACATGATTATTATCAATTCACTGGTTAATGTTTATATTTCCAGTATCAAAATTACATACCTGAAGATAGTATTGCTTTTCCGCAGGGCACTTCATCTTCGATAGTTTTATGGTAAAACCTAGCAAAGGTCTTTGAATTGGCAGTTTTTATGATGTCTTGAAGGGTAACTCCATAGGCAAGCCTTGGAACCATAGAAGTGGAATTACTGCGTTAACTGTGAGCATTAATGGAGGGATCTTTTCCTGCATCATGTATACACGCAGTAATTCCACTTCTATGGCCCTAAAGGCTTGCCTATAGAGTTGTTGCAAATCAATGGAGCATTCCTTTGATAAGTTATTGCCGTAAAAACCTCGCTCTTTTCGACATGTCAAAAAAGAAAAATATTGAGGAAAAAGGCCTTTTACGTTCGACATTTATATACGTGAAATTGAAAGATGTCAAGTTGTTTCTCCTTATAAATACACGTTTATTCTACGATTTTTATACTATTTCTTTTAAAAAAATGCGTAGTAGACCATGACATAGCAAATTAGAAATATTAATAAATCTGAACATCAGGAAAATTTCATTACTATTCAGTTTTTTTGCATTTTCGTCACTATGGCCTGTGCCGAGTTTCATCTCATTTTGCCAGGAAATGTGTTTGCCACTGTTTCCTGAGATGACCCAAGCGGCCAGGTGTAGGTTGAGAATCGGTTGTTGTGGTTGAGGTCCTGGGCAATCTTCTGGTAGTTTGATTGGGTTGGCGATGAGCATGTGGAGGTAGTTGTGGGAACTATGGTCGAGCTTTCCACATAGGTGCTCTGAGAAGGCAAACTGGTGATTGGTCACGTGAGACTTTGTGCTTTGTCCAGAATTCTAGAGAGCAAACAAAACAGTGGAAAAAAATAAGTCGTCATATCTGACCATGACAATGAAAAAAATTAGCCACATCCACATTGGGATCTGTTTGCCAAGAAACGTATAATAATGTAATTGATGATGTACATAGGATGCAAACAAATCAACGTCTGGTGTATACAATTTGGTCAAATGATGTGTGGTTGGTACTTTTGTTAATCCTTTTTAAGAAAGAGTACACCAGCAATATGGGTAGGGCATAAATGAATGTTTCTTTTGATGCACTAATCATGAATACATTTCACAATGTCACTTTGGTGCCAAATGGTTCCACTGATTTAGGCATTATATGCAACTGTAGTGCTATTAATTGTCTGATTTGATTAGAACATGAATGACATTTTGGCAGAGAGTCGGCAGTGAAGTTACTGCCAATAATTCTAGCATATTAATATGCAACAGCTGTTAAGGCCACTTACCCTGGATGTAGGAATTGTCTGTTTCTGAAACAGCTCCCCAGCCTTCATTGCTGGCATCCGTGGGAATAACCATATTAATGGATGGTAATTTTTAATGAATGATTTGGCTTCATTAGAGGAAATAGCCGACCACCAACTGATTTCTTGGCTAATGTTCGTTTCAACTGGAATCTTTGCTTTACAAGTTTTTTCCTCATGAAAACCCTCAGGGTTTTAAGTAATTCAAGTTCCCGGAAGTGCAGTTTTTTCTTGTGGGAAGGCATCAAAGGTTGAATTAATCAAACCTATGACTTTGGCAAGTTAACGGTCAGTAAAAACTTCTCTTGGTATAGTTTGAGTTCCGTCGAATTTAAGCTTTTCGACTTTCTACTGTGGAACACTGAGAGAAATAGATTTTGAATCAATCTTAAACCCAAGGTAAATCAAAAGAGATTGTGGTTTTAAACAGAATTTTTCCTTGTTAACTATATCTAAAGGTTGGAAGTAAAGCACAACAAAACTACTATGTTTTGCACTTCCCTCTGCTGATGACGAATGTGTACAATTTCGTCAATTGAGATGATTTAGGTCGAGTTGATCGAATAATTATTGTGTCCTCTCGTATACACACAGGAAAAGGGGTTCAATTTAAAATAAAGAATACTGCAATCTTTGCATAAAACAGACCATTTGTTTTTTGTTGAATTCTCGAAAATTATGCACAATCGTTTTGAAACCCTATGGGCTTATCGTTTAAAACAATTATATTGTTTCGTCATTTGTTATTTTTTTAAATACTATATAGCGATATGCCGCGTTTCGCGTGGCACCCGCTAGCTGTGTGGAGGCGTAAAGTTTGTACTGTTTGCAGGTTTTAAAAAGTTGTCAGTTGAAATTTAAAAAATAAAGAGGTAAAAAATAACAAAAATCTCGGGCAAATCGGCCAGGGTGCGACTTGATACAATCAGCTGACCAGACATTTTCGTCACGCGTCTTCATCCTATAAATCCCCCTAAATATCCGAATTACTAATTAGCCCCTCAAGCACATCTGCTACAGAAAGCATATACCTACCGGAAGTGGCAGTCTAGCAGCGTATCCAGCTTCTGATGTGGGGGCGGGGGCAACCGCACATCCGCGAATAACTTTATGTAGACATTTTTTTTCTCCGGACACTTGGCCTCCGTAAAATAAAACAAACGGGTGGCGAAGGGGGGGGGGGGGGGGAGGAGAGGGGTGGCTGGTATCCATCTTCCAAATGGGGGCGCTCTTCAAAACTGATCATTAGAGTATGCATACTGCAAATTATATGCCCATTTTCACGGCGCATTGTAATGGTTTTTGAGCGGGTTTTCTTTTGAGGATTTATGTCAGAACTGTCTAACCATTTATTCAAACAATTGCTGAAAAAAAATAGTTGTTAAAAAATCCGCCGGGGGGGAGAGAAGTGCCCCCCCTTCTAGATACGCCACTGAGAAGTGAGAAACCCACAAATTGTGAGCGAAAATTTGACAGATTCATCAACGAACATACATGAGTACGCCCTCAATTGCAGGCACGGTGGGGGGGGGGGATGCTTCCCCCAAAAATGAAAAGAAGAAGGAAAAAATGACGTCTGTGGGAACGGTGCCCCCTAAAAATATTTGTGAGAAGGGTACATTTGTTCACTATTACGTAATATAGTGTGCATGATTGTAAGATGTTATCAGCGATCCCCATTGAAAATATGGTTACAACCCACCCCACCTATTGATTTTTGGAGGCCGAAGTGTCCGCAGAAAATGACCAGTCTTTACATTTCAGCACGCCTCCTTGCAAAAATTTCTGGATCTATATGAATACATTATCCCTTCGTCAAAACTAAAGAAATAAATAGGCAAAATAAATGAATGCGAGAATGAAATTTGCTCCTTTTAACTGCGTCTGTTACGTGTATACGCGAAATACGCCTATACAAAAATCACGGTCATTCTGAAGCTCACGCCTTCAGGTCTACTGCGCATGCGTAGTTCCATGTGTGCTTTGTACAAAGCCAACCTCGTCCCCAAGGGTAACTTTATTTTCAACCTCGTTTTCAGTAGTAACCCCTGGGTGGGAGACTTGCTTCCTGTATTCTGATTCGATACAGCAACAGCCAGTGATGAATGGATTTATATAGTGTACTTGGTGTTGTTTTCGTCGTGTTTTAAGTAATTTAACGTTCAATGTGAATTATTACGACAACCTCATAAACATCCCCCTTTTCCAGTCTGCTTATATAGGCTGGATAAGATTATAACATGTTAATTTTCAAGAAATCGTGTCTTTGGGTCTCACGCCGTGACTTTTTTTGTTTTGGTTTTTGTGTTTACCAGACACCCGTAATAAATACTGATTTAAAGCACATCCAGGTACCAGACTATTCCTAATTTATTATAATCAATGTGCAAGATTTTTGAACATGCAAAAAGTCCAATGCCAGGGTGACTTTGCAGATAGTAATGGGAGCGCACTGCTCAACACCATGGGGACGAGGTTGCTACAAAGCAGTCACAAATCTGTGCATGTGCAGTTGAATACGATGACGTCATTTTTGAAGTTGTGGTTTTCCCCTTTTTGTCCCCACACGAAGTATTGTAAACTTTTACCTTTTTTTTAGGAATGACAAAGGACTCTCCGGCTGTGGTCTCCACGCATGAATGCCTCACAACAGTCGGCATTGTACGCACCACCCACTGTCTGGCACCAGTCAACATGTGAAAAATATTAATACACAGCTACTGCACTGAAATATTCGTGTAGGCTGCCTATATACTCCTACTTCCGTATGGGTGTGTGCTTCATGTGGCTAGGATCACTATTTTTCCCCCTACGTTACATATAACACGGAAATATGTAACCCAGGGCCTCTTACATACTTCTTGACGTTTGGAAAATAATCATTCGAATTGGTGATCCCAAAGCTTTGGAAGACGTACTCCCAGTGATTGACAATAATTCACTTGGTAAGTATGCGGAGTTTGGGTTATTCTTTGACAGCAAAAAAACAACAGCATTCACACTCAGATTTTAGTAGCTTATGACATTGTTAACAAGTTCAGTGGTATACAGATCCTTACCAAAGGTAGTATATATACGGGTCTTTATGTGGTTCAAAAGAACAGGAAACTTGCATTGTGGAAAGTTGGAAAGCGGAGTGCGTGAATGCCCTCAAGTTGGCAAAATAAATGTCTCGAGTACATTATGTTATGACTTTGAATACGAATTTGAAAAAGGTCGCAAATCAAAATGGAAAACAGAAGTACAAATTAAATACTGGCACTGCGTATTTGTTACAGATGTGTCTGGTCTTGCATTTATTTCCAAATGTGTACATTATAGGGGAGGGACCCTGTTGTTCATGTACTTCATTTTGATTCATTTTGATTTCGTTTATTCGCATAATTTTGGAATTCTATTTCATAACATTCGTACAAGTCTTCAGAGGGTTTGCATGTTTAAAGCAACTTGTGAGACATTGTGATGGTCAAAACACAAACAGGTTCCATCAAACAAGCAATCACATGATTATTATCAATTCACTGGTTAATGTTTATATTTCCAGTATCAAAATTACATACCTGAAGATAGTATCGCTTTTCCGAAGGGCACTTCATCTTCGATAGTTTTATGGTAAAACCTAGCAAAGGTCTTTGAATGGGCAGTTTTTATGATGTCTTGAAGGGTAACTCCATAGGCAAGCCTTAGGGCCATAGAAGTGGAATTACTGCGTTAACTGTGAGCATTAATGGGATCTTTTCCTGCATCATGTATATACGCAGTAATTCCACTTCTACGGCCCTAAGGCTTGGCTATCGCGTTGTTGCAAATCAATGGAACATTCCTTTGATAAGTTATTGCCGTAAAAACTTCGCTTTTATCGACATGTCAAAAAAGAAAATATTGAGGAAAAAGGCCTTTTACGTTCGACTTTTATATATGTGAAATTGAAAGATGTCAAGTTGTTTCTCCTTATAAATACACCTTTATTCTACGATTTTTATGCTATTTGTTTAAAAAGGTGAAGGTTGGGAATCGGTTGTTGTGGTTGAGGTCCTGGGCAATCTTCTGGTAGTTTGATTGGGTTGGCGATGAGCATGTGGAGGTTGTTCTGGGAACTATGGTCGAGCTTTCCACATAGATGATATGAGAAGGCAAACTGGTGATTGGTCACGTGAGACTTTGTGCTTTGTCCAGAATTCTACTGAGCAAAGAAAACGATGGGAAAATGTAAGGCGTCATATCTGATCATGACAATGAAAAAATGGCCTAAACATGGGGATCTGTTTGCCAAGAAATGTATAACAATGTAATTGATGATGTACATGTACATAGGATGCGAAGAAAGCGACGTCTGGGTGTATCTATCTAGTGACAATTTTGTCTCACTAATTAAGTGTGGTTGAATACTTAAATATTTAGTTAATAAATGAATGTTTCTTTTGATGCATCAATCATGAATATAATTCGCAATGTCACTTAGATGCCAAATGATTCCACTGATTTGGGCATTATATGCAACTTAAGTGCTTTTAATTGTCTGATTTGATCAGAACATGAATGAGATTTCCGCAGAGAGTCGGTAGTGACTTTTTTTTACTGCCAACAATTCTAGCATATTGTGCAACAGCTTTTCAGTATAAGACCACTTACCCTGAATGTAGGAATGGTCTGTTTCTGATGCAGCTCCCCAGCCTGTATTGCTGGCACCTGTGGAAATAACCATACCATTGGATGTATTTTAATGAATCATTTGGCTTTAGAGTTTTAGCTAATTCAAGTTCCCGGAGGTGCAGTTTCCCTTGTGGGAAAGCATCAAAGGTTGAAACAATCAAACCTATGACTTTGGCAAGTTGACGAATAGTGACAACTTCTCTTGATATAGTTTGAGTTCCTTCAAATTTAAATTTTTCGATTTTTGACTGTGGAACACTGACAGTCATAGATTTTGAATCAATCTGAAACCCAAGGTAGATCAAATGAGATAAGGGGTCGTGATAATCTGCATGTCCCGGGCAAATTCATATTTGACTCACATTTCTGGTGAAAGTTACGTTCACTTTAAGTTATAATATTGTTTTAGGGCTAATTTTGTTTCTTTTCTTTCCTTCGCATATATCCCCCCTATTTGTGGGTGGGCTGGTTTTGCGGTGGTAAGTCTCTCGAGATTCCTTGGATACCTAACTGTCTTGACATGATTAGCCTTTTATAATTGAATAGTTGTTTTCAACTTTATTTTACCATCAGACAGTGCACATCTAATTGTTGTCTGCCTGGCACCAGTTTCACATCGTAGCATCATGTCAGTTGCCCACCGCGTATCTTGGCTGGTACTCGGCATTCTTCTCGTCTGTCAGGTGCCCGCTTGTTACTCCCAGAACGAGAACGTTCTACGTAAGGGCATAATACCCGATCCACCATGCAAATGGACAGGTAATTTCAGCATGTATTCCGTCATTTCTATGCATACAAGAAATCCAGCATGAAGTATTCTAACACTTTTAATTTCTTTGAGGCTTAAAGGAAAATTGTAAGTGATGCACAAATACAAATGTTGGATATATACTTGCCCAATTCAATTTATTCACCGTTTGTGCAAGCAAGGCTCGAGTATAGGCGAAGAATCGAATGAAATTGCAGAATGCTGTGCAGCATGAGATGATGGTGATAATTGCCCTTAACCATCAAAAAATAATAAAATAAAAAAGTACTCGCAAATATGATTCTACCGGTGAAAACATCACTGTGATTACATTATATATAATTATGTACACTATCGGGGAGGGGTGGGGGTGGAGGGGGGTGTAAGGGGGTATTTACCCCCAAATATTTTGCAAAGACTGGCCTTTCCTATTCAAATGCGCTTGCGCTTTTTTTTTTTTACAACTGTTCCCTCCCAATACTTAGTAAAGAGTGCCCTTTTTGTACAGAAGTGCCTTTTTTTCTGAACAATTGCCCTTTTTAAAAGAAGTGGTGCCCTTTTTTGTTCCATCTGCCGTTCCGAGTGCCCTTGTTATGTCACGCCTGTATCACCCTGAAAAGCACTATATATTGTCCATTAGTGTGCACATAATCGTCGGTTTAGAACAGCGCCCCCTCGACAGATGGAACCAGCCCCCCCCCCCCCCCTTGATTTTAGGGAGGCATAGTGTCCGGAGAAAAAGACGTGTTTTCATTTCACCACGGATGTGCAAGTGCCCTTTTCAACAAATTTCCCCCCTCCGTGCTACGCCACTGTCAAAGTTATACCTCTGGGAGGCATGTGAAATTAGAGAGACATTTCAATGTTTCCTTAATGCCTCAGCTCCTATTTAGATGCTTCATTTTATTGTTGCAAATAAGTGGTCCAGGATAAGGTCAAATTGGGGTTAGGGGTCAGGAACGTCGGAAATTGTTTTGTGCACAAGTCTATGGAAATATCGCCCTATGGTGTATTTTTCGGTTATATTACTTTCTGTTTTAACTGTTTAAGTCTCCAAGCTTCTTGCTGCGAAAAAATACTATTAACTTCCCAAGCCTTGCCTAGATAATAAATCGACTGGTATATGGTATATCTGTAGATGTATCTGGCTTACTCATGACGTATGGACCAAATCCTTCAGCCGAGGGCAAGTACTACCGCACTCTAGAATTTATCGATGGTCAACTCTTCGTGGGGGGTAAAGCTCAACTGTTCGCCGTCGACCCTGCAAACCTAGATATGGTAATAAATCTGAAGAAGCGAAAAGCAATAGAAAAAGCAAGCAGGCAGCAGGCAGGCAGCAGGCAAGCAGGCAGCAGGCAGGCAGCAGGCAGGCAGCAGGCAGCAGGCAGGTAGGCAGGCAGCAGGCAAGCAGGCAGCAGGCAGCAGGCAGGCAGACAGCAGGCAGGCAGCAGATACGCAGCAGGCAGGCAGCAGGCAGCAGGCAGCTGGTAGGCAGCAGGCAGGCAGCAGGCAGGTAGGCAGGCAGGCAGCAGGCAGGTAGGCAGGCAGGCAGCAGGCAGGTAGGCAGGCAGGCAGCAGGCGGGGAGACAGGCAGGCAGGCAGGCAGCAGGCAGGCAGGCAGGCAGTAGGCAGGCAGCAGGCAGGCAGGCAGGCAGGCAGCAGGCAGCAGGCAGCAGGCAGGCAGGCAGGCAGGCTGGCTGGCTGGCTGGCTGGCGTGGCGAGCTGGCAAAGCTTGCCAGCTACCAATCTATAACTAGGTAGATGGAATACTGCAACAGATTTCCAATAATTATTTAACCAAATTTTGAAATTGATATTCCCTGATATTATAGATACGTATTTTTTTCAGTGTTTTATCAAGTGATTTCAATTTTTTTAAATTTTGAATTTTTCAAACAGTCTATTGAGAACACAATCAACACGATGCTATACATCATACAAAAATGTTGACTTTGGGAATTACGTACGACATAATGTCACAGTTTCACAAATTAATAGAAAGTGTATAGGATGTTGGTGAACCAATTATTTTTGTTTTCAACCTTATAGCTTGATAGCGTTTCCATTCCAACCACTGGAAGCAGTTTGTGTGAATTTGTAAGTTTCGCAGAATCTTATAATTTTCATATTCTATAAACATCTGCATTAGGCCTACACCGATGCCCACGTTGCTTAATGTAAAATTCTAAATCCCTCTCATTCAGACTTTTTTTGACAATTGAAGCGTTTTGAGATTTGTTTAAAGATAGTTTAGTTGTATTCAATTTTCATGTCTGAAATGATTTTTGCATAGGTGATATATATATATTAAACTCACGTACCAATGTCTTTTTGTCCCAAATACTTTAAAATGCATTGTTATAAGTGTGGATAAAATATGCTCAATGCTCGTTTTTGAGACCCCCCTATTTCCTTGAAGCCACGCCCATCCCTTCTGACCATCATGAGTGAACGGCACGTTAGGGACAATTGGAAATGGTGCGCGTATGGGACATGTAGGCCTATGCGGTTCGGATAAAGTTGCTTGTTAAAGCACTATTTTGCGTAGCTATTTTATCTGGCACACTATGTGCAATGTGCATGAATCAAAGTGTTAATAATAATAACTGTTTTATATAGCGCCTTTTGCCAGAGGATACAAAGCGCTGGGGGAGAATGCAACCAAAGACAGGTAAATGAAGTATATGAACATATGAGACCCATTATGTAGCACCTTTTACCTTTTGCCAGAAACACGGGGGCGAACCCCTTCTCTTAGCGACAAGTGTTAATGGGTTCTTTAACGTGCATTACACAGCACACGGGACCTACGGCTTAACGTCCCAAAGTGCCTTGCTCAAGAGCACAAGCACCATGTTCCTACGGTCGTGATGCGAACCCATGGTGGGTTTGGTGTAATAACCACACATTATGGTGATAGTTATTATAGTCAGTTAGTTTTTCCGAGCCGCATAAATCCCGTACCCGCACCATTTCTATTGGAAGAAGAATCCGTCCAATGAAGTAATTACCGAATAACTGTAGCAATTTACCTTTTTACTTTTTATTTCATCAACAATTTCTCCCTTATCATTCAACATTATCATTCTGGATGTGTCTTACAGTGTGATAACTACATTCGCGTGATCCAACCTCTCACCAACAATACATTGTTGGAGTGCGGCACGAATAACAAAGTCCCATATTGTCAACAGAGATCAATGGGAAATGTAAGTGTAATATTATTTGGATGAAAATAACATCAGTGGCAGTCCCCTGTTACTTACCATATTTGTTGTTCTTAGGGTAAGATATGTTACATTCTGCGAGGAAGGGTGCTGACTGAAAATCGGAAACTTTCGGATTTCTTTTTACTCTCCCCTCGTAAATTTCACTTTCGTGATCAAGATTGTTTCTTTCCAGTTGTCAGTAGCATCTACTCCGAGGATCCAATATGATCCCAGCAGTAGTTCTCCCACGTTTGTTGCTCCTTTTACCTACAATCAGAATTCTACTGGCTGGTTCCTTACTAAAGGTATGTACCACAAAGCCAGAAACAAACGTTTTATTTTTAAATGTAGATTGATTATATAACCTTGGAGTTAAATTTGATGCTAATCTTTCTTTGAAGAACCGCATGTGTGTCGTACTGTTTCATTTGCCAATCATAAAAATGGTACCATTGGGTCGTATGTATACAATCTAGCAAATGCTAGGAAGTTTAAGCAAAAAGTAAAAGCATTTACTTGGGAGTAAAAGCATTAAGCAAAAGCAAATGTTTGATTCCGTATGAATAAAAGTTTTTCTTTACTGTTCAGCATTTACTAGACAACAGGTAGCAAATGCTTCTTACTGTTGGATTGTTTTCATGGACGAATGGTTGTCAACAAAAGGGTCTCTTTTGTGTGTATGAACTGCCACACACACACACGGAGGGTTTACACGTATGGTAATAGTCCAACTCAAGGTGATGCATACAGTACATGTAGTAGTAGGCCTACTACATTTGATCCTCGAATCCAGCAAAAATGATGAAGACACTCTTCGCCAGTTGCAGAATACAGAAAGTATACTTTCATCATCACTCATGAATACTGTGAACGTCCAAAGTGTCCTGTAGACGTCACAATTGCATAAAAAAATCACACACACGTGTTAAAGCGGGTAAAATCATACCAAAATGCAAAGACACGAGGGTTTTTGTTTATTGAGATATTAAACAAATATAATAGTTTGCAAAGATTAGTGACCTAAATAAACTAAACAATGCTTTCATTTTGTTCAGTCCTCATGGTGCCGTTGGGTCACATTTCTCCTTATTCTTTCTACGCCGCACTGAATTTACTCTAACACTTCGCATATCGGGAACCAAATGGAAATTATCGTTTCTTCTAGTAATGGAATTAATAATCAAAACAAAAAAATAAATTCGCATAGATGTTATTCAAAATAGAGTGTATGGTATTATATGTATAGTTTATTAACGTTTTGTGTTAATTTTGGCGCGATAAATATTAATAAATGCAGCAACGTTTGCGCAGAAGTATTTGTTTTATATTTTTAAGGTAGCCCCCAACTCAGACTTGAAACATGACAAGTAAATACTTGAAATCTGAAGCATTTACTCCTTAAATCTGCCAAAGATTACTGACTACTGATCTGCTGTGCGCAGATCCAGAACAATTTATTGTCTTGTACAACTTCTTCTTACAGTTTGGTAGTCGTACACATGTCAGGCTCAGGTACAGGCACAGATTGACTACCATAAATAAAATGGAAAATAAAATGTATGTGTTACAAGAAATTACACGTATCAAGAGTTTGTGTAACCTAATTGACAGAATCAGCTCAAATTACATATCACCTACATGTACATGTACTATATACACATGCACACAAATGTCCAAACTTAAAGCAATGTTTATGAAAATACACGTAAGTGTAGGCCGCTACAATGTACAAGGACAGATGTGAGTTTATCGACCATGACCTAAATGCAAGAAGGGTTTATGTACACCCTGTATAATACTTGTACATGTGCTTAATAACATGATCCAAAATAACATGCGTTGGAAATACATGTACAACTTTTAGGCTTACAAAATATCACTAAATATCACATTAATTACTGAATCATTGATATAAATTATTTAAGAGTAACGAACCGTTTAATAAACCTTGGCCAGATTAATGCTTTGGGTGAAGAACAACTCTATCGAGATGCAACTCTATCGAGATCGAGCTGAAGCCATGTTGCTTTTTTGCTTAGGCCGTGTCCGAAATGGGCTTCCAGAGCTACGGCTACGTCTATTGTCAGCGCGTCCCCGCGCATTTTCAAAGGGCGCAGACCTAGACCTAGCTCTAGACAGCTGATTCGGATGCAGCCATAGCTGCCGTCTTCCCGCAACAGCGCCCTCACTTGGCGACAAATAAGACATTTATCTGAGTTTGACCGTTACACTCCTTTTTATTCATACGAAATGAAGTAAACACTTCTAGTCCAGCGAAAGCTAGCAAGTAAAAGTAAATACCTTTAGCTTTCAGCTAATGCTTTCCAGTAAAAGTATTTGCTTCATTTTCATTCATACAAATGCAATTAAATTCTTAAAAATAGGTAGTAAAAGCAAATACTTCTTTTTATACATATGACCCATTAATTGGATAAAAAAATCTAAAGGAAAATTTATTCATTCTTTGGTTATGTGTCGTGTAGAATTACTGTATGGACTGCCTAGTTCTCAAATTAGTAAATTGCAACGTATACAAATCTCTAGTCTGCAGCTAGACTTGTCACCAGGACTCGCACACGTGAATCCATCACACCTATTCTCCATGATTTGCACTGGTTGCCGATACGGGCAAGAATAGATTTTAAGGTTTTGGTTATCACATATCAATGTATCCATGGTATAGCCTTTAATTCACCAACTCCTGGTACTTAACCACCTTCTTTTCTTTCTTTGCAACCCTGGTATCACCGGGCACTGCCACATCTATAACGTGGCACATTTTCGCATTTTTATCTAGGACAACAACATCCGGCCGCCTATGCTCTACAACACGGTCAGTGTGAATGTTGAAGTCCCAGAGAACCTTCACCTCCTCAGTTTCCAGAACCCTCTCCGGAACGTGCTCCCACCACTTGTCCTTGACCTTGATCCCCCGTTTTCGGCAAACATCCCAGTGGATCACCCTGGCTAACTTGTCGTGCCTCTCTTTGTTTTCCGTCTGTGCCATCTTGCTGCATTCACAAACCAAGTCTCCTCTTTCTCTCCAAACATTGAAGATACATTAGCTCCCTCTATCTTCGCCTTCATCACGTTCTTCCGTAGTGCCTGGTCCTGTGCAGCAGTCATGAAACCCTCTGTTTCCTTCTCCAAGTTACCGCTCTTTAATCATCCCCAGGTCTTGTTCCCTGCTACCTCTTTCGTGTCTCTCGGAAATTTCCCATGGAGTGGCTTGTCTTCCTAATTGCTGAGCCTCTCCTGCTTCCATTCTTTCTTGTACGCAACGGGCCGATCAACTTCCTTTCCCACGACGAATTTCTTAGCCATCTCCAGCTATCCATCCTGCGATCTAGAAACATACCCTTGAAATCTTCTCAGTATTAACACAGCCCGCCACGCTTATCAAGCCCGTCCTCCTTCAGTCCTTGGCAGTGGCGTAGCCAGGAATTGTTCCGGGGGGGGGGGGGGGGGGGGGGGGGGCGCTGGGGGGGGGGGGGGGCGCTGGGGGGGGGGCGCTGGGGGGGGGGGCTGGAACATTTCATGGGGGGGGGCGTCATGTAGGGGCGTCAATCGCTTCTCAAAGGGGGGGGACAAACCTTGATCAGAACTGATGCGAAGCGCGAAGCCCTTACGGCGTGGGGGTTCGGGGCCCGCTTAAGGGCCCCGAAAAAAAAATGGATTCTAGATGTTCTGGGGTGTTATCTGAAGTAATTTCTTACCACTTTCCTCCATGCTTTAACTAATATTTTCTTAACAAAAGATAATTATTTGAACATCGTTTTCGAGGTTGGAGTCATTGAATCAGCTATCGCTATTACTGGTCCGCGGTCGCCGGTCGAAGGGTCGTTTCTCAGTGGTCATCATGTGGATCATTCGCGACTATTTAGATTTAGATCAATGATACATTTTTTAGAAACTCAAAATCTCAGTGGGGGGGGGGGGGGGGGGGACTGGGGGGGGGGGGGGGGCGACAAGGTTTCATGGGGGGGGGGGGGTGGTCCCCCCCCCCCCCCCCCCCCCCCCCCCCACGCCCCTCCCGGTGGCTACGCCACTGGTCCTTGGCAAGTAAAGCAATACTGACGTTAGCCCTCGGACACAGTATACCGTACATCGTCATCAGCTTTTTCGTCTTCCTGTCGACGGACTCCAACTCCGCCTTAGTCATGTCAACAATCCCTGCACTGTACCTCATCAGCGACACAGTATTTACTGCCTGCACCATGTTACCGCTATTCAATTTTGATTTCGGACACTTCTTTACCTTTCTGATGATGTACTCTGTACTAAGCCTTTCCTTCATTTCTTCGTGCATCATTCTGTCCGCTTAAGATACTTTAATCTTTCACTCTCTCCCAACGGCTTCAGCAACGATCCATCGGGCAAAAGAATGCCATCGGAATCCACCTTCTTCTCTCTTTTCAAGGTCAAGACCGCGCACTTCTCCTCACCGAACTGCGGCATTTCAATGTCCTCACTGTATATCAATCAATCTCCTTCTCGTTCTTGGCAAACAGTTTTATGTCCATGAAGAGGAGATGGTTAATTCTGCAGCCGTCTTTCTTCATCTCGTATTCGGCGTTGGCCTTTTGCAAAACCATAGACAATGGCATTAGCGACAGAACAAACAACAGCGGCGACAGAGAGCCCCACTGAAAAATCCCTCTTCTGATATAGATACTAACCTCACCCAGACTTTCATTCTTAGCCGTCAATGTTGTCCTCCAGGTCTTCAAACTGTTGTTCAGTAAATGCCTCACCCCCTCAGCAGCCCCCACTAGATTCAAACACTCCACGATCCACGAATGCGGCACCATAATTACCATACGCCATTTGTAGTCAATCCAAGGAGCCATCGACAAATTGGTCATCGTCTTCTTGCAGTCTTTCAGCACAGCCTTGTCGATCACTAGTCTATCCTTCGCTCCCCTTGACCGTTTCTTACATCCTTTCTGCTCATCTGGAAACAATCCATTCTCCTCCAAGTGACAGTGGAGATCCTCAGCTATAAGAGCTTGTAAAGATCAGGAAGACAAGTAATAGTTGCAACACTACATCCTTCATGAGCAAAACAGTGCTCCCTCCTTCAGTTATCCACCTAATTGGCAGATTCCCATGCACGAGACACTCCTGTATTAAAATTCCCTGCAAGTCTACCGTGTATACTGCTAAAATTCTTCAGCCAGTATCCATGAACATGATCCACTCCCGGGGCTTTTCAATTTGACACTTTCCTAAACTGCCTCTTGACTTTTTCCACAGTGATCCCTACCTCCGCCTGCCTTCTTCTCTCACTCCCTGCAGCCACTCTGCCTGGTTGTTGTGCTGCACTGGCTTGTTCCAAATTCCACCCAAGAAAGCCTTTGTCTTAGCTACCCTTGGGACTTCCTGAGAATCGTCATCCTTACTATCAAGTTCACTGATTAACTGTTTCTGGCTTGACCTAAACAGACCATTCTGGCGAAACTGCCCGATCCTGTCGTCGTACATCTTCACCTTTGCCGCCGTGCTTTAATACGCTGCTTGATTTCCTCCTTGACGACCGTTATACCCTTACCCCGCACCCGGTATTTAGCCAAAGGCTGTCCCTCATGTCAGACTTCTTCATAGCGTCTCTGTTCATCTACTCAATCCTACTAAGATCCCTTCGGAGGTCCTTAATCTGTCCCTCGAGCTGACGCTTCCACTAAGGTGTCACTTCCCTGTAGCCTTTGACAGCTCGCTTGAATCCCACTTCTTCCATCACAACGATTGCACCTGCATCAACGAGACTGTTAAGCTCAGATATGTTACTCGTCTTAATCCGACCTAATCTTATTAACAGCCCTTGTAGCATCATTCAACCTTCTCCTTGCAACACGACGAAGTGCAGGGATGCTATCTTTAACTCTTGATGACATTACCTCTTCAATTCCATTCCGCATACTTTCGTCAAGTCTGTATCATGATCCGCTACTGTATAATGATCCGCTACTTTTTTTTTTTGGGGGGGGGGTTATGTTCTGTGCATTTTGTCACCAGTCTTCCAAGCACTGGAAAAACGGTATAGAACACCCCCCCCCCCATTTGTCAGATGTTCAAATGCAATTGGGTGTTCGAACGACCAAAAAGCACATCCCCATCCTCCGTCCGAAATGCCCGAAATGGTGCAATTTTTTTCTCTCTCGATTTAATTGTGATACACTTTTAAACTTTAAGTTGGTTGCATACTTTTAGATCTTGAATTGTTTGTTGGAACCAACCTGGAGTTGTCGGCTGGGGAGTTGTCCAGACCAGCTATCGTCAAATCGGTGCTGCAGAGTGACTCCTCCCAGAATGTGGTTGGTGTTGAGGTGCAACTAAGGACTAAAGATGATGAAAGTGTATTGTCGAAAGAAGGTAGGATTAAGCCCAGCTAGACTTAAGAGTAATAAAACACATTACTGCTTAGTTTGCCTTGTTTTGCTTTGCCTGCATTTTCGACATCTATGTCTCACATTTGCATTTTTGGTTCCCATGATCGCTACGTTTTTATTACAGGGGGTCCGCCAAATCCACAGTTTGTAGGAGATCCCATCAGCTACAATGGACGAGTCTATTTCTTTTTCCGCGAGATTGCAGTGGAGTTTATCTCTGAAAGTCTCGTGTATTCGAGAGTCGCAGTGGTGTGTCAGGTACAAATATGTAGTGAATATTATTAATTATTGTGAAGGTATGATAGAATTTGTGGTTTGCATTCTATTGTTCAATTCCTCTATTCGTATTCCCCTCCCCAACATTTCAATTTGCATTTCTCTTCCCTAATTATTAACTAATTTCCTCCCCTTCAATTGTTCAATTGAAGGCTCCAGTACTATTTAAAAAAAAGTAATGGACGAAAAGTTATGGACATCAATGTGTAATGACTTTGCATTGTGGCTTTTAAGCAAAATTGGTATTTCATCAGAATGATACAGGGGGTACACCAGACACCGATTTAAACGAAAACAACATAGCCACCTTTGTGAAAGCCCGACTAACATGTTCTATCGACGGAGCCATCCCATACGATTACAACGAAATACGTGAGTCATTCTGCTCATTTTTTTCCCTCTCTTATTTTTCTGTCTTTTGTAAATTTGATTTTTTTTTAAAATCTAATAGGTGCTTTGAGATAGGTGCTTTGTGTTACAACTGATAGTGTAGTAACCAACGGATAACGTATCACCAACTGATATTGTCACAAACATTTACCGATATTGTATCGCTAACCGATAATGTAACAAAATTTGACTGAGTGTAGTAGAATTTGTCTCCGATGATGTATCACGTGTCGATTTTAGTAATGAGCAAGCAACTGATCTCATTGAAACTTAATTTTGAAAATATTATCTTTTTAGCGTTTCAAACTTCAAAGTGTGATTTCATAGTTCGCCAACGCAGCTACCCAATTTCATCACTGATCTCACGAAGTGAAAAAAACCTCTGAATCTGGAATAAAGTTCATTTCGAGAAAATCACTGTAGAACTTTATCTTTTTTTTTACAAACCTTTCGACCACTTTGCGGTAACAGAATTCGGAAACTGTCTGCACTGTCCAATACCTCATGCTCTACTCTTTGTTAATCTATATTGGTAATTTATAGTGGTTAATCGATGGAACTTTTTTGCACTTCGTGAGAACACAAATGCATAGATGAGTTACTTTTTTGTCCATTTACTTTGTGCGCACCTTTTCCTAAGCGATGGGAAATTATTACATTTTGTACAAGCTGATTCGTGTAGATCAACTAATGGTATGATCATTCTTGCCCTGCTTACAAGGTGACTTTTGCCACGGTGAGAAATAAAGAACTCGGAGCTCAGGCTTTTTGACAAAATTAATGTTTATTCACGATAAAAAAAAGGAGAAAGTACAAGAAAAATTTGTTTTGAACTTTGTAATTATGATTTTATTGTTCCTTGACACATGATATAATAATTTGGTCATCAAAACTGAAAACCAAAGATATTATTGTTTTTCCTTTGAGATTTGATTTGATTTCGTGAGCGCAGCGACGATTTGGTCCCCCGTTATTGGGGACCAAACCGTTATGGGCGCAAACAATAGGACATAAACAAACGTTTTTATATACCTTTTCCATAGGGGGCGCCCCCCCCCCCCGAAAACGAAAAAATAAGGAAAAGAAGAAGAAAAAAAGAGTTGCGAAGCCATATTACTGTTAATTTGATGGGGGGGGGGGGAGTACTAGGGTAGGGCAAATGCTCCCCTGCTCACGCTCAGAAAAATGATAAATTGAGAATATAATGAAAAAGTTAAAGAATTTTTTGGGAAAATTTGCTTTGCCCCCCCCCTTGGAAAAAAATCCTGGCGACGCCCATGTCCATATATTGATACATTATCAGTTGATTTTGGATACGCTATCGGTTGATACAGTATCCGTTCTGTGGTGATACGTTATCTGATACAGTTTTTTTTTGTGGTAAATATTATTATCCGTCGAAACGTGAGACATTATCGTAAACAAATTGTTCTACGCTATCAGTCAATTTTTGTTACATTATCGGTTGTGATAAAATATCGGTCAATTTGTGTAACATTAGCGGTTGGTGATACGTTATCCGTTGGTTACCACATTATCAGTTGTAACAGCGGGTCCCCCTTTCGTTTTCTTCAATTTTTACTTTACAAGCAGAAGCTCGAACGCAATACATGTTAATTGTTATTATTATTTATATTTTTAATTTTCTGAAGGATTATTGTGCCAGTCACTTATCTCAACCTCGATGTCTAGGATTTTTCATCATCTTGCATGATATAAGTGTGGTCATTTATTTTTGTTTCTTGTCAACAGACGACATTTACCAGTCAACTGATGATGTCAACGTAGTCTTTGCAATTTTCGCCACACGAGCGTAAGTGCTATTGGAATGGAGGACACTTTGTTCAACAGCAAGTTCAGAACATTCAGATTTTGTAGTCCTTGATGAAGATCCAACCAACATATTAAGTAATCATTTCAATCATCTAATTTCAATTCATCTTGCAACAGAGAATCACTGTGCAGTGCTTGATTACTTTTGACCGGATGTTGTTCAAAGTTCATTTGGGTCTTGTCTTGTCCTGAATTTGTTGGTACATGTATTATCTTAGACCTGTCGTGGCAAGTTCTGCAGTTTGCGCCTACCGTTTGGATGAGATTGAGGCACTGTTTCTGAACACCGAGAATAAGTTCACGTTTCAGGAGAATAATGGCGAGATTTGGAAGGACTTAGCCACGGACCCCATCACTCCCAGACTAGTAACGGTACGCAATTATTTGTTTTCTGCAACCAAGTATAGTCACTGTATCCGTTTTTGAATGTAATGGTTTCCCGACCTACAATGTAGTAAGAGAGTCAGGTGATCATCAGGTCAGGGAGGCGGACTGGCCTACATCTGAAGGAGCACATTGTAATACTTAAAACAGTTGTAAAGTTCACTGAATATTTAAAACCTTGAAAATATGGCTCCCTTTTTTAGTGTTAAGTTTCCCTGACACTTTTTCAATGTTTCAATATTTCGCCGCAGACCCTTTTTAGGTAAAGAAGAAATTAAACAATTTATATGGTTATTTCAGTGTCAAAACACAGACAGTTTCAGTTCAACTACCGCACGAAACATATTAAGCCAAGGTCAAATAATGTCGGTGTCGGCTGAGAACAAGCTGCACTACGAGACGGCAGGGGGCGCTCAAAGCAACCCTCTGTTGGTGATAGACGGGGAACGTTTCTCACAGATCGTCGTTGACGAAAACGTCGTCAATTCCATAGATGTCATGTTCATCGGAACGGGTAGGTACATGGCATGTACTGGTTATCGATACATGGTCCTAAAAAGGAATGTTTTATGTATTGTTTTTCACAAAAAAGAATCTCCGGTCGAAAGTTTCCCCGATTGCCACGCCATTTTTTTCGTGTCGAATTTGAACGAGTTTTAAGATATTATCACGGACGATAGACACATATTTCAAAATATGTAGGTGGAGTGTTTACATCAAACCCATCGATACGGGAAACCGACAAATTTCAGTTTTCTATGATGAACTCACTCATTTAAGGGCACAAGTGTGAAATCGTACTATGATAAAACAATTGGTTCAGTTATTAATGATAAAATCAATTCGTTATAAAGAAAATAGTTATCACTGTTCTACAATTTATTTATATTTACAAATATTTTTTGAATTTTTAATGATGAAATGAATTCATTTTAATAATAAAATTCAATTCGGTTAAACTTGAACTTTGCGTATACTTTTCACTGTTCCATGATTGATATAGATTTAAAAAGAAAATTTGGTAATTGCTCAGCACTAAAACAGTCCATTGAATGCATGTCTTTAAGGTACTTTTTGTATTTTCTAAAGGACACTAATCGGGAGGGTTGCCTTTGTTCGCGTACATTTAGAAGAACATGTGCCACGAAGACTGGTATTTCTTGCTGAAATAGACTTCTTTATCGCCCTCATTTCAAAATCACTTCCCCGTCACTTAAATGCAATTTCACTTTAGTCTTCGCTTTTTGAATTAATTTTCCTTTTGTTCGTTAGGAATGAAGTAGGTAAAGATGAGTCATTTTTGTAAGTTTCATGCATTTTTTTTCCTTTGGATGATTTTCACAGAGAATGGGGCTGTGCTCAAGGCGTATTTGAACGCGAACCGATCCGAAGCGAAAGTCGTGGAGGAGATTAGCCTGGATACAGACGGTCGAAAAGTCAGTGGAAAATAATTATAGATAACTCTGAGATTGAAACAAAACCTTTTCCGTTTTTGGTTATTCCTTCATCGTGATTCTCACATGTTTCTCAAATTTCTCACGATGTGCCGTTTGAGTTGAGGGGGACATCTGTCCACGGATTTTCTACACAAGGATAAACGACTTCCAAAATTTCTGGTTAGAGGCGTGATAACGGCCTGTGCGCGTATAGTTTGTACACAAGCTCAGATGAGTCGTTTATAGAGGATCCGTGATCTGTCTATGCCAAATGCTTTATTAACGAAGCAGGATCTGTGACAAAGTTGTTCCAACTCCCCAGATTTTGAAGTTTAAAGTAGTCCAGATTCCCCGAATTTTGGATTGTCCGAAATTTAAAACTTTCAAAAAAAAATCTCTCAAATATTCTCTCTTTCCCATTTCTCCTCCGAGACTATTCCTGACTCATAGTCTGCTCCATAGTAATTTTATGCATGACGTTTTATAAGCACAAACCGTCTTGAGCCACGACTAATAATATGATCAATATTTACACGCAGACCCCGGTGTTGACCATGCTGTTGAGTGACTCCGATCAAGCCGTTTTTGTCGGCACCGACATTGGCGTCTACAAGGTACCATTCCAACACTGCCAGGATTCCCCTTCACGCATGGACTGTTTAGGCACTGAAGATCCGTACTGCAGATGGAACGGTACTTCGTGTGTCAACTCTGACGTGGGGTAAGAGTATAGATCCTGCCTTTTTACTCCCACTTTTGTAGATACAAAATAATTAATTTCGCCCTTTTCCTGCCTCTTTTGAATTCTGAAATATTTTTTTGTGTGTGGAACTATTATATTCATTGAGCAATAGACGAGCCTTTGGGATGATATCAAAGCAGAAAGGCAAGAAAGTAATATTGAACGAATACCTGGCTTGTAAGCTGGAGTTCAAATGGTTGCTTCGTCTGAGTTTCTCAAAATACAAATACTTATTTCACTTGATGACCACACCCTTTAAATAAATTGGCCATTGTTGCCCTTTGTTTTGCCAACGTTAGTTAAAAGAACTGCCCATATATAGATATTTAGTGTTGGTAAATTCTTCTGTAAAAGATAAAAATTTATTGAAAAAAAAATGTATAATTACAGCACCAACTGTTTTATAATAAAACTAAATTAGCCCATCTGAGATATGACCGACACAATCGGAGGGCGCTAAGAGACTTTACCCAAATCAAACAGCGCCCCCCCCCCCATATTGTCTGCCATGCCTCAAATAGGCTAATAAAGCATTTGAAATGGTATTATATGCGATGGAACGTCATCACATCATAAAGACCTAGCAGGTAATCCGTCTTGGGGCCAACCTCGTCCCCAGGGTGTCGAGCAGCACGCGCCCACCACTAGCTGCTCTCTCACCCTCGTATTGGATCATTTGCATTTGCAGGATTTTTGAACGCGTATGCAATGAGGAATAGTCTGGTGCCTGCATGTGCGTTACATTTGCGTTTGTTTTTGTATGCGGTGTCTGGGGTAAAAACAGAATCAATTCGTCGCAGCGCGAGCATGGCCTGAGTTACAAAAACACAAAATTATTTCAATTAAACTGGCACGATCTTAAAGAGACAACATGTAGTATCACATTTCATATCAATATGAACAAATTGGAAAGAAAATGAATATTTTCGAGAAGGTATGGACGAATAATCGGGAAAACGCGTACTGCACGTTGTGAATAACAACACCAAGTACACGATATCAATCCAATTGCGGTATCGAATCAGGATACAGGAAGAAAGTTTCCTATCCAGGGCTTACTATTTGAAACGAGGATAAAGTAAGCACAGGAGACGAGGTAATTGTCTTGGGGCAGTTGGCTCATTGCTTTCGCCATTGCTTTCGTGAGTATGCATGTGTGCTGGGATTGGTCTAATGATTCACACGGATATCAATAGGCCGACCGTCTATTTGGCTTGAATTCTAAAGCCCGGTTCATACTCGGCGCGAAAGCGAAAGCCGCAACGCGAATTTGCGACGTCGTGGCAAGTATTCGCGCTACGAATTCGTAAAAGTTGAACATATTTCAACTCGGGCGAATTTCGCAGCGAATGTTTCATGGCGTCAAATTCGCTTCGCATTCGCTTTCGCATGAAGTATGAATCGGGCTTTAAGCGACGAAACCATTGTGCACGCTTTCACAAAGCAATACCCTGTGGCGGATTATCAGAACAATAGCTAGCACAATGCATTCGCCATTGACGGGGGCCTCCGTGATGAGAAGCGATAGCGTATCTGTTTGGTCTATTCTGTGAATCGGTCGAGTTCACTTGTATTTCTTTATATTTACAGGGAGCAGGACTTGGAGACAGGAGCTGACAACACCGAGCCTTCAAGTATGTGTATAGTTTATTTGAAAGTATACATTTTATAGCGTAAGAGATTAGCAGATAGCAGCAACAGCTATTCTGGATGCAGTGTTAATCTTTACACTCCGCATTGTACAGCGCTATTTCATCAAGACTCCTAAATCCAATCTGTCTCTGTTTTTCACCCATTTCCTGGGACAATGGAGCTGTAAACTTCTTGAACTGCAATCATGTATTCTGTTTAGTTACGATCCGGCTTAAGTCATTTCAGTAAATGTTATTGGTGGCATGTCAAGAAAAATGATGAAAACTGTCATTGCAAAATTTGTTTCTTACAGCATAAAAACGTGATTTATTTATCCACGTGATTAAATTCAGTCTACTGAAGTTTCCCCCAAAATGTATATGGGCATACAATATAATACGCCTCTTCTATCACTTGCGGTACAATCCACACAAATGAATAACGTTTATTCATTCTGTGGTCTTGAATGTTATTTCCATGTTTTTTTTTTCACAGTGCATAGAAAATTAGGAGTGGTCATCAAGTTGTGTATTACCCCCCCCCCCCATGAAAAATAAAACATATAGCGGCAGCTGTTAAATCAAGTCAGTATCCGTTGATTTCCCGTTGAGATTTAAAAAGAAAACTTTATTGTATATCTACTATAGTCTTAGGCATCACAGTACACCTGACACCGAACAGTCCAACGAGGTACCTGAACGTCCCGAACCAACCCATCAACCTGTATCTTTTCGCCGAGGCACCTACGGGTCAAAACCTTCGCGTGGCCAACGACGAAGTCCAGTGCACACCGTGCGCCAGCCTGCCGTACACCGAGTATCGAGCCTCCAGCTCTGGCAAAGAGTTCCTGTCCTTGCTCATCGATGGATCGAATTCTGCGGAGACTACGAACTGCTCCTGTACAGTCGTCTTGGCCATAGACGGAGGCTCAAACAGTTCGGTCAATTTTGATCTCACTGTGGACAATTCTGGTACGCAATTTATGTTGGGCTATGACTGTTGGGTTGTTTGCTAGATGCATGGTTTCTTTGCTTGCTTTCAGAACATTATACAGTCCCCATTACTTTTTTTTAAAAATGAATTCTCTCCGGTTTTCAGGGAGTGAAACTATAGTCTGGTTCCCAGGCCAAAAGATTCTGACTGTTTCCGAATCTTAAATTGTTTAAACTGAAATTCAAGTTTATTATCCCGCTAAAAAGCATAGAAACTCAGCTTCCACTGTTATAACATAACATAAAACTGTGCGCCAAACCAATGTATAATACAATATACACTACATCATTAGGTTTTGGAAGCCGTAGTATCACGTGACCAAAGGGGAGGAATGCCTCCCGTTTCCGAACATGTCTGAAGTTTGCCGATTGCATTTTGTCGACGCTCGAATAGCGCCTGGGTATATTTTCGGGTATAAAATACGTTTTATTTACCATGCTTATTAAAAAAGGGGGTATTCCAAAAGTCGGCGTCGTCGCCAATCGGCTTCGCCTGAGGGTTCAACTATAACTCAACATTAGAGAATGAAAAAATATCACAGTCTATGATATATAAAGCTAGTGATTTTTTTATTTAATTGAAAGTTCGGAACATTCGGAGATTTTAATGATAAATCCCAACCTGAAACAAAATCCAGCTTTAGAAAAAGGGGCATCATGCTCATATTAAGCCAAGAGGTCCACCTGGCCTAAGATTCGTCATAAATAATAGTCAGAATCTTTGGTCGGGGAACCAGACCAAAGACCAAAGGAAACAGACGATTTCAATTGGAACTCACTCAAATGTTACATTAAAGTGCTTGGAAAAAGAAATAACCTCGAAACTCGAGTGAAAATCTCGATCTATTCGATGGACGGAATTTCACTCGCAAACGTCTTGTCCCTAGTTTGGTTGAAAATGAATTGCTACTCTTCATTGCTTATTTGTAGCTGCTGTAAGTGCAAATGATGACGAGATCAGCGATCTGGAGATTTTCGACAACGAGATAAGACGATATAAAAAGACCCTGCAAAACTGGCAAACACAGGTGGTAAGTGCATTTACTTTGTGATAGGCCTGCATGCCAATACAGGGTGAGTACAAATAAGGAACCCTAAATGACAGCACCATTTTGTAAATGAAGTCTGCATGTATCGCTTTCAAAATCTTGGATATCAAAGCCCAATTCGTAAGCTTTCTTTTAGTACACGAATTATTCAAATCACTTATGTACTTTTTAACTTACGGAATTTTAAACGCAACCACTGTTTTACAGTTCTGTCCACGGATCTTTCAGCAAAACGAAAATAATGCACATAAGCTACAGGCATGAACGTGAATTATTATCGTTTTGGTGAAAGAACATTATTGCCTTTTTGTGATCCTTGGACAGAACTTTAAAACGGTGTTTGTGTTTAACATGCTGTAACTTAAAAATTACATAAGTGATTTGAATGATTCGTGTACTAAAATACAGCTCATTAATTGGGAATTTATATCCTAGATTTTGAAAGTGCTGCATGCAGAAACTCATTACAAAAATGGTCCTGCTATTTGGGTTTTTTGTTTTGTTTTTACTCACCGTGTATAGTCACAAAAACAATTTCAAGCTTGATCCCAGCTTTATGCAGAGGTTAAAATGAGGAAATATGAAATGCGTAGGCCCTATTCAGCTTAATAGAATATAACGCGCATTAAGAAAACAGACCATTTTAAAATAGCGTTTTCAAGTTGATTCCCAACTAGGCCTATGCGAATCCACAGTATGTGATTTGTGGCGATATGACAGCTTTAGCAGTTAAGATATCTGGGCCACGGTTTTGGGAATTTTTTGGTTAGTATTTGGTCAATACTAAAACCAGTTAACGATGAAAAGTAAATCTGTATTTTAAGAAGTTGTTATTTCTGCTTATTGATTTTTTCCACAGGGTGAATCATGTGGACTTACCGACGTACAATTGTGTCAACCGTAACCATCAACATTATGTTACGTCACAGCATTCCCGTTGACTGATTGGATTTGGCCCCATCACGTGACACGGGACATTTTGTGAATATGTGTGGGTCTGGTTAAAATTGACATTTGTCTGCAGTTTTAAGATACACTACTTACCTTTTAAAGATCATACGATCGCTTGCATTTTGTTAAGTTTTCCGAAGCAACATTTCTCAAAGGCTTTAGTATGACAGATTAATATTACAGCTTACCCGTAAGAGTCAAATTTTTAGAATAAAAAAGGAGAAATTCTCTACTATAGATTTTGTTTGAGGGGGTTATTCCATAGTGTACACTTCTGATTCAGGAGTTGCTGTCTCATGTTTCTCATGTTTTAAATTTCATGCACTCGTGTAAAACCCCTTGATCAGCACTGGGGACATGATTTTCATTCACTCGTTAAATACATGTACATGAGTATTTAACGAAAATTGTCAAATTAAAAAGAATGTGCCCTCGGGCACACTTTTTTAACATCCTGTTGTTTTCTTCCAAACTGTGCTAATTTCACATGGTAAACCTTCCTCGTACCAGTTCCGGTAATCAGCAAATTCCAAACTTTATTTAAATTCCGAATTTCAACTAAATAAAGACAATATTTGAGAATAAAATGTCGAACATTGGCAGCAACATTCATTTTTTTATACAACGGAAGTTGGATTCAGAAAATGACGGGGATTAAGCATTTTGAGATTTTTTTTCCCCATTTTATAATCGTAAGTGACTGTCAAAAAGGTTTAAAACCTCATGCATGAGGACTTAGTCGTTTAAACCAATCTCAACTTATTAGTTGTTTATTGTATAACTCAGTATACATGGTGATTGTTTTTTTAAAAACATTATGCAGTGCGTATCGATGTATAATAGCTTCTCAATTCTTTAATGGTGTGTTTGTAAAAGAGAACGAGGTTAGAAGTAATTTGCCGTAGAGAACAAACACATTTAAACCAGTTCCTAACTTATCATACATAATAGTTGAACGTTGTTATTTAACCCAGTATATAGGGCCTAGGTGGTTGTATTTTTGTTATATTATACACTGCGTATCATATATCATAACTTTTTAACTGTTCAGTGGTGTATTTTGCTAAAATAATGTTTAAAATCTTATGAGAACTATTTGTTAGCCATTATTATCAACATTTTCAGTATGCTGGAGTGGGGGTTACCGATCCATGTACGCTTTTGAAATTTTGTAAAACTGCCGATCAATGGTTTTCAGTATTTTTTTTGTAATGGGCTTTCAGAAGCTTCTGTGGTAAACAAATGCGAATGCACAATTAACTCTGGCCGTGTTAGACTCAAGCGAGGCTGGCGTTGCAAGAAGTCTTGCATGAAAGTCTTGCATGAAATCGATCCAAATGATCCCTGCCAGAGCTTAAAAATGGGACACCGGAAAATGCAACGCCGATGGCACACATTGACAACACCATACTTTTGGTCAATTTTCGGGACAGACAGACAGACAGACCGACCACCAAGTGACATGTAGAATCTCCTGCCAGAGCTGTACAGATCTGATACATTAAGTTCACAAACATCGCCTGCAGTTAAAATAAATGTGCCAAATAGCAGCACATTTAAATTACACAATTCCAGGGGTAAGATCGCGCAAGGCATGATTGGAACGAACATGGCACAGCAAGATCGTACCCACGGGGAACGAGGTTGCTTTTCATCCACCACTTTATGTATAGGGATGGCTTGCCTGCGCCCGAACGGCATCTTCAAGACGTTCCACAACTTATCGCGACGCTGTGGATGAACTGCTCGTTCCAGGATATCTTTATAAACTTTTTGTAAAAGTACTATTTGAGAGAGGTTAGAGCCAGGGGGGTCTGCCAAAAAGAATACGTTTTGAAAATGATAACAGATGACCCAAGTTAACAGTTTGAGGTGCAGAACATACTCGTTGAAACCAATCTCATCTTTTTGTCTGTACATAATGGGCAGGTTGAACGTTGTTTAACGCAGCATGCATGGTGTCGGTATTTTTTCGTTACAATACATTACCGGTATGTTAATTATACATAGCTTTTTTGTGTTGTATTAAGTTTGTAAGATTATGTGTAACGTTCTCATTCCGCTGTACATGTGAAGTTAATTATTTACGCAGGATTGAATAAGTGAAATAAAGAACAGAACGTAAATGGAACAGGATTTTAGGAAAGTTTTTGAAAAGCAGGCATGCCAGTATGTCAAGTATATGTTGATGGGTGAGTGCAGCTTACCGATTTCAGTTCTTGGCATGTATGTACATTTTGCTTTTAATTTTTCGACAATTGTCGAACTTATCGTTTCATTACTTGCTTTGCAGCAAGGGGAGCTATATACATCCATAATTGATTATCCTTAATTGTACAATGTTTCTTAATATTCAGGGAGATCAATATTGCAGTAATTTGGGGGGCTTTCTTAAGCAAATTTAACACAAGTTTAGGGCCTACAAATTTCCTATGTGATTTGTACATGTCAATGAATGGGCTTTGGGTTTATTGAAGGGTTGTATTGCACTACATGTATAAGCCTAATTGTTAATCAAAGTTTATTTTTTCTTTGTTGTATTTTAGTGAACCAGTTTAAAGCCCATTTTTAGTTTAGAGTTGAGAGTCCATCATTTGCAGCTATCCAAAAAAGTAACTGGCGTAATTATTGTTGAAAAACATACTGGTTGAAAGATAGTAAGGGGACTAAACTCCCTGTGAAATTATTCTTTCTGGGAAGCTCTCATTTTGAAGAAATCAACGAAAGAAGGCATTTCCAACGGTGCGTCTTAAGAAGCACCGTAAGAAAATTTAAATTAGTAGTTCGTTTTGTTATTCGGCGCAGCGCGCGCAAACATTGGCACGACGCACAGGCGCGCGCGGTTGCTATAATTCGTCGGATCAGTGCGCGATATCACGTAAAGCTGCAATTCAAAACAATTCAAAACATGATTAAACAACTTTTGATTTGAAATTGAGATCCAAGAATGCTGTTTTTCTCGGAATATACAGCTGTAGCTGAGGTGAAACTTCATTATTAGTTGTTCTGTATTCTTCATTAGATTTTGAACACTTTTGTTGCTTCAAACGAACAAAATGCACAAATTACAAATGATGGACTATACCTTTAAACAGTAAGTTCATCAGTTCATCAGTTCAGTTATGTTGTGCAACAAGCTGCCATAATCCATCTCCTGCGTTGGGAAGGGGGCTGTAATCACATGCGCATGTAAAGTCTGTGTGGAGATCAGAGAGTGAATAAAACAAGGGAGCAGAGCAGAAAAACTGTGTTCACACGTGGAGCAGATTTCCTCTTATGTAACTGTTACAACAGATTAGGTTCACATATTCACATATTCACTGTCCTGCTGCTCGACCTTCCACCTGTCTGCCGTTCAGATCAATGCTCAGTTTGTGCCCGTGTCCTCATGTTAGCAATAACTATCTGCGGACTATCCGTGTTCTTCTGAGAACTTGGATTTCAACAGTAATTCCCTTGTTCAGGTTTTGTTTGTGCCATTTTGTTCGTATTTAACAACGTTTCTGCGCACTGTCCGAGCATTATAGGCTGCCTATGGAGGACCAAAAGTGGACAACCCATTTTGCTAGAACAAAAACAGAATTATGGTTGTAATGAAGTCCTCTTTCTGAATTTTCATTTTTCTGTTATCAAACAGTTTTATTTTTAATTCAAGGCGCAGAAAATCAGAGCGTTTACAACCAAAGCAAATTTCCAAATTTCGACTAGCAGAAAATCTGAAATTGCGTTTATGACCAAAGCAAATTTCCAAATTTCTACTATCAGAAAATCAGAAATTGTGTTTATGACCAAAGCAAATTTCCGAATTTCTTTTAGCAGAAAAATAAACGTTTGATACCATTAACCAAATTTCATTTGTTTGTACAAGTAGAAAATCAAGGTTTTTGGGCTACTCCATAGGTCGTTTGGGGTAAGAAACCCTCATCTGAGTTGAGCAGGTCCTTTGATTGTGTATGTACCAAAACGTAATTCTGTTTGATGATCTAGCCAACAAAAGTCGGAATGACATAAAAGCTATTCTTATAAGCCAACGCTAAGGGCTGGTTTCCAGAGCACCTTTTTTGGGGGGGGGGGGGGCAAAGAAAAAATGTGGACCCCAAAAAGTGGGTCCCAATGAAAATTAATAAGGGCTTGGGGTTCAGGGCCCGCTTAACGGCCCCGTAACTTTTTTTGGATTGTAGTTGCTCTGTGGTGCGATCTGATCACTTTAACAAAATATTTTTGAGGAAAAGATGGTGGTGTGCGCAATGACTGCCTGTACTGCCATGTCATTTAAAACAACATTTAAATTGGGTTCGTTTTTTTTGGTGGGGGGGGGGGGGGGGGGGGTTCGGGGGTCATGGCCCACGGCCCTTTCCCCCCCCCCCCACCCGAATCATCCGCTCTTGGCAGACGCCAATTTGTTCTTTTATAAGAATTTTAACATATACTTGGCGACTAATAAAACTTCAGCCGCGTTTGCTCTGGACTTTTTTAAGGAGACGGAAAACAACCCCCTAGTTTGCTCAAGGTTTATAACAAATCATTAGGCTAGTGAAGTTCCTCCCCTATCGTTTTTAAATATTAGTTTTCTTTAAGGCCTATTATTAAAATTCTGCTGATGAGGGTTTCTTACCCCTAACGACTTATGGAGTAGCCCCCAGAAAATCTCAACCTTGATTTTGTACTAGTACAAACAATTGAAATTTTGTTCATTTTTCTGCTAGAGAAAATTTGGTTTGGTCGTAAACGCAATTTCCGATTTTCTGCTAGCAGAAATTCGGAAATTTGGTTTGGACGTAGTCGCAATTTCCGAATTTCTGCTAGTAGAAATTCGAAAATTTGGTTTATTCGTAAACTCTCTTTCCGATTTTTTTCCAGAAGAAATTCACAAATTTGGTTTGTCCACTTTTGGACCGCCTATGTAGAAGAAAATAAAAAAATCTAAATTTCTGATAATAGAAAAATTAAAATTCAGAAAGAGGACTCCATTTCAACCATAATTCTGTTTTTGTTCTAGCAGATTTTCGAGAAAATGGGTTGTACACTTTTGGTCCTCCATAGCTGCCGAACCTCCGGAAGGTGTTCTCCAAGTTTACCTAACTAATCGTGTCTTGTACGCTACCTGTTAGAAAGCATCCACTTGGGTCGACAGAGTGAGACAGTGAGTGAGTGTTTGAAAACATTCTGACCCTCAAGGCCCTTTGGGCAGCAGCAAACCGTGGCATTGCCACCGCTACTTTGAAATGTTGCTGTGTCTTGCAGTGTGCCGGCCATTACCTTGAATATCCCCTTAAGTTAACAATATTAAGAACGCAACAATTATGAGAACATAAAAAAAGAAAAAAATAACGATCCGAAATGGCTGTTATTATATCCAAAACATTGCACGCATTTACCTTATCTCCAGATAACATCAAGTAGTGTTGCCAAACCTCAGTATTGATGAGCTTCAAATTTACCAAGATGCTCACTGGCACGGTTACCGTATTAAAAGTTTATGGTAAATGATATGAACAATGATAACATTTTGATATTTAGCTCAGCAAACAAAATTGGGGAAAATGAGCTGGCTGTCTGTAAACTGAGCTAATTAGGCGAAGGGTCGCCTACCATGGGAGACTTGAATAAGTTCAAAAGAATCCCCCCCCCACCAAGAAAAAAATGTTTGCAAGAATTATTTCAATGTCAAAATGTTTTCTCTCCATTAATTTTCTTTCCAATAATGTTGGGAATTTACCCTTCACTAATTAGGCCAACTAACAGACACCTCGTTTTCCCTGATGTTTGTTTGCTAGGCTAAATATCACAACGTTATCACTGTTCACATGATTTTCCATAAGGTTTTAATAGGGTAACTGTACCAGTAAGCAACTTGGTGAATTTGAAGCTCATCCATACTGATGTTTGGCGAGACTACTTGATGATATCTGGAGACAAGGTAAATGCGCGCAACTTTTGGGTATAGTAGTAGCCATTTCGGATCTTTATTGTGTCTTCATTAATTTTCAGTCACTTATATGCTTTAGAAAATGTTATGGGAGTATACGGTGGAGGGAATATCTGTGACCCGATCTGTAGTTCCTTTACCCGGACAACCTAGCTTAGGATCAGTACCCCAGCAGCCGGGAATGCAGGCCCGTTTGGATGGAAATATACCGCCCTATACGCGTAGCGGCATTCACCCACGCCTCTCAACCAATTAAGTACACAACAGTCAATGACCTCAATTACTGATTGATTTATTAACACCGAATCATGTCATAATGATGGACCTCTCGTTAAAATAGCCTCTAATAAGTGATTGGTCTCTGAGCCTCTCAATTATCTCTACATGGGTACCTCGCATTAGGCGCTACGTTAAGGTAGTGCTGGGCAGCACGGCGATGCCTGGCTGGGGATAGCCTCTGAATCCCGTGACCCGTACGCCTCTAGATAGCGGTCCTGTGTGTATTCCGCCTCCACTATCCCGCCCTCGACCGCGCCACCCGGCGTTTCCAGTCTCGATCCTTCTTCGAGGCGGCGGGTAGGTGAGCGCACACTCCCGGCCCCATCCTACAATCGGCACATCGCTCCGCCTCCAGTAGCCTCCGCGGAGTCCGTGCCTCCTTATGCCAGCCTGACTCCACCGCACCACCCAGCACGCCGTCACCGCGCGCAATAGTGTGAGCTCTGATGAGGGCTGTGTCTCCCAGGGTGACCGTAAGGTCAGAGCCATATTCTGCTAAATGCACATAAAAAAATCTGTCAGATTTATCAAAAATCAGCCAAATTCCCCAGAATTACTCGAAATATCCTATAAACACCTAAAATTACATGCAGATTGGTAGTGTTGACTTAATTAAAGTTCAAATTACATTATAAACAATCTAGAGTCACATGAAGATGTTGTGAAATTATCACGTAAATTTCGGGCAAAACGCAGATCCAGCCACGACGAAGTCATTTCCCAGTTAACCTCAGCCCCTAGACCAGCCAACCTGTTCCGTTATGCAGGGGTTTGTTGAAAGGATTGAAGCTTTTTTAAACAATGTGCCATTTTTTGGTTCATATTTGCTGTTTTTCTGTCAAATTACCATTTTTGCAGAATTCTGCCAGAAATCTGCCAAAAAAATCCATTCTGTCAAATTGTCTGTCAAACTCATTTTTTTA